TATATATCGCGATAGGAACTCGCTTCCGGTGTGTTTGGTGAAGGACTTTAGCGAGGCCGGATTATTGGCATCGCGGGGGTGTGGGACAGGCACGGCGGCGACAGGGTCACATCCAAGCACCTTGCGTGACCAATGGAGAAGCCGTCGACGAGCATCTCCTTGCTTCCCACCGTTTCCTGGCTGTCTTGCTTTTGTTCGTCCATCATCCTGCGTTGAGGCGTTTACAGGCCCGGCTACGGACAACCCCTCAAGGGCGGTCTTACGTCTTGCAATTCGATGTGCATTCCGTCCACAACAAGTCTCAAGGCATCTTGGCGCGATCAGAGATCTCCAACGTTCGTTCCGCAGCGAGACATCAGCGCACTCCGTGCCTATGTCTGGGAGGAACAGAACGAGTGAGACATTCCATCTCGCTATACTGATCGGATTGCGTAGGCACAGCCTCATGTTTGCATGCGCAGCGCAGGTGCACGGCAAGTGCACAAACTGTTAAAGTGATCTTGACCCCCCTGCATCGCCATCCTTGTGACGTCCCCATTAAGAGGCCCGATACGCAGGAAGCTCTACGTGCGACTTTCGTTGTTGCGCCGCTCGCATGATGATTCTCACGTCCACATAGTGCGAGTCTTGTTGACCCCCGAGGTATCCACACTCCATCACCTCCACCACCCCAATACCTCCCACCGCGACGACGCGATAGCAGTGCTGTCATGACAGAGGCGTCTAATACAGAAGACGTAACGATGAGAGGAAGGCGACTCGTTTTCCGTCGGGCTGCCTTGAGCGCAGATTTTGCAGATTTCCAAAACTCCCAACGCCGCCTGTCCGCGAAGTCTTTATCACCGCTGCGATCGGCTCCACAACAGCAACGATCGATCTTGAATTGTTCGTATTTGGGGCATTCAATCACGAGCGCTACATCGGCGCCCTGCTTTACCTCGCTGGTACGGATGCACGGAAGCAACATCGGCAAGCTGGATCGCCCTGTCAGGCGCACGATAAACGCGCCCAGATCCACGCAGCACCATGAGACAGGCGGCGGGAAGCGATACCCAGGCAAAAAATCACAGCACAAGATCCATCAGACTGCTTGCAGCAGTTCCGGAGCCCACAGGAAGCCGCCGTGACACACGATCCTTCTTCATCGCCGGACAAGCGCAAGGGCGGGGGTAAAGCCTTGCACACGCGAAGGTCGGACGATCCCTCAACTGTAGAATAGAGATATCTCACAAGCTGACAGTATCGTATACCAAACACACGCCGCCATGAACGACAGCTTTGTCGCAATCGATCTAGGTCCACGAGTCGCCGCGAACAACAACGCGAACGCCACACAGACATAACGTAATGAGGCAGGCGGAAGTCTCCTGACTATGGCTCTCCAGCGCCATGAACCTCTCGGCCACAGGGAACATCGGTACTGAGAAGCCTGTGCGAACAGCTTCGATCAACGATGTCTCACGTGTCACCGGTGAGCGACTACTCAGCGGACGTACAGGAACAAGATCATCGGTCTTGGAGCTTGAAACAACGGACTGCGACGTGGCGACTACCGTACCAATGTCATAATTGGTGGCGCCGCATGAAGACCTAGACGGATATCTCGCTGGCGAAACTGACTTTGGCTTGACTGGACAGCTCTCCTGGGGTTGGGCGCCATAACGCTGGTGAACGTTGAAGCCATGACTGATAAGAGCTTGGAATGAGAGCTTAGACTGCCGATACATAGAGCCATCAGGCTTGCTCGCACGTCCTACTTTTTGACATCTTCTTAAGGTGTGGGGTTGCAGGTTACTTGTTTGCCATGTCGCCATGCCAAACTTGCCGATATGCCCTAGTGAACGGAGTCTTAAGCACGCACTCGCGAGGGACACGTACGGTGTTGACGGCCGATAAGCAACCGTGATCGCTGGACTTATGGGTCTGCTCTTTTGGACCTAATACTGAGGGGATGGCTCGACAGTATTGCCAAAAGGTTGGTGACTTTAGATTCCGAGTAAGTTTGCCAACGGCTGGAGGACTTTGCCAGCCCGGAACCAGAGGGACCAGGCGGGTAAAGAAAACCGACATTATTAACCGGCGGTCCGAGATGCGTGATTCCAGCACCTCTCTGCCGACTACACCGGATACCGTACCCAGTGGTCACTCGTCGGGGTAGTTTGGTTCACTGATCGTGAGATATTGGCATGTACTTGTCGACCCGACGAGCATTATGCAAGATTCGCCACAACTTCGTCGATGAGCCGCGTGGAAGAACGCAGAGCGATACATTTAGGCACAAGCTGTCACGACTGTCGTGAACGAGCTTCTGCATTCAGTTCGGACAAGATCAGCGCCGATGAGATGGTGGACAGTTGCTGTTGCTCTGATCTACGGTGGCAGCTTCAGCTGGGAGATGATATGCTCGCTGAAGGTCAGACTGTGGAGCATCCACGTCTTGCTTGGGCAGAACACCCATAAAGCCTGATCGTCCTGCAATAGTTTGTTTCGCACCAGACGCAGGCCTTGCATTGTTGCTGGGTTGTAGTGATGCTATCGAAAATCCAGCCTACTCAATGCGAATATGAGTGTAGATGACGCTCTGAACGGTAAAGGTTTCGCAACTTTCGATTTGCAGCAAGACTAGAGATGTACTCATGTGCCTCGAGCATGCACAAGAGTTGTGATCGTAACAGGGATCAAGCTATTCGATACGAGTTCCGCATCATCTGCCAATCTGACCCTGCTCTCCTCGGTCGACTGGTTCTGCCATGCAATCCTAAAAGCTTTTGCGATCGGTAATTCCACCTCTGATGCAGGGCTATGTATCGACAGAGCGATGCATCGTAGTCGTCGTATGACGAAGAAATGTAACTGTGTAGACCATGTCTGCGAGCTTCCGCGGTACGAACAACAGCGAGATGATGCAAGATGGTACATCAATTCGCTAACCGAGTAATCGCTACAATCTTCCCTTTGTGGCTCACAACCCGTAAGGTACCCGATACTTTCTCTTGCCAGATCTTCTGCAAGACAGAGACAAACATTGTGTCGATTCGAAACAGCCGAAGCATGGGATGCTGGCACCCGCGTACTCGATATCGATGCGCAATGAAGATCGTAGTTCATGAACCTTCGGCCGTAGGACGCCCATGCAGGCAAGGGAAGAGAACTCGATTGGTATCCCTTGGAGGTGTGGCGATGCCAGCATGGCTTTGGCGAACACGCTTGTGGTGAGAGACAGAGAGAGGTCTTGCCCTAGTATTACCTAGGGTTTTGGCAAGGGTGACAGTGCGAAGCTGAGCTCCGGAGGGTCAGCATAGTCAGAGCTATACTGTCGCATCGCCAACGGAGGTTGGTGGATACCTGCAGCCAAAGGTGGAAGCCAACAAGGCTGTCCAAGTACTCAAGTAACCTGTGGCTAATATTTGGTTGTCCTGCACTCTCCTCTTCGAAGGCGTTATAGCTTCCTACGCTGGGGAAGATGTTCAGTCGGAGCTTGGCCGAGCGAGAGGTCTCTTCCGCGGGGGTCTCAAATCCTCAACAGCGAAAGGACCGAGCGGGCAGAGTGGCCGCAGGTGTAAAGGGAGTCGCGATGGGATCGCAAGCGTTCGGGCGGTAGGTTTGTGATCTGACACAGGCTGCATGCAAGGTGGGCGCTGCTTGGAGACACCTTCGAAGTTTGTTCGAGGCTCGGCGACTGTGAAGCTGTAAACCTGGCGACAGAAGTGAAGTGCGCAAGCAAGCCAGTGTTACTTTGCCTTTACCAAGCTCCCCAGAGAGTTTGTCTCCAGGCATGTTGGGAATGGGAGAACGATGCGGACTGCCGGGTGAGGCGGGTCGTCGCGTTGAGGCACACCAGCTCGACCTGAAACAGCCCTACCTGGTATCATACCACCGTATGTCTTCTTTAAGGTGCCACTTTAGGCGAGCGGCAAGCCGAAAGCTGCAAGGCGCAGTCGAGGTCGTCGTGGCGGGTGTACGGCGGGTAGGAGGATGTCCTCTGATGGGGAGCCATCTCAGCGGCTGGGTCGCTGGGCGGACTCGAAAGACACATGCATCTCAGAGGCTCGAGTCTTCATCTCCATGTCGTATAGCGAACGCGTCGTAGCGATGTGGAGTCGATTTCGTGGAGCTGGTGGTTGGTGGCAAGTTGGTGTGTGGGCTGAGGCGAGAAATTCAGGAGGGAGGCGCGGTGGTGATCCAGGCGGACTTCAGAAGCAAGAACAGCCCCACCCTGTACACAGCAGATGGGTGAGTAACGACTCTGTCGTCGACGTATATTGCACAAAGCTACTGCATCGATGCAAGTCCCCACGTCAGAGCAGAGAGAATCGGGCCGAATCCTTCGCGTAGGACTTAGCGAAGCCAGCCCCGCGGAGACACCAAGCCCTGGAGAGACTGCGAGACAACGGCATTGAAGGCGACGCACTGCATCAGAGAGGATGAGAAGGGTTATTGTAACATCATGGCAAAAGCTGCTGGATCTACCGCCTCTTCAATTGGGCTCAAAAGGTAATGCACACCATGTAAGATGATGCAGGCAAGCCAACCCTACCTCAACCCTACTACGATACAGACAGATGCTGACACCCAAGCAGATAGTTCCTTAGATACAGTACTATATTCGTAGACCCAAAATATACCATCTGTTGACTTTCCAATGTTGTGCACCTGCCTGCCTTGTGGGACGAGATTCCGCCAAGGACAGGAACCGATGGGGCATCGTCCCTGCTGAACGCACTCCTAGCGCCAGAAACTCTAATCGCACCTCTGCCCACTCCCTCCAGACCCCTCTTGTTTACTGACCACCCCTGCCTCAACTTCCTTTGCGACTTTCGCCAAACACGAACCCCCTTCTCATTCGCACAACTAATGCAGAAGAGCTTCTCATGCGTGTCATTACGGTTCAGATCCCCTGGATATCCTCCTCAGCGGCACAGCGCGTCGCCTGCCTACATCGCCATGTCTGGTCACCGCCGGCGCGATGGGCCACTTCCACAACCGCGTCTAAAATCCTGATCAAGCACCTGTATGCAAGGGCATCTCAGATGGTAGCAGGCTGTACACTTGCATTTGCTCTCCCTCGATGTGTCCTTCGCATTCTGGCCTCCGACGAGGCTCGGTGTCGTTTCGACATCAAGCTTGGAGACAAACATCGCACTCTAATGACCTACAGCGCTGCAGCTGCCATATCGTTTTGCAGAAAGATGATCTGGCCGTATAACTCTCCACCGCCATCTCTTGATTGTTACGGTCGATCCTCTGTCGCTCGAGCTCATACTCTACTGGCGTGATGACGGTACAACTTCGATGGAACAATCAGCAGTACGCTTCTGCATATGCTGTCCCGACGTCAAGACTGCGCCTACCGTTCGAGCGTCACCGTACCTTCGGACTCCGCACCAATCTTGATGGCTTTGGTTCCCTTTCATAAACGCGTGCTTCTGGATGGCTATTGACCGCCTAGGGAGTCGAGCAGAGTGTCAAGACAGCCCTATAACCCCACAAAGGTGTCTGTCTAGCATGTCAGCGCGAGACTTACATTTACCAACTATCAGGTCCAAAGTCCAAGTATTCAGCAGGGCTCATGTGGATCTTCCCTTAAGAGAGCTCTAGCATTCCAGCCTGGGAACCATTCCGGCAGGTAAACCCAGCTGGCAGTATGCAAGAGCTTCCACCGCGCGCACCCATCGTCTTTGGACCTTTTTCTGAATAGTCAACAACATCAAACCCACAGCTACTGAGCCTACCATGAATGCCTATGCTGCTCCGTCAGCAGACTTTGGGTTTATGTTCACAATTCATTGTTTTGCCATTCGGTTCGTATTCGGTATTTGGATTAACTAGCGGTAGGTTTCTTCCGCTTGTCGAGAGAAAGGTAAGATCTATTCATATAAGAGGTTCTCTTACTCTGTCAAGTCTAAGTCTGGACATGTCTTTTTTTTTTTTGCATCGTGGTCCTGATATCTTTCTACACGCTCTTTTGTCTCTACTTGGGCCTTTAGGTCCACCAGAGAGTTTCCTGTTCTTCTTCTTCCACATCTATCAAAGCACTTGTTCAACCGGCTGTTACGCTCTGGATCCGTCAGCTTGTTCAGGCGTCTCTTTCACAACATGATCGAGCGATGATGGTACACTGCTGGTCAGGCTTTTTTTTTTTTTGCAAACAATACTAAAAGAGATGGGATCTAAAAAAAGCCTTCTCTGGAACTCAACATTCTAGAACTGCATACCATTAGCACGGGACCCGCGACGTGGGCTCAATGAATACTCATGGCCCGTAGCCACCACAATAGGCAATGTACATCCACGGGGATACAGACAATACAATACGTCTTTCTGATTGTAGTCAGCTCACCGACGCCGACTATCAGCCTTTACCGCCAGTTTGCCACCCGGATTCCCACGTCACCAAAGTATGAAGCGCGGGGTAGGACAATACATGAACTTTTGCTCACGTGTTGGAGCTCGCTCATGCTTCGAAACACCGTCAATCCGCGCCGTTACCGCTTATATCAAGCGTCACTGAGACTTGTGGGCATATATATATATGTCTTCAACTTACCTTGACATAACCTTTCCTCATCCACAAAGGCTCTTGCGACCACAAGTTCAGAACTTCAAAAGCAAAACGTCGCTCTCTCACCTGAATATCCTCGCTTATACCGTTCAGCAAGTCGACTATATGCCCGATCAACATTGACAATTGGAAATCGGCAAGTGCTATCCTTATCTTCCCACGCAGTACCGTGCAGTGCCTTCGCAACTTGATTGGAAGCCTGCACAACCGCCTGATATTCCGGCACGTCAATTGCTATCCTGCACCCAAACCGAATTACATCGAACGAACTTTCAACTTCCAACTTACATATCGAGAAGAACGTGGTGGTGGTCGCTTTACGACAGTGCCATCTTGACTGCTTTGCATTATCTGTGGTACCTTAGCGTCCTACCTTGTGGCTCAACTGCACGCCGTCAGCCACCGCACCTACAAACTCTTCTCCGTCTCGACCAAACAGGACACAGCAAAGAAGACATATAGACTGCTACGGTTAGGAAGTTCAGAGTGAGCATTCTTCCGGCGTCTCCCGTGCTTCACGCTGCCTAGTCCTGTTTGCGAAGAAGAAGGGGTGTGTTGCTGTGGTCTTGGCTGAGCGTACGTTGAGCACGTCCTTCCTACTAGCCAGTTCGTCGCCTGCGTAACTGAGCTGCTCCGGAGCTCGATAACGCTAGCGCCTCGTCTGCCTCCCCTAAGTCCCCTCCCACAGCTGGCCCCTCTCTACCCCACCACCTGTAAACACCCTCGCCCACACATCTCCAAAAGGTACGTACCCCCGACAGCTTAGCTGCTGCTCCCCCTGCACCATACCCTCCTTTTGCCCACTTCAGCAGCACGCTGGCAGCTTCCTCGTTGCGCTGCAGCTGGTGTTGTTGATCCTCCTCCGTTCTCCACCCCCGCACACAACGCGCCGACTCTCGCGTACATACTGAGCCGTTGCTTGACCTCTTGCTAATATCAAAACAGAGAGCACTTTGTTTCTTGATCCCTTGCTGTAACTTGCGCGGAAGGTATTGGAGATCATGTCCCGCTTCCACAACAACCAGCTAAACATGGTTAGCCTCTTCGACGAGGAACCAACCACACCAACTCACAAGCCAAATCGCAAGCGTACTCGCAATATGCCTGCGCCTCAGTGTCACTCAAAGGCGCTCCTAGATCACGGCGGCCCTCTCGAGACCTACCGCGGTCCAGAGGTCGACAACTCGTATGTTCATTACGGCTACGAACGTGATATGTACCAGCGCGGTGAATATCACGCTGTGCGCGGACATGTTGCTCCTGCTCCAGCTCCGATCAACAATAACGGTTCTGTGAGTTATACTCCCACATGTGACAGCGATTACGCCGAGAGCGATGGCGAGGACCACCCCCCATCCAAGATCCCAAAGATCAACAAGGATGGCGCGCCTCGCAAGCCACGCCAGCCTCGTCCCAAGCTGCTCAAGTGGAGTGACGACGATTGGAAGAACGTAGTCCTCGGCATCGTCTGGGCCTGTGGTGAGACTGGTGTTCAGATCCCGTTCGACCAGGCTGCCCAGGTTGTCGGCAAGAGCTGTACTGCTGGCGCACTTCAGCAGGCCATCTTAAAGCTGCGCGGCAAACAGATCGACGAGGGCTACCAAATTCCATCGTTGAGGATGGCGTGGACGCGCAAAAACAAACGTTCATCTTCCTTGTCGTCCACTGCTAATACGAACTCCCAGGCCTCTTCCGGTCAGGACCCATTGACTCATTCCCGTCCGTCCTTGATCGTGAAGCTAAAGGTTCTAGTGTCCAACTCTGTCGTCGTCAAGCACTCTCCCGGTTTCAACAAGGCCGGCGCTGATTGTGTCCATGAGGAGTCCAAGGAGAAGGAGGAGGTCCTCAACCATCGTCAAGATCAGAAGTTCGGCGAGCCTGATGGTGATGTCTTCACCTTTGACTCTACCAGCGCTCAGAACAATGATAGTCACGGCGATTTCAAGATCAACGGCTCTGCTGGTTACCACCTCCCGCTCAACGGTAATGTGCCCAAGGGTGGTCAAGGTTTCGGTATCGCCATCGATCGCAAGTCTCCTCCCGATAAGTCCAGTGGTTACGGTCGCGACATTGTCCCCCAGCGTATGCCCACCCGCAACAACGCCCAGGCTTACCTCGAGGCGTATGGCACCAATGGAGACGACCGCGGTGGAGAGATGGATTCCATCGATCTTGGCGATGATTTCGACCATGCCGAGAATGACGAGGCAGCTCTCCTGGGTCACCCTCGCCGTGCGTTCCTCCCCGAGATGTCCCCTTCGGTGGGCCATGCTTACGAGAGTCCTTATAGTTTCTCTTCGCAAGAGGATCCAGTACACCTGCGCTCACCTCTGTTCTTCGCGTCGGGACAGCGAGAAGCCCAAGGTTTCCTTGGCTTGGAGTCTTCTCCACAAGATGGGCCTCCGCTAGATGCCGGTCCCTTCCCTGATCTGTTTCCCCACGACGTTTTCCCGAACTGCGGTTTCACTCAGGGCTCATTCGTCGACGTACCCATGGCCGAGGCTCATGAAGATTATGGTTTCAACGCGGGACATTACAACTAAAAGGACCTCGCCTCGTCACCCGCCTTCACGCAAGTAATGGTTCAGTTTACACCACTGTAAGAACAACTGATGTATCTTATGACCACTTTGCTAACCGTTGTTGCCAGTATGATGGACGGTTTTCTTATGGTATCACGAGGTTCACGGATGGCAATTTCTTCATTTTGGCTGCTGGTTTTGCAGTCTGGATATGGTATGATACGACACGGCACGTTACATGAACACACTGGGTGTTTATCTTCTTCATGGCTGATGTGACTACTTGGCTTGAGACATCTACGTCGGCCTTGCTAGCACTTGGCATAGTCTTCGCACTACATGATTTGATGGATAGGATACCCGCTTCACGGATGAAAAGTTTAGGCACTTAAATAAAGGAAACTTGCATTCCTCTATGATGAACACTAATGATGATGACGATGCTGCTACTGATGACGTGAGTGACCGAGTGAACGACAAGACCATGATCTGATACCTCTTCGTTTACTTGTACAAGCGAACTAGTACCCTCCAACGCAGAGTTCAATGCGCATTCGCAGTACAATAGCCCCCGGTTTCCGGAAATCGTGTGACTCACACGCTGGCTCAAAAAGAAAGGGCACGCGACGCACAAACAAACGCGAAAAGTCACGGTGAACGTGACGCGTCAATAACAATAACAACATGATTTGCTGACGGTGACTGAGGATTTAGGCACCCGCGAAAAACGCTTCCTTACACCGACAAGGAATGGCGCTTTAGGCCGAGATACTCGTTTTGCATGCCCGCTCCGCAGATCGGGTCTGGTATGTATTTAGTGTAGGATGCAAGGTGGTATGGCGAGCTGTTCGTCACGTGTGAATTGAACGCTCCTGGTTACTTGAGTATGGCAAAGAAGAACTACTTCACTGACGCTTGTAGCTGTCTTCGCGATCAAATTATGCTCTATCCTTCTCCCGTCAATTTGCTTCGCGACCGACTTCTCATCTGCTTCACGTCCCAGATCTTCAATTCTACCCACCTGCTGGCTGACATCATCATCATCGTCATCATCATCACAGCATGAACATGGACCTCATCAACAAAATGATTCTTTGTCCTGAACCGACTCTCCCACCGACCGCCGCAAACTACGAGCCTCAGCCCCGACACCAAACGGCTTACTTCTTGTATTTGAAAAGCATCAACCCCAAAAGTACGCAAGAAAGACAACACGAGATACACCCAGACAAAGAAATGGACCCAAGGTTTTGGTCTGGAGGCATGGGCATGGGGGGAGGAATGGGATGGGGTATGGGAGGCGGCATTGGCATGGGAAGAGGTATGGGCATACCAAATATGCAACAGCCGTTTCATCCACCGCAGGGCTTTCAGAACCCGAATTCGCCTCTCTACCAGCAACAACAGCGACAACAAGCACAAGCGCAGCAACAACAGCAAGCTTCTGAGCCCCCAGTAGCAAGCTCACCACCACCGAAAGATTCCAAACACCCCCGCTTCGTCAACCCCTTCAAGGAAGAGAAGCCGCAAGGGTCTTACGGTAAGCGCGAGTACGTACCTGGGCAGGAGGCGATACGTATTCCATTTGGGCATCGAGGTGACGATCCGTGGATTAACTGGCATATGATGCAGGCAAGGAGACAATTGCAAGGGGGGAGGAGAAATTGGTAAGGTAAGAGGGAGAGGTTGGAGAGGTTGGGTAAGCACATGGAGTGGTGGTGATAAAGTAATGCAATAGCGAACAATATATTGTTGGCCACTACCTATCAAGGTGAAGGCATCAACTTCGATGCAACATTACATCCTCCGTTCTTCCCCATCTCTGTGATGCTTTCGCATGGACAACCCCTCATCCGTACATATCCCTCATCTCTTGTTCCTAATTATCCCCACACCCCCTCGTATTTCCGTCGACCCAAGCCTAGTTCTCGATCTTGGGCGCTGGAACAGCCTCATCGTGCTGCACGCTCCTCTTCCTCTCCTGGTTCTGCGCCACCTCGCCCAGACTCATGTTACGTCCACCCTTGGGATCCATCTCGGCGAACTGGACAGCAGGACGGAAATCCTGCGACTTCCACGCTTTGCTGACGATGCCGTAGAGTTCGTCGACTTGCTCGAGAGTGAGGCCCTTGGTTTCGTAGATCATGAACCAACTGTGGGGGGAGGATTGTTAGCGTTCGTTGACGCAGATGTTGGGGGTTGGGTAGTATGGTGTTGAGAGAAAGTGGACTTACACAAAGGCGATGCAAACGAAACAGAATGAGCCCCATACGAAGAAGACTTTAGATTGGAGGTTTGCGTGGTCTTCGTCGACCATGTAGGGGGTTGAGTAGGCGATTGCCCAGTTGAGCAACCTGGAATATGCCGTTAGTCTTTTGCGGTACTGTATTCATTCGCCAGGAACATACCAGTTGGATGCTGTGGTCATGGAAAGACACTTGGCGCGTGCCTTCAGAGGGTACAGCTCGCCTGTTACTACCCAAGCAACGGGACCCCAGGAGCTGGCGAAGAAGAAAATGTAGATGCACACGAAAGCGATGGCGGCACGTTGAGCGGCAAGATCGGATGTACCGGCTACCGTTCCCGTGATGGCGACGATGTATTGGCATACGCACATGCCGATCGCTCCGAGGAGAAGGAGATTGCGTCGACCGAGGCGTTCAACCATGTAAAGACCCGCTAGAAACCCGAAAGTTAGTATTGTTTTCTTTCAACTCGGGCATGAGTAGCTTACGGAATGTGGATGCGACGTTGACGCAGTTGGTGATGACTTGGATGATGAATGGATCCTGGAAGCCGGCGTTTTGGAAGTATTGGGTACCGTAATCTGGAAATATTAGAGGAGAGCCGCAAATGCGCAAAATGGAAAGAACACACAGAAGATAAAGTTTACACCAGTAAGCTGTTGCAGCGACTGCAGTAGGCATCCAGTGATGAGACGCTTGCCCAGCGTTCCCTTGAAGCAGTCGGCATATGTAGATTTTCCTAACGACATCTCGTAAAGATGGTTGGCCTGAACCTCGTTCAGTTCCTCAACGATAGCTGGGTGATCGACCGGTAGACGACGGAGCTTGCCGAGACTGTCGGCAGCCTTCTCGTATCGGTCCATCTTGATGAGATATCTCGGTGTCTCTGGCAAGAAGAAAAGTCTAGCGGAAGGTTAGCAGCTGCCACTGTCTACTTGACATCAACGCGCTTACCCGCCGACAAGAATGATAGACCATAAGAATTGCACCGCGATTGGAATACGGTATGATCCTGAGTCATTGCGGTCCTTAGTCGCATTGTTTACAATGGCCGCGAGCAGCAATCCAATCGTGATAGCAAGCTGGTAAGCTCCTACAATCGTTCCGCGAATCCATTTCGGTGCGGTCTCACTCTGGTACATAGGAACTGTCGTCTTGTCAGTTCTGATACAAGCGAGCCGGATGCCCCACAGAGCCTCATCGATGCGGGGCGAAGGGCGTCAGCCACCATTGACGATCAACCCCACGTTTTTGGGAACAGGAGAACGACAACAAAAGCGCCGACTTACTCAAAGCTGAGATAAGACCAACACCATAACCGGCGAAGAAACGACCGGCAATGAACAATGGTTGCGCTGTCGCGGCCGTCTGCAGAATGACACCGAGGTTGAAGACGACACCGGCAGAAACCATCAGACCGAGGCGTCGGCCAAGTAGATCGCCAAATGGCGCAGCCGTCAAAGCACCGAAGAAGGTACCAGCGGAGAGAATGGACACGATCAGAGAGTCCTGAGCTGCTGTGATACTGAGGTCTGGTTCGGTGGAGAATTCCTTCTTCCAGTAGTCCATGGCAATAATGCCAGAAATGGTACCTGTGTCATATCTAGGGAGATCAGAACGTGCGCTTGATACGGCAATAATGTGTAGGCTCACCCGAAGAGAACACCACCAAAGGCGACGAAGAGACCGATTACAATGGCAGGCCTTGGAAAGTGTTAGATGTATGCATGGTGTTGTGTCCGGCGAAGCTTACCATGCCTTGCCAGCGGTGTCTGGCGGGGGCTTGAGCATGAAACCCATGATGGCAAAGTTCGATTTGACTTGTCAAAGATGGCAATTGATAGTGTCGCGAGACGCGTACTCAGACCGTTCAAGGGAGCGCGCAGTCACTCTTTATCACAGGACGCAAGCTCCGAGTATCTCTCCATCCAGCTCGCGATCCCGACGAACCCTTGTCCCATGCCGCTGCACCTCAGTGCCATATCACAAGCTGCTAATCCCGGTCTGTTTCCCAAGCCAGCCATTCTTGCATGGTTCGCCCCGCATCAGCGTACCACAGTTGGTTATTACCCCGGACTCGGCAGACTGACCTCCCTCACACCACTTACGTCGGAGGCTGATGACAAGACAGCGATCATAAAGCCAGTCACGATCGCCCAGCAGTTGTTCGTCACGGGAGCGAACAAAGACTGTCGATGTGGTGGCTCAGTCAGACCATGTTTACAGGCAAAACATCATGTCAACTCTCCCTTTCCGGTATGAGCGCGTGCGAAGGTAAAACCATCACACAGGAAATGCCGCATATCCTGCAAGCGAGGCGACGCGTTCTTCCAGAAGTTTGCCGCTCTCCAATGATCGCGTCAACCTTGCGGCATGTCAGAAAAAGAATGGGCCGATAATCTCCTTGCCTTGCAACCCCAGGTACTCCAGAGTGGGGACTTTGACGGTACGATTCTCGGAGCGTCTAACCTTGGCAAAAAAATGTTTCCCCCGCGCAACACCAAGATGACCACAACGAAGTTGAGAGTGCTAGACGTCGGATACAGCGGCATGTAATCTCGTCGTCCTTTCACAAGGGGCCATGGAATATGTGCTCGTGACGGTTGTTCTTCTCCTCATGTGTAGATGTTACCGCGCCATCCTTGAGCCAATAAGCCTTCGCTTCCTTTCGCTTCCCTTCGATGTTTGAAAGCTCGGCATTGCTTGGACCGACGCGATGACTCGGGGACGTGTGCTTACGGCGCAGCATCTGCATCACGACGTCGATGATGAGTGGTCGACGGAGCTGTCATGCTTGTCATGTGCCGTGCCGTCACCTCGGTCTTACTGCGACGATGGACGTCTCTCTTCGAGGCTGATTTTCGGGAGTTGTGAGGATGGTTGAGGTTGATGAATTGTGGAGGTACTCCGGGGTAGCTGCGGAGTCTAACGGGCGCACTGGCGGCGCTGGACGTCAGAGGCATCGACGACGCATCGCTAGAAGCCACGAAGACGTTTTTCGCGCATCGAAACTCGATCGCGCAGGTACAAAGTTTGCAATCGAGGCTACAGAAGGTTCAGAACCAGGTCCCGGGATTTGGATCTCAGTAGGCAGACTCATCTTACCAGACCCTGGGAAGGAACCCGCTCATGTGTTTGGCAAGATTGGTTGGGTATCTCACCAGGGTGCGACGATCGCGTTGATCTGCTGAAAACAGTGGTGACATGTCCACCTAACAAGCTTCTTTGACAGTAGCCAATCTTGAGTCAGGCATGACGAGTAATGGCAGACCGCTGCTTGAAATGTAGCGACGCGGACTTTGCAGCCGCCTCATGTAACAGGCAGGAGCTGCGACGCACTTGAGCTTGTTGTCAAGATTTTGAGAGAGTGACGCGATGTAGCCTTGACCAACAAGATACATAAAAAAACACTCATCGATGCGAAAGCCAATTCAGTGACAACAAAACTCTTCTGAGCATACATTGGTATCTAGTGAGAGGAGCCCAGACTCCTGCTTTTTGTGCTTCCTGCCTTCCAAATAACAACACACTATGCCTTGTTCTTATCACCACTCTTTCTCCGCGCCTTCTTAGACTCAACCTTGGTCTCTTTCGCGCTGACGCCGTTAGGAGTAGACGCGACTTCAATACCGCCGCCCTTTTTCTCTTTCCTGCTCGCCTTTTCCTTGGCACTCACGTCGCCGTTCTTGACCTTTGCTATCTCCTTGGGCGACTCCTTGGTTGCCTCCTTAGCGGTCTTCTTGGGCGACTCCTTAGCGATCTCCTTAGCGGTCTCTTTGACAGTGCCATTTGCAGCCTTCTCGCCCTTTGGCACGACAGCCCTAGGATCCTTGCCCTTCCTGCGCATTGTCTTGACCTTTGCCTTCTCCATGTACTTCTCGTCCTCGTCCTCATCGAAGCCACCAAAGTCTGATTCATCGTCGCTGTCCGCTTCGATGGGCCGGCGGTCGACTATCTCAAGTCCCGTGGCTGGAGCGTTGGGGTTGGCGGTATTCTTCGCCTTTGCGATTGAGGATTCGTTGACACCGACAGCGTTGGGCGGGGTAGGCGCGATCTTCTTGAACTTGGCAACGAAGAAACCGTCGACGTTGTATGTGTGGGGGTAGTATCTCCTTGTCATCTTCATCGAGGGGTGGAAGGCCTTGCCGCCAATGTTGGTGAATCCTTCCTTACCAAAGGTGAGACCGGTCTCTACGAGCTTGACGTTCGGTCGCTTGTTCAATGCGTACTGAACGACTTGCTCGTTCTCTTCGAGAGTTACTGAACAGGTACTGTAGACGATGTATCCTCCGGTCTTCGAGTGATGATTGACGGAGTCGATAGCGGCGAGCAACAGCTGCTTCTGGAGATGGGGTAGCTTCATGAAGTCGGCTTCGGTCTTGTTGGTCTTGACACTAGCATCCTTGGCGATGACACCGGTACCAGAGCATGGGGCGTCGAGAAGTACACGGTCGAAACCACCCATGACCCTAGGGAACTCAAGGGCTGAGTAGTGGGAGACGATGACGTTCCTCGCGCCTAGACGATGGATGTTTCCTATCAGACCCTTGGCACGATCCTTGTTGGCATCGTTGGCAAAGATGCATCCCGTGTTCTTCATCAAAGCTGCCAAATGTGTTGTTTTTCCACCAGGAGCAGCAGCCATATCTAGCACGCGCTCGTTTTCTTGGGGTGCCAAAGCCATAACGGGCAAGAACGAAGAAGCGGCCTGAAGAATGTAGTGTCCAGCGAGGTATTCCTGTGGAGGGTCAGTAATGGTTCGAAACATTCATTGTATGTAAGGCTTACAGGTGTGGCTCCGAGAGGCACTTGCGCATCGAAAATCTGCAGACCGACTTTAGACCACTTTCCAACAGGCTCAAGTTGTACACCACGGTTGATCAAGCTTTGCGCAAGTTCTCTTCGATGTGTTCGGAGGGTGTTTGTTCGGATAACGACTGGTCTTGGGGTCTCGTTGGCTTCGAAGAAGGCTTGCGCTTCGCGGGGCGGGAAGAGGTTCAATAGCTTGTCTGCTAAGAATTCGGAGTAGCCTGTCAATAATATTAGTATGCGCACAAGTTGAGCTTTCATGAATCATGAGCGTACCGTAGTAAGCGCAGATGTCCTTCAAAAGCGACGCTCTGTACTCCGCCCTACTCCGACCCTCCTCAGCAAGGTTCTTGAAGTCGTCCAGTACACGGATAGTGTCCGTAAGCCTTGTGCGCAATAGCTGGATGTTCTGGTTGACGAGATTTGTGATCGGCCTGCCATCCTCGTCCTCATCCTCCAGAATCTTAGGTCTCTCCGCAACGATGTTCGTTTGCATGTTGCTCTCCTCCAACTCGGCTTGCGCTTCCGCATCCTCAATCGCCTTCTGCATGTCTAATCGTGTAGACAGACCAGCAATGTTGGCGGCTGTGAGCTTCTCCTCGGCGTCCTCCTCGTCATCGTCGTCCGACCACATGGCTGCGCCTCTCCTGATATCGTCATCCGAATCTACAACGTCGGATCCGAAGTCGTCGTCGTCCATGTCCTCATCGTCTTCGTCTTCGGATGCGCTACCAAGCGCATCAAGTCCGGTAACGTTGATGTTCTCCAGATCGGAGTCCTCAATGTCTGACATGTCGTCCTCATCGTCCGAAGGTGGTAGAGGCGCCGACTTCTTTGCCTTTGCTTTGGCGCCGTTCACGACAGCAGCAGCCGTCTTAAGAGGCTGCTTCACAGGCTTGACGGGCTTTCCAGCTACCCTCGTCTTGGGCGTCGCCTTAGCCTTAGCCTCCTTAGCTTCTCTTGCAGCCGTCCTGCTCCTCTTCTTGCGCTCTGGGTTCACAGCTTCGGGCGCATCTTTTCGCTTCCTGGTAACTAGCGATTCATCGAGGACATCGGGCATGCCCTGCTTCTTCATACGGCGACCTTGACCCATGGCGACGATTTTACCCCGCAGGTGTTTGGTGGGTGGTAAAACAAAAAGGTCGAATTATTGAGAGATGGCAGCGTGAACCAGCAGCGCGAACACCGAACTTTCGCTAGCACTTTGGAACTTTTTCCACGCTAGCGGACTTCCTTTGGGCTTAGCGCATTATGTGCCCTGGTCGAGCTGCTGCGGTCCACTGTCCCGCAACACCAACAGCGTCATCGCACTGGAGCTATACACATCTTCGACCAGCGCGCAAACCTACCATACCGAACCTCTATTCGACATCGCATTCAGCAAGCCTCCAACAATCCATCATGTCAGAACTCGCATTCTGCAAATCATTCCTCAGCGCCTTAGACGCCCGCCCGCCCAAGCTCTCCAGCGATCACATTGCAGACGCACGCCAATATCCCGCACAAGGCGCAGTAAGTCTTCGCAGCCCATCTTATACACGTTCCCTATACATGTGCGCAATTATCAGAAACTGACCACCCCGCCAGTACACCCTCCCCCGCCTCCCACACCCACCCCACCCGCAGCGACCAAACCCCAAACCCACCACCAGCGACGATGCCTCCACACCATCTTCCTCTTCAATCTCCGTGACGCTCAAACCCATGAAGCCGACCACACCTACCATCCCACTCAGCTCAATCGACCCATCGAAAACCTCCGTATACGACCTCAAGCAACAGTACGCGACACAAGCCTCGTTATCAGCAGCCAAGATAAAGATTCTGTACAAGAAGAAGCCAGTTACGGATTCAAAGACACTGTTGGAAGTCATAGGCACAGATGCGGGCAGTGAAGTCGAGTTTGGGGTTATGGTCATGGCTGGCGCTGCTGTTGGTGGGGCTGCGAGCCCGGCGTCGGCAGGGACACCGGTGACGAGTCCGCCTGCTATTGCGCCGCCGACGGAGAGCGAGAAGGGGCTCGCTAGTGCGGGAGAGACATCTGCGGGCACAGCGACTGCGGCTGCAGGTGCGCCACTTGGTAGTGGAAAGGAGGTTGTTGCGACAGACGAGTTTTGGGGCGATCTCAAAAACTTTGTTCTTCAGAGGACCAAGGATGCGGATGAGAGTGAGAGGTTACTAGGCGTGTTCAGGGGAGCGTGGGAACAGAACAAGTAGTGATCTGGCATAGCTGCTAGAGACAACGGATTGCACTCGCAGATATTAAGGAACACTACGACAAGAAACACCGCACGTCACATAATGCAAGCGTCCAACACAGAGAGCTGTCCATCGACGACAATTTGACCAGTTTAGCCTATCAAAAGCATACCAAGCCTGATAATGCAAGTTACACCCGGCACTATCACTGCCCACATATCGCATGTTTCGTCTGTAATCATCATGCGCAAAAGCTCGCTATGCCATGACCGCTGCCAATCAACCGCTCGAATCGTTTTCATTTCATGTCATTACCAACCGCAGTCGTTCCTTCCTCCATACTAACAGGTGCGCGAAATCGACAGGTCGGAAGGGAAGATGGTGGGAGAGGCGCTTAGCGGCCCTTGGAGACACGGCTCTTGATGCTCTCGAACTCGATGTCGTCGGCATCGTTGGCTTGGATATCGGCGGCGAGACCGTTGAGGGCGCGCTTGATGGCTTCCTTGGAGGATGAGTACATCATGCGGGGCTGTCAATCGTTAGCTAACCTTTCCCTATCAATTCACTTCTCGTTGTTGTGACGTACGTATTGCGCGGCATCATCTGGCGTCCAGCTGATAAAAGTGATCTTGCTCCTGGAGCCCTCTCCGCTGTCGAGCTCGTACTCGACGTCGAACACGGCGTAGCGACCGCCAATGCCCTCCTTGCCCTTGCGGTCCTTGCTCTTGGCGTTGAGCAGCTTCTCGCGGAAGACGTCGAAGTTGGCCTCCTTGGAAGTCTCCTCGACGACAATCTCTTTCCAGTCGTCGCTGATCTTGTAGATAATCCATTTGATGTCCTTGCCAAGCTTGAGCTCGTTGAAGGTGCTGATGCACTCGGGCGAGACGGAGACACTGCGTCGCGGTTAGTACGTGCGGAGGCGATGTGGTGCGCGAGACGGGTGTCGGGGTGGTAGAGGTAGGGGGAGCTATGCGGGCGCGGGCGTCGGGCAGCGACAGCTGTTGATGCCCTGTTGTTTGTTTTGCAGTACGTACCCGGATTGAGCCTGTACTCGTCGTTAGTTTGAGTTCCCTAATATCGCATCTCGAATATGCTCACCATAATGTCGGTTGTGTAGAGTAGAGGATGCTAGAGGGAGATCGAGGCACCGGGTAGCTTTATCAGTACTGCGGTTGCCTGTCAGCGTCGTCGTCATCGTTGCGATTGCCGCGTGCGCAAATGCAGCAGTGAAGGAATGGCAGCCTGTTTGGTAATGGAGGGGTGGCAGCTTACGTCAATAGAGAAAACTGATCTTGGTGGATAGTTGATGTGTTTGCGGGAGAAAAGGCGGAGGTGAGGAGTGGTGTTGCTGAGGCTGAGCGAGGGTAGTGGGGTGGTTTTAGTGGGGTTTTCTTCAAGCCCTGGAGCACGGCACGATACCAGACACGTTACAAGGTTGCCGCCACAGCAACCGACGCGGTCACTTATGCTGTAGAGCATCGACCAATCCTGTGCCTTGCAGCATTCACAACTCAAGCATATGTTGTGCATCTTGAAAACTCGTTTGAACTTGTTCATATTTCCTTCGTCGCTTTATCTTGTCCTTCCCAGGAGATTCTTACACAATATCGTACAATAAAAACTAAATATCCAACAATGCTGCGCTTTTGAGAAATCATGAGTGAAGAGCGGAGACCAACCTAATATCGTGTACATAAATCATCGCTGGGAAAGGCATAAGACTAAAGTCGTTATAACAGAATGGGGGTATAAGAAGAAGAAAACAGACGGCTAGACTTCACTTGTTTAGAAGCCCATTCCGCCCATGCCTCCCATACCACCCATACCGCCAGGCATGCCGCCTGGAGGACCGGACTTCTCCTCGGGTGCCTCGACGATAGCGACCTCAGTAGTTCCGAGGAGTGAAGCAACACCGCTGGCGTCAACGAGAGCGGTGCGGACAACCTTGAAGGGATCAAGGATACCAGCAGCAATCATGTCAACGTACTCGCCCTTGGCGCTGTTGAAACCCTTGTTGAAGTCACCCTTGTACTCGTCAATGAGCTTGCCAACGATAACGGAGCCCTCGGCGCCAGCATTCTCGACGATCTTGCGGGCGGGGTGGGTGATGGCGTTCTTGACGATGGTGATACCGAGCTGCTGGTCGAAGTTGGCAGCCTTGACGTTACCGAGAGCGTTGGCGGAGGCCTTGAGGAGACCAGTACCACCACCGGGCAGGATACCTTCCTCAACGGCGGCACGGGTAGCGTTCAGAGCATCGACAATGCGGTCCTTCTTCTCACCGACCTCAACCTCGGAAGAGCCACCGACCTTGATGACGGCAACACCACCAGAGAGCTTGGCCAGGCGCTCCTGGAGCTTCTCCTTCTCGTACTCGGAAGTGGTAGCGTCATTGATGACGCCACGGATCTGCTCACAGCGCTGGGAAACCTGGTCCTTGCTGCCCTCGCCGTTAAGGATGACGGTGTCCTCCTTGGTGATGGTGATAGATCCGGTGGAACCGAGCATGTCGGGGGTAGCCTTCTCGAGCTTGATGTCGAGGTCGTCGCTGAAGACAGTTCCGTTGGTCAGGACAGCGAGATCGCCAAGGATGGACTTGCGGTTGTCACCGAAGCCGGGAGCCTTGACAGCAGCAACCTGAAGCTGACCACGGAGCTTGTTGAGAATGCAGACGGCCAGCGCCTCACCGTCAATGTCCTCAGCAATGATGACAAGGGGACGGCGGAGCTGCTGGGAGGCCTCGAGCGCGGGGACGATGTCCTGAACGGCGGAGATCTTCTTCTCGGAGAGGAGGATGAGAGGCTTCTCGAACTCGACCTTGGCGGTCTTGGTGTCGGTGATGAAGTAGGGGGAGATGTATCCACGGTCGAACTTCATACCCTCAGTAACCTCAAGCTCATCCTCAGTGGTCTTGCCCTCCTTGACAGTGATAACACCCTCCTTTCCGACCTTCTCCATAGCGTTGGACAGAAGCTTGCCAATGTGTGTGTCGCCGTTGGCAGAGATGGTGGCAACCTGCGCAATCTCCTCGCTGGTGGTGATATCCCGCTTGTTCGCCCTGAGGTACTCAACGACAGCCTCGACAGCGGCCTGGGTACCCCGCCTCAGGTCCATGGGGTTGCATCCGGCGGCAACGTTCTTAACGGTCTCGGAGAAGATGGCGCGGGCAAGGACGGTGGCAGTGGTGGTACCGTCACCGGCGGCCTCGTTGGTCTTGGAGGCGACGTCCTGGAGCAGGCGGGCTCCGAGGTTCTCGAACTTGTCTTGGAGGGTAATAGCCTTTGCGACTGTTACACCATCTAGAATGATGTCAGCGGGCGATGTCAAAGATGGTGGCGGAACTCGTGCATACCCTTGGTGATCTTGGGGGAGCCGTAGCTCGACTCAATCAATACATTGCGACCCTTGGGACCCAGTGTTGTTGATACAGCCTTTGCAAGTGTGTCGACACCCTTCAATAGTCCTGCTCGTGCCTCGACGCCGAACTTGAGCTCCTGCAAATTTATTAGTTCTTTTGTCAGATGGTGTAAATATGCAATTGCCATACCTTGTGCGCAAACCTCTGCTGCTGGAGGTTGTAGCTGGTGGACCGGAGCTTAGAGCTCGAGTTGAGGGCCGAAGTCCGCGCCCGCGATGCGAAAGCTCTTTGCATTATGACGGAATTGGAATGTGTGAGTAGAGAAAAAGGAATCTCAAATGTTGCTCCTAGACTCCAGCTTTATGCAAGATAACCAGGAATAGTGTGGGTGAAGAGGAGGATGCGGAGAAGAGTGGTCGCAGATGTTCGATGCCTCTAAAAATTTGGGTCGCTCGACGATTGGAATCATCGAGAAGGCGCTATGACCACATCCGCGAGCTAGCCTCGGCTTTCGCTCCATAACTCCATCGCCAGCCTCACGTTTCACGTTTGTCAGCGCCTGAGATTTCTACTGGACGACTGTAGGTACACCAAGGTTTTGTGTAGAACTCAATTGTCAAGGATGAGGGGTGTGTGCATTGACTCTGCTAGAACAGAACCATCTGGGTTAGCTAGGTGCCTACGCCTTCTGGCTGACCATCAACATATCACCATCGGTGCGCTTGAGGCCAACACCGAACATCGAAAATATTTCCCGCCGCTCGGCACTAAGGCTTACCGCCCCATGCACCTTCTGGACCACCTCGATACATCTCCAAACATGCAGGTGCTCTTCGTCAAGCTGCCAGATTGTTCCCCTCGATCCACTGCTCAACTCTCTTAGCATCTTCGTATCCCTGGCCTGCCGAATTTCCATCGTCGCTTTCGGAGCTTCATCTTCAAGGGCTCTCTCTTTTGCGGCCTTGAACTCTTTCTTACTCTTCCCTGCTTTCAATATTTGCAAAGCAAGGCCCTTCTCTGCGTAGGCGGCCGTAGCTTGGGCCTTCACCGGGCCTTTCCAGAACTCGACTTGCGGGTTGTCGTTTTCGTGTAGCAAGTGGTAGTATATTGGCTCTTCACCTTCGTCACTCAACAGGTGTAGAGGCTTGAATATCGATACGTTAGCAGGGGGCCAGCGTGTGTCGCCGTATGGGCACTGATTCTTCTCTTCTGCCGTCAGGGTCTTCTGACTTGCAGTACCGCCGTTGCCCCCTCCGCCTGTACTGGATACTGGAGGCGCAAGTCGAGTTGGATCCATATGTTGTGAGACCCGCGCAAGTGTAGGCGTGAACGCTGACTCAGGCGCAGGCAATTATTGTCGTTGTAAACGGTCCTCGCGAAGTTGCGAGCTTACTGTTGAGCAGGGTTTGGAGCTGCGCGATTCTCTCGCCCGTAACTCTTGAGTGGATCTCCTTGTGGCGTGTTCTGCGGCATGGTAGCTTCCTAGAGACTGTTCAGGAGAGCGGGTTGAGTGACGCTGTTGCTTTGCGTTCGCCGTTACGCATAATATCTTCACAACTACACGATTGTCACGTCAGCGCGTGTGCTACAATGAGAAGTGACATTTCACAGGTGTGGATTGCCGTACTGTCTAGGAACGTAGACCGGGGCGTCTTCGAGCAGCATCCTGCTGACAGGACGATGCGGCTCTGCCCGATCATCAAGACCTCGAACGATCATCTGCAAAGAGTACGCATGCAGTGTGATGCACATGCATATGGGGTGACTAAAGCGGCTGACCAATGGCATAGTCGTGCGATACACCAGGCAAAGCAGGCAAAAGAAGGCAAGCTGGGCTGCTCGCCCCAGACTCTCAGGTGCGTAGCTGCCTAGCAGCACTGCAATCATATCGACACGTAAAGCTCCACGATTTGCCGACTTTTGAAGAACCCGCATCTGTAATGCAGGACATACTTTGATGCCCACTTCGATGTGACGACCCGCATTTCCCGGATCTGTTCGAGATGGAGTCATAAGGCTGAGGCCGCTCATATAGAAACGTATATAGTTTTGTCCTCAGCCTTCTGCGCCTGATCTAGGAAAAGCAGTGCAGGAGACTCATTTCGACAATAGTCAGCCTACCATCTGACTTTCAAGCAACATAACCTACACTGCGGGCATTACGTGCCCATTGCGCCTGGCTCAATCACAGCTTTCATCCGCCTGCATGGCGCCCCATGGCCGTCGACCAGCCGATCCAGCATTAGGGCAGGCGCGTGAAGCTCAGCGCAGACCGACTCTCCCGTCTGCGAAAAAAGGCGAACGCGTGCAAGACACATACGCAGTATACGACGAGTTCCCATGGACGAAAATCGAAGAGTTTCTTAGGAGCAAATGGCCTGACTGGGAATTTAAGCCGAAGCGGGTATGTTGCGCCTTTATCTTCTAGAATTCAAATTTGACCAGTTGCGCAGTTCAACGACAAATGGGTCTTTGAAGTACCAGAGAAGTTGACAGATGTGAGTGTATCTTGCTTTTGCCTCGTGTGCGTTCGGAACGTGGCTGAGTCGTTCTAGGGCGATCGAAGGGAGCTGAGGAACAGGAGAGATGCGCCAAAGGTCACGAGGCGACCCTCGGTTTCTCCAGAACCAGAGGAGGGGCAAAATTAAGCCTCATAAGTGCCAATGAAGGATGAAATATAGTCGTCAGCAATACACAGTTTCTGCGGTCGTATCTAGACCCTCGTGCCATTTTCCGTTTCAAGGTTCCCGGTGAGTGATGGTGGGGACCCCTGACGTAGCTACCGCTTCGCGCCTCCTGAAACCACACAGCCGCTTCCAAATCAGCCAGTGTCAGCCTTCCGAGGCTTTGTTCTACCCATTCGAACTCCATTGATATGTTATATCTACTGCATTCCTTCGCACTAAGCGATAGCCGTTCGATATGCGCTAGCTCAAACTTTCGAGATGACATGCCAAATACCCGTTGAGCTGCAGAATTCCTACCTCAACAGCAGCAACTATCCAGCAAACCTCATCCCTACTGAACTTTTCTCAAGCAAATCGAAGCTTGTCTCGTACAAAAAGCGTCTCGATGGGGTCGAGGCTGAATTCTGTCTCCTGGACCACCAGGTTGGCAGGCTCTTCGAAATACCTGTGATCGATATCGGCACGGTTCATAAAGAAGGTAACATCACAACTCAGCTATTATATAACGATTACTAATTCACCCAGTACGCGGTAAAATATACGTGCATTCACACTCGAAAGTCATGGAATGGCTTGCTGTAGAGGTCGTACAAGACGCAAAAGACCCCAACGTACAGCATGTGCTCGCTCGAAAGAGAGATCCAAGATGCCGATTCATGTATGTTCCTGTAGGCTCCTGATACATTCATAATGCTAACGTTTCAGCTACTTCCATGGTGAGCACTCACGCGCGCAGTTGAACATAACCCGAGAAAGCCTCTGCCATATCCTGTCCTACCATCAAATCATGCCCGCATATTTAGACTTCATGCTGGTTTTCGGTGGGCAAAGCGAAGCCAAAGACCCTCGTTTCAGTGGGTTTCGTGAGCAAATACGTCTCAAAACCCCAAACAATGGGCACTCAGCACCCGAGTTAGGCCGGAGTGGCAAACATTACCAGCTCTGCTACAACTTGAAAGGCGTACAATTCAAGAAGGAGAGTAACGAGGACCTAAAACTTGATGAGTGGTCAATTAGAGATGCTGCTATCTACCACAGATTCGACGTAGAATATGGGACGACACTGTGGATTGTCACCAAGGGCGGCAAAGACTTACGCGACCGTTATGAGGAACTTACTAGGCCAGCTGGTCGGCCAGGTCACAAGATGTACGATGACGCAACATCATGTTTCAAGTCAGCCCTTGTGACACATTTGCTTTACTGTCAGTGGTCGACAGAGGACTGGAGATGGTACATTGTCTGGCTTGAAAGAGTGGTAGAGCAAGAGGTGAGTGCGTCCATTGGTACCTATGTTCACGCTGACATCACATCTTACAGAGTAGGATGGCCGTTGATGGGCTCCGTGGCCCTGGCTATGCATATCGACAATACGAAGCATGGGATATTCAAGATCTGCAATATTGGCAAGACAAAGCCAATGAAGCGGTCATGGTCTTAGAGGCCAACGCCAAGATCTTGACAACTCTACGCAAGTTCTACTCGAACCTGATGGCGAACAGGAATTTTCCTGATGTGTTGAAAACATCCTGTGAAGACCACTTATCCGCCTTCTTTTCGCAGCTGGACGAAATCACTGCAGAGTTTGACATGCAACTAGCCCGAGCAAAGCTTCTCGTGAATATTATCAGCGACAGGAAGCAGCTGGTATTGCAGCATCTACAAAGCCAAGTCTCGGATCGAACAGAACAGCTCAACAAGAACCTCGAGAGAGAAACTGTCGTCATGCGTATCATCACGATCTTGACCTTGATTTACCTTCCGGCCACTTTTGTCTCAGTAAGTCCACGATCTTTTTTCTAGAGCTAGCTCTAACAGATATCAGACGTTCTTCAGCACAGATATCATCAAGTTCCAAGACCAGAACCAGAACTCTGCTAACTACGACAACGGCTCGTTCTCCAACCTCGCCCTTGAGCGATGGCTTCAGGTTACGATACCGCTGACTGCTCTAACGCTCTTCGGTGCATGGTCTACGTATCGCTTCTACAGTATATCGGCAAGAGATCTGACTTTTTTCGAGCGTTTGAAACGCGCGATGTTGTATACGGCACCCCCATCCTCAGAAGCAGATTCATATGAGCAAATGCCTCCAAATCATGGCCCCAATAACCCAAACGCAACCACTGAGGTCCCAGCAAAGCGATTGGGGGCCTCCATGTCTCGTTGGACTTCAAACGTACAGAAGTTCAGGAAGAGCCATACTGTCCTCCCTCGATATGAAGGTAGTTCAGCCAAAGCTGGTTGACTGGTGTCGATGCGAAGCTTTAGGTAACACGACCTTGAGGAATTGCGGTATCTTCTTGTGTGGCAGCCTTCGACATAAGCCCACAGATTGAGAACGTGGGCCATCTCTCATAGTTCTGCGCATTATGTGTCCGACTGCAGTGTCATAAGCTGACGCTCGGTTGCGGCAGTGGGCGGGTCGAGGTACACACGGAAGGTGGGTAGGTAGGGCTTAGCGAACTGGCGTTCATCGCTGCCCAGGTGCGGCAGGCCTCCAACATCAAGAACTTTAATTCCACATCGCATCCGTACTATCGAGAATAATTCAAGCCATTGCATATCACAATGTGACCTTCGCTACTCACCGCTGGATGGTCGAACTTACAGCCAATGCAATAATGTGCAAGCAGCTGAGCAGAAATCAGCCTTGTTGCCTCGCTGCAGCCACAATCGTCCTTCATGCCTCCATTGGCGCAACCTCAACCTGGCCCTGCCCTCGGCTGCACGAGGCTGAGAATACTCGATTGTGGTTAATATGAGCCCCGCTCGCGCGACTGAGGCTCTGCCATCCTCACTTACTGCTTCCCGTCTCGTCTCATCTTGTCACGTCTTATTCCTTCTAGCCTCCACTGCGCGCATGCCTTGCGCAATCCACCTGAGCTCCACTCCCAAGATCGTTGGGTACAAAAGCGATAACACCTAGCGCCGTTTCGGTGTCGTGTCATGTATACTCATCCATAGGGCCTTCACAGCCTGATGCTTGGTTGGAACCACGTCACGATGTCAGGCGCATACCAGCAACAGCATGCCTCTCTACCCATCATAGATGAGTTCAGAGGTTTGTTAGAGTCACAATGGACACGCGAAGTCGCGTGTCACAACGAGTGCGGTTCGGATAAGTCTTGCCGCTGCCAGCGCAAGGTTGTACACGTTCACGCCCTCGAAGCATGGTGGAAGAAGCAAGCCTCCGAAAGCCCTAAATACACGAATTTACAGCGCTTTGTCCACGACATGCCACTACTGCCTCGTCGGAGCCTTCCAGTCAGGTCTACAAAGATAGATGGTGCTGGACAGTCCTGTCTGCGCGTCTTCAGCCTGCTTGTCAGACAAGGACGCGAGCACTTCATCGACTGTTTCTACGAGGCGAATATGTACGATCACTACATCGACCGAAATGAGAACTATCAGAGACTTCACGAACAGCTATCTGGCGTCGCACGACCAGAAGAAGTAGATGCCATCATCGAAGATTTCCACAAGGAGAAATGGGAATACTGTCCCTTAACTTTGACTTTGGACATGGACACGAATCTGCAAGGCACTAAGGTCATTCCTCCCTTCTGTCTGAAGATCAGGCTTCCGGACAAAGGAGGCACTGCGTCAATATACTGGGTGGCCATACAGAGAGACCTTGTATCCGATAGCGCGCTCGCATTTGCCTTAAAAGACTCACTCTACATTGACAACATATATGGAGAGGTAAGCTACGCATGTATGTACCCATGGAACATACTGACAATTCTCAGTGCTACCAGATGGTGTTGAAGTCTTACTGCGGTAATAAAAAGCAAGATTTCGAAATGGAGAAGGAAGCATTTTCCGGCTTACAGTCGAACGTACAAGCTCCTATACTACGGTGTCTGGGCGCTTACACCCATGATCATGGTGAGGGCAAGGAACTGGGCAAGACATACAACCTGTTGCTGGAGTACGGCGAGAACGATTTGTACCAAGCATGGGCAGACGAAACCAACGTTCCGCCCGTGCAGGCCCAGGAGATTCTTCAAAGCTGGAATTCGCTCTTCGAAGTCGCCAGCGCCATCCGCCATCTTCATAATCTGGAATTTCCACGGGGCAAGGGACAAACTTGGAAGTTCCACGGGTATGTATACATGATTGTCAGGAATTTTCACCGCTGACGTACACAAGTTGGCACGCAGATATCAAGCCAGACAACATCCTTAGCGTCCGCGGACATTTGAAGCTGGCTGACTTCGGCTTTTCAAGCTTTGCGCCTGTAGTTGAGGGCCACGACGGCTCAGAACAAACGGAATTGATACGAGGCTATACAAACACTTATGGTAAGTCCAAGTAGTGGCAGGGGTATGGAATGTAACGCTCACTCCTTGTAGGCGCACCTGAAGTGACCCGCATGGAGCAACCGGATGGCACATTGTCCGGGGTTTCACAATCCATCGACGCCTGGTCTTTTGGATGTGTCTTATCATTAGCTGCGACCTGGACAGTGCTAGGATTCCAAGGCATCCGCCAATACGAACGTCTCCGACGACTATCATCAGCAAACAACATGAACGGTCTTGCACTAGATCGATTTCACGATGGTTATGATGTTTTACCGGAGATAGGAAAGTGGCACAATTATCTCCGTGGGCATCTTCGCGCCTCCGATACCACCACAGAACTGGTGTTGGACTTGACAGAAAGTAAGTTGCTACGAGGAGACGCAGCAGCACGATGCAATTTGGGCGAGCTCTGCAAGAAGCTGCGAGAATTGAGTGGTTATGCCGAATTCAAGATCAAAGGCCTCGAAAAGGTCTCAAAAGACACGGACCCTGCAGTCATGAAGGCCCTCTCTAGTATAGAGAACGAAGCTCAACTCCAGATTTCGTCTGAACCAAGGGCCAACCTCCTGCAACAGCCACTTTTACAGGTCAATCCTCGGGAGCGGGCTTCCATGCAGATAAACAAGAAAAGTTTGATCAAAAACAAACCTCTTGGTCAGACGGCGCATCGCAAAGAGATTCTTGAGAAGAAACTCGAGGCCTGCTATGGCATCAAGTTAGATGATGAGCCGCCGCTTGCGGAGGGCAACCATAACGGTGCTGTCACACACAGTCCGACTGAATCAACTTTCTCAAAGGAACTGGAAATCACTGTTCGCAAGATCAAGCCCAGAAATCCCCAGCTTCGGACCGACCAAGGTCACGCAGACACAGACCCCCAGATACCAAATGGCACCCATACATACACGACGAGCAAACATCCTGCGACGCCACCACCGTCTTGTAGGCGCCAAAATAAGACTTCTGGCCATGGTATTGGCCATTACGAAGAAGAAGCTTTCACGTCGTACCCGCCTGGCAATCCAGTCGATATCGGTTCACATGCCAGCTCCAACTTGGGAAGACCCACTCTACAGATTTTGACACCAGAATCGCCTTCCGCGAAGTACTCCGCCAGATTCACACAGCCCAAAGGTGCTTTAAATCAGCTTTCTGCATCTGCAGATAGGGAATACATGATGCATGATTCCGACATCATGGCTGGCATGGCTGGAAAAGAGGTGTACACGACAAAGTCCCCTTCACGCACACCCATCCATGTCGGCATTGTAGGCGACGCCGAAATCAAGAATGTGCCCTTCATGCGCGATTCTATGAATCGCCAGGTTTACCAGGAGAAATCTTCTGTCATGTTTGATACGAGTCCTACAAGCCCCTCCTTTGACGATAGACAAGTAGATGAGTCGAACGTTGGCGCCTCCAGTTTTACTCAGGCAGTCGGAAACTCTCGCCCTTCAATAATCGTTTCACGAACGGGAGATACTCAGTTGTCACAGTATGAATCAGCGGCACCCAATTCGACCACTCACGTTTCCGACAAGCAAGCTCTGTACATCCCCACGTCTCCAACATTTCACGATGGCTCTCTGCTGCCACTTCCGCAGTCTGCCCTAATTTTACCCTACGATATCTGTCTGAAACGAAAGGGTATGGATGCGCAGGTCTCAAAGGGGATTGCGAAAAGCATTGCAAAAGTGAAGGGTAAATTTGGCTTTGAGACTAGAATGCGCGATGCCAGCCTGGCTGAAACCTTCAGTGACCCACGTGAGCTTGTAAGCGAACTCTAAGGCTTTTGTTTACCCAGCTAACATGTTGCAGGTCATTGTTGTTGACAACGGGTGGACCATGTACAGGCACTGGCCGATCGCGACGTTCGTCGCGCAAACGCTCGCCATGAACGCCGCTGGCCTAGATAAGGATGGCTTCGACCTCAAGTTCACGGTTGATGGTCACACCCATAATAAGAGGTGCCTAAAAGGAGATTCTGGTCGGAGAAGGCTCAAGAGAGCGTTGAAGGCAGCGTGGCCAGAACAAAAACCGAACAGTAATGCCACTACAGACATGGCGAAGGTTTTCAGAAACATCCTGAAGGAATGGGATCACGTCGGACAACCAGCCACAACACTTCTCGTCTTGACTGACGGCGTCTGGTCAAAGGAAAATACCGATATCTTCAACAAAATCATCCTCGATATTGCGCGGCTGGACCAACGAAAAGGCGGCAACCGGCACTTCAGCATCCAGTTCATCCGATTTGGCGATGAAGCTCCCGAAAAGGGTCGCCTAGAGTGGTTAGACGACCATTTATGCGCCGACAATAACATGAGGGACATCATCGATCACTGCTCGTGGCGAGCCGAAGTTGACAAAATGTTCACGGGTAGCATTGAGGTTTATGCCGACAACCACAACTTTGTTGATCCACCCATGTTGTACGACTACGATGATCTCGTTGGTCTGTTCAACACCTTCAACAAAGGAGTCGACGCCCTGCTTTCACCAACCGGTAACCCATCTCAAACGCCGTCGCGAGCATCGAATCGGTCCTCTTTTTCGTCGCACGTAGGATCACTTGCAGACGCCAGGACCTAAAGACGTTGATGGAAAATGTTTTACGTGCGAGTCGGATGCACTTTTATCTTCTCCACACGCCTGCAACGAGCCGACATGCTCATGCATCATGGTTCTTTCCATCATTTTCGCATGCGCTACGACGTTCACGCCTGTATACTATTCATTGTACATACTCTTTCTTACCTTCTGGACTTGGGCATATCGCCGTTGGAGCATTATACCCATGGGATTGGCATCCAGCATTTGATTTTCTTCTCTTATCGCATGGTGCATGGATCACAGCGTCATCCTCATCTTATCCTTGAGAGGAGCCCGCATACCTAATTAGACTATGCATTTGTCTATCGAGAATGACACTGGAGGGTCGCTTGAACACACGTAATGCAATACATCTCCCGTCTGTCTTGGTGCGCGTCCTTTTTCTCCTACAGATGAGAGACATAACCGAACTTCTTCCTCTGTCGGCGTGATGAGAACCAGGTTCATATAGGAAATCATTTGTTCGACTGGCCACCGAGGGGAAGACTCCATGTCAATTCAGAGCCGGCTTATGACGAAATGGTGCACACGCGAGACAGGCCAATAAGTGCTTGAAAGTGTGTCGTCGGACTTATTTATTTACACGATGATCGTACATACAAAGGGTACAATACCGCCATCACCGAACGAGGACCTCACCGATGCACATATCTAAAGCCGATCCTCTTCCTCAGCGCCGCACGCTCAGACAGCTGCTCCGCAACAAGGCGAACACTAGGCTTCTCGATCTTCCTAACGCCCTCCCTCAGATATCTGCTATGTCTCGAAGCCGTGCGAACGGGGTCTGGAGTGTACGGTGTCGCATCGAACCTGCGAACCAGCGGTATAGGCTCGACACGAACGTCCTTTGGGACACGCCGACGAGCGCGTCGTATGATTTCCCTTGAACGTATCGATATCGTCGGTTTCACTGGCTTGTACGAGTCGACGACGCGAGCAGACGGTGCTTCGCTGGGAGGAAGGGAAATGAAGTTGTAGGCCGTGGTGTTAGTGGCACGCTTGCGACGGTACGTTCGGCTTGTTGTTTGTGTGCTTGTGGGGTTTACTTCTCTAGATGATGGTTGAGAAGTAGTTTCACTGGGAGTAGGTTTGTTTGGAGTCTCACCTTGGGGCTGGGATGGAGGCTCAGAACTCGTCGGGGACTCGGGGTTCTTGGTAGGCTCTGAGCTTGGAGTGGACTCTGAACTTGTAGTAAGCTCTGAAGGTACCGGCGAGTCTTGGGATGACCGTTCGCTCCCTGATGCGATGTGATTTTGACCGCTACTTTGCGATTTTGGCGTCTTCTTGGTACCCGCGTGGAGTGCTGTGATGTCTGGCCTCCTAGAACCGGGTCCCAGCGGTTTCGGCTTATCGGTCGATACCCTAGGTGCTTTGTTGGTGCGTGCTTGGATTGCTGAGGTCTTCTTTACTGTGGTGTAAACAGTGCCCTTGACAGCGACACCTCCAGTCGGCCCCTCAATCCATACATCGTATATACTGCCATTTTGCAATTTCTTCTTCTCCAAGCCGCATATGCGCATCTCCTCGTCGCAGTACAGCGGCGCTAGATTGCGATACTCGATGGACTCTAGATCTTGCTTTCCCTCGGTCTGTGTGTACAGGTGATGCTTCATGGTCTTCAACATGAGGAGCAGGGAGAGAGGACCATGGACTAGCAGGTTGCGGTGGCCTTCGACGTTGCGAGCGTACTCCGGATCGAGGTGTATGCGATGGGCGTTGAAGGTAAGAGCGGAGAAGCGAAACAGGAGGGCGCGGTCGGGGGTGAGGGCATGTGAGAAGTCTGGCTTCCCAGGGGCTATAGAGAGTCAGTGGATAGTCCAGAGGTTTGCCAGAGTACGCACGCTGTAAATACTTCACGGTGGCCATCTGGCCGGCTTTGACTGCCTCCAATTCTGCAGCGGTGCGCTCTTTGAAAAAGACCAGGTTACGCTCCTCCTTCACGATGGCATCGCCCCAATCATCGCCGTCGCGCAACTGCTGCTCGAGATAAGTCTTCAGTTTGCGGCCTCCATCCTTTCCTAATTTTCCATGCTTCGCACTGTACGCTCTCCCTACGCTGTCCACCCGTGCAAAGCGCCGCTCGATCGTGACAAAGATCTTGGCAGTGTCGCCTTCCCCATGCAGTCGGACATGCTTTATGTGCTCCGTCCCAGACATGGGAAATTCGACTCTAAAACCGCGGTTATGATCGTAATACTCGTCGGGTCGTACTTGTATCGAGCCGCCAGCCCACATGCGCCGCACCCACGGCCCGCCCGGGCTCTGCGACGCGTCTGTTCCATCTGGAAGTAACTCGGGAGTCCGCACCGCGGGATTGAACCATATCAAGTGATGGCCAAACGGCACCATGCGACTACGCACACCTGGGGCATAGCACCATTCTCGAGGTAAGAAGCCCGTGATGGTTTGCGATAGCTTGAATTCGTGCGGAGTGGCGATGAACTCAGGAAGATGTGTGACGTCTCGCTGCAACATTTCGGTGCGCAGCTCTTGGAACCACGGCGGGTCCGCCGAATTGGCTGAAGAATAGCATCGCAGCGATATTCTTCGCCATTGCGTGCGATTTGCGTTAACCCAGGCGATCCGACGTGCGCACGGCGTCCGGAGCAGCATTGGGGAGAAGGTCTGTGGACATCGCAAGACCCGCCACAGATGCTATCCTCGAAGTCTTGGCGGCTTAATGACGTAGGCGACATGACCGTTTGAATGCCCATCACGTATACGTAGCTCGGCACTTCACCTATAACAACCATTGCTCACCTCTGACATTTGCCAGTCTTCATATACTACGCGCTTGAGGAGTTGTGAAGATCCAGCAGTCATGCCAATCCAATCGCCAATGTCATGCGCGGCTGACCGCCTCGCTGCGACCCACTTGTTAGCAACACCCACCATCTTCACACCGATATACCATGGACATATCTTGCATTGAACTCGCATCCCAAGTTCAAGCTTGGGGTTGATACCGTGTCACGCGTCTTGGCGTGTTTGTTTGGATTCCTCTTTCGGCTATCCACGAGCGTCGCACCTTCTTCACGTCCACCCCGGCTTAATCTTCACCGCCAGCGCCATCGTTTCCTTGCAAACAACATCTTTGCCTCATAAGCGAGCCTCCAGTATGTGTGCATTTCACCAAACTCGTGGGTTGCTGTTTCGTCTGCGTCTGAACCGCGTTCGTTATGCTAAGCCACGGAAGCCCACAGCGACTGCCACAACATAGTCAGCCGCATACGCACGAGGTGACGGTTTCCATACGCGTGAAGAACGAGTCACCCCAAATTGTCACTCACTATACATCCGTAGGACAGGAAAGTGCTGGGCACCATCTTCACACTCAGAATATCACCTGCACAGCGACGACGAGCAAGATGGAGCTTCTGGAGTGTCCCATGTGTGACTTCACCGTGCTTCAGAAAGATGATTACATTCTGCAACTACACTTCGAGCAAGTGCATACCGAGAACTCTCCTTTCGTGATAGAGGACGACCCAGAACCGTTACCACCTTCGTTACCCACCAGGCCTTCCTCACTCCGCCACGACACTGAGGGTACGCCTTCCTCCGACGATTCCGAAGAGGAGGAAAGCACCACAGTGTGCCCTGACCCCAACTGCGGCGAAGTCGTTCCTCTCTCCGACTTCAACGATCATCTCGAATACCACAACGCAGAAACTTTATCATTTGACGAGACTACAGGAAAGTATCATTCTCATCATTCATCCGCTAGTATGCAAGACTCGACCTCATCTCGTCGTTCCCATGCGAGTCAGGCAAGAACCACAACATCCGAGCGAAGTTTCAGCACAGACTTTTCAGATGCTTTGAAAAGGACTGATGCTCACGGCCGCAAACCGAAGAAGCACCCACATCGGCATCGGCACGACACAGATGACAGCGAGAAGAGCACCATTGGAAGGAGTATTCTGGGCTTTAGTCCTTTCACGAAACCCGATAAATCTGTCAAGCCACCGATCAAGAGTGCTCGTCTAGGTGTAGGTTGATCATCTTTTTGGCAAAGCCTAGCTGATCTCCGCAGAAATCCGAGTTGGGACCCTACGCTTGGGAGAATCGAATGCCTAGGTGGCTGCACGACCAGCTAGATGCTGGCCCCAAGATCACTGCCGTCAACCGTATCGGCCGAGATGGCCGCCTCATCAAGCATGATCAGGTGCAGAACGAGACGCCAGGCATCATTCCTATCCTCGCGCAACTATCTGCTCTTGATCGGACTGTGAAGGAAGCATATTACTGTCATCCGTCGACACTCCACGTTGGTAAAACTCCAAGCGAAGGTGGCTTCTGCGGTTATCGGAACATACAAATGCTGCTATCATACATCCAAGGCGCCAAGGCTCAAGGCTACGAAGAATTTCCGGGACGGCTGCCGACTATCCTGAAGATGCAAGATCACATTGAAGATGCTTGGGACAAAGGCATCAACTCAATTGGCCGTGTTCAGACTGGCGGTATACGTGATACCAGAAAGTACATCGGCACACCAGAGGTGACATCTTACTCACCTTCAATTGTTCTCTACTAATATGTACTAGGCCCAAGCCTTTTTCCTCAACTCGGAAATCAACTGCGCTGTCGAGCAATTTAGCGACAATAAAGATCGCGCCATTGCAGCCCACGAGCTTCTCCTCGCCGCCATGGAGCGATACTTTGCCCGAGCGGCTGCCAGCGACGGATCCAATGTCTCCAAGACTCTTCTGCCGCCTATCTACCTTCAGCAACCAGGTCACTCTATCAGTATCGTTGGTTTTGAGCGCCGCTTTGATGGCTCATGCAACCTGGTAGTCTTCGATCCCATGTACCTCACCAGTCCTGCGATGCATAAGCTGCTTGGTCGGAAAAACATCAGGACGGCTCGACCCGAGGTGCTGTACGCATATCGTCGCGGAGCTGGAAAGCTCAAGAAATACGCTGCTTACGAGATTCTGATGTACGTTCATTGGTCGATGAGCGTTTGTCGCATGCTGACTGAACTCAGGCTCACTGCATCACCGCCTTTGTTTCCCGCTTGGGATGTATGAGCATCCATCCTCAAGCCTGATTCTTGCATATCATAGCATAGCCCGTTTTGATGATCTCTACTGAACATTTCTCTTCTAGGTACTTCGTCAATTCCCCGAGTGTCGCTTTGTGTACGTCTTTTTCCGTGCACGCACCCTCGGATACGATGTCTATCCAGAAGACTACTTCCTACGGAACTTTCCGTGGCAGCAGTACGGTGGACTGTGGTGTTGCGACGATGCTCGGTTTGCCCGAGCGGAGCCGATGAACCCACTCACAGCTTTGGCTCTACGTCGTATCACGGGCGAAGGATCTTCAAGCTCCAGCAATACCAATAGTCCCACAAGTCCCACAAGCTTCTTCACAAAGAGCTCTTTCCAGCACATGCCAGCAGACGAGTATGACCGACTTCCTTCATGGGTGGGCTCGCTCGACGGTTCGGCGAACAGCTTTGTGAGCGCACCACGACATGGTGACAACAGTCCTATTTACAACACGGGTGCACTGAGCGCCGCTTTGCCTCAGCCCAGGGCAATGAAACCACAACTGTCACTTCTGACGGATGTCGGAAGAAAGTATCCGGGATTTCCTACGCCATTGTCCCCTACCCTGACGGCAAATGAGGCTTACCCTTCGCCTGCATCTGAAGCTGGAAATAGAGCTGCAACATCTCGCACTATGAGCCCTGCAGTACGTACAGTGAGCCCAATGAGCATCGATGGCTCAGCCACGTGCTGGCCTTCCCTTCGTTGCGAGCCTCATGGACATGATCAGCATGCGTTACAGATGGGTCTCATCGACAATGTTCTCTTGGGTCCTCAGCAGCTGCGCAATGGATACCACACTCCATCAGCATCATCGCAAGTCGTTACAGGTCTCGCGAGTCCTCCGGTCAGTCCATTACGATGTGTATCTCCGCATACGACTATGCTGAAGAAGTTGGCTGGAAAGCAAGGTTACCAAGACCTATCGCCAAAGTCCATGCAGGATCTAAGGCTTGAACGCGAAGTCCATCCCAGCGCTCGCAATCTTCACGCGTACCCAGCATCTCCTCCTTCATCTATTTCTTTCTTGTCAGCTTCCCACCGTCAGCTGGCATCGCCTTCTTTTGCCATCGCCAACGGCGTGGAGTCGGAGGCCACGTCACCCATTGATCCCTCTGGTACCATGCTCTTCTACACGTCTAATCGCAGTGTCGATTCGGGTCTGCTCGGCGTCTGCCCACTTTCTGAACCCCAGGTCGCTGAGTACAGATTTTGGCGTCCCTGTGGTCGGCGCATCTGTGGGTTTGGTTGCGGCGGCGCGAATGTAGGCGAGGCGGCAGCTGCAAAGCGGCTATTTCGACAAGTCGAGGAAGTTATCCTTGAGGTGGAGGACGAGGTTGTGGACGACGATGATGCAGGAGTGACGCAGAGTGAAGAACACAAGCATGGTCTTGATGGCCAGGCTGACAACAGTACGAGTGACGCAGGTCACGCCAATGGAGATGACAAGTTCAGCACGAGCATTTGGGCAGGTCGGCGGCTAGTGATGGACTGGAACCAGTTCTTGTCAGGCTGCGAAAGGGATAGCATCGCGCAATTCTGATTGAGTGCAGATGGGGTGAGGGGTATTGCTACGTCTTTATTACTTGGCGGCATTGCAACGGAGGTACTCGGGGGTACTCTGAGGTACTATGGGGTTCATTACAGGGTCGTGATGGCGAGCCTTTTGTCTTTTGAGTTTATCTACAACACTCGTTCACTACTTGATTACCCCGCATGGAGTTGTGTTGTTTACCGTTCCTGTTGTGCCTTGTCGGGCGCATGGTGCCTTGTTCAGCTGCCCAAAGACGCAAGCGAGGCCAGATGTGGCGTCCAGATGTCTTAAGGCATAGTTCACAACACTAAAATGGCGTCTGGTTGTCAAAAATCTATTACGGGGCAAGTGACGTGCCTTAAAATCCGAGTCAAGCTAGGCCTGACGACCCAATCGGCGATGATAACCAGCTAATCACCCAGCGTGTGCAGCCAGCGCTGCAGAGATCGAAAACAAGTATGATCTGCCGGCCTAGACCGCGTAGACTCTTGTACTCATATGTCCTGTTCCTCGCCCCAGCCCTGGATTCCCATGAGAATTTCGCCGTCCCGGGTCTCAGGTCGCCTCTTGACAGGCACGCGCTCGTGGGGTGTGGTATGACGTCACGCGGATCTTCCTTCTCTCAGCACGCTTCTTCCTACCACCTGCTTTCGCTTTGAGACACGCCGAGCGCGTTCGCCTGCATCTGCGCCATGGAGAACCTTGACAAGTTGTCTGCGACGGGTCTGCCAGTGTTTGATCTTAATGCGGAGAACCTGTGGCGCAAGGACTGGTGAGAAGACGACCAAGATGCATGCGCTCCTGCTGGGCCCGTACTGACAACCACCCAGGACTCAAACAGCCATCGGCGCGCGCGAGTCGTGGCCCGTTGCATTGACATGTCTCGTCAACACGTGCGTGCTGCCCATGCCCCACTGCAGCGCCATCTTTTGGGGCCAGGACCTGGTAGTTATACACAACCTCGCCTGGGAGAAGGCACGGGGTGGTCTTGATGGCCAGGCCACCCTCGCGCGCGACAGCTACGGCCATGAGGCGCTCGGCACGCTACGAACGGTGCTGAGAGGGCGAACGGTCAAGGTGGGTAAGCATCAGACTACGACCATGTTTCCCGCATCCAGCCAACTGACCCTTTTAGCCGCTAGGTATTTCCTCAAGGACTTCGCCGAAGACCATGACACGCAGCTTCTCATCAGTACCATCTTAGACGAGGGTGGCACACGACAGGGCGTATTGGCCCAACTGCTCGAGAACCGGCCCGTAGACCACTACATGCCCATCGAGGGAATTGATGAACTATCGCGCCAGAATCCAGGGAGGAAAGTCAAAGACAATGAGTCTCAGCAGAAGGGCAAGCACAACAGTAAAACCAAGCAGGCAGATTCCATGCAGACCAACATGTTCCAGCGCTTCGCCGAGCTACTGCCCAATGGTTTGGCCATTCTCGACCAGGACGCCGAAGCCATCTTTGTGAATGACGGCTTCTTCAAGCTGACCACGAACAAGGGCAACAACGAGTTTCGATCGTGGCCGGAGAGCATCCATCCCGATGACTACGAAGACGTCATGGCTGCATATCGCAAGGCATTCGAAAGCCGCACAGAGCTGCAGATAGAGTTTAGATGCGATGTCGCTGAGCCTGAGGAAATGAAGTCCAAGGGAGAGCAGTGGAGACTTTTTTTGCTAAAGCCTCTAAGTGAGGAGGCTGATGCTGGTTTTATTAGCGCCGTTATCGACATCACCGATATCAAACATGCCCAATTAACCCAAGAGAAAGCTGCGAATGATGCCAAAGAGCGCAAGGAGCAACAGGAGAGGTTTATTGACATGGTTTCCCATGAGATTCGTAATCCTCTTTCTGCCGTCCTGCATTTAGCTGAAGAAGTGAGAGAGATTACCAAAGAAATCGGGGCGCAACACGAAGACCTCCACGACCAGGTGGCCGATATCTTGGACGCTGCCGACACTATACTACTTTGTGTCTCACACCAGAACACTCTTGTAGACGACATCCTATCTTTTTCTAAGCTCGACTCTATGATGTTGTCCTTAGTACCCCGACGTGAGTTTCCCCACAATCATAGCGCATGACCGTTTCACTAAAAGATCATAGCAACAAGACCCAAATGGGAGTTTTCTCAAGCACTACGAGTCTTTCATTCGGAGTTCAAAGCCAAGAATATCAAGTTCCACTACGCCATGGACGTTTCATATGAAGAACAGAAAATTGATCATGTCGTAGCCGATCTGAACCGCATGAAGCAAGGTGAATGATTCGTGCTCTTTTCCAAAGATATACTGACGTCTTTAGTACTGGTCAACTTGATAACCAACGCCATTAAGTTTACTTCCAAGAAGAATGGCGACAGGAACATCACTGTATCACTGGGTGCATCCGTCAAGCGTCCTACCTCTTACCCTCCAAACGTCATCTATTTCAGTGAAGAGAAAGAGGCTTTCCACCTTGATTCTACAATGACATCGGAATGGGGCTCCGGGGCCGCCATGTACTTGATGGTAGCCGTCAAAGACACTGGCATAGGCATCAGCAAAGAGGGTCAGGCCAAATTGTTCGAGCGCTTTAGGTACCTTGTGCACTCTCAAACACATGTAGCTTACAATGCTCACCACATCACAGACAAGCGACGCCCAAGACACAGGAGAGATACGGTGGTTCAGGCCTTGGTCTATTCATCTCACGCAAATGTGAGTTAATGTGTTTGCTTCAAACATCGTCTAGCTAATTTATCTCCAGTGTGTACACTACATGGTGGAGACATTGGCGTGAGTTCAAAGGAAGGAGAAGGCTCAACATTCGGCTTCTTCTTCAAAGTACGTCGCGCGGTCGACGGAAATGATGAGGGGCGACCGTTGATACAATCTCGAAGCAACTCGGAATCTTCAAACACTTCCTCTCGCCCAGCAGAGTCTGGATCGCGGCCGTCTCGTCCACCCATCAGTCGTGCGAACTCGAATCTCTCAAGCATCAAGGAACGGAAGAACGAGCGTCCAGAAGCGAAGACGCTTGCAAGTCATGGCGGTGTGGATACTGAGGATGTCGATCCTTCACTCAAGCATCCACCAGTAGAGAATCATCCAGAGGCGCATCCGGATTCAAACGAAGATGCACGCTATAAAGAGACGGAAAAGGCTACCGAGAATATAGATACCGTAAAACCAGAGATGGAAAGGAAACTACCCGACCTAAGGAGAGGTGAGACGTCACGCCAGGAAGACGATGCTAAAGAAGTTACGAGATCTCAGAGCGATAAACGCAACGAAGACACACATACCCTTCTCCTCGTCGAAGACAACCTTATCAATCAAAAAGTGCTGCGGCGACAGCTCCAATCCCGTGGATTCCAAGTGTTTACTGCAAACAACGGACAGGAAGCCATCGACGCGGTCGCCGAGCGTGGACAATTGGCGGACAACGGCCCCAACGATCGCAATTACTTCGACTGCATACTCATGGACCAGGAAATGCCTATAAAAGATGGCAATGCGGCGACACAAGAGATCAGGCAATTACAGGATGAGGGCAAGGCTGGATATAGTCACATCCTCGGTGTATCTGCGAACGTACGGGAAGCGCAGACTAACAGCATGCGTGCAGCCGGCATGGATGACGTCATCTCCAAGCCATTCAAGGTCGACGATCTGGTAAAGAAAGTTCGTGGGTTGGTGCTCAACGGCGGTGGTGGTTCAAAGCATGACAACCGGCCGAATGGTGTCTCAGATACAGGGCAGGGAGACAAGAGCGGGAGTCAGAAAAATAAGAGTGACAACCAGAAAAACAAGGGCGCCAGCCAAGAAGAGAAGGGTGGTCTTCATCCACAAGCCGCTGAACGACGCGATAAAGACGGCCATTCGGATAACGAAAGAGAGAACCTTGATCGAGGTGGCGAAAGGTCGAGATCGCGAGCCAATATAAGAGAAGGATCCTCGACGAACCAACCAAAGTCGCGCGCCACGATAACCGAAGGATCCTCGACGGACCAGCAAAATTCATGAGTACTATAGCGTCCTGGCGTGCCTAAGGTACTTGTATACCCGGATTTGGGTTGCACGATGTTGTTCTCTGCGGATTTCCAGGCTCAGGATTGCATTTGCACGGTGTTTTGGATTCGGTGATCTGGACTCAAACGTATGGAATGACTGGATGAGAAACGAACATACGGATTGAATCGTATTTATAGAAGGAATTGAGCGTTCTGCGGGGATGGCGGGAGAGGCGGAAGAGAGGTGGTGGCAGGCATCTCTGTAGCTGCGTCGCTTGTTATCCGCTCCCTTTGGGGATTCCGCTAAGGTTGATGAGACATGATGTTTGCGCATTTATAAAGGGACTGAGCGTTCAAGTTACCTCTTGAAGTATCTCTGAATTAGAATTCTACACTATTGTTTCGGGTAGATGCAATGCCAGTGATGCCCAGCATGAAAATCCCCTAAACTGAACAACAAGATTTACTCACCAGGCGCCAATTCAGGCTCGAGCGCGAAAATTAGAATAAGAATAAGAAGCATGCAAGTAGCGCATGAGGGTGGAGGCTACCTCTCTGATAATGCAAGAACCCGTAGGCCACGAGTCATGCGTAGTACCATCCCACTTCCAAGGCTTACCCCACCTTCGACCAAACAAACATCACGACCGAACGCATCACCATGCATGCTAGACTTGTTTACGTTCTCGGCTGCGATCTTCGACTTACTTTCCGTCTGCCCTGACATCCTAACTAATCTTTTCCAACTATCCTACATCTAACATGACGAAAGAATTCCAAGACAAGGTCGTCCTGATCACAGGTGCAGCGAGCGGTATCGGGTACGTCTCCATCTCCCATCTCCCATCTCCCATCTTACCACCTTACCCCATCCACCTCAGTAAGCCCATCGTGCTAACCCTCCCCTAGCCGAGCCACAGCCCTCAAACTCTCCTCCCTCGGCGCCTCCCTCGCCCTCTGCGACCTCAACTTCCCCAACCTCAGTGCCGTAGCCTCCGAATGCAAAACACCCACCCACCTCCGCAAAGTCGACGTAGGCTCCTCGTCTCAAGTCCAAGAATTCGTAGACAGCACAGTAAAAGGGCTAGGTCGCCTGGACTACGTTTTCAACTGCGCAGGCGTCAACCCAACGAGCATGAAGCTCGAAGATACCGACGAGGAATACTGGGATAAACTCGTAAACACAAATCTCAAAGGCGTGTTTCTTGTTACGAAAGCCTGTCTTCCGCATCTGCAGCGCGGATCTGCCATTGTTAATGTGAGCAGTGTGTCTGGTATTCGTGGCTCGGCTCTTCAGTCTGTGTATTGTACTACGAAATTCGGACTCATTGGCATGACTAAGTCGCATGCGTTGGAATTTGGGCCTAGGGGTATTAGGGTGAATTGCGTTGCGCCGGGGTATATTGATACGCCGTCGAATGCAGGGATTGTCAAAGGCGGAGAGGCGGTTGAGCGCATGAGGAATGGGAATGCGTTGGAGAGGTTGGGCGAGCCTGAGGAGGTGGCGGATGTTGTTGCGTTTTTGTTCGGGGAGGGCGCGAGGTATGTTAATGGGGCTGTTTTGGAGATTGATGGGGGGATCAAGATGAGTAGTACTACGAGCAAGTGAGAGGGAGGAAAGATAAGAGGAAACAATAGAGTGCGCTTTTGACTCAGACTGCGGCCTGATCGTGGTTCTGGCTGGTTATTGAGATCATACTTTGGTATAAAATGAGCAGAAGTGGCAGGCTGACTTGTGAAGAAAGACAGGGTCATTGCTATGACAATAGTCAAAGCTCCCTATGTACTTACGTCTGTCAAGGTCTGATGTTGCGGTTACCCAACGGGAACCTGGGCCAGAGGAACTCCTTAGTCACGTGCAAGATCGCCAGTGGCGCTAGCGCCTGTCGCATGTCGAAAGTTCCGTCGCGACATCGTACTCTCACCACAACACCACAGTCATGTCCGAAGTACAACCCGCACAAACGTCGCTCGCGACCGATACATCTCTCGAAACCGCTACATCGACAGAGCTCGTGCCGACGACCGAACAGACAATCATCACGACCAATGCCGAGAGTAAAAAAGTTAAGAAGATCATCCGTCGCAAGCGGAGACCGGCGCGTCCACAAGTCGACCCTGCTACGATAAAGCCTCAAGAAGTCGCGCAGACGGGAAATATCTACAACGTTTGGTACAATAAGTGGTCTGGCGGCGACAGGGAGGACAAATACCTCTCCAAGACCGCTGCGCAGGGACGCTGCAACATCGCCAAAGACAGTGGATACACCAAAGCCGACAAGACACCCGGATCCTACTTCTGCCTCTTCTTTGCGCGTGGTATCTGCCCGAAAGGTGTGGACTGCGAGTACCTCCATCGCCTGCCCACCGTCACCGACCTCTTCCCAAGTAACGTCGATTGCTTTGGGCGCGACAAGCATGCCGATTACCGAGACGACATGGGTGGTGTAGGAACCTTCCAAAGACAGAACCGGACACTTTATATCGGGCGCATACACCCCACAGACGACATCGAAGAGATCGTATCGCGACACATGCAAGAATGGGGTGAAATTGAGCGAACGCGTGTCCTAACAGCGCGCGGCGTAGCCTTCGTCACCTACACCAACGAAGCCAACTCGCAATTCGCCAAAGAAGCAATGGCCCACCAATCCTTTGACAACAACGAGATCCTAAACGTCCGCTGGGCAACCGTGGACCCCAACCCACAAGCCGCAAAGCGCGAAGCCCGCCGCATCGAAGAGCAAGCCGCTGAGGCCATCCGAAAAGCGCTCCCCGCAGCCTACGTCGCCGAACTCGAAGGTAGAGACCCCGACAGCAAGAAGCGCAGAAAGGTAGAAGGCAGTTTTGGACTACAAGGCTACGAAGCGCCAGATGACGTGTGGTACGCAAAGGAAAAGAGTGAATGGGAAGCAGCCAAGCAGCTCGAATCCGGCGGCATGGGCGAGCGCATGATGATTGAGGGTGGGGAGTCCGCATACCAGGAGGACGGCGCTGTTGCACAACAGTACCAGCAAGATGAGGGTTCAGCTGCGCAGCAGCAGGCTAATGGCATTCTATCGGGCTCCACACTGGCGGCGCTCAGGGGCTTCAAGGCTACGCCGTCGAATAAACGGCCTGCGCCTGTTGCGGGGCCGTTGGTGGACTATGGGAGTGATAGCGATTAAGCTGGGGGTCAGCAGACTGGAGGTTCTCCATGCATGGGCGGGAAAGACATAGGGAGGGAAGGATTGTACGTATAGTTTGCATGGTGGAGAAAAGGACTAAGCATCTCATGGCGTAAGCATAGGTTAATTGATACCCGTTCTTTTGCGAATCATCACGTCTTGCGCTGTCGATCGATTGTTGAGGCTTTTGAAAAGCTGTGTATCATGGTGACTGGGTATTACATCCCCTTTACGCTGAGTTGACAACATTACCAGACCTGATCCAGAAGCTTACATCGATGCTGAGCTCTGTGATATTGAGAACCATGTCCTAGCCTAGCGTCTACAAAGCTCTTCCTAAGAGGGCGGCTGTGCCCTGAGTTTCTTCGGCAAGCCTGACTTCTTGGTGGGCGACGGATCGCGCTTCGCTACCACATTGGCATAAGTAGGTTTCGCTACGGCTGCTTTCTTCGCCGCTTCAATCTTCTCCAACGCATCCGCCTTCGGTATGATCTTAGCCTTCTCCGTCACTAGAAGCTTTCTTGCAGCTTGCACTTTACGTACAGCTTCCGCCTTCTCCTTCACCGTCTTCTTAACCTCTTCCTGCTTCTTCAGTTTCTCCGCCTTCTTCCTCAATTCCTCGGCCTGCTTCTTAAATTTCTCTGCCTGCCATTTCATCTCATACCCCCTCTTCGCCCTCCCCAGAATATCACCTGTCTTGGGATACTCCATCCCCGGTACTGGCTCCCCACCCCCCTTCTCCTTGATCCACGCACTTACCATCTCAAACCCAAACCAATCCTGCTCTACGTTCACGATATATCCACTCGTCCCCGCCCTGTCCAGCGCCCAGCCATCCGTACCACATTTATACTTCAACCACGCCCCCTGCTTCTGCATGGAGTCGAAATCCCCGATCACAAAACTCTGGGTCTTGGTGTCAACGAAAATGTTTGCGGGCTTGATGTCGCAGTGCACATACCCCAGTGAATGGATTTGCTGGATACCTTTTTGTATGCCTTGTATACACTTTTCCGCATCAAAGACCCGATTGTCGCAAACTAGACCCCACAATGTTGTGTCGTAGCGTCTAAACAGCAGCGCTGTTATACCTTGGTCCATGCCGTAATTCACACCGACATAGCGGCAGATATTCGGATGCGGGTTCTTGCGTAGCATCTCGCAGTTTGCAATCTCCCGCACCATGATGTTCTTGATCCAGTATGGGTGCCCGAAGAGTTCTCGGTGGTAGCGGAGGTAGTCCATTTATTTAGCATAGAGATGGCTTTTAGTTGCGTACTTGGCGGAGGTCATGACACCTTTCTTGTAGGTGGGACGGGCGTTTGAGAGATTGATCTTGCGCGGTGGGAGGTCCCAGGTATATGGGTTGGGATCGGGCGCACTGTCATCATCTGGGATTTGGGCTTCTGCATACCATAGTCCTGGGTACTTTTTTGAGCGGAAGAGGGCCCGTTGGGTTGTGCCGTAGATCCGTGATTTTTGTAGGACTAGGTCGTCCCTGCGTACAGCGGCCTGAGGCGTCATCATGGAGAGACCTGAAATAACCTTGGAATGGAAGATCTTGGGTAGAAGCGGTGGAGGGAAAGGTGTTTGATTTGTTTGGCTATGTAGTGAAGGGATGCGCTGTGAAGGCTTTGAGACCACGATGGTATGTTCCAGTTGGCACGATGATGCACTGATTTACTCTGTGAGGAGTTGACGCTGTTACACGTTGCAGTCGCTCTATTATAGTTTCCAGTATGCCCAGCTCTTGCTCACATTGTCGTTTTATATCTTGACAGTGAAAGACTGGGCTGTACGTCGCTGTCCGACTATGTTCCTCTACGATACACGAGCCCGGTTACTTTTCTGGAAGATATCTATCAGTGCTCGCGTTCAACCAGCGGTAACTGAATGAACTATCCAAATCAAATGCCCTGGCCAAATCATCATGTTCAAGTATATTGCCGGATTCACAGGCGTCAGCAAAGACGACCTACCAAAGCCCTCAATGCAGATCATAGACCATGGTGTTGTATCCCAGGATTTTTTATCCTAAACCTGGGTGCTAGCACACAGAGACGAAGAACTATACCATGCAATCAAGAGGGGTGTCCTATTCGACCAGGAGATCGATCGTGCCCACCCCTCGTCCTGGACAGATGGTGAGAATTCTCAGTCCCCTGAGCAAGTCAACCCAGCCAATTTCTACCCGCACTGCAAGCCTGAGTACACCCGCGTCTAGGAAGTCCGAGGCTGCGAAGTAAAAGACCATCACAAGAAGCATCATGCCATTCTTAAAGCAGGCCATCGACGCATTCGCGACGTCCGTTACCCAGACTTCGTGGCCAAGACGATTGCACGCAAGATCGAGATATGCGAGAAACTTCGCGTGATGCCTCATAAGCATATCTGCAAGTATCACGGTGTACAGACTAGTCGCGCGCTTCGGTTTCAGCACCGCAGTACTCCTATCGAAGTGCCCATGGAAGGAGAGCGCGTCCTAAACCTGGTCTTCGACAAGTATGATTGCGACCTCTGGGAAGCAATCTGGCGCGGTTACGCTGTTCATGTGCGAGAGTGCTTAGAAGCCGTTGCCTCAGCGATACGGCACTATCTGGGTATCGTCCATGGGGATATTGAACCCAAGAGTATCTTCCTCAGTTACTCCAAGGCTCAGTATAATGCGACTTCAACGCGCTATGCTGTGGGCGATTTCGACAGTGGGCAGCCCACTGGTAGCGTGGTTGACGGAAAACACGGGACCCCGTACTGGTCACAGAAGAAGAAGGTCTGGATTGATACCGTGGAGGAAGATGACGATTGGTGTTTTTTTTTTTTTGAGAAACTGACGAGGTGGTTGATTAAGATTACGAAGGGTAGATTGGAGGAGTATGAGGAGATTGGGAGGAAAGTGGAGAAGTAGATGTTCTTTGATGGACGCTGGATCGAAACGTTGGTTTCGTGGAGATGTTACCGATACATGCGGATTGGCCTCCCTTACTTTACTGTAAGGGTGGTCCGGACTTGAATCCTACTAATTTGCCATGGGGATAAAGGATTACCCAAGGTGACCGCGTAGAGACGCCATGGGCATAGAGACAGCTTCTCGTACTTAGGAAAAAAACGAGACATATCAACGTTACGATCAGACTGCTCCAAACAGCTAGATGGCATGACATCCAGGCGTCGTGATAAGGTGTGAGAGGAGCGAGGAGTGTAAAAAGGAATGAATACGCGACGTGCGCAGTCCAACCTTGTTTCGAGGTGGAGCTAGACAGCGGCACGACCCGACTAACGGCGTGGTTGCCCCATCCACGGTGTCCGCGGTGTTTCTGTTTCGACTTCCGCCAGTCGCGCCATTGACGCGTCATCCCCTTTTTCTAGACCTCATTTTGCATATACATAATACACAAGCGCTATATGTGAAGATCCCCTACCTATAGCCAACCGCCCATCAACCGCACGCCATGTCCCACTCGAACACGCAAGCAACCAACAAGATGCTCAGCACGCTCTCAACACCAACGCGCGACCTGACCGAACTGGCCAAAGAGGAAAAGAGCTTTACCTTCAACCATTTTACCTGCGAACATGCTTGGGTCATTGGCAATATCCTCCGAAACGCGTTGAGAACCGCCGAATGCCCCGCGCTTATCCACATCTCGTCTGCGAATCAGACGCTGTTCCACTCGCCCAGCCTGCCTGGCATAATGCCCGATCACGAGAAGTGGACGGAGAGGAAACGCAATACTGTGTTGAGATGGGGTCATTCAACCTGGTTTATGAACTGTCAGTTTGAGGGCGATTACAAGAGGTTTGCGGAGCACAATGCTATGAGCGGAGATGAGTGGTCGAAATATACCATTGAAGGGGGCGGATACCCCGTCTTCGTCAAAGGTGTAGAAGGTGTCGTTGGCGCTATCGTTCTGGTCGGTGTTGGCATGGATAGTGAGCAGGCGCATGGTGTCGTCGTGAAGGCTGTGGAGGAGTACAAAGACCTCAGAGAAGGGTTCCGCAGCCCAATGAGGAGTATGACGGTCAAATGACTAGATGGCCTGGGTAAAGGAGATGGTCTTGGAATCACACTTGGCATCGATGAGAGGATGAGAAGGAGCAGAGAGAAGAAGACCTGAGCGCACGATATGAAGTCTGTTATATGGCTTGGATTGAGGACTAAAGTACAGAAGAGGCATGATTGCCAACCGGACGAAACCCGAAACGCCCTCTCACCGCATCGAAAGCTATCGAGTAGCCAAATAACAAGTTCCGCCCAGTGTTCACATAAGGGGGATGTTCTGGTGGTTGCGGAAACACATACGTTGGTTCGATGGACGCATTCTGGCCAACGACGAAGGAGTAGGAAGTCGCTGGTCTGTCCAGCGACGGAAACCCGATAGTGATATTGGTCCCTGGCTTCACGCGCTTCAACTTGCTTGCTTGGCCATTTGGGTTGGGATTGGGGATCCAGACAGTTGGTATCGAAACGCCCTGCTCAGCCCTGATATACATCTGCGATATGCCCGTATCGACTAGCAGAGTGCCACAGTTCCGCCCTTGGCCATCGATGCTGAAGCACATCTTTGCCATGGCCCAATCTCTCGCATCCTTGTCATGATTGAGGCCTGGCTCTAGCCCAGAGAATGCGAACCCCTTTGTGTTCTTCGGCGTCAGCCCTATCTGGATACCTTCGGCCGATATGATATATCCAGATTGCAAGTTGCTCTGTCGCACCGGCTCCCCATCGATTGCGTTGATATTCAAGAACGGGTTGATGTCCGGTGTCGCGTATGGCATACCATCTTTTGGACCGTTTCTTCCAAAGCCTACGCCCATGTAGGTGATTTGCGAAGTGTCCCTTTCTTCGGCCTGCTCCCCATGTGGACCCAATGGACATTCGAAGCGGTCTTTACGGGGATTGTACCAAGGACATCTCCAACTCTTGTCGACGATCAGAACAGGCACGTCTGCAGTCGCATATGAGCCATCCTCGCCACCGAAGTGTAGCGGAAGTTTGACCAGTCGCCCTACGTAGAGGATCTTGCTGCTTGTAAAGAAGTGGTGTGCCGGCGTACCCTCAGTAGAGGGTATGTTCGGAAGTATTGGGGCGCCTATCAGAGTGCCTGTAGAGCCAGTATCCACAGGCATCTTGATGTCAACCCCTTCGACGCCACACATGACTTGCGGCACATGTTTGGGGTTCAAATTGTACATAAATGGAATGAAGAGCGAGTCCGTATGCCGTCTTGATTGGGTATCCATGGGGCGTAACGTAGCTAGTTCGTTGTACATAGCGAAGAAGGCGAGGCTGGCGACCAAAATCAAGATGCGCGAGAAGAGTGTTGAACACTTCCGCTCTCGGTGTGTGAATGTTGAAGACGTTGCAGTTGGCTCTTGAATTCGAGATGGCGATCGCGTTCTATAAACCTCGGTCTTCATGGCTGTCAACAGATGCAGAGACCACCTGCACTATCCGCTGGCAAACGCCTGACGCACGCGCTAAGTTCGCGCGTCAATGTCGCGTCCAAGGAGTCAGCAGTGTGACACTTGATGGAAATTGTGTACAAAGCGGTGTCGAGTCATTCAAAAAGCACAGTAATAGCGCGCCGATGTCAACGCCGCGCTGTGTGTTGGCGTACCTCTGTCCCCGCAATACCCGGATCCCCAGGCACGTACTCCAACCCAGCAATCCTGGACTTCGACTCTTCTACTCCCTCACCATCGTTCAGTTCGATGTCAACCTTTACGTACTTTGACGAAATTATTGACCACGAATCGCGATATGCCGATCATCACGTGTTCTCATGCACGTCGCAGCCGGGGATGTTCTTAGCTCGAGTTAGGCCTGTGGCTGAGTGTGACCATCCACCGCCCTGAAGGCAGTACGACCGCAGACACAAGAAATGGAGCCCTCCAGTTGAGAATGGCTTTCCACGACATATCCGATTCCCTTGATCGACCTTGATACGTCCTCGATCTCATCTCCAATCGAACGAGTATCCGCCCTCCACGAACCAGCGCCTGCGAACTAAGAGTCGTCGCAACCAGAGCATGTAGCCAACATGGGCCGCTCGCCATCACGATCCAGCGATGGGGCCGATTCCTCACAGAATGCGCGCGTCGAACCGCGTCTCTTAAAAGCCATTGAGGACAAGAAGCACGACGATGCGATCGCGATTATCGAGCATGCGAAAGCGAAGTCGCAACCCGTCGACCACCTTCTGCGCATTGGCTTGATGCGCGCTGCCGAGCGCGGAAACATCTATATCACCGAATACCTGCTCAAGAGCGGTGCGAAGCCCGACGGCGCACCAGGTGGTAGAGTCTCGCCTTTATTCAAGGCGATTGAGAAGAACCATGCTGGGATCGTACAACTGTTGTTGAGATTTGGGGGCAATGTAGATGCGCAAGACAAACAGGGGCGAACTGCGCTGATGACGGCTGCCTGGAAGAACTATTACCACATCATGCAGGAACTGCTCAGGTGTGGTGCCGACGTCAACAAGAAAGACAACACTGGGCGGAACGTGCTACACAACTTGGCGGCAGATAAGCACTGCAACTGGGGACGCGATGTTATTGCAGAGCTGTTGAAGCAAAATGTCGCGATCGATGGACCAGAGGGCCAGGACGACCAGAAGCGCAGCCCGTTACATTGGGCTGCTAGTACTGGGAAGAAGGAACTATGCGAGATGCTCTTGCGTCGAACGAGATTGCCGAGAGCGAACGTGAACGCGGTTGAAGTCAGGCAGAAGACGGCACTACATTTGGCAGTCGCACACGGACGAGACGACATCATCGAGCTTTTACTAGTTAACGGGGCAGACGTAGGCGCGCAGAGCGACGGAAGCTGGACGCCCCTCCACAATGCTTGCGACCAAGGAAGCGTAAAGGTGCTGAAGATACTCATGGCTGCCGGAGCGGACGTCAACGCGCGGACACTCAATGGGACGACACCTTTACATGTCGCGGCGCAAGCTGGTCACTTTGACGTAGTCAAGTGTCTCTTGGAAAGGGGAGACATCAAAAGAGCGCCGAAGGATACATTTGGCATCACGCCGTTCTTGCGCGCTGCGCAGAGCAAGAAACCTGCGCGCAAAGATATCATCAATGCCCTAGCGCCCCACAATCAGGTCGAAGCGCTCAGCGAAGACGCCCTTGGCGCTACAAATGGGTTCCATGCTACTATCGTTGACTTTGGCAACTTCCATAACGAAAACAAGGTCTCAAGAAGGACTGTCTTCGAGTTACTGTATGGCCGCGATCCCATCAATCCAAGAAAGCCAGCTGTTGCGATTCTACCCAAGGAGTCAAAGGCGACAACCTTCCGGTGGATACATCTCCCTGCCAATAACATGGCCTGGGTTGAGGCGCTGCTCACAAAGGCGTTCATCGAGGAGGGTGCCAGCGATGTGGAGGGCTTCAAGGCGCTCGAACGGTCCTTCAGTCATCAGCATCGAGGACAGCAGATCCATTCGCATTTCATGCGACCGCTCTGTCAAAGCACGCCACGTGCACCAAAACAGCACGATGATTCGGATCTTTCCGACGGCGCTGATTACATACCACAGATTCTGGTGAATAGTGGTATGGGCTTAGGTATCGACGCAGTAGCTGGTTCACAAGAACTGCCAATGTCACAATTCCCTCGCACGCCTGTCCGGACCAATACCGTGGATACAGACTATACGGATGGGACTGCAGGAACGGGCTCCGGGCCTACAACTGTCAAGGAAGGAAAGGGTAAGGCAAAGGATAAATCGAAGAAGACACCGAAGTGGAGTGGATCGAGACAAGCAGGCAAGCGATCAGGTGGGACCGACACACCCACTCGAGGTCCAGAGCAACACGCGAAACGAACGCACACCAGCTCTTCCCTCAACAACAGTGGGCATCTCAGGTCACCCGGCAGCCCCGGCAGAAAAGACCCAACAGCCGTAGCGAAGGGCAACATCTTTGCCTTTATGCCATACCTACATTTCGAAACCGATCGGCGGCGACAAGAAATGCAGGCTGCAATCTCGAGGACGCAGAAGATGAAAGAACGTGAAAAGAACGAAGGGGGCACCTCCAAACCACAGTATTACCGCGCATCAACTTACGACGAAATGCTTTTCCGGGCTCATTTGACGTCCTCACAAGTCTCGCTGCACGTACGACGTACGTTAGATCAGTTCTTCTACCACAACATCGACACGCAATCCCGAGATCGAGACCAAGTTGTCTATCGCTATCAATGCAAGTCGAACGAGCCGCAACATGTTGACCCGAAGATTTTCATGGTCGATCAGCTTTGGATGTGGACCCTTGGCAAAGACTTGATCGTGACGGCCTTCCCTCAAAGATGGCAGCAGCCTCGCAACGACCCGCTCAACGTTCTCGATGGAGTCATCGAAGACATCAATAGCAAGACAAGAGATCCGGTGCGTAGCGTATACGATCTTTCAATGATCATCACCGGCCGATGTAGTGGTGTGTTCGACAGACATCGTGTTGGCGACGAAGACTATCAGTTTCTCGACATGTTTGAATCAAGCATCGGTGATGCTACCGAGATGGAAACCATGCTTTTCAAAGAGTTCAATACGGCGTCCGCCCAGGCCTCGGCTTGGCTACAACATCACCGCCGGCCTAATCGCTTCTCGAGACATTTGGAAGCTGAGGGAAGACAAAGGGAGCACCTAAGTCGCCGGCACACGTCACATCATTCACACTCTCACTCTCACGCCTTGACTGACCCTCCAGTCCCGGAAGAGGCATTTGACTACGGTGACAGCGATCGAACGGCCGCCCATGCCCCGCTCTTTGTCGATAAACTACTGGATATTGGTGCGGAGACAGACCTGTTGGCTGAGACGAAAGACATTCGCGACGAACTCAACATGATTTCAAAGGTCCTGGAAGATCAACGCAACGTACTGCCAGACATGGAGACAAGCATCACGGACATATATCGTGAAGAGCACAAGAGCCAACAAGATCTTAAGAAGCGATTCAAGGATATGCTCAAGACGGTAGACACACATATCAAGGATCTTGAACGCATGGACAAGCAAGCCAAGCGTATCTACGAATCCATCACTGACCTACTCGATTTAAAGCAGAAGCACGCCAACGCTTTCGAAGCACGCTTCGCCCGCGACCAAGCTGCTGGTACTGCAAGGCAAAGTCAAACAATCATGGTGTTTACCATTGTCACCATCATCTTCCTTCCTCTATCCTTCATCGCCGCCATGTTCACGATCAACATTCAAGAATTTCCGCATAAGCCAGGCGGCGGCGAGCCTTCTCTTCCTCTGTCATTCGTCAGCAAGTACATGTTCGGCATTGGCTTCGCAATTTCCATCCCGTTCATCGCCATCGCGCTTTCATTCGACGCCATTGGAGACTTCTTTCGCGAAGTCAAACGCCGCTTCCGCGAACGCAAGGCTCAGAATCGCCAGAGCCGGCGCGATACAGACGCTTACAGTGGTATCGAGAAGACAGACTTTGAGTACGCATTCGATACGCGCACTATCGAACAGGCTTTGAGTCGCGGCCGCAGTACGGCATACCGCCCCGACGGCAGGCGCAGCATCGAAAGCTATCTCGGCAGTGCAAGAGCGAATCACTGGGGTGATGGTGGCTCTCTGCTTCCGGTCGCTAGTCGCAGCACAGGAAGGAGTCCGGAGAAGGGTGCTGTGAGGATTACCAACGGCTTGAATGGCACGACTTCGATGGCCAACAGATTGAGTGTGGATAGGGCTGAGAGACAGAGTCCGATTGAGAGGATCAGTACCGGGTTTAGGATGAGAGGAAGTGGAGATTTTGAACGCGCGTAGTCGTGGTGTTGAGCTTGTAGTATTGGTTAGGTCTGGAAAATGTAGATACCCTAGCGCTATTATGTACTTTTACTGATGAATGATTAAAGACACATTACACATCATGTTCTCTTTGCTGATCTGGTGTCCTTGTTCCACCACTAACTATGTCTGCTACAGCCTCGGTTGGCTGACACGCGTCTGGACTAGCGTCGTGTTCCTTCGCGTCTTGGTGTCTACGAGTTGATGACTCCGCCACAATCGTCTTCTCGTCTTTAGTGATAAGGGGCGCTTGCGCTCCTACAATTGAAGATGAACATAGATCCTATGCTCTTCCCAAAATCCAATAATTTCACGTGAGACTGACAGTCTGTTTCGTTGACTACTGATCCGCAATGAAAATCGGACATTATGACTCTTCACACGCATCGAAGCGAAAGATGTATGCCATACGGTTCAAGTGGCATGTATAATAGAAGACGACTGATTGCAAGTAGGAGATCTTCACGTCGGAAACCTGATCCCGACAATAATCCAATCGAGTACGTTACGCCCGCTCACTACTACAATATACGTCTCACCAAAGAATCACAGAATAGCCCGCTTAATCGCATGCTACGAGCGATATCGTCAATCTCAGCTCAGGTTCTGCTCAGCTTTCCGCGCAGCCCTGCCTCGCGAAGTGAGAGACATGGTCTACGACCATCTCATCACTTCCCGGAGGCAACATTACGTTGTTGAAAGACGTGATATATCGACTGGAATACGATCAGGTCTATACATCACTCACGACCGCGGTGGCCGGTCTTTCTTCGACGCTCAACCACCTTTACCCGAAGACCCTGCCATGTGTCGCGATGTATGGAGGTACGCCGAGTACACAGGTGAAGCAGTCGCGAAAGAGATATCGGAGCGTTGGTACTGCACCGGCGGCTTCATAATTTATACCCCTCAGGACTGCTTGTTGGGGAAGTTGCTCACGCAGGATGTCTGGCAAAGAGGAAATGTGCCTGCGGATATCGTTCGATACATACGCATTCATCTCAGCTGGGATCAGATTTGGGGTGGCGCCTCGCGTGTCGTAGCTGATCTGGAAAACCTTTTTACGTTGCCTAACAAAGACATGAAGATAATCTTCCAGATAGACGATCATGTGGAAGGACTTGACCCCGGACCTTCGCAGTGGCCTGTCCTGCAAAGTTTGTTGAAGGCGTTTGCGCCGTGTATTCATCGTTTGCGCGCTGAGGGGTTTACTAGGATTAAGGTGTATCAGGGGGTTATTCGTAGGCTTCGTGAGAAGTGGCCGTGGAATGGATCTCATAGGGATATCACGAATTGGTTTGACCTACAGGAGGAGGAGTTTCAAAAGGTGTTTTTGGGGGTAGGTTGCATTGTGCTGATAAAGTTGAGGATGTGTGCTAATGTGTGGGTTAGGAAAGTGGAGATGATGAGGATAGTCGACAGCGGATCGCCGATGTCCTTTTGAAGCTTAGTGACTAAAGAATCACGTAATTGCTAGAGACGTAGAAGATGGAAAATGAGTCTATTTAAGAGAGGGTGGGGATTGAGAAGAAGCCTCAGGGAGGTCAGCCAACGCTATATCTCCATAGGGGTTAGGAAGATTTCGACCAAACACATCCAATGCTTGACCAGACCCTCAAGAAAACCTTCTTTCACCTGAATGTCATGCTTATTGATCATGAAGTATAATCTACTTTGCCGGCTTCTAAGCACGCTGAGATAAGAGCGTCTATGTACGGCGCGTTCTGAAGCATTCCTGACTTACACAGCTGCTTTTCATCTCCGGTCGCATGCTCGTGGAAGTTACAGCGATCTCGTAACTCCTTGCGTAATTCGTTCATTCCTTTGTCTTTGCTTGCAAGCTTGTGGTTGATATGCACAACTTCTATTAAGAAGTTTTGGGGCAGCTGTGCAACCTCGAGTAGCGCCCAGTGAGGGCCCATGTATTGGACCCGATTCAGCGCAGCATTCTTGACGAAGTATTGACGAATGGTAGAAGAAAGAAGTAATTTGTCGAAAATGACAGCGATTGTTCCAGGGATGGGAACAAAACTATCTTTCGTGAGGTCGCTGAAGGTGCTGATAACGTCATTGCGCAATTTGACGCACTCGTATGCATCCGCAAAGCAATAAAGATGGAAGAGACTATTCGAAACATCATTAGTGGAATTGAAGACAGCATTCGATTCGTCTTCATCTGTCTCATTGATCCTTTTACGCGTGTGAGCTGAGACATCAGTGTCCAAAGATTGGGTCATGCGAGCTGAAGGGCTTAATAGGGTCTTCACCTCACTAAGACCTGGAGGCGAGCGAGCCATCTGAAGGTAGACCCAGGTCTGAAAAATGCGGATGGTCTGCACAGAGGTCTCGATAAGATGCAAGAGGCCGTCTTTGTCTTCTTTGAAGTTGGGTCCGAATGCGCGAGAGAAGTACTCAGACTGCCGGCGAACGGGGTGTTTGTAGAAGGTGAAGGGCACTTTGTCTGCGCCCACGGTTACACGTACCATTTCGTTACCGAGATCCCTAATTTTGTTAGTAACTGTGAAGACTAATGGAGGGTTTGCTCTACATGATGTGTGCCTTAGAATTGATTGGGAGTGTGCTGCGGAATTAGAGCGGTCGAGAGGCAAAGTTGCCAGTTTAAGAGATCGAGAAACCGAGAGACCGAAAAATTGAGGCAACGAAGATCGAGATCAAATAATCATGGTGCAAAGGAAAGACGCAGTAGCAAAAGGGTTCCACGGCCATGGCATCGTGAATGCGCAGTCCTGTCCTGTAAACGTTCAGTGATTCCCCTGCACACACCAAATTCACTGTGATTGGTTTCACAGCTGCCTGTAAATTGGTAGAGATCTATCAGCTTTCGTTGATCCTCTAGAGAAGGGGAGGAGTGGGAGGAGGTCAACGCGAACTCACATGACGTGCGCCAAAGCCGGCTTATCTCCGTTCCATCGCCGAAGTCCAAGCTCCAAGCTTAGGCGTCACCGCCGAGCGGATGCGCTCACAGCTATAGCGAGACTCGACAGCACAGTGAGAAAGAGTACTGGGGCTGCAGATTATCGCGCAAACGATGAGTACGAACCTACGATAGTGGAAAGCTCAAATCGAAGCCCACTATGGCTTACGACACCTCAAACGGGTATGCGCCGCCCAGCACGAGCAACATGCAGGAGGACACCTCGGGCCCCATGTTCAGCATAGAGCGCGTAGCTTTACAATTCACCGTATCTTCCGACTTTGTAGCTGCTGCAGTAGCGAACAATGTAGTGGTACTGGCCCTGTCCACCGGGCGCATCTTGCGCATCGATTTGGACAGTCCCGCAGATATAGACGGTTCGTAGAGCAAATGCATACACCACACGAAAGACTTGAATAGCCGCTTACATATCCCAAGATATCGACCTACCGAAGAAGCCCTCAGAGGTTGGTGTCATTAGACGTCTCTTTCTCGACCCCTCCGCATCCCACCTCATTATAACCACCACCCTCGCCGAAAACTACTACCTCCATACACAATCACGAACACCGAAAGCGTTATCACGGCTGAAGGGCGTTGTCATAGAGAGCATCTCCTGGAATCCCTCACAGCCCACTGCTTCGACTCGCGAGATACTCGTGGGAGCATCAGATGGCAATGTCTACGAAGTATACATTGAGCCGTCATCTGAGTTCTACAGGAGGGAGGAAAGATACTTGAAGAGCGTATACCGGACAAACGATGGCCCTATCACGGGGCTATGGATGGATACGGTGCCTGGAAGAACAGATCTGCGGCGCATCATTATCGCGACTCCTTCAACTTTCCTACATTTCGCTGGCAAAGTCGGACGCCAGGGATCAGAAGGAAGCGGATCCATATTCTCGAAGCTGTTCGAAAGCGAATCTGCGACAGTACATGAGGTCTCGAACGTGGCCCCCACCGCAGCCTCGCTACTTGCCATCTCCCCGGAGAATAATGACAGCCCGAACCGCGAGGACTCCAACGCCGAGAGGATCTTCGGCTGGCTTACATCACAAGGTGTTCTACATGGGAAGCTGTACCTATCACAGGATATTTCTGAGCTTGGCGGCAAAGTTCTTGGAGACTCAAAGATGCTGCCTAGATCACAGGTGCCGCCTTCGCAGACAGCTAGCGGTCGTACACGACGGACACAAGACCCTGTCAGTTCGATGATCTTGAGCCAGTGGCATATTCTTCAGCTGGTTGAAGGTAGAGTCGTAGCTATCAACCGTCTCGACGACACTGTTGTCCATGACCAAGTTGTGCTAGAGTCTGGACAAAGTGCGCTTGGCCTGGTAGCTGACTGGAAGAGGAACACTTACTGGCTCTTCACAAGCCAGGAGATTTTCGAAATCGTCGTGGAAGATGAAAGCCGAGACGTCTGGAAGATCATGCTCAGAGCTCAACAATTTGAGGCTGCGTCGCAGTACGCCAAAACACCAGCTCAGAAGGATGCCGTGGCAACGGCATCTGGTGACTACCTTGTTGGGAAGAGCCAGTGGATGGAGGCCGCGACGGTCTACGGGCGAAGCACGAAGCCGTTTGAACAAGTCGCACTGACGTTTATCGATAACGGCGAGCAGGACGCTCTACGAAAGTACTTGGTGACGAAACTGTCCACATTGAAGAAGTCATCGATAATGCAACGGACTATGGTCGCTACTTGGCTGATTGAGCTCTACATGGCCAAACTCAATACTCTCGACGACACCATTACCACGAAAGCAGAACTCTCAGAGAGCATGAACACCGCCGAGACTCATGATCAACTATCAGTCATCCGGAAAGAGTATCAAGACTTTGTGACTAAGTACAAGGCTGATCTTGACCGCAAGACTGTATACGAGATCATTAGCAGTCACGGTCGAGAGGAAGAGCTGCTCTACTTTGCTACTGTGGTTAATGACTACAACTACGTACTTTCGTACTGGGTGCAGCGTGAGCGCTGGCAAGAGTCTCTGGACGTCCTTAAGAAGCAGACAGATCCCGAGATCTTCTACAAGTACAGCTCCGTGCTCATGGCCCACGTCCCGGTCGAGCTCGTCGATGTGATGATGCGACACTCGAACTTCGACGCGCAAAAGCTCATCCCAGCATTCCTCAACTACAACAACCACACCAAGGCTACGCTGAACCAGAACCAAGCAGTCCGCTACCTTCTCTTCGAGATCAACCAACACAACTCTACCGACGCCGCTATCCACAATACCCTCATCTCCATCTACGCGTCCCACCCCACAACCGACGAGTCCGCACTCCTCGCCTACCTCGAAGGCCAATCCCTCGCCCACGAGCAGAACTACGACGCGGACTTCGCCCTACGCCTTTGCATCCAACACAAGCGCGTCCAATCCTGCGTGCACATCTACAGCTCGATGCAACAATACGCGCAAGCCGTAGATCTCGCCCTAAAATACGACTCCATCGACCTCGCCTCGAGCGTCGCCGACCGCTCCAACACCTCGCCCGTGCTCCGCAAAAAGCTCTGGCTCGCCATCGCCAAGAAGGTAATTTCCCAATCCAGCGGCATAAAAACCGCCATCGAATTCCTGCGGCGCGTCGACCTCCTCCGCATCGAAGACCTCATCCCCTTCTTCCCCGACTTCGTCGTCATCGATGATTTCAAAGAGGAGATCTGCGCTGCTCTCGAAGACTACAGCCATAAAATCGATAGCTTGAAGCAGGAGATGGATGATAGTGAGGCGACGGCTACACATATCAAGTCGGATATCAAAGCCCTTGAACAGCGGTATGCGATTGTGGAGCCGGGGGAGAGGTGCTATGTGTGTGGGTTGCCGTTGTTGGCGAGGCAGTTCTTTGTGTTTCCTTGTCAGCATGCGTTTCATAGTGATTGTCTGGCTAAGAGGGTGGTGGAGCTTGCGGGCATTGCGAGGGGGAAGCGGATTGCGGAGTTGCAGGCTGAGGTGCAGAGGGGGGTTAAGGTGGGGAAGGGGAGGGAGAGGGCGATTAGGGAGTTGGATGCGCTGGTCGGGAGTAGTTGGTGAGTCCTCTGTTCTTTTCCTCGATGTGATTTCTTTCTGGGGATGTTTGCTAACGTGCTTTAGTGTGCTATGCGGTGAACTTGCTGTCAAGCTTGTCAACGAACCCTTCATCACCGCTACAGACGACAAGGACGAATGGGCTGTTTGAAGGAATCAGATTCCGCACGACATCACTTGGAAGACGAAAGCAAGCTAATTATGCAAGGAAGTCATATTGTACATTTACTTTGAATTGCATCTCTATAAGCCCCGCCCTTGCATGTGGTATACAAATTTTAGTAGTGCCGTACAATAAAACGGAGCTGATGATATGATTCCCGTTGTCTGTCCCCCCGAAGACGCCGTAGCGCTGATGCAAGAACTTAGAAAAAGGAAGAATAAGAGGCGCAAAAAGGGATTAGACGGATAGCTCAAACGAACGCCGGATGCAACATGTTTCCCCTTTGACTTCAAGAAAGCCATGGGACCTCGCCATGGAATGATATGCGACAGCGCTACTCATCCTCGTCATCGTCCATGGCGGTGTCGCCATTAGCTTTTGGCGCGGCGATGGCGTCGTCGTCTTCATCTTCGTCATCGACGACGCGGGCTTTGCGGGGACGGGGAGCTGCAGCTGCGGCACCATCGTCGTCGCTTCCAGCCGTGCCATCGGCTTTCTCTCCATCATCAGCGGGCGCTGCACCGTCTTCGTCGCTCTCATCGTCGATGAATTCCGCGGACTTGTATTTACCAACTGGTTCGCTCTTGCGGGCCAGCTTCCTCTTCTTCTTCTCGCGGGGCCGCTCTTCGTCGGATAGGTCCTCAGTACCACTAGCCGTCGTCCTCCTACGCCTTGAGCGTGGCTCGTCGTCATCAGAAGGCAGACCGTCGGTGTCAGAGTCGGCGTCCTTCTTCTTGCGCTTCGGGCCTTTGGGTCCACGTGCTTTGCGCTCCGCCTTGCGGACTTCCTTGTCCTCGTCCTCTTCCATGCGCCGACGTTCTTCTTCGTTACGCTTCTCCATGAGTTCGCGGTCGCGCTGGAGGAGGCGCTGCTGCTCCTCGGCGTACTTGCGCTTCTTGTCCAGGGCCTCTGCTTCTGCGCGTGCCTTTTCTTCCTCGCGGCGGCGCACTTCAGCTTCACGGATGCGGCGCGCTTGGTCGAGCTTGGTCGCGTTCTCGCCTTCGTATGCGGCTTGCTTCTCGCGGGTACGTTCGAGCTGCTTGACCATGGTATTACGACCCATGTTTGCACGAGCGGTGATGTCGGCACGCGGGAAGGGCGGGTTCTCTTCCTTAGTGAGTTTCTCAAGTGTTTCAATCGCCTCGTTGAGACCTATCACGGCTTGGTCGACGTCTTCGAGCGTGCGCTGCTGTTCGGTGAGCTGGTAGATTCGGGTGGCGATCTGGAACTGGACGAAAGCGACGTTGAACTGAGAGTTGAGGTCTGCGGGAGCGGCTGCGAGCGCTTGCTTTGAGTAGTCAAGTGCGGTGCGGAATCCGGCGATGCTGTTTTCATGCTTGGCTCGAAGATACCAGGTTCGTCCTAAACAAGCCAGGATCTTTGGGTCGTTGTGTCTGTTTCGGGATAGGGCTGCTTCATACTTGGATAAGTTAGCAAAAGGTCAACAATGTAGGGAGGGAGATGAGCCTACGTTTTCAATTGCTCGCGCATACTGCTTGATCTCGCAATACGTGTGTCCCAAGTTGACAAAGACACTGTGATCCTTGAGTGTTTCTCTGACCTTTGAGAAGATTTGCAGGGCTGTGGAGTAGTCCTTCTTGTCTTCTACTAGCGCAATGGCGATACCCTGAGCAGCATACGCATTCTTCGGATCGAGTTGCAGCACCTTGTCGAAAAATTCCACGGCTCGCTCGTAGCTCTTCCGACGCTTCTCTTTATCCTGTTCCGAACTTCGTGGCATCTCGCGCGCGATAGCGAGATGGATGTTGCCCATGCCCATTAGCGAATAGCGATCATGTTTGTCCGACTTCTGCAGAGTGTGTTTGTACAGTCGCTGCTCGTCGTCCGCTGCGAAGTTGGAGGTCTTCTTCTTCGACTTGTTGACATACCATCCGTACAAGGCTCGCACCTCAACATTGTCTTCATTCTCCTTGAAGAGATCCTTCATTGCTCTAGGGCCCTCATCTTGTGGGTTCTCCCTCAACGCAATGTAGGTAAGGCGAATCCGCGCGTCGACGTAATCAGGGTGTCGTTGAAGCAGACTGTTGTACACCTTCTTTGCCTCCTCCGCTTGGCCCTCGGCTTCGTAAGTTCGGGCAAGGTTGAAACTGATCGAGGTAACGAGTGCATCCGTGTCGATTGTATCGTCGCGGTTCTCGGCGTTTACGCAGGCGTTGAGAGCCACCTGGAAGAGTTCCTGAGCTCGCACGTAGCGCTCGGCCTGGAAATGGAAGCAGCCCATGTTGTTGAGTAGCTGTGGCGGCAGGAGTTGGCGAAGTGCTGCTGTGAGTTCGGCGCCCTCTTCGACGCCCTCTGGGTAATCCTCCTCTGGGATGGCTTCGATCTCCATTTGCTCCACTTCCTCCAGACACTTCAGGCTCTTCTCGGGGTGATCGTTCTCATAAAGTCGAGCCAGGTTGAGCAAAACCGACTGGTCAGGGATGACCTTCTTCTTGGGGTCCTTCCATGCGCTCTGTACGCTCTCAAGATATTTCAATGCCTTCTTCAACTCAGCGGATTTGTCCTCTGTGGACTTGTTGTTCTGAGCGGCGAAAACGTCTTCAGCGAAGAGAGTACCAAGCAGTGTCTGGGCTTCGACGTTGGGCGATTGTTGGAGGATCTTCTCGAGGCGGAATTTGGCGCCATCGTAGTTGTTCATCAAGACGTTCATCTGGGCCAGTCCGAACTTGGCTGGTATGAAACCCCGCTCCTCGCCTCCACGGGCCTGATCAGACTTCTGGTAGTACTCTGCCGCAAGTGAAGTGTTGTCCTGTTGATGCGCGACCTTGGCTCGTAGGTACCAACCATCGCTGGCTATGGCGTTGGTGTCGGTGAGTTCGATGGCGCGTTTCGCTACGTCTTCGGTTTTGGCGACATCTCTCCTCAGAGCAAGGTAGCTACCGACTGTGGCACAACTCAGGGGGTACTGGTTGTCGATCTTCAAGGCGGGCTGAATGTATTCACCAGTCGCCTTCTTGATCAGTGCGGCAAACTTGGGGTCGGAGGTGGAAAGGTTGGCGGTCTGCTGGAAGTTGTAGATGCCCAGTAGAATCAAAGCGATCTTGGAACTTGGGTTGAGCTCGAGAGACCTCTGCCAGGCGCTGGCAGCCTCGTCCTTGTGGCCAAGTTGCCAGAAACAGCAGCCGATACCAATGCGTGGATCTGGATCGAGGAGGTCCGGCGAGCTCTCGAGGATGTTTTGGTATCCCTTTAAGGCTTCTGCCCACTTGCCCATGGAGTAGTGAACGCGGGCCTTGCCCATTTTAGCCATGAGGTTCCTGCCGCCGGATGCCCTCAGCGCGTCCTCGAAACATTTGGCTGCCTGCTTGAGCGTCTCCATGCGCTCGGGGCTGACAGTGGAGCCGGCCGCAGTCGCAGGGCCCTGGAGTGAGGCCCTGAGCAGGTATAGAACACCGCGAGCGAGGAACAACGGGGGGTGCGAGGGGCTGATACGGGAGGCATCGTTGAGTACGCCGGTGGCCGACTGGATCCAGTACTCTTTGAGTTTCACATCTGAATCTGCGTTTTCTGACACATGTTAGCAGAATAAGCGTCTAGGGAGTCGGATGACATACGAGGCCTAACGCGCGGTGCTTCGCGACATTTGAGCAGGTACAGCCAGCAGAGGCCGTTGAGGATGCTGAGCCTGTCTTCGCCGCGCGCGCGGTTGAAGACTTCGGTGGCCTGGCGCAGCACGTCTATGGCCGTCTCTATCCTCTTGCGCTTCGCATAGGCCACGGCGACCTGGACCCACGTCGACGTCGCGCTCTTCTCGGCCTCTAGAATGTCGCATAGCTCGGTTGGGTCGTCCTGGATCTGCTCGTCAAGGGGAATTTCGACATCGAGCTGGCCTCCTTCCTCATCGGCGACGGAGATGGTGATGGAGCTGGGCACGTCCGAGTAGCGCGGCGGTGGGAACATGCTGCCAGCGCCGTTCACGCCATTCGCGCCATTGGCGTAAACTGCAGCCATGTTGGGAGAGAAGTCGCGATTGGGGAGATGGGATTCGCGATTGATTCGGGGACGAGACGGGATCAGCGCGACATAGCAGGTGGGAAGGGCAGAGAGGTAAAGGCGCGAGGCTGAAGGCTGCCTCCGTTGGTGGTTGGATAAAGAATCGCGAGTGAGAGCTTCCAGGGAGCGCGGAACGGCGAAACGTGCGGAATCAATGTCTTGGCGCGTCCATGAGGCTTGACGGCAGCAGCAGCGAAGACAATTTTCTTTGCAATTCTTGCTGCATAACTATACCAGGCCATGGTATGTCATTGAGAATCTAGATAGCGCAATGTAACTCCACCAGCATCATATGATACCTCCGAGTTCATGTTCGGCCCATGCCTTCATAGTGGACTCGCGTTGGGTGATCCCTGCGGCTACTCCAACACCCCCGAGCTCCCCGCAACAGTACACATGCACCACATGGATACCCAATGACGCGCAAACCTCACTCTTGCGCACCATGCATGCCGAAATAAGCCACGCAAGGAACACAACACTGCGTGTCGCCTGAGTACACTATGTCGCGCAATCCGGGCTACTCGCGGGCGGGAGCCAATGGAGGCTATGCCAACGGCAACGGCAGCTACAACGGGGGAGGATATAATGGATACGGCGGCGGTGACGGCAGCTACGATGGTCGACCGAGTGGCGAGCGAACGCGAAGACCAGGCGGATACGGCGGCATGAGCGCGCAACAGGACGACTACCCACCCCGACCGAGCAATGAGCGCGAACGACCCCGACGACCCGGCGGCTACGGTGGCCTTGCCCAAGAAGAAGAGATGGAAAGGAGACCCAGCGGCGACCGAGAGCGCAGACAGGGTGGCTATGGGGGAGGTGGCTTTGTAGGGCGTGACGAGAGCCCTCGCCAGGTCACACGGCCTACCAGCATCGAGCGCAGCCAGGCGAAACGACGCAGCGGAGAGCGGCAGAATGGGAGCCGCCCCAGGAACGCAAACAACGGACAAGGTAGCCAGGCAATCGAGGAGGTTCTCCAATATATACGGCAGAATTGGGACTTCATGACTAAAGACCAATGTGTTCCCATCGAAGTTGCCTTGAAGCTTATGGATTCGAGTTCGCTCGGCCTGGCAAGTCAAGCTGGCCAGTTTCAGCAAACACACGACCAGCTGCAGAACGCGCTCAAAGGCATCGTCAACGAGCACCACCAGGGTTTCAACAGTTCCATCGGTACCTTCCATCAGATCCAGTCCAGCCTGCAAAACTCCCAACACCGTGTAAGAACCCTCAAGGGCTCGCTTGTCGCAGCCAAATCATCACTCTCTACAGCCAAGCCCGAGCTTAGAGAGTTTGCAACCACGTCCCAGAACTACGACGAGATGCTACAGATGCTCGACACTATTGAGAAACTACAGCTCGTCCCTGAGAGACTGGAGGCTCGCATATCAGAGAAGCGATTCTTGACAGCAGTAGATATACTACAAGATGCGCTACGTATGATACGAAAGACTGAGATGGAGAAGATTGGCGCCTTATCAGACTTACGTACATATCTCAGCAACCAGGAAGTGTCTCTGACCGACATCTTGATCGAAGAACTCCACAGCCATCTCTACCTCAAGTCGCCCTACTGCGAAGATAGGTGGAAGGAGTATGCCCAAAACCAAGTCAAGGGTGACCTGTCTCAGCGTGCCCAGACTGATGCTAGGGGTCGGTTGCTTTACTACTTCCTTGATGGTCTTGATACGTCTGAACCAGTATGTATGCCCATACCAATTATGTACACGACTCACACTTCTAGATGACCGATGACTCCACTCACAACCCCGAAACAGACACGTTTCAGTACATACGGCTGGTCATGGAAGCATTGAACAAGATGAGCCGCCTAGACATGGCAGTAGATACCATCGAGCAACGCCTACCGGTCGAGCTCTTCAAGGTTGTCGACAAGTCTAACAACGAGGTCGCGCAACGGCACCCGAGCATACTGCGAGCTTACTCCGCCAAGAAGAAGGGCAAGGCAAAGACTGAAGTAGAAAACGAGGATGTTCGAACAACTCTGTTGAACGACTTGATGTGGACCCTTTATGCACGGTTCGAAGCAATTGCGGAAAGCCACCGGGTTGTGCACGATGTTGTGGCCGGTATCGTTCGTCGAGAGAACCGAGGTGCATCAAGCGCGACGTTGACCCGCGGATTCAAAGAGTTGTGGAAGCTCTATCAAAGCGAGGTTGGTTACCTGCAGTACTGCACATGCTGCTTGGCTGACAGAATCTAGATGCGATCACTGCTTCACGACTATCTTGCTACGGATGGCGAAGCGTCTTACAGAGGCGGTCAAGGCCAGGCATCTACTGGCAGCGCATTCTCTCGCGCTCCTCGGGACCGGAGCAAGCGCATGTTCAAGCTATCCGATGTGGATACTAAAGCGTCTGAGCTCTCCAAAGAGCGAGACGATCTTGAGGTCATCCTGAAGACATCTGTGCCCGGACTTGTATCCGACTCGAAGAGACCAGAGGATGTCAACACCAACACAGCTACCAATCTTGATGGCAGTGCGACTGGACATAAATTGCTCGTTGAGCCTAGTGTGTTCAACATGGGCATACTATTACCGCCATCATTAGACTTCCTGAACCGGCTGAAGGAGGTTGTACCCTCAAACGCTGACATTAGCATGAGTACTTTGACCTCGTTCTTGGACGATTTCCTAGTCAACGTCTTCCATCCGCAGCTCGACGAGACCCTTGTCGAGTTATGTTCTCAAACTTTCATCGAGGTCGACTCATTCAATGAGGACACTCAATGGTCGAAACACTCAAAGAAGCCCATTTTCAAGGTACGTTCTCCATTGGTCGTATGCTACTCTTGCTAACCCAACAGGGTACTGCACAATTCTTCACACTCATCACAGCTTTCTGCAAGATGCTCGATAATCTTCCTCATGACCAAGCGTTCTCACAACTCATTGTCAATCAAATGGACACATACGCTCAGAAGTGCACCGGCTGGTATAAAGCCCTCGTCAGTCGATCACAGCCTACAGCAAGTGGTCGTCTGATGAAGGCTCCTGCCGTATGGTCAGAGTCTGAAGCAATGGAAGACCTCATCGCCCATCTGGTGCGAATAGACTCGTCCGACCACGAGAGCTTGAACAAAGCCGTCGAAAGTGAAGTTGCTCTTTTGATCGAAGCAGTTGAAGCCGATGAACCTCTAGATCAAGCGGATATGATACAGGACAAGAAGAGTATCGTCAGCCTATGTTTGCTATACACGAGTATGAAGTGGCTGGCCACCAAGACCGCCCAATTACGGCATATTAGTGATCGTGCCTCTGACCCGATCAACGCCGAGTCGAGTGGCCAGAGGCACAATAGAAGGTGGACGCAGCTCTCCTCTGCCGATCCCAGGCCGCAGAGCGCCCATATCTACCTCCCATTGAGCGCAGATACAGCCGCGTAAGTGTCTTAATATTCATGAAAGCCGTATCTTACTAATCGGCGGGCAGTATCTTCGATGCAGTAGTAGGAACTTACCAAGCCCTCAGCACGCGCGTGCTTCGTACTCTGCACCTCTCTATACGATCGACAATCTTGTACTCGCTCAACGCAAGCATACAGCCCAACATCTACATCGATACTCTACTGAGCGACCCCGACCCAGCCATCCTAGCCTTGAACGCTACGCTCGTCTCCTTCGACACCGAAGTATCGACCTACATACCAACCGCCTCGTACGTGCACATCACACGCGGCTTAGCCACTCTGATGGACACCTACCTTCTCAACCTCTGCACCTCCAAGATCACGCGCATGAACACCAACGGCTGCGCGCTGATGCAACTCAACATCCTCGTCCTGCAGCAGAACCTCAAGAACATTGAAGACGGCGCTACTCTACCCTACGCAGCCCTCTTCTTCGATCTCTTCACCGCAGGTCCAGACGCGATTATCGCTCGAGCAAAAGAGTACGGCAAGGGCTTCGGGGTACCAGGCGACGTGTTCGGTGAACAGGAAGTGAAGAAGTTGCTACAAATGACGTATGAAGAGAAGTTGAACGCCGAGAACAGGGAGGCTAGCGTACAGGCAAAGAGAGCGCTGGATGCGCAGTTATTGGAGATTAGTGAGTTCATGTACTAGACATGAGCAGCTTCTCGTCTTCTGGACCACCCTGTTCAGTGATGTTGTTCTTTCTAGAAAGGGTGTCGTAGATGTAGTATCACCTTAGCTTTGAGGCCGAATGAAACATGACTTTATCTTTAGCCCTGCAGCCATAGATCTGACATGTCAGACGTGTTAGGAACTCGTGCAGCAGCATGCATGGCCAGCCTTACGAGCAGTTCGGCGACGTCGCGCGAGGCGGCGTCCGTGCGCGTACAACGTCGCCGAAGATGACAGGGGCGTAGATCTAAGCGACTCAGCCCAGCTTGCATGCCCGAGTGCTAGGGCTTCAGCTACACCGCGGAACAGCAGATTTGCTGACACGACGTGGAATGACGATTTGATGCAGAACTTTCACCGCTTCGTTATCGGAATGGGCGTACAGGCGTGCAGGACTGTTCTGCAAGAGAGTGTAACGATGCCCCAGGTGCGTTCTGGGCTGTGGCAATCGATTGTCACCGGAAAGAACTGGAGTAGGTAGGCATGATGCTACGCCGCACCGCACTGCAAGGAGACCTTCAAATAAGACCCCGAACCCGACACCCGGCGTCTAGTACTCAAACCTAACCCGCCAGCTGTGTACGAGCCAATGACAGACACAACACCCACATGTCATCCATCTCGCCTCTGCACCACTCACCCTCGCTTAGAACCGTTCGATCCTACACCCGTTGGCTAGATACCGCCAGCCACAACATGATGCTGATCTCACTTGAGATGGTGTAAGGGTCATTCCTACCTGAGGTGTGCATGCATGTGCGATTGGCAGATCTCGGCGCCGCGTATCACAGATTTCAGGCTTTCAGGCCACCCCTTGCGGTGACTTGATCTGTTGTCGCCGATGACTATGATACCCATCGGACCGTCGGGGTCTTCTTGGGGCTGTGGGTTGTCGGGGTTTGGGGTCTGAGTGTATCGGGGGTGAGGTGCGTGGAGGAGGGTTTATATGCGTGATGGCTGCCCTTTCTTTGTTCTATTGTACTTTGTCCATGCTTACTTAATTCAAGAGGGTTTCACTTTGATCTAATACTCTACAAAGCGATTGCGTATAACGGACGTTATTGATCAGGTTCGCGAATCCAGCTATGTCTCAAGACAGTACCGCAGAGGACGTTGAAAAGGGTGCTTCAGGCACTGACCATGCGCATCTGGCCAACGATGAGGTGAAGAGCTTCAGTTGGGAAGACATCACCGTCACAGTCAAAGATAGATCGTCTAAACAGCCAATCGATCTCCTATCTAATGTGAGCGGCATGATCGAAGCCGGAGAGATGATGGCGTTGATGGGTCCAAGGTACGTCCAGAATATCACAGCCTTGCAAACAGCTATCTAACAGGAACCACACAGTGGCTCCGGTAAAACGACTCTCCTCAATATTCTCGCCCACCGAGCTGCGATACCCAAAGCCACCATCCAACAAACCCTACGTATCAACGGCGCCCCAACAACCCTATCCTCCTTCCGCAAACTAAGCAGCTACGTCGAGCAAGAAGACGCCCTAATCGGTTCCCTTACCGTCCGCGAAACCCTCTACTTCGCCGCTCAGCTCGCCCTCCCAAGGTAATCGACACACTCTCCTCATCTCTCCAAGAAATATTCTAACCCATCCTCCACAGTTCCATCCCCGCCTCCTCCCGCAAAGCCCTCATAACCTCCCTTCTCACCTCCTTCGGCCTAACTCCTCAATCCAACACCCTAATCGGCACCCCCATCCGCAAAGGCGTCTCCGGCGGCCAGAAGCGGCGTGTCAGCGTCGCCAGCCAACTCATCACATCCCCCAAAATCCTATTTCTGGATGAACCAACCAGTGGACTGGATTCGGCTGCGAGCTACGAAGTCATCAAGTTTGTGCGGGACATTGCGAAGAAGTACAAGATTCTGGTGGTGGCGAGTATTCATCAGCCGTCTACGGCGACGTTTAGGTTGTTTGACAAGTTGATGCTTTTGAGCCGTGGGAAAGTGGTATTTAATGGCGGGGTTGAGGGGGTGAAGGGGTGGTTTGAGGGGTTGGGGTATGAGGTAAGTCCTTCTGTCTCGACAACCCGATATAGTATTGAGAGAGCGAGGAGCTGACGAGACACTTTGTGTGTAGATGCCACTCTACACGAACCCAGCCGAATTCGTCATCGACCTCATCAACACGGATTTCTTACACGACAGCACCACCGCCCAGCAACGACTCACCCACCTCCATACCTCCTGGGCTACCTCCTCCGCTGCAGCATCCCTAACCACGTCCATCCAGTCCTCCGCTAGAAACGCCCCTACAACTCTCACGTCCACCTCGTCCCCCTCAGCCACAAACGCCTCCCCCCTCCACACCACCCTAACCCTAATCCACCGCTCCTTCCTAAAATCTCACCGCGACATCGTCGCCTACGGCATCCGCATAGCCATGTACCTTGGCCTTGCCATAATGATGGGCACAGTCTGGCTACGTCTCTCCCCCACGCAATCCAACATCCAAGCCTTCACCAACGCCATCTTCTTCGGCGGCGCCTTCATGTCCTTCATGGCCGTTGCGTATATCCCCGCGTACCTCGAAGACCTCGCCATCTACAGCAAAGAGCGCGCAAACGGGCTGTACGGCCCCACAGCATTCATGATCAGTAACTTTGTAGTGGGCGTGCCGTACCTCTTTCTCATCACGATCCTGTTTTCCGTCGTGAGTTACTGGTTAGGAAATTTCCGGCCCGGGGCCGACGGGTTTTGGATGTGGGTGCTTTGGTTGTTTTTGGATTTACTTGCTGCGGAGTCTTTGGTCGTTCTTCTCTCCTCGCTCATACCCATATTTGTTGTTGCGCTGGCGGCGACGGCGTTTGCGAATGGCCTTTGGATGTGTGTGAATGGGTTTATGGTGCAGCCGGATACGCTGAATGTGTTTTGGAGGTACGTTTTTCATTATATTGATTATCAGGCGTATGTCTTTAGGGGTATGATGGTCAATGAGTTTGGGAAAAGGAATTATGAGTGTGAGAGGTTGGAGGGTGGTGGGTGTCAGTGTATGTATCCGAGTGCGTTGCAGGATCAGTGTTTGGTGGATGGCAAGGCGGTGCTGGCGGTTTATGGGTTTGGGACTGGGGATATTGGGAAGTATGTGGGGTATTTGCTGGTGATTGTTGTGGTATATAGGTTGTTGGGGTGGGCAGTCCTGTATTTGCGGAAGCATTGAGGAGGGTGGCGGTATGAATCCTTGATTTGCCGTCTTTGCTCGATTCTATCGTAGACTAGACGAAACAAAACTGCTGTCGTTTCCGGATTCCTTTCTCCATTTCCTCGATCAACTCTCCGTTCATGATCTCGTCCTTGTACACCTGGCCTAGGAGAAGGTAGTTCTCGCCCCGTGGTCGTAACGCAACTGGTGTATATGCTCCCTCTAGAACTACGATAGGATCTCCTTCTCGTAGACAGACAGGTCCGAGGCCATAAGATCCGTCCTTGGCACGAAAGAGAGCCCATTTATGGAAGCAACGGGATACGAGACATGCAAAAACTTTCCAACCCATTTCAGATCGACTAAACTCGTACTCGATTGAGCCACTCTCAGTTACATGTTCGGAGAGTGCATATAGAAGTCTAATATAATTCAGGAAACTCTGTAGATACTCCGTCACATTCTCTTCGCTCGCTTCGTTGTAGCTGAAGGCATAGCTAACCTCTCCTGCAGTTAATGTTCGTGCCATGGAGATCATGGCAGGATTCAGATCGCTGCCCACCGGGGCCTCTTGGGATACATTCTGCCGCCAGTAGTCGAGAAAGACATTGGCCGGATAATCCAGTTGAACCTTCGCGCTGTCAGCCAGACCCACATAGCTGAGGTCCGATATTCGCTCCCCTAGTAGCACGGTCGTGCAAGAAACAATTCCAGATACTGAACCGCATACCACGAGCTGCCTGCCACATGGCTTTGTCGTAATCTCGTGCGGCGCACTAAACTTATATACTCCGTATGCGCTGGACGTAGGGGACAACCCGCCCCTGATCTTATCAGGTGGTACAGGCTGCCACCGATCTCATTGAGGAACCCACGACTCGTATTCCGGGTGGCCATCATAGTCCACATCATGGTGGACGTGGGCAAATACTGCAAGATCGCTAGTCCATCTGATAATCGCAGTGGCAGCATCATGGAAAACCTCTGCGGCCGACTTTTCGTAGTCGATGGGAATGATACTCCTTTGCTCGCCAAGCTCTGTCAGCCCAAGTATACCATATACCTTGTCTCGAGGATCCGTAGCATGCCAACGCCTGTAAGTGCTGAGAGCTTGTAGAAGACGACATTTGTCCGACGTCAATGGACCGTTCATTCTCCAGGCATACGTTATGGTGACTGTGACCAAGGCGGACCTTAGATCTCGCTTGTGGCTCATTTCCCAGCTCGCTAGACGTACTGCAGTATACTTGGAGAGTTCTTCGGTTCCCCAGTAGTATACCAAATTAGCTGCTAATCGGAACTCTTGTATACACCACATGCGACGAAACCAAGGATTAGAAAAAAAGACTTGCAGTGAATGCCATGGTAAGGAAGCACCGAAAGCTGCGCCTGCTACGCGCCAATTGGAATCATAATCCTCTGGATTACCATCGACCAATTCCAAAGATTCAAAAAGACGTCTGATGTTTGAAGCGTGCTCATCCTCGACGTGGCCAAGCCAAACAACGACGCGTTTGGCGCGAAGATAGATTAAATCCATGCGACGGACCTGCGAACTCTTCTCCTCATCGTCAGACTGAGCGATGCACAGTGCATCTGCCCAGACAATCCGCACCTCATTTGTCATCCGCAGCCTCACAAGTGCATCGTAGAGGCTCGCCGTGACCAAGTGCGTTGTACCGTTGCAGAGTATCTGACGCTGGTCATTTAAGTCGCCCCAGCAGTAGGAGAGTGCTTCATATGCGGGTTTTTCGTCGACCTCATACTAGCGAAGCTCGCACGATATTGGGGACTCGGGGGTTGCAGAGGGTAGTATGTGTAGCAGGCGCATCTGGCTATTCGATAAACGCGTCGGATAGAGCGCCTCCATCGCGCAGAAGCGCTCGCAAGTCAAGCGACTGGTGAGTGGAAGACGATACACAATCTAGGCAAGCGCGACAAATAGCGAGGAGCCAAATTAATATTGAATCAGAAGGAATAGCTGGTTTTCTTCCATGTGCGCTTCTGTAGTAACAACTGGCGCAACTTTGATGTAGGTATCGTCTTAAGCGGGGTAAACTGGATGCCTCAAGGGGTGGAAGCAGCTGCGAACAGACCTCGGGAGATTGTTCCATTATCGGCCTAGCCCGCCAAGACCACCCGGGCACTTTCGTTCATCTGGCCCCTCGATGCCCAGGAGGTCTTTCACTGGGCAGCTCTTGCAAAATGACTCATTTTGAATCATATCGGTACTGCGTATAGTTCCGCACGTGTGAACTCCCATGACGACTTCCAATCTCGAAACACCATGTAGCGATAATGTACAAAAGGTCCGCGCCGTAGCTGCCTCATCGTGTTTCCCAGCCGTCCCTAACGCTTCCAAGGTTCTGCATCACACCTTGGCATACGCCTGTCAACACCGTGTAGTAATATCAGCTTACCAGCATGAGTTCCTACGATCTTACTGATGAGCAAGGTCTTCAGCAATACCTCGAGGCGAACCAATTCCCAGCAGCTAGCGTGCAGCTCCTCTCAGGAGGCAATGCAAATTACGTCTTCCGCGTCACGAAGCATGACGGCTCAACGAGCGTCTTTAAACATGCAGAGCCTTGTCTGAAATTCAACAAGGACTTTGCGCTCGATCCTGCCCGCATGGATTATGAGGTCCGGATTCTAGAAGCACTATCTTCCACGAAGAGCCCTCTACCCACAAGCCTTACCAGCTCGAACGTACACGCGGCAAGGTTTTTGAGCTACGACCGATCGGAAAAGCTGCTCCAAATTGAGGATGGTGGTAGTCATAACCTGAAGGATGCTTATACGGACCCGAAGCTCGACGTATCATCAATTGGAGAGCAGCTTGCCAGATGGCTCAGTGCACTGCATGTTTCAGCAAGGAACTTCTCGCTCGCTTCAGCGCACGAAGGACACGACAGCAACAATAATCCCATTGCAATCAACGTGTACCGGTACTCTTACAACGACCTGCACACCTCATTGACGCAGTTCGGTCACGACCGCCAGCTTGCTGATCTTGTCAACGAAAAGTTCGGCAGTCTACTCGCAACAGACGACGAGTGCATATGTCATGGCGACTTCTGGCCTGGAAACATCCTCGTCCGGGATCTTGAGTTGCAGCCGGCTGAGCTGACCATCGTGGATTGGGAAATAGTGCGTCGCGGTACTAGCGCAACAGATGTCGGTCAATTCGCTGCTGAAGCATTTCTTCTTGATCGCTTTCGAGGTGGGAGAGGGCTACTCGGTGCGTTCTTGAAGGCATATGTTGTAGCTCGTGGACAAACAGAGGTGCTTGGTAAAGCATGGCTAACGAGGATGGTGGTGCATTGGGCAGTTCACATTGCGTTCTGGCCGACTAGATTTGCGTGGTCTAATCAGGAAGAGACACAGTCACTGGTTGATATTGGCGTTCTTGCTTTGCAGAATGTTCTCAATGACGACTGGGAGAAGGTCCTGGAGTCACCGCTGTTAAGAGACATGAAGGAAACGTACTCTACGCTATTGTCACGACCATGAATTCTCCTAAAGGTGGAGACAACATGTCTAGGTTTCGTGAGTGTCAAGCTATGATGTTTAGGGCTCAAAGCTTACTATAAGCGCCTGGGTAAGCTTCCGTATTTCTCATGATACTAGTTGCTATGTTGCCAGCAGACCTCGTTCTACTGATCATATGCTGGGAGTGTGAAACCTTACAGTCACACGACCTTTCCACGCAACCCTCATTTTGCTTCATCGAGCAAATAAGACCTGTTCGCGCAGATACATAAGGGTTCATCGTGACTACCATCAACTATCACCTACCATGTCATCGACCAGCGCAATGTCTACACACTCTCACCAGACGAGATCTCTCGGATCGTAGGCCGACTCAAAACTGCGGTTGGAGAGATATCACAACTGCTATTTGACGGAGTTGAGCCACATATATCGCCAACACAAGCAGCAGAGATACAAGTCCATATATCAGCAATTGTGAACGGACTTGTTCGTGTCGTAGTACAGGACACCAATAACGGGAATGAGCAGTCATCACCAATGCAGAAACTGTACACCATGTTGCAGCAAGATCAAATGGTCGCACCTGTAACCCCTTCAGATGTTCAGGCCTCAGACGAACGGTTATTTGCTTTGGTTCACGAGGTTGAAAGCCAGAGAGACTTAGTGCAAACGGAAGTGTTTGAGACCTGGCCGAACCTAGAAGCCGCGTTGTTGGCGCTGGATTTGGACGGATAAATCGTAGAAGACACGGGTTTTGAGTACAGCGAGATTGATAAGAGGGGGAATTGGGGGTATGGATGTAATGCAAGGACATTAGACGAACAACTGGCGGCCAATATCGGCATAGGTAATACGGGGGATTGGGATACTGGTTCGAATTATTTATAGCTATAGGCTTGATAGTTACTCTGCTCTTCTTCACTCGTGATCTACAACCGATAATGCGTCCTGATCTTCCTAACAACTTTCTTTCGATTTCCGCAATTACTGCACCTTCTTCGCCCCCGATGCAATCTCAATGTCCGCCAGTGCAGCCTCTCGCCAGAACCAGACAGCGGCAAGGGTCGCGCCCGGGCCACCACCACCCGTCAGCGCCGCAATAACAAGAAAGCTCTCAAAGAGATTTTCCAGCGTAGCCTCTCCGTTCCTCATCCGCTGTACGTCGCACACAGCGACCCACGACGGAATAATGTACATTAGTCCGATGATGAGCCAATCCCATTGGAAGATGAACAGCAAACCCCAATCAGCATTCCTCTTCCAGGTATAGGTACTGGGTAAGAAGACGCGGGCGTACGTGACATCTGGGTCTGTCGATAGAGAAATACCACGGATGGCATACCAATGAGTTGCTACACAAAGAACGAAAAGGAGAGCGTAGAGAATCTTTAGATGCCGAACATCCGCATTCCTGTTGTTCGCAGTGACGGTTGTCGAGGTACCGGAGAGGGAGACGAGCCACATGGGAATGCCGGTAAGGATGGGTGTGAACTGCCAGAATGCTAGGAGATTTTGCATCCTGTCTGAGCTTTGGTCGGGAAGGAACAATGCGACCGTAGGCACAACGTAGAACAAGAAAACGCCTGGTAGGATCATGCGCGCGTAAGGCAACGGGACAGTGCGTCCGCTCTCAAAGTAGGCTTTGGGCTTCGAGACACGATGGAGGACTAGCCACCAGATAGTGACGACGCAAGCTGCTCCAACATTCTGATAGACGAAGGCCCAGATGGATATACTGCATAATGTCAGCTACATCAGGTTTCGCCAAATCCTACATTGGCAGACTTACTATTTCAGCCAACTATTCTGATTTCGCTGCCGATACGCCTCCACATTGTTGATCGTGATAAGGGCCGTGATTTGGATGAGGAAGTAAAGTTGTTGCCAATAATATGGCTCGTTCCATCGCATCGGGCCGGCTAGGAAGGCAGCCACCAGGAAAGACAGACCTTCGTCCACCAGATAGATGCCTGTGTAGTTCTTCTTGAGAAGCACACCATTTGGGAAAACGCCTGATGCTGCTGTTTCTAGAAAGCCTACAGGAACATCGTTCAGCGCGGTCGTGATGCGCATCGTATAGAACCCGAGCGCGGCCAAACCTGCCATCAGCGCCAGTAGCGCATTGTTGTTTGGGCGACCGACGTTTGCTGTTGATGTTGCCATGGTGGGCTGTTGCTGACGCTCAGGAAATCTGGTGTGCAGTGGCAGATAAGTCTGGTTTTATTCGTCCCGCGTAAGTGCTGGGCTTCACTTGGCGAGCTTCGCCTCTCCTATCACACTCAATACGGGGAATACGCCCTTGCGGGGCCTGCTTATGTAAAGCGGCTCAAGGCCCGGCGGGCCAATTGCTGCTTGGCCGTCTGAGTAGAGTCTCCACTGTCAGACGATGCCGTCGCATACCGATGTTGTCTGAAAGGTACGAGCATAAGGCACCGTGAGGCATCAGTCAACGGTGGCCAGATCGAGACAAAGATCGTCTCACGTGACCTAAGTATCCCCGTTCATGTCATGTGACCTCGCAAATACCCCTGCGATCGGTTCGTCACGGACACATGTATACGGGGTTTGTCCGAAATTTGAACTCAGTTTCGATGTGATGAGAGTTCTTGTCGAGCGGAACCGTTGTCGTTCTCGCGACTTTTGAATGGTTGATCCAGGTAAGTATACCGAATGTATGGTTCGGCCCTTTCGGCTAAGCGGCACACTGCGATGGCCGGAACGTGTTTCAACGGCGTTGGTGTTGAAGGCTCATCCGGTTTTAGACGTGACGTCAGCGCACCGCCTCATGACATGCCGCCATCGATGTTCCTTTCCAAAGAACAAATTCAACGATGCGACAAGAAGGAACGAGCATGCTTAACTCAATGAAGAGGGCGCGCGTGGCTTTGCGGAGTGATGTGCAGCAATGGTACCTGCCAAGCGCCCAACGCGATGAAGGTGGACGGAGGTGCCGAGATCGCGTCCTCCACGCGACGCTAGGGGAGTGATGTCATAGCATCCTTTCATCGCCTTTTGACGCAAGCTGGAGCAAGCACCACCAAGAATATAGGTCTTATGCAGGGACACCACCTGATCGAGTATGGCGCCTCCAATTTATGATGCGCTCTCCAGCGCTATTACGCATTGGCGCCCCTCAGGTGTCGGAACCTTGGCTGCCATGGTTTGACAACGCGTCGCGTCTTCCCTCTTGTATGCTTGTCCCTCTTGTCAAACCTTGCCTTCATCTTCTTCCTTACTCCCGTTCACAACGATACCCCAGAAGCCCTAAAGGCCCGAAAATCATACAGCATGGTCGGAGGCAGACGCAACATCCTCAACAGCCACAACAGCAACGGCAATGTTAACCGTCGCCATAATGTCGAACAATTCAGCAAGTATCAGCGCGTCGACCTGGAAAGCGGACATGGAGCGATCACACCCGTCAAGCCGAATCGTAGATTTCGCGATGCGATCGAACAAACCGTGAAAGACAACCGCGCCAATGAGATGAAGCAGAAGTTGATCGACAACATCGACCATGAAGCCCTCGAAATTTACAGGAAGAGTGATGAGAGCGTATGTTTTAGATGACTGGACTGCTCATACAGATGCTAACGTCCACCCTCAGCTGAAATCTATAAAGAATAAAAAGGTACGCGGTTTCTACGAGGAACAGAACGAGCGCTTAGACGACTGGGCCGAAGTCGACATGGTCGTTTCTTCGCTCGCCGACGACATTGTCGATAGTATGAACCCTCGAGACGTCGATGGCGATGGCGTGGCAGAAGACCGGGGACCATTGGGTAACAGCGGAGGGGACTTGGAACCTTTTCTACCCGAGGAGGAGCGCAACAGGCGAGCAAAGTCCGCTAAGCACGCGAGGTGGGCAATCAATGTACGTCTTCAATCCAAACATGTCTTCCCAAACTAACAGTGTACAGATCAACGTAATCGTAAACATCCTTCTCCTCGCGGCCAAGGGTGTAGCAGCCATTTGGTCCAGCTCCCTATCTTTAATTGCATCCCTCGTCGATTCGGCTCTCGACCTGCTCTGCACCGTCATCATCTGGACTACCAACAAGCTTGTAAGCTGGCGCGTGGAGGGTCTGCGAAAGAAGTTTCCTATTGGCCGGCGACGACTCGAACCCATCGGCATCCTAGTCTTTTCCATTCTCATGGTCATATCATTCCTCCAGATCCTCCAGGAATCGGTCAAGAAGCTCTTACCCAGCGGCGACCACAGCGTATCACAATTGCCACCAGCTGCTATCTTCGCCATGGTAGCTACAATTGTCGTCAAGGGTACCATTTGGGTAGGATGCGCAAGGGTCAAGACTACACAAGTGCAGGCCTTGGCACAGGATTGCAAGACTGGTAGGCTCATTCCCTTCGCCTCTTGGACTACAATAACTGACAAAATCAGACGTTATCTTCAACACCCTCTCCCTTTTGTTCCCGCTCATTGGTGGCCACGTCGGCGTCTGGTGGCTCGATCCCCTTGGCGCAGCTTGCCTCTCGCTTTTCATCATCTATGACTGGGCTTGCACTTGCTTTGAGAATGTCACCCGTTTGACTGGTGAGCAAGCTAGCGATCGTGTAGAGCGCAAGATGATGTATATGGCATACCGCTTCTCGCCCCTCGTCGAGGGCTTCAAGAGTCTCAAGTGCTACCATGCGGGTGATGGAGTCTGTGTGGAGATCGACGTGCTCATGAAGGAGGAGACGCCGTTGAGGAAGTGTCATGACATTGCGGAGACCCTGCAGTACTGTCTAGAGGGCTTGAATGAGGTGGACCGCGCTTTCGTGACTATGGATTGTGAGTACTATAATCGACAGAGGAGAGAGGTTGTGGACATATCGCTAACGTCTTGCAGACACTTCACAAGGCCCTACAGGCCACGCCGGCAGTTAGATATACGCATTCGAGCGATTCACATTTGGCGCCGTCATTGGCTGGTTGCATAGCATACATGGCGTTCAGTCAGTATCATACATACCTGTATTTTTCTCATTGTTTCCAGCGTACTAGCATTCGATTTCCCAATGTTACAATCAGTACAACTTTACAACCACTGTTGTCCTTCTACGTCATCGTTTCGTTTGCTAATCCACGCTATGACCTTTTGTAGTTCGCGAGAAGCGCGTGACAGTCAACACACGGAGCCAATAACCTAATCTCAACAAGTCCAGCTCCAAACCATTGTGCCCATCCACAGAGAGCCCGCATTCGGAACCCTTACCACTCTCTCGCAATTTTTATCTGCCTCCAAAGACAATGGCACGAGCATACCCGCACACGACTCCACCACACTTGTTCACCGACGCCAGACTCCTCGAGAATGACCCCCGCCATGTTCAGCAATTGCGCCGACTTCCTCGCCCATGGGCCCGAGCGCGCCGAATGCAGCATCTGTAGAGAGACATTCGATGACGCTCATTGGCCGTATCAGATTCGCGAATGTGGACATGTGTTCGGAAAGATCTGCCTGGAGGCGTGGCTGCAACAGTCGGACAGCAAAGGGACGTGTCCGCAGTGCAGAAGCGTCCTGTTTGACGCATTTTCCGCATCTTAAATTGCTGAGTTGCGACAGGAGCGTTCCGAACTATACGAACAAACTTTGTATGGACGCATACTCCGGCTACTCAACGTATATGACAGGGAGGGCCTGTGAGTCATGCTATGGATGAAAATGACGAATACCTTCGAGCCAGATGTTCGAGAGGCATATGAGAACGCATGAGCCCCACGCATCATCGGCCTGATTCAATATTTGCTTAAAGGGTTCGGTCTACCGAACAAGCACCATGATCGCGTGGTTTTATCTCGGGCGGTGCGAGAGACGGATGTCCGTGAACTTGTATTATGGGATGCATCCGACACCCCACCATTCAGCTATCAGCCCATCCATTATCTATCACAACAAATGATCAAGATTTCACGCATCGTCCCTCGCCAGGTCATCACCGATCCGATCCTTTGGCGCGCCATGATCTGTTATTATAATCTGGCAGGCCTTGAGATTGCAGTCTGTCATTTTGAAGATGACAGAGATTGGATGTTTGGCCCGCAGTCTGACGCATCTGAGTGGAACGATCTTGCAGCGATCTTGTATTTATTTCTGGTCCTCATAGCGCAAGATTCTAAACACAATTTCCGGCCGAACGACGACTACGGCGCTGAAGACGTGGAGAGTCTGTTGCGAGCAATAGATACTTAGATCACGTACAACGACTACCCGCTGTTGAACAGTGGCAACATCTCGAGAGACTACTGTGAGAGGGTAGCTCGCTTTCATCATAGAGCGCAGATCAACAACCCGCAGACAGTTCCCATCAAAGAACTGGCTGATCCGCACACAAGCGAGGAGCTCATCTTTTGCCATGTCAGGGATTTTTGGTTGAGCTCCAGGGAGTCCTGGAGCGCCAAACTTCCGGATGTGATTGATCCCGCACTCCGAGGACGGCAGCCCACATTGCGACAGATGACTAGCAGTGATATGAGAGTGAACAAGGTTTCGTAGGAGCGGATGGCGATGCCGATGAATTAAGCGCAGGTGAAGGCGTCGCGCAACGGGCATTTGAGACAGCATGATAAGGGCCGCTAGAACACTTCATGTAGTCTGGAGGGGGACGTAAAGGTCACAAGTAGTATATTGGATCTCTTGAGTAGAAGTAGAAGTTAAGGTAGCTTTCGGAATGCATCACAATACGTCGTCATTGTGGCTATGTCCAACTTTCCATTCGCTAGGGTATCTCTAATCAAACGCAAATGCGAAAAGCACAAAGACTAAGCTGACCAAAAAGGCGCTCCTCGCACGAAGACATCTCTTAATCCCATGGACTCCGCGAAAAGAATTAGAAATAAGAACGCCGACCGAAACAAAAGACATTCGTCCAAAGACATGGCCTTGATTTTAAGAACTCAGTCACGAGTCCGTTTTACGTGCTCGCTGCTCTCAGAGTCAGCAGGCCCTCGCGCACCCCTCTTCCTCATCGCAGCACGATCTTCCTCTTCAGTGGGCTCGGCGGGCTCTTCTCGCAACCGCTTCCACGCTTGCTCATCGTCATCGTGCGGGATGTCAGCGATGCTGCGCTTGCCCTTGAAGGGAACCGCCGCTCCTATCCAACCAACGGGACCTGTCGCAGGTGGTTGGCCTATAGCCAGGTTCTGAGCGGCCCTTCGACGAGTGACTTCAGTCCTCATGTTGGCCCTGTCGCCCCAATACTTCCTCTTATCATCCATATGTTCCTGGTAGGTTGGTAGATTGTTCCGTCTCGCCAAATTGAAGTGGTGGACCTCAAAGTAATGGCGCTCCTCCGTCTTCGCAAGATCCTTCATCTCGTCCCAGGTCAGGCCACCTTGAACGTTCTTCGCGATGCTCAACCCAAAATTGCTTTCGGCAATACCTTCAAAGAATATCTTGAGAGGTCTCTGGCGAATAGTGCAGCTTATTCGTCCAGACAGAGCTTCATTCTCAGCCTTCATGTCCTGAACGGCCAAAGCTTCCATACACCTCCAGACAATCTCTTCGCTTCCAAGGGGACTCACGTCTTCGACGACAGCTTGTATGATTTCGACGGTCTTTTCGACGTCTATTATCGGCTTGTCATTGCTGTCGCAAGCTTGGAATCGAGGTTGTATGGTGAGATAATCCATCATGACTTTGATGTCTGATGATTTCTCGAATGAGATGTTGAACTGGCCTGCAAACATGTCTGAGGCAGAATTGAGTTTGTTTTTCTCGTTCTTGTTCATCATCTTTCTGCGTGCTTCGATCAGTAGTCCGGTGAATCGGTCTTTGATCGAAGTCTTTAGAGGGGCGGAGAGACTAGCTGACTGCGCGGTACTATTGGCAGCAGTCTGGGATGAGCCAATATGATTGCTTGTAGGAACCTTTTGTGCGTATTCCTTCAGCCTGTTGTATTCTGCATTATGCAGCAGCTTGTTCTTCATGGCGAAGTCGAGGTCATTGGCCAGCCCTCTCGCAGATTCTGCTTCGCCGATATAGTTAAAGATCTCGTCCCGAATTCGGTTCTTCTGCTTCTCCTGCACCATCTGTGGAAGTGCCTGTTTCAGGATGACGTGAAGATCAGGAAGTAGTGCTCGCAGATATTCGGCTTTGCCGTTCGACCAATGATTGCTTGTGTTTGCCTGAACCCTGGATCTCGCTCGTGATTCAGTAGTACTCTCAGGCGGGAGCGCGTCAACCATGATTTGCTCCTCGGTATCCACGCGGCTGGTGACTTTGACGTCATCCATATCGTCTTGTACCATGCTGGAGATATCGCGAGAAGCTGGTGATGACTCTATTCCGTCCATGGTCTGGTTGGATTCTGCCCGCATGATATGAGAGTCGACCGGACGAGAACGAATAGGTCCTGGAATGCAGACCTCCATCGCTTCGGTTTGCGATGCTGCTCCAAGGACGATCAATAGCTCGCTACTACTGACATCGCGGTTTGTGGCATCTGTCGAGCGTGTCGGTTGAAGAGCGGTGGGCTGGGTCTTATATACACCGGCGGCGGCAACGTGGACTGCACCGTTTTCTTCGTTGCCGTCTTTGTTGGTGTATTCGGTAACAGGCAGATCTGTCGTACCGCCGTTACTTTGGGGGGCCCTTGTAGGCTCAATGGTGCACGATTGCTCTGCCGAGACTGCACCACTAGGCGCCTTGACTTCAGCAGGAGCGCTCTTGTCTTCATGGGCATTAACGTGTAGTTTAGCGGAGTCTTCTACCCCGTCAATGGCTTGGTCAAGCTCAGGGCACAGTGGCGCCTCCGTGGTGAATGAGCTGCAACTGCTGACCGACGAGAACAGCGACGAGTCGTCGGACGAATCGTCGGAGGATTCCTCGTCACTGGAGATGTCTGGTAAAGGAGTATTACTGGCGTACTCAAAAACGGATACGACGCGGGGTCCATGGAGAAGGATGTGCTCTTCAGGTTTCGAAAGTGACGGAAGCGGCTTCTTGCTCGCGACATCCAGATGGTACTCGTCAAAAGTTTGGTGAGGCTTCAAAACGTTGAAGACGGTACATAAGTCTTCGAACACGTCTTTTTGTTGACCGGTAACGTTCTCGTACTGCTTGAGGTGTGACCGCGCGATAATAGCAGAGCAGAGTGGTTTCTGGTTGCGAGAAGCCTTACGAAGTCTCGATCTGGGGGTCTGTTTCTCATTAGTCTGGTGATTTCACATCACGTGTTCCAAGTCTTACGGTGTTGTGGTACGCTGGTGACATCTCGGCGCTCATCGCGTCCTGGACGGAAGCAATGACGACCGGTATCATCTTACCGAGCGTCTGTTCCAGCGCGCCAGCCTCATACATCGGGCGGAGCGCGGCGAGTACGCGAGAAACAATGCGTTCCTCCATAACCTCCAGATACTCAACCAACTGAGGGGACAAGGAGCCGTCAGAGGTGAAGATGGGGGCGGAGCTTGCGGTAGCTGCGGTAGCCATTGTAGCAAGATACAAGTCGATGGAAAAAGAGGTGTCTGGCAGATGAATTGAGTGTAGTATTGCAAGAAGCTAGGTCAGTCGCGGTGTGATGTGACTGAGCGGGGTATTGTGACTAGAAAGGTCGTGAGAGCGACGCCCTGGCCAAGATATCGCATGACATAGGGACCTGTAGGACTGCAGCGACTGAATACCGACTTTCATTGGGCCAGTAACATCTATGCGTCATATTGGCAAAACGTATGAACGTGATCCAACTAAATAGACTATTCCAGGCGTAAAGATCTAGCAACGCCCAATCAGAGACGGCGCTCGTAGAATTTCTCAGATGTGCGAGACACAAAGCTATGACTTGTCATCGACAATAGCAAGCCACAATACACAAGCGATCATAAAAGCGCTCGCAGCAGCCTCAGATAGTGAAAGAGGGGAAGATAAAGATAGACACAAATGCTTCTGACGTCAAGCCTTGGGATATACCGCGCACTTCACAGACGGAACATCGCTCGAGGATCGCGTGTTTGCTCGCCCCAGGCAGCCCTGAGATGCTTGAAGGACGACCTTGTAGTAGAGGATAATGATGACGCTGTGTTGTAGCTTGTAGACTGACTGAAAACATTCTACTATAGTTGTTCTGATATACCGACATACTGAAATACGAAAGAAGACGCGATAGAATTAATATTTAGGATCCGTAAATGACATGGAATGAGACAAATAATGTGTAAAGATGAACTGGACAGCTAGAAACTTGGCCACTCACACACCCACGTATAGGTGACCTACAAATACGTGTTGCCAGGCAGCTAGGATTCCAAGCACTCTCAACCAGATGTCTGAGCTTGGACTCTCAAGAGTGATCTATCGGCATCATGCCTTTCCTCTTCCGCTGCCTTACAGTGCGTGCTATGAGCCGACGCGTGCGACCCATTGTCAATTCGCCTGCGTCAACTCGATTATACGGACTTTCTCAAGATGGAAACAGCGACAAGGAATCTTCGGATCTGGGGATGGCACTACAGCGTGGAAATACATTTGGGATGGGGTGGCTGAAGGGACGCGTTGAAGTTCGTTGTGGATTGAGTATCACGTCATGTCTGAGTAATCATCTATCCGCCCTCCCATGACGCGCGACGCGACGCGACCCTCATCCCACCGTTCATCGCGATACACATCGACCAACAACGCAAATAAGTGACCAAGCGCGCTCCCATGTGAAGACACTCTTACTACTCGCGAATCTTCGCAGAATCTTCAGCTATCGCGTCTTGTCTGCTTTACTGCAGCATCCTTTGCCCCACCCAATAATGATGATCAGCATAGCTTCGTAAAGCCTACAACATCCCAATTATAGGGTTCGATCCGTTTGTCTATCGTCTAGCCTTGGGTTCGGACTTCCTATGTAAGATGGTGTTGAGAGGCTAAACATAGTGTTTCGGACTCTCGCATACGCTGGCAGGTGTCCGCTTCCATCTCCGCGCAGCAGCCACGTCGATGTGTCAGCCAACACAGCACGGTATCTTCACGATCTAGTACCCCGATACACGACATCGATTTGCGCGCCTTTTCTGACCTATCCAGTGTTGGCAGCCATACATGGCCAACACGTAGTACGAAAATAGCGGCATGTGGTGTGACGCTAGACCAGATCCAACGATGCTTACACACGCTTACATTGCGCCGGTGACTTCAATGTCGCACTCTCCGTGCGGTCAATGGCAAGGTCGCGGCTTATCATCTACGGAGTATAATGTAGTGTGTGGAACGCTCAGTCAAAGGTTCAAGTGCAATTACATAGCAATCTCGACAAGATGGTGAACGTCACCAATGCCAATGGCATCACCGGCGCCAACTTCGACGTATTCGGCACCAATCGCGTGCTTCCTCGGGCAATGACAGCATTTACAGCTATCGCGTGGTACAACTCAATCGAGCTACTCATCCTCATCTTTGTCATATTCAGACGATACACTGGTCTATACTTCTGGAGTTTGATAGTTAATACGATCAGCATTGTGCCGTATGCGACAGGTAGGCATAAGCTTCTAGACTGGCAGAAGTGATGGCTGACTGAGTCTCCAGGGGCATGGATGAAACAAAACAGCGTTGCGCATGACCCTCGCATTTACAATACGCTCCTTACGCTCGGATGGATATTGATGGTTCCCGGACAATCCATGGTTCTGTACTCGCGCCTACACTTGATATCGCCGAACCTCAGGCTTCTGCGACTCATCTTTTGGATCATCATTGTTTCAGCAATATGCCTTTGTATACCGACGGTAGTCCTGAATCTACGGTTATTCACCAACCACCCAGAGCGATATCTCCGCGGCTACATGGTCATGGAGAAAATACAAATGACTCTCTTCACCATCCAGGAGATCTCGATAACATGCATCTACCTGTGGGAAACCCGCAAGCTCATGCGCGTTATTTTTGACGGAAAGGCTAGAAAGTGGATGTGGCAGCTCGTCGCAATGAGCATACTCCTGCTTATACTGGATATCGCGTTACTTACGACGGAATTTTTGAATCTTTACATGATACAGACGACCTTCAAATCACTTGTTTACAGCTTCAAACTGAAGATCGAGTTCGCAGTACTCAGTCAGATCGTGCGCGTCATCCAAGATCGTGCGCATTCTAGCCGCTCGGCCGTAACGCACCCGTCGGATTTGGAGCGCCAGATCAACACCCGAAAACCAACGTCCAGTCAGGTGTCAGAGGTGGAGAGCTTGCAACGCAACGTACCACTTGAATGGCGCTTGTCAAGGGAGGCCACATCTTTTGTTTCGCCAGTCGCTCTCACTATGGCGAAGAGAGAAGATATCAAAAGCGCTAGGTGCAGCGTCGTGTCTATAGACGCGATGTACCCTGGGATATTGGGATGATAGCGCGATAGGCATTCTTTAGTCGAGTGAACGATGGAGGTTGACACGTCAACGGCGGAAACAACCTGCTACACTGGAGCGACGTGAGGTATGCGGCTTGGAACTTACAGCAATGACGTGAAGAAGGCCGCTATATTGGTGACCATTGGCGCGCGCTGTACCTGTTCCTCTTCCTCATGGCCAATCAATCTTTCCAGCATGGGTCAGTTCGCGGTGTACTTCATACCTTCGAGCTTAGCAATGCTTCTTCGGCGTTGTCAAGTCACAATACAGCGACCAAGCTCTTTCTCTCGGCGGCAATTCACGTGCTCGATCTAAAAAACATTGGTGAAGCTCCAGTCCGACATGTCCGTAGTGTACGGCTGCTCAGTGAGAACACGAGTGATGCACAGCTGAAGCAGGATGCCGAAGAGCTTTGGCCGGGGGCTATGGCGTTGGGCGCGAATGAGATCATGGAGTTCTCAGAAAGTGTGTGGTACTATGAATGAGGGTACGATGTACGTGCGATTGTTGAAAGATTGGACACTTGTTGAAGGAGACATGCTCCAGTAGACTGATGCTAAAGCTCTTCACACAAGACGGAGGCTATAATGAAACTTTGGATTTGCTACGTTTTGGCGGTCCAATGCTGAACCTCGACGTAAATGTGATGATAAACTTTGGATAACCTGTGCGCATTCTTTGCGGCGTATGAGTCTGAGACTCGAACGTTGAGAAACGTAGCCATGCATGTAGAACCAGAACTTCTCTGGAACGGACAAACCAAATTGAAAGAAAAGAATAACCATCGCAACGATAAGCAAAGTACCTCTGTACGCGTGTGTAGATGTGTCGCACGATCTGCATCCCAACATCGGCCAACTTCTCCGTTCCCAGCTTCTTTTTTCCCACTCAAGCTAACTTGAACACACCACCGTGCCAGCCGTATACCCTCTGAAGCCTCCTGCCAAAACGCCGAGCCATGATGTAGGGAATGCTGCTATCGGGATGTGGCTCATGAAACTGGATGCCACGAACGACATCCAAAGAACCGCAAGGAGTAAACTGCCAGGCTGAGCCCTGGAGCTTTTCGGCAGAGAAGCCAGCCCGAATCATGGCGCGTTTGAAGTCGTCCCAATTGATTGCCTTTGGTATCTCTCCAAGATCTGCAAGAGAGACATGGAACAGGGTCTTGAACACCTTGTGGGCACGCTTATCGACGCAGTAGATTCTCTCGGGCTTCTTCTCTGGGCTTGGATGGCCGATGTCGTGAGCTTGAGTCGCTGGCTCGATATCTAGAGGAGTCTGGCAGCGTGTCTCCTGCTTGGCACTCCCCCGTGTGACCGGCTTATCGAAGGTTCCAGTAATTTGTAGTGCAATATCGTGGTCGTAGTTGCTGATGACATTGTACTCGATGCTTCTGGCGCAAGCGCGACCTGCAGGTGAGAGCGAACTTGTAGACTGAGTGCATGATTTTAGCTCTATACCCAACCTGCTCGTGTTTGGATATGATGATCTTCAAGACAACAGCCAGCTGGCGAAAGAGGGATAGTGCTTAGGACACTTAAGGTGATGTGCCACCTGCAAAAGCTTGCACCGGTGTTGAAGAAGCCGTCATTTCGTGAAGGAGCTTGGTCGGTCAGTAGCGCTGGGATCCATATCCTCTCTTAGCCACAGGTGAGGCTAGATGCGCGCTTCCAGATGTGCATAATGACCAGAAAAGGCATGTTTGTTGTGATCGCAGATGAATCTCGCATGTCCTTCATGCTTTTGAGATGATATTGTTGAAGTTCGAGAAGCGCGGAGACTTCGCTTTCCCAAGCAGACACGCAGCCTGTTACCTGCTCTCTAAATGATCTTGACCTGTCGAATGGGTAGTGCTTCGAAGAACTCGCTCAATATGCTACGCTGTTCTTCTGTGGACTCTTTGTCCCGACATACTGGTTGGAACACGATCATTCCCATTCTTTCAAAATTGCCATTGGCGACCTCTCGCAGAATAAGCCTATAGGAAGTTGGGATTTTGTCATCTGAGTAAAAATGAATTGGCACAGCGAGGTACGTGTCTTCAGTCGTTGCACTCCGATGACCGGTGTTCCAATCGAAGTTTGGCCGTAAGACCTCCGAAATAGTTGCCAAAGGGTCTCCACATAGAGGAGGAAAGATCTCCAGGCGAGGCCAAAGTTTTTTTTGGTTCTGAAGAGGCAAGGTGCGTTAAACGAATTGGGCACATGGGGCCCTCCAAAGTGATACTAGCATTCATGACTTCGCCAACATGAATCGGTCCATTCCGAGTAAAAGACAGATCAACAAGCCTAAGTGATGGCACGATGGTTCCGCGGTCCCATTGAACTATGCTTTGTGAAGATGACCACGACCACGTCGGAATGGTGTCTGAAGGACGTGGCACCTGCCATTCACCAAACTCGTTGACAACCCAGGCTAGATCGGTAAGCAGACTGCTTTTCCACATACCCGCAATGTATGTATCGGATTTTCGCAATCGCATTTCTCGTTCGACTATAGCGGCAATAGGTGGCAGCCGGTCGGTCGCATACGTTGAATCCAAACCAGAATAGGTCGTTACAATTGCCCGCCAGCGGTTGACTGGATCTTCCTCGGCATCAAAGAACGCGTTGCTTTTGGTACTCACCGTGTTGAATCCTGGGTAGTAGTCACCGTAGGTTAACCCACTTTCTGTTGTGAACAGACTTGGGTATTGCCAATAAATCTAAAGTGGATGAGGATAAACAAAGCAGTGAGGAGCCTATGTCGTCGCGCTCAGCGAGATAGTAAGCAGAAAGCTGCCAGGAGGCGGGGCAGCGTGCATGCTTGCCGCAGTATAGGCTGTGCATTCCTGCGGCACATGCTGATCTGAAGTTCCAATACCGGTGACTGTTTTAGGAGCCATGGCTTCGAGACTAAGTGGTTGATGGGTGAAGAGATGAATAGTAGAATGGAGAGAACGGATGCCGGAGCTGTAGCTGGAGCCGTGCACGCCAGAAGGCACTAGTCATCTTTCCATTTCCATCGCAAAGGAGGACGTTGCAGTCGCGCACGTAGGATCTACGGATCCGAGAACCAGATCTTATGGCTTTAGTGCTGGATCTCAAGCTCAATGAATCTATCCATAACTGATTTAGATGAGTATCTTCAAATCGGATGTTTGGTCGTCCTCATCCATTTGACCGGCATTCCAGTACACGTCTTTAATGACCAGATTGTTCAATATTTTGGGACATTGGCAGCGCAGTATACTAGTTCATTGATTCGTCTATCATAGACGCGTTACTTCATATATATCATCCCCAATCATCCTTACCAGCATTCCACCACGCTGGCCTTCCATCTCCTCCTCCCTTCCAAACAACAATAAACATATCAGAACTCCACCGACGCCTTCGTGTGGCTCATGTCGAGCATATATAGGCGTAAAAAAACCGATAAAGAAATGCAAATGATATACGAGAATCAAAGTTCGTCTCGTCACCAATACCCTGTCACACGTTGTTCATGCGCAGGAGCAGGTGTTCCTTCCCTCAGTCCAACTATAGTATTTCCTTCAGCTTCTCCTTTTGTGCGCTTGTCAAGCTGGTGGGGAACTTGATCTTTACGCCGACGATGAAGTCGCCGCGATCTGAGGGTTTCTTGGACTTGGGCATGCCGAGGTTGGGATATCGTTCTGTCCAGGTGGGACCTGTAGGACCGCCGCTGCCGACGCTGAGTTGTTTGCCGTCGATGGTTTGGACGGTTCGGCGCCAGCCGGTTAGGGCTTCTTTGAGGTCGATTTCGATCGTGTGTTTGACGTCGTCGCCTTCGCGGGTGAACATTGCGTGGGGTTTCTGTGGTGTCGTTAGTATCGATTTTTGCGTGAATCGTGAATGGAAAGACTTACCTCAGAGACGATGAAGTGTAGATCTTGTGTTCCACCCTCCACCTGGTCGCCGACATCTGAGAACTTGATCTTGCTACCAGCCTTCAACCCCTTCTTGATAGGCACCTCCAGAATCCGGTCTTGCGTGCTTTGCTTGCCGGTACTCTGGTCGTATGTCTTGCGCTTAATCTTGAGCTTCTTGGTGGTGCCATTGTACAGCTCTTCCAAGCTCACCGCAAGCGGCTTCTCAACAACCGTGACTTCAGGCTCTGGTGCTCGTCGTCCACCGCGGAATCGGCCGCCTTTTCCACCTCCACCACCGCTTCCGCCCATACCACCACCCATTCCGCCAGGCATACCGCCCATGCCGAAGCCGCCAAAGTCAAAGTCATCACCGCCGGCGCCGCTGTTGCGCATAAACTCGCCAAAGATATCGTCGGCGTTGGAGAAGTTGAAGCCGTTTCCGCCGCCGCCGCCCGTCGAGAAGTGGAACGAGCGTGTGCCGCCGGGCATGCCACCCGATGATGCGAAGGGGAAGCCTCCGCCGCCTCCTGCACCCGCGAATGGGTTACCACCAGCACCTCCAGCATCTTCAGGGTGTGGTACGCCGCCGCGTAGTATGAATTCGAGGCCGTATTGATCGTACGTTTTGCGCTTCTCGGGGTCGGAGAGGATTTCGTAGGCTTGTGAACATTCTAAACGTACTGTTAATATACTATATCCAGACTGTGTGAGCTAGGGAATTGGTTTACGTACCTTTGAATTTCTCAGCAGCTTGCGGGTTGTCCTTATTCTTGTCGGGGTGCCACTTCAGCGCCGCCTTGCGGTATGCTTTCTTGATCTCATCTTGCGTCGCGGTTTCTGATATGCCTAGAACTCAGTCAGCAATAGTTCATGTATCTACCCGAGACCTCGAACACCCCGGGCCCGGGCATGCCGCGTCCTGGCAGGGCAGGGTGGTGGAGGGGCACATCCGAGGCAAACGTACCTAATGAATCGTAGAGCTTGGACTCCTTGACCATTTTGAAGTCCGGTGATTAGAAAAGTAGGGTGTCTCGTGTATGCGCAAGTAGTGTTTGTAAGCTTCTTTGGTGGCAGCTTGTAAGGTTGGGTCGCATTTATCACTCGAGCTTTGGATGTCTCTCCACTTGTCAAACGACGCTAGCGGTGACGTCGAGCCCTGACGCGGAGCGAACACAGGGAAGCTTCGAGAAGCTTCAACCACAATGCCATATCCTAACCATCACAAACTCTGATGTCGTGCATCATGCGCTTCAACTCAAAATTAGAAACCTGAATTCGTAGCACAGGGATTGTATCGAATCGACGTATCTAGCAATGAGCTGGCGCGCTCCACCTGAAGACGCGCGCTTGCCGTTCCTCGTGGTCTTGCTTGACGCGCCCCGCTCTTGCAGTCTAAGAAGCTTCACTTCAACACGTGAAGCCTCGCAGCTGAAATGAAGTCGCTATGCGTTAAATTAGCATAATCTTACGATCCCAGATTTGCCGAACGCGTCATTGGGTTGCAAGCTTTCTATTTCAACATACAGTTCAGGGAATACTCCTGCAGCGATCTCACGACGCAATGATCCAACGCTCAAGCGCGCCGCCCAAGTTCTTCGAGTCCACTGGCTAGCCAGCAACAACCCGAACACTTTCCCAGTTAAGATGCAAGACATTTCAACATAGGTTCCGCGACTCCAAGTACCCTCCCTTGGCCTGTTGGCATGGACATTTAGGCATACATACGAAGCATCAGAGTGGTGTTTTCGACCACACAAGCCATAATTACAGCCTACGAGAAGCACTGCGCATCAATGACAGCCATGTGAAAGTATCAGAAATGTGAAATTTAAACAGTGAATTGAACATGTCTAGCGATACGCAATGTCGCACTTGAACACGCAATCGACCACCTTTGTCGCAGAAAACTTCGACGCGCCATAAAACGCCAGCATGCCCATGATCCCTAACGCCATTTTTCCGGTATGCTACATTAAAGAAGCTGGTATCCAAGGATAGAGTAGTAGTAACTATGACATGTACACGGTTCTGGTGTACAGCGCTTGTACAGGCAACAGCAATGCGCGCTGTCGCTTTTTGGTTCGGACGTCCATCGTTCATAACTGATCGTTTAGTCGGAGTCGCTGTCAGAATCACCCTTGCTCTTCTTCTTGTCCTTCTTGGCGGCCTTTTCGGCCTTCTTCGCAGCCTTCTCTTCCTTCTTCTTGCGCTTGCGCTCGGCCTTGTCCTCATCGGCCTCATCGTCACCGTCACCGCGGCTCTTGCGCTTCTTGCTCTTCTTGTCGGTCTCAGCTTCCGCCTCAGCCTCTTCAGTAGAGGTAAGACCCGTCGCTGGGATTGCAGGAGCGGCGAGAACCTCAGAGGTCGAAGTTGTCTGGGCAAGGGGAGCAGAGGCGCCGTCGACATCGTTCCTGTTGAAGTCCTTGTACTCAGTGTTCCACTTGGAAGGAGTCTTGTCGTTGGGGCGGCCGAATTTCTGAGCATGTCAGTATAGCACTCGCAAATCTGAAGTTGATCACCTACGTCAAGAGTGCCAGCCTCCTTCATCTTCTTCTTCTCGGTGGCGACTGGGCCCATACCCCACCTCCTGGGGTAAAGGTCACGTTCCATAATGACACGCTTGATCTTCGCAACAACACCGTGGTCGCACGATGACATCTCGACAGCCGACATTTGCGCGTAAGCGAGCGCGATAGCCTCACCCTTGGTGGTCATGAGGACGACCTCCTCGTGGATCTCAATACCCTTCTCGAATCGCAGCAGACCGGGAAGCATGAGCTTAGCACCGTAGCAGATGGCGTTGACAGAGCTGTCCTTGACCACGATACGCTTGTAGCTCATCAACAGACTCTCCAGAGGCGCGATGACCTTGCGCAGGTAAGCCTCGTCGCGGTTGTTGTCGTGTAGCCATTGGGCATCGAGAACGTCGTGCAGAGTGACCAAGTCCTTGGTCTCGTCCATGGCTCCACTCCTAACACGGCGGAGCTCCTGCATGTGGGCGCCAACACCGAGCAAAAGACCAAGATGCACGCACAGAGTACGGATGTAGGTTCCAGCCTCGCAGCTGACCCAGAACACACCGAGCTGCCTCTCGTTGTCAAACTCGTACAGCTTGCTCTCGTGGATGGTTCGAATACGGAGTTGACGCTTGACGGCGGAAATGAGCGGGGGACGCTGGAAGAGAGCTCCGGTGAGCGTCTCAAGGGCACGCGCAAACTGGGCCTCGCCTCCGGGAAGCTTGTCATGCATGCGGATGACGCAGACATACTCCTTTCCGGCTCCCTGCTGGGACTTGACGAGACGAGTGGCGCGATCAATGCAGACGATGAGGCAACCAGTGACCTTGGGGTCAAGAGTTCCACTGTGACCAGTCTTCTCGACTCTTTGGCACGCGTTAGCTGAATGCGCCTTAAAAGAAAAGTCACGAAGTGCCTCTTACCTCAGCATGCGCTTGATCCATGACACGACTTCGTGAGAGGATGGGTTGGAAGGCTTGTCGAGGTTGATAACACCAGAGCTAATGTAAGACTTGAGGTCTCGCGACAACGGTGTGCATCCATTTGGGATGGGAGTGTAGTGCGATGTGCGAACGAGCACTGTACGCGCATTAGCAAAGCATTCTGGAGCTATGGGGAAGCTGCAGCATACGGTCGCTGTAGTTTTTGAGCAGGAGCGGCCAGTCGCTTGTGTCGATGGCAGGCGCAGCCGCCGCTGGCTTGATCACATACGCGTCGGGGTCGGTCTGCACGAGAGCCATGGCGATTATTGTGTCGGGTGTTGGTGTTGCGATTGGCGATGCGATGTTCTCGAACTTTTTTGCAGTAGTATTTTCACGGCGTCCAAGCTATTGGACGCATAGACCATCATGCCGGATCTTTGTCGGGCCGTTGTCTAGCCCGAACACGCATCAGATGTTCGCCAGACGACTAGACACAATATTCTGTCACCTCATTCAAGAAAATATCTGAACACTATGGAGCCTACATCAAGATGAAAACATGCAAAGTAGATGACCCAACGTCAATGTAGCCACCAGACCTGTTCAGGTTTTTCCTTGTATGAGGTGCTGTAGTGTTCTTTGTTATGGCCGATCACAAACAAGTCAGATGTACAACATATTGTGATATTATTATGGATTCATTGGGTAACAAATGTGTATCACACGCCCCCTGCAACTACAATGAACTCTCTTTACGCAGCACCCCTACTGCCAACTCTGATCGTTCTAGTTCACTACCTGTCCGTACTCGTTGCTATGCAAAGTGGTAATGTCTCCACTACGGACGCCCTGTCTCTCGTTCAAAATCTCATCCTCTCCCGTACTGCGCAGCGTGGTGCCATCCATCTTGCCATCGACACCGCGTCTAACGCCAGGCTCGATCAGACTGCCTTCGCCACTGAGCACATCTGGCCAGAACGCCTCTTCAGCGTCGAGCAGGGCCCTCCAAATAGGATCAATCCTGCTCTTGACCTCTGCCCATCTTGTATCATCTCGGTCAACAGCGTCGCTTACACCCTCGTTGACAATGCGCTCAAGCTGCTCAACGAACATGAGGAAATCGCGATTTGACCAATTGGGAATGAACTCTCGGCGCATCGCACCGCCGTCTTGGTCGTTGTCGTAGTTCCGAGGAGAAGACTGGGCGTCTTGTCGGCGGGCCCAGGACCAGGCCTCGTAGTATACCTTCTCAGTCGACCATAGTAGAACGGCGCCTTCGAGCCACGGCATGAACGTGTTTGGTTGTTGGGAAGCAACACTAGCGAATAGTGCTTCATAGCGACGGAGCCCTTCGGATTTGATGTTCTCTTGGAGTGGTGAGGGGGGAAGATCGATCTTGTAGATCTCAGCAACTTCTTGGAAAAACCGCAACTCCCTCTCTCCATTCTTGATACCAGATTCTAACCACGCAATGAATCGCGTGGGAATGTCTGGCTCCTCACCAGGTGCAGTCGTTGACTTGTGCGTACTGCGGATGAGGTTGAGGGTGTGGTTGATAGTAGCAAGATAACCTTGAAGGTACTGCCTGTCGTTTGCGAGCCATTGTGCAATCAAAGGCTTTGGTAGGGTGCCTTTTGCGGCACGCTCGAGGAAGGGGTGTCTTGTAACGCGAAGCAACTGTTCATGATTGATGGCGAGAAGATGAGTTGTTACTGCCCAGGGGACGTTGGTGGGGTCGATGTCGCTCTTGCTGGCCCAGGTTCCGGGGTGGTGGTGAGGCATGGTAAGTATCGTTCACGTAGGATCTGTGTTATCTGTATTGAACGGTGTATGTATTCGATGAGGTACATCCTGCGGAGCTGGCGGGGTAGCAAGCTACTTAAATGCTATAGGAAAGATGCTTGCCAAGCGACACGATGGCTCCGAGGAGACACAATTACGTGTTGAGGCTGAGAGTACAACAGCGTGTGGCGTTGCCAAGTAGGATTGATGGTGTTGAATGTGCGCATGACGTCGGACAAGGACCATCGGAGTTTGTGACGCTCTGAGTGGTGCAGGCGTACGGCAAACCGGAATCTAGAATCCCAACTTGGAACTTGGCAGTTCAATTCTCAGCGGAACTCTTGGCATCAAACCACTTAGTACTTGTCCAAGCCATACTCTGTGGCTGAAGCAAGGCGGACTGCTTGGCGCATGACGATGCCGCCACTTGTGAGCTGCTGCTGGTGTGACAGTTCGAGTGTGCCGGACAAACTTCGGGCAGCGAGATTAGTATACAAGATCACGCGACCAAAACATTCGATCGAGGAACATGGTGTTTGTTGGTTAAGTTTAACTTGTACCGGCATATTGCCAGTCGTCCAATGGTCACATTGCTTCGTTGAACGCAGGTGCTCCGAGCGGTGGTTGTGGCGACAACGTTATAGTCTACAGTAGAAGAAGTGGTAGGCTCCAAGCCATTGTCGGCGCCAACCTCGCTAATGTACTCATGGTTCTAGAGGTTTAGAACCTTCGAAGTCTAACTGGCAACATCATTGCCAGCCAAAAGAGACCCATTTACGATCATGTCCTCGTCTAGGGGTTGTTCGTAAGACGAGCGGACGTGTTGAAGAGTAGAAGGAGTCTAGACAATCCAATGTAAGATAGAAAGCATTTAAAAAACCATGGGATTTTGACGATGAGATGAAGACATAAGGGATCCATGAATGGTAATGAGTGAAGGGTGTCCCGAAACCGCGGTCGAGTGTCTTAGCGCGGCGCGTCATACTGCAGCCTCCTGCGCTCCACCTCGAACTTTCTTGCGACCGACCGTCGGCGCCAACCCTAGACCAACCAGCGGGCTATCCACACAGCACGATCATGGAATTTTCTGCAGACGACGAACAGGCTCTCAAGCAATACTTGCCCAGCGAATTCGGAAAGAAGGACGGCTCCGTGAACGTCGAGGCGCAAATCGAGCGCGCGCGTAGGCCAGTGGTTGATGAGAGCAAGCAGGCAAAGAAGGAGAAAGGGTCGGACGACGAAAAGGATTCGGACGACGATGATAGCGATATGAGCGATGAGGAAGATGAATATCCAGTCTCTCACGAACTGATCATCAAGACGCACGATCGTGCAGTCACGACGATTGCGCTCGATGCATCCGGTACGCGGTTGGTAACTGGAGGGAACGACTGCACACTCAAGCTGCACGATCTTAGCGCACTTACCCCAAGTACTATCCGCGCATTCAAGACGGTCGATCCTTTCACCACCAAACCCTCGCAAACCGCCGAGTCGCATTCGATACACCAGGTCATATTCGGCCCGCACTCTGGCGGCCAATTCTTATGCATTACTGCAACATCACAGGCGAGGCTGTTCAGCAGGGATGGAGAGCTTATATCGGAGTTTGTCAAGGGCGACATGTACCTGAGGGACAAACACAACACAAAAGGACATACGGCAGAAATCACAAGCGGCGCATGGCACCCCACGAATCGCGACCGCTTCGCTACAGCAGGCACAGACAGTACAGTGCGGATATGGGACGTGAACAAGAGGATGAAGCAGGAGGAGGTCATCGTACACAAGTCAAGAGCTGCTGGTAGCGCAGGCATGACAAGGATGACGGCCATTGCATGGGGCGCCGCGGCCGAGGGAGGGAGCAGTATGCTTGTGTCAGCAGCACTAGACGGAAGTCTCGTCATGTGGGGTGGTGAGGGACCCTACCACAGGCCGACAGCAGAGATTAAAGAAGCGCATGCAAGAGACACATGGACGAGCGGGCTGGATATCAGTGCAGATGGCAGGCTGGTGATCACAAGAGGAGGGGACGACACCATCAAGTTGTGGGACACGAGGAAGTTCAAGACACCTCTGAACACCACATCACATCCGTCAACGTCTTCACAATATCCGACATCAAACATCAAGTTTGCGCCCAACTCGCAGAGCATAGTCACAGGATCAGAGACCGGGCACCTCCACATCCTCAACCCAGCAACACTTCGCCCAGAGCTCGTCACACCAGTCACGCCAGGCTCTCCTCTGATAACGGTCAACTGGCATCCCAGGCTCAACCAAATCCTCACAGGTTCAGCCAACGGTCAAACGACGATCCTCTTTAACCCCAAGCTGTCCAACGCCGGTGCTCTTACCATCCTCAGTAAGGCCCCAAAGAAGCGCCACCTCGATGACGACCCGTCCCTCACCGTAGACATGGACCCGCTCGGTATGGCTGGTGAAGCACACGATCCTTCTGGCAATGCAGCCTCATTCTCCGCACGCCATCCCACCATCGGTCTCACAGCCTCAGGCAAGAGCCGAGACCCACGGAGACCGCATATCCCAGCTACAACACCTTTTGCCAAGTCAACGCCCGATCAGAAGTATGTTATGGAGCAAATTGAAGGCAGTGATATGAGGGACGAGGATCCTAGGGAGGCGCTGCTCAAGTATGCGCTGAAAGAGGGAGAGAAGGCTGTATTTACTGGTGCATGGGAGAAGACTCAGCCAGTTGGAATCTACAAAGACTACGACAGTGAGGAGGATGAGAGGGAGAAGAAGAAGGCAAAGCGGTAGCCGAGCCGGGGCTGCATACCGACTTGGGATCCCTACAAGGGATGTTTGTATCATAGCGGAATATACCCAATAGCACAGAGACTATAGATTAGTCAAGCTACCAATCAATCTATACAATGATCACGGGTAAAACTCCTAGGACACGATGTGCGGATGAAGGCTTGGGTACCATGGGCGCACGTGTCAGTGCCCCTTGTCATTCGACCTTGATACCTTCGAAGCTACCTAGGCAGGGCTACACTAGCGTAACCGCGTCGCGCCCCATAAGCAAACGCAACAACCCCACTCGTCTCGCATCACGACAACCTCCAGCCCACAACCGCCAATTCGACCGCCACTCCCTACGCAACCCACCAATTCCGCGCCAAAACACCCCCGACGATGTTCTCCTCCACCTTCCGCGCTGCGGCCCGCGCACCCACCTCGACCTTCGCACGCAGCTTCTCGTCCACCCGCCCCTCGCAGGTCGCGCGCATGACCGTCATTGGCCGTCTCGGTGTTGCGCCAGAAGAAGTCACCGTCTCTGGCGACAGGACGCTTGTGCGCTACGTAGTGGGAACGAGCTACGGCAAGGGCGAGGACAAGAAGACCAGCTGGTTCCGGATTGCGAGTTTCGTACAGGGCGCGCAGAAGGACTTCTTGATGAATGTGCCCAAGGGATCGATGCTCTATGTTGATGCGGATGCGCGCATGGAGACATATCTTGACAGCGAGGGCAACAAGAAGAGCAATTTGAGCTTGGTCGCACGTGCGTTTTCTGATGCGGGTGGATGAGAGAGGTCGTGCTAATTTGTCTGTAGGCAACTTTGATGTCTTGTCTCGGCCTCGTACTGAGGATACGGAAACTAACGACGAGGGGCTGGTTCAGGAAGCTTCTGGTTAAATGTGCAGGTTTGAAGGGCTCCTTCGTCTTCGACCATTATGTTCCATGATTGCAGTTCTTTCACGACAGCTCCGAGTGGCAAGTGTTGGCTGCGGGGTAGAGAAGTTTCGAGGAGACACATCTTTGCGCGGTGCTGTAGGATCTCCTTGTGGATTTTCTTTTTACGATATTCAAATGTACGACTATGGGCTCACAGTTCACTTTGTAAGATCTCTACTCTAGGAGTGGCGTGGCTTGGAATTAACGGAATGATACCTTTTTCTTCAAGACACATGAATATACAGCTACTAACAACGCCATTACGGGAGTAATTTTAGCAGCAGAGAGCCAAACTACGCACTCATCAGTTCAGCAGCTTGGTATACCTATTGCATCTCGTCAGGCTACCCACTTGCGCACGGACGTGATGCGGCGAACGAAGACCTCCGAGTTGACCCATCATGAGTTCTTGTGGCGCAACGTCTAAACTCCAACACAGCACCTCCACATCATGCACAGAGTCGTGCCAATACCAGCGCGTCAGCTCTGGGGCCATGCGCCTCGGGTACGGTCGCTCAATCGCTTCAGTCGTCGCCCACGCACATTCGCGACGGTGTCTGGCGCAGATCGGTACGCCACTATACTAAGACCCCACCAATTGACCAACACTGACTCTTATGTAGACCATACGATGTAATAGTAATTGGCGGCGGCCACGCAGGCTGCGAAGCCTCCGCGGCGGCAGCTCGCTCCGGCGCCCGAACGGCCCTCATAACGCCCTCAGTCCACAACCTCGGTGTCTGCTCGTGTAATCCTTCATTCGGCGGTATCGGAAAAGGCACTATGCTTCGCGAAATCGATGCGCTGGATGGTATTGTGGGTCGTATTGTGGATAAGGCGGGTGTGCAGTTCAGGGTGCTGAATAGGAAGAAAGGACCTGCCGTTTGGGGACCCAGAGCGCAGATTGACAGGGCGCTGTATAAGAGATATATGAAGGATGAGATACTGGCATACAAGGGGCTGAGTGTTGTGGAAGGTAGCGTGGCGGATATCATCGTGGACAGGACACAAGAGGAGGGATCGAAGGGCCAGTATGGGAAGATTACTGGTGTAAGATTGGAGAGTGGGGAGATAATACCGACGGGAAACGTGGTCATCACGACTGGCACATTTCTTGGGGGAGAAATACACATTGGTCTTGAGTCGTTCCCATCCGGACGCATGGGTGAAGCTGCGACCTTTGGACTAAGTAAGAGTTTGAGGGATGCCGGGTTCACGATGGGAAGGCTGAAGACGGGGACACCACCACGGTTGGATGGAAAAACAATCGACTACAAAGTTTTGGAAGCGCAGGAGGGTGATAATCCACCCATGCCTTTCAGCTATATGAACGAGCGCGTTCAGGTCGAGAACCAATTACTGAATCACGAGACACGAACGAACGAAGCGACGCACGACGTAATACGAAATAACCTCGAGAAGTCAATACACATTCGCGAAACCGTCAAAGGGCCGCGGTATTGTCCATCACTAGAATCGAAAGTGATACGGTTCGCAGACAAGACATCACATATCGTCTGGCTGGAGCCGGAAGGTTTCGACAGTGATATAATATACCCGAACGGAATCTCCTGTACAGTGCCCGCGGACGTACAAAATACCATGCTCAAGACTATTAAGGGTCTTGAAAACGTGAAGATGCTGCAACCTGGCTACGGTGTGGAATATGACTACGTTGACCCGCGGAATTTACGCTCTACGCTTGAGACAAAGAACATTTCGGGACTCTTCCTTGCTGGTCAGATCAACGGAACAACTGGCTACGAAGAGGCAGCAGGTCAGGGGGTAATTGCTGGTATCAATGCTGGCTTGAAGAGTCTAGGAAAGGAAGCCATGGTTCTGACGAGAGCGGATGGATACATCGGCATCATGATTGACGACCTCATCACCAAGGGTGTCTCAGAACCGTACCGAATGTTCACCTCCCGCTCCGAATACCGAATGTCTGCCCGCGCCGATAACGCCGACACACGTCTCACGGCCATGGGCCGCGCCGCCGGCGTTGTTAGCGATCTACGATGGAAAGCCTTCGAAAACGAAGCCGAACAAATGGCCGCTCTAGCCCAAATCCTTCAATCCAAAACCATGGGCTGGACAGACTGGAACAAAGAAGGCTTCCCCGTAAGAAACGACAGCACAAAACGCTCCGCATACGACCTCCTCCGCCTCCCTAACACCACCCCCTCGAATCTCACCACCCTTCTCCCCGAAATCAAAGCCTTCTCACAACGTATCCAAGACCGCGTTCACATCGAAGCCACATACGCCCCCTACGTCGCTTCCCAAACCGCCACACAAGCTCGGTGGATCAAGGACGAGAACCTCAAGTTACCGGTCGACCTCGACTACGAATCCATCTTTGGGCTTAGCTTCGAAGAGAAGAGAGCGTTGGAGGTAGCGCGGCCGGAGAGCGTGGGCATGGCGAGACGCGTTGAGGGTGTAACGCCGACGGGTGCATTGAGGTTGTTGCAGTATGTTAGGGGTGTGGGTAAGGAAGAGAGACAGGCGAGGATGAAGGAGGAGATTGAGGCGAGGAAGGAGAAGTATAGGGGCGTCGCGCAGGGGGTGAGTGTTGAGGGGTTATGATGAGTGGGTGGTGGTGGTGGAGTGCAGGTTTTTAACATATGGCATTGGGCGGCGTTGGAAATCATCAGATGCGATGATAAAGTCTATACACTGGTTTCAAATAGTGATGGTCAACAGACGACCTTCAAAGTCAATCGCGATCATCCCGCATACCAAGGTACAACTTCATGACCAGCCCGGACCACGATCAGGCCGAAGTCTGAGTCAAGCGCGCGTTCTCTTTTGCGTTGAAAGCGGAACTTGCGGCCGACAACACGTCGAGGTCGCTGTTGCCCTCCAGAACTGTGCCCCGCTGTCGGATGACGTCGGTTCGCGAACGCGACTGCTAATCTAGATATCACATGATGCCTGCCGTGCCACTCAGTTTTAACAACAGCTTCTCGAAATGAGGTTTCTTGTTCTTGCTTCGCTGCGATCGCCCATTTCACGATTTGAACCCTCCCATCTCCTTCTTCGATAACGAGATCGTGGATTACAGTGGAGTGCGCACCGGAGTGAGTTGCGCTTACATATCGATTGGCATCATCATTGGACGTGACGATGGAGAAGGAACGAAATGGTACGTCTTTCTCATCTCAGTTGTGAGGCGTGTACATCCTTTTGTTACAATCTTCGTCGCAGTGGGGGGCTAAATCGTGATTGCGCACCGAGAGGTGCTACGCCGCTGTCAGCTTGGGTTACTGTGCCTCTGGTGTTGAGCCGAGTGGGCGCTTTACTTGGACCCATTACGCATGCGTTCAGAACAACACCATCCCACCAGGCTACGCCGCTATCAGTTTGAGCCACTGCGCCTTTGGGACCAACTCGAGTCTACACCTTACTTGGATCGGATCATGCAGTCGTTCCTGTATCCAGGACGAAACCGCCCCGGCATGCTACGCCTCCATCACTGTGGGTGACTGTTCCTTCGGGTTCGAGTCGAGGTTACTCCTTGACTTGGGTCAGGTTACGCAGTTTTGTTTCTGTGCCAGAGATGGGGCGGTCTCATTTTGAGTGCCTCCAAAGACGCGTGCGGATGAGTACACGTATCGAGAAATACGTGGGGTATAAGGGGATACACTTGAAAGCCAGTTTGGACCTCGACATCTTCGAGGTTGTCTCATTCTTCATCATATTGCTTAGCTGATTCACAGTCATCTCGTACCGCTTTCCAAACTCCTTATTGCAGCCATGAGGCTCAACTTAGCAGTGCTTCTCTTCGTTCCGCTGACGTCGTCGATGTTATCTGCTAACGGTAACGCCGCAGAATCCCTGGAGCAAGTCAAGGGCGAATCAACATTACAGAAAGATGTGAACCCACCAGTTGATCAACACGCTGTCGTCTCCCAGCTTAGAGGCGTTCCGCTCGAATCCACCACGGTGGAAGTGCAGCAAGATGCTTTTTCTGAAACCCGAGTTTACACGGTTTGGGCAAGCGACGTCCACAACGAAGCCCAGGTCAATGAAACACGCATTTGGCTCAAGGGCCTTGTCAAAGACAAGGACAGGATGCGTGACGAGCTAGGATGGAACTGGGACACTGTCGAAGATCTCCCCAAAGAAGAGGTGAGCAATGGCTGTATGAAACGTGTGGGGGATGATTACTGATCTCACATTCTATCCTCTATAGTTTGACAGGCTGTACGATGAAGGCAGGTTAGAAGAGGAGCTCGACAATTTCGAAGTGGTGCGTGCATGGTCAGGCGTGGTTTTGGACCAGGCTGGATACGAGAAGGTCGCAGCCAAAACGGAATGGTAATTTCTGGCTGTACGAAGTGCATGGAAGGCATATGCTAACTTTATACCTCTACCTCTGCAGGGTAAAGGCAATCAAGGCCAATCTACACACTTCGGATATGAACGCACGTGCACTTCCGACAAAGATATATACTGTCTATGCAGCCGACATCAGGAACGAGGCCCAAGTCAACGAAACCCGAGTTTGGCTGGAAGGTTTAACCAAGGACAGGTCTAAGATGCGCGAGGACAAGAGGTTTCCCTGGGATGAGCCCGGGGATATACCAGAAGACGAACTCGACAGATTGTACGATGAGGGCAGACTCGACGCCGAGCTTGACAATTACGAAGTAGTCTACGCGTGGGGGGGCGTCGTACTAGACCAATCAGGGTACGACGAGGTGGTGGCAAAGACGGAATGGGTGGAGCATGTCGAGGATCCGAGTCAATACCACGAAGTGGAGATGATTGCTGTCCCCAGAACGAGTATGAAGACCACGAGAACTTTGGAAGCTCGGAAGTTCGAATGGGGAGATTGGCAGAAGCAGGAGGGGGCAGCGCGTGACTTGGTCCAAGCCAGCTGTTACGAGTAAGTGTGAAGGTCTCAATGCTGTATCTTGACTAGGCTGACACATCGATCCAAGGGGAAGCAATTTGGACGATTCGTAAGTACCTACTACGGTATTCGATGCCCTAAAAAGGCCGAAACTGACCTGTTACGAATATCAAGGACTACATTCACGAGAAGAGAGCCGGAAAGGGAGCGCATGTGTATGTTTTGGATCATGGGGTACAGGTAGACGTCAAAAAGGTAGGGACTCACCTCACATGCCTTGGTGACATCGCTCTAACCCAACTCCAGGAAATTGGCGATAAGGTATTTCCGGGATTCGACAACGAGCAGGATAATAGCGGTATCGTAGAAACACGGGCTTTCACCAACCAAAATGCTGCGCACAACATTCGATACGACCATTCCCCTAAGGGTCACGGAACCAAAGTAGCTTCTAAGATCGTCGGACAATGGGGAACCGCAAAGGGAGCGACACTGGTGCCGGTGCAGGTCAAACCGGGCGGAGACGATATTGACAGCGGGTTCGAAAGGATTGTTGCAGATGTAATCAGAAGGCGTAGGAAAATACCAGGGTTCAAAGCAGTAAGTGCGACCTACAACTGATGCCACCGACGCTTGTTTACTGTTCTGGACCAAGCTTGTTGAGTATACTAACGTCGCATGACTTCTAGATTGTCGTTATGAGCAGGGGTACAGAACGCGCCGTCGGAGACAATGGTCACAAGGGCTACACACGAGCAGAAGCAGAGAACGATTACAGAGCAAAGCAACAGATTCGCTGGATAAAGGACTTATTCAATTACGGAGTCCCCGTGGTGCTTGCTTCAGGCAATAATGCCGAAACTGGAAGCCGAAAAATCATCGACCATTTCCCCCAAGTCTTGGAGACGGATGACTTTCCCATTCTCAATGTCGGAGCTGCAACGCTTGCAGGCAAAGCTGCACCTTTCTCGCAAGGCCTGGGTACTCAGCAAGATCCAGAGAAGCGCACACAGCTGACCATCTACGGTGTTGGAGTAGATGTCGACGTCCACGATCAATATGACGGTGCAGCAACGCAGGATTCGGGTACGTCGTTCGCTGCACCGGCAGTGGCAGGCATTATTGCTACACACATGAACTACGAATCCTGGGACCAGAGCAAGCAAGGACTCGACCGAGTGAAAGAAATTAAGAGATGGATAACCACGCCTGAGTCGAGCTGGGAGCGTGCCAAAGATCCCGACAAGCAAGTCAACATGGTAAGAACAGCGGCAACACAATCCGAAGTTAGTAAGGAAGCTGACAACCCAAACAGATCTGGAACGGCGCAGACAAAGCAGCCCACGACAGCGTCTCCAACAACCAGTCGCCTAGCCCATCCTCTCAACCACAAAAGCGCACCTTTGCCGTCGGCCTCGAACAAACCACGACCCCAGAATGCTCCAACACCATCTCCAATGGCGACTTCCCCCCATTCACCACCTGCAAATCTAAACACGAAAACCGATACTTCTTCTACCGCCTCGACAACAACGAAGAACCCGACAGCCTGTGCATCTCTCTACTCAACGACTTCCACCAAGACGATCAAGGCGCAACAACTGATGAGTATCTCTTCGAGCATCCGACGTGGCCGGCGGGAGAGTGGACACTGAATCTCTTCGGCGAGGAATTTGTCTATAGAAATGATGGGCAGAGTCCGGGGGCGCTGTTCAAGGGTGAGCAGCAGATTGGTTGCTCAGGTGATCTGGAAAACCATGGTAAGTTTGAGAGTCCGGAGCGGAGAGTAATGACAGTGCGCTTTGACCTTTTGCTAACAAAGTGTTTTAGATCCTCTGTCGAATGAGTTGTGTGAGAACACTCTGACCAAGGAGGAAGGGAGGAAGAGGAAACGGAGACGACTAATCGGTTGCACGTGGTGAGTGCATGTGTGGTCATGGCAATGACATGGGTAACTCTTTCTTTTGTTTTGTTAACTTTTACTCTATGTAGAGTCCTGGGCTATTTTTTGTTTCCACAATCTCCCAGGATTGGGGTCTGTCCGCTTGGACCGATGTCTCTCTTTCTCGCTCGTTTTCGTTTCGACGTCCTTTGTTGCGGTCATCCCCAGTTTCATAAACCAACAGCAACCACGTGAGCTTGAGAGAGGCGATGATGGGCAGTCTTTACGGGAGGCGAGTTCGCAAGCACATGCTATGTAGCACCATGCTCTTAGTGCTCACCCAGATCTTCCATTTCCAAATGCTTCTGTCTCCGATGCTACATATACAACCGTTTCGGATGCCAGGCTCATCTTCCACTCACTCCTGCTGCGACATGTGTGTTGGGAAGTTGTAATCCGTGTAGTCAATATGTACAAACGCGCGATCAACGTACGGTACACTCTCTGCACGTCTGTTAATTTACAACTCAATGATACATTAGGATGAAGAAAAAGGATAACTTACCAAGCACATACTGCAGACTTTCACCCAAGTCATGGCTGTCCCTCAAACTGAGATTCTCATCAACCACAATATCAACCTCGACATTCAGCTTATCGCCCGCGTGGTAGGCCTGCAGACCCTGGATCCTCTTAATGGACTTTGCAAAGCGCATTGTCATGTAGAGGAGGATATTGCGCTCATCTGCCGTAGCACTAGCACCAGTCAGGTTGCGAATGTGCTCCGCAGAGGTAGCACTCCAGTTAATGATAACGTAAGCGGACAGTAAGATACCGCCGAGCGAGTCGAGCCACCAGATCTTGGCGAAGTAGCCTACGAGCGGGAAGAGGATGGAGAAGGTGTTGAAGACGACATCGGTCATGGCGTCTTGGGCTAGTGCCTGAACGGACGAGTTGCGGATGAGGCGGCACCATAGCCAGCAAAGGCCTTTGATGACGACTGTAGCGGCCATGATGGCCACTGCTGGGATTGTCAATTGTACGATTGTGTGGTCGGGTCCTGTGAGTCGGGAAATGCCCTCGATGCCGACTTGGAAGAAGGATGTCATCATGATGACGGAGAAGATGAGTACGCCGATGGGTTCGAGACGGCGACGGCCGACTGGGTAGGCGTATCGGTCTTGACGCGCGATCATCCATGATGTGAACCACACGATGGCGGTGGAGAGGAAGTCGAGGGCTGCGTCGACCAAACTGGCGACTACGGAGAGCGACGAGGTGAGAACTGTGACGACAATCTTCATGATCAGGAGGGCAGTGTTTGCGCTGAGGTTGACGTATAGCGCGAGTTTGACAATGGGGCTTTCGGTGTCCTCGTCTTCTTCCGGGACCCAATCCTTCAACTTGGAGTTTGCGATCTCCAGGTCCTCTTCGTCTTCTACGGCCTCGTCGTGTGCGAGAAGAGGCGTGTTTTCGTCTGCTTCGGGGACTTTGTAGAGGTTCTTCGGCGTGCGCTTGACCATGGGTTTTTGAGCGCCATTACCGTTGAGACTACCTGACGAACCACTTCGCCCGTTCTCGCTATAGTAACCGGGCGTGTTGGTGCCACTTGTACCAGCGGGGGTAACAGCGAGGGGAGAAGTCGAGGTCGAAGACTCTTCTCTGATGGTTGAGGGAATCTTGACGGCGCCAGATTCCATATTCGTATACTCTTGAATGAGGTTGTGCGGGAGGGAGGAATCGAGTAGACGGTCGATATATAGATAGTGCTGCAGGAGCTGGTTGTTGCGCTCATAGTATTCGCGGACCGACTTCTTCATGCCCTTGAGCTCTTCCTCCGTCTTGTAGTACTTCTCCCACTTGTACCTGGGATTGGAGTTGCCAATCAGCCGCTGGCTCCTCATCTGCGGCGTGTTGAGCACGTGCGCGCCTATGCTGCTCCTCCGATCGGAGTCTCGGTCGTAAGGCATCACGAGCCCGTTCTTGTATGCTTCCAAGTCTTCATCGTCTGTGTCGCTGCCGCGGCGCTCACTGCTGCGTATAGTAGACGGTCGACGTGCGCTGTTGAGTAGCGAGGGGAGATGATGCCCGCGCGTAGATATCGTCGAAGCATCGTTCTGCAGCGGGAGGAAGAGCTTGGAGCTTGCCAGGCGTGGGAGGCTCGAGGAGCGTGGGACCGTCACCGGAGAGGGCGACTTGGGCGGTGGTGTGGAGCCATAGTCTGTCATGGCTGCGATTGAAATGCAGTCGCTCGAGAGGCGTAATTAGAGGGCCAATCTCTTCGAATCAAGTTCCTGCGCGTCGACGCGACAAAGACAATGAGCCAACCTGGTGTGGTTCTCTTATCGCTATGGCGCACCGCGATTGACTACGGGAAAAGACTTGAACGGGTAAATGCGCGCGCCGGCCAAACAGACTTGAGATGAAAAGCGAGGCGATGCGAAGAGTTAAAAGAAGATGCCGTGAAGCATTGCAGCCGTGTCAAAGCCCAAGAGACATGACAAACCGTGGTACCGCCGACGCGTGCGCGAATGCGACGAGTAGGTTCGCCGAAACAAGAGGGTCCTGGTTCGGAGACGGGATCGACATCTCTGAAGCCCAGAATCCTTGCGCCTGCATCCACTTTAGCTGTGGCCATAGCGCCATACTAGCAATCTGGGGTTCCTCAGCCGAGACATCGTTGCAAGATTTCGCCTATAGTTTCGTCTGTTATGTTTCACGCAGTCACATTCAGCCCCTCTGGAGCATCACTTTCATTCGCTTGTCAGCTGGAATCTCCCGTTGGGACCCTGCTCTATGAAGGTGAGCTTTCTGGCCGTTCTGTGCCCGTCTTTTGCTGGGACCCACACTGACCGGCAGTCTCAAGTAATGTACTCATCCCCACGCCGGTACAGTAGCGCCGTTCCATGTCTCAAACTCCTGTCTTGGCTGTCTATCATCTTCAGAGGCCGGCGCCAAATTTTGGGCCCTTGACACGAATGTCTTGGTCATTCTTCATATCCTCTAGTGTGTATCCCATGGTGCCTTCCCCGCCTAATCCTCATCAAATTCCTTCGCCATGCTCACGGCGTCTTGCACACACATTTCGATGAGCCCGGTAAGGATGTACGGCTGGTCACGAATGCGCTTTCGACATTGTCTAGCGTCTTGCACTAGGTGCTCGTGCAAGATGCAAGAATTGGGCACAGCGTCCTCCAACTCAAGCGGCATGTGATCTGACGACTCTAGATTCTTGAGCCTCTGATTCTGCACAACCATAATTTCAAAAGCAAAGTCTTCATTCATCCCCTTCAATGTACGCAGTTTAGTAGCACTGCAGTCCGCATCTTGCGAGAGGCAAGTGTACGCTGTGGACATCACTTAAGAAGCGGATGAACTTGGACGATTGTGGCAGATTTGCGTGAGCAAAGTCGATCAATTCTCGTTCAATGTCGGGCCACCAATCCCATGCAACTGACTGCGATTAAGGCAGTCAATATGTCGTCTCGTAACTGGGGGATGTTGTACTTGTCGGCGAAGACGTAAAGATTCGTGAAGGAAATCACCAACAAGTAGTGACCGCTACGCCATTCCGAGCCTGCATGGTGTAGCTTGCCCATCTCATCGAACTCCATTGACTCATTGCAACTGCAGACATCGTCGAGTGCCGCTTCGTGGTCCGACCGGGTCTCGCATTTGAGCCGCCTCTCGCACGACCAGCTGTTCCTCCTGACTCTGCGGGAACCGTTGTAGCATTATCCACACTACTCTTTGGTGTTGAATCTTGGAGAAGTATATTAGGCAGCGGAACAGTCGCACTGCCCGACTGCCGGTGATTTCGGGTACGGGCACATTGTAGAAATATGCGGAAGGTTTGTTCGGTGACGTCCGTCAGGGACAGAAATGGGTCGATGGCCTCCCTGAAAGAACCTTCGAAAGCGCAGCGAAAGTAGGGAGAGACAGCCGACAGTATGTCACGGTAGAAGGAGATGTTGACTGCAGCGTCGGCTTCGCCGACGCGTACAATGACTGTGTCAAGATCCATGGTCCTATCATATCTGCTAAGCATGTTTCAGATCTCATGAGATTGTTGTGTCTTACATGAACTCTGGGGTCATCACTGCGACAAATCGTGATCAGGTGTACGGGTACTTTTCCAGTGTCAAATTGAGCTGTGCTAATTGTAGGGTCGAATATCTGCAATAGGAGACCATGGAGGTATATCAACGACGAGGAGCTCATACATATCTTAGTACTGTGCCAATGAGTCAACAAATATGGTTTTCCGCAGCGTACCAAGGTTGAGAATTGACACGTGATTCCATCTCACACCTTGCCACCTTGCCACAGCATCTACATACCCCAATAAAACATCCTTTTTGTAAAACATGTTCATTCCATGTCAACACATATCACAGATCCGCCACCGTCTTCCATCGATTTCTGAAACCCACTCCGTCTTCTCTGCCACCAATCTCGCCCCTTCCTCGTCGAGCATACACCCCGTCCACCGAGATACAACTTCAGCCTCATCAAGCCATTGCTCCAACCTGCCTTCAGCATCGGCTTTCTCGATCTCTTCCATCGGCACACGCTCATCAGCCCAATACCAGCTGTATGAGTCTTGTATCGCAAACGTGTCGTATACGATGGTGTCGAGCCACGCTCGCGTGGCGGCCACCTGGGCTATGTTCTTAGGGTCTTTTGCGTAGGCTGTGTAGCGTGTGGGAGGGGCGAGGTGTGCTTTGATGGCGCGGAGACGACGCGTGGTTGTTGTTTGGGGAGGACGAGAAGATGATTCCGAGGCGGTGTTTTGGTCTGGAAGTTCAAGCAGGGTGGCAGCTGCTGTTGCATGGGTGTTTTGTAGTCCTGCTTTTTCTACTCCCACTTAACGACACTGTCTGGAAGTCTACGGTAATTGTGAGCAGTTCTCGTACCTTTCCCATATTTCCGTTCCATATTTGCGATACGTGGTTATGGCGACCGAGTTTATGAAGTGTTCATGGAGCGAACATTGTGATAGGACGCCTGGCTGCAACACGTCAATCGCTGAGCTCGACTTGTGGAGTAGTCTTTGAGTGTTTGAAGTCGATGACAATAGCAGATACAATCCCGCCTTTTAAGCTGACCATCTCAGTGCACCGCTCCTTTCCCTGAGAAGTCATGTGAAAAGCGGGGGAGGCGTGGTCAACTGTAGTAAAGTCGCGTAATTGGATGTTGACCTGGTCCCACTGATCAGAACTTTGCTGATAGGCCAAAGAACGCATGAGATGCCATTATAGAGTCTGGTATGGCGCTCTGCGATTTCGCGCAATGTTGGCTATGCGTGTCAGTTCAGCACGGTCACGCTGCAGAGCCGATCTACGAAGTCAGACTCAACCCGCGAAGCACAACGGAGGATACTGTTCCTAATACATGACTACAGCTTTCGCTTGAGATCCCAGCGCTTGTCCGCACTCCAAAGGATCTGGAGCAGCGAAATCTTGATGTTGTAGGTGAGCGCACTCTTGAGACGGCAATGACGCTAGAGCCCCACTAGTGCGCCCAACATAGTCTAGCCGTTTCTGCTTGCCGCCCGCCAAGCGCACCAACATCGATCAATATTCCTGGCTTTTTTCCGACATCGACAACACCTTTCGACATCCGACTACTCACAACAAGCAGTCAAGATGCCGGTATGATATCACTGCTCGCAGTTGCGAACTATTGTAGGGCCACTTATTGACACTTTCGCAGTCCCAAAAGTCCTTCCGCACCAAGCAGAAGCTTGCAAAGGCGCAGAAGCAGAACCGCCCCATCCCCCAGTGGATTCGCCTGAGGACCGGCAACACCATCAGGTACGCTCTATCCACGATCCGCACGCTCTCGCCGCTTCCGATATCCGTCACTAGAGATCACGAGGATACGATAATATAATGATGAGAGCACGAGACTGACATTCCGCCCACAGGTACAACGCCAAGCGCCGACACTGGCGCAAGACTCGTCTCGGTATCTAAGCGTATCGCCCCCGACGGACCATCCCTCACTCGATTCTCGATTCCCAACTACTCCTTGTTCCTGCGCCGACAACCTACCTCACACGAAACGAGCGACTACATTGGGAATTTCGCACATGGCGGGAACCGAGCGACCAGTCTTCTAAGCGGAGCACGTCTGCAAACGAGGGATGCTATGGGTGGTGTTCTTTTCACGTTACCGGATACCTACCTACCTCTCATTATGGCGCTTTGGGTCTGTAAATGGGAATGAAAGGAATCGATTCATGATGGTTTAGATCTGAGCAGTGCTAAATGAAAACACTTGCTGGGTCACAACGAATGACTTTGGTGTACTGATGATTGTGATGGTATACTACGTGTAGTGAGATTCTAGATGCGTTATATGTGACAACCGTCGCTTTCATTATCACATCTGGCCCAAGAAGACTACACATGTACGGCGCTCTTATGAAGATTGTTGACTGCACTGCATTATTTGTATTCCATGATGACCCCCGCGATATTGATGCAGCCCCATTGCCTAGCCCTTCGATAAAGCCACCTTGTACAATGGAAACGAAACAGGTCTGCAGACTACATTGGGATAAAACGAGCAAATTGAAAAATCCGGCCTTGAAGTAGGCTTCAGGGTGTTCATTTTCCCCCTTGGTTGGGGTAATGCCATCAACAACGCATTTTCCATTTTGTTTCCCACTTGCTCACAATTGCGCTCACCAATGGCGAGATATCCAGGGCCACTTCTTTGAGACCGCTGTTGGACGATCACCTCTGGAAATGAGGTTTCTTAGAAGCGGCCTGCAACAATCGGCGCTGGAAGCGTCTCAATGGCAACCAAAGACGGTCCATCTTGTAAGTCCAGTCGGCCTGCAGATGTTCCAATTAGCGAGCATGCCTTAGAAAGCAAGCCACCCCAGACAAGGAGAAAACTGAACAGGTCTGCAGACTACACTGTGATGAAAACAAGCGAATCAGAAGATCTGGCGTCGGCGTACGCTGCAGAGTGTTCAGTCTTTTCCTTGTATGAGGTGAAGCCCTCATGTTGACGCTCTCTGACCCATCACCTCCCACTCCTCACCTGGAACTTCGGTCGCTGAGTCAGGTCCACAATCAAACAACTCTCTTCGCTCTTGCCCGCTGTCTCGTACAGACTGACAACACCCTTCTCAATTCGTATCACCGTACTACTACCGGCATAACAGACGCCCTTTTCCATTCCACAACGATTCGCCATGATGACATAGACGGGCTTGTCTCCCTTGGCTTCAACGAGTGGTTGAAATCGTTCCACCCAATACGCTACCGTCGCTACATCTGGCTGCGATGGCTCCTGTGCGAGTTCCGTAGGAGTGAGATGGCACAGCCAAGCCATGCTTATGCAAACAATCGGAGATTGAGATGTTAAAGCGAGAGTAGAGAACTCGTAGTCAGCCCATGGGGAGACAAACTTGTAAGGATTTATATCCATACATATTCCCATGGTAACTTTCCCTAGACTACCGAGCTGGCCGGTATAGAAGGGAGAATCCGGCGATGAGGGATTGGATAGCTTATGCGACTTCGAACCGGGCCCTTCAGATGCCCATGTCTCGTCTGTGTAATAAAGGAAGGATTTCCGGTAGTTGTTTAGTATTTCTCCATCTGGCGATACAGTGACGGTGGAGTTGTACTGCGTTTGACTGTCGGCAGGATTGGTGGCTGGGGTGGTGATCTCTGGGTAGCCGATTGTGACGTGGCAATTGTAGTGTTTTGCTACTTTCTGCGCCCATTGGGTTGATACGCCGGATGTGGTGGGCTCGAGGAAGGGTTGGATCTCCTCGAGCGATTGGAAGTTGTAGCCTGAGAAGGCGAGTTCGGGAAGGACGAGCCAGGCTAGGTCGTGAGGAATGGCGGTGGACTGGAGGATACGTTCCGCTCTTTGGATGTTTTCTGGGACGCGCCCGACTTCTGGGGCGAATTGGAGACAGGCGACTTTCATGTTTGCAATTCTCTTAGGTTGGTATAGATGAATGGATTCGGGCTTGGTCCAACACTTCGCCGTGGAAATGTGAGGCTGTCTTGGGGTTTCCAGAGGGCAGCTAAGAGAACACTTGTATCTTGTACCTGAATCAGTTGAGACTGATAGGCCAAATAGTTGCTATCTTCCCGTGCGGCTGGGAAGCACCGACTGACGCTACTAGGCACCAAGCACTGGTTGATTCGTCGTGACAGATGGATACGCAGCCTGATTGGATACCTGCAGCAAAAAGGACCGGATCTGGTGACCAATATGGACCGTAGGATTTTCAGTAAGCGTGATGCGAGTATGGTAATTCAAATGTCGGGCTGTTGAGGGTATAGATGCAGCTTGCTGCCCCACTAGACGATCAAGACCCTTGTCGGCCATGATGGCCAGCCAATCGCACCATATCCGCACTACAGCCTAACCCCATCCAGCTATGACGCGCATAACTTTCGATGGCTTCACGAGAGCCTCCGCAGCTTACGCAAAGCTTCAGCACTCTTCGTCATGTGTCGCACCCCCCGGTAGTTCTTCCATCCGATCGAAATGGCAGGTAGACGGCTTGTCGATGCCGCCAAGCTCTTCAATGCCTCGAAATCCGTCGCACAGAAGCACGTTGCGCTTCGATCCAATCAGTGGGACGCTTACAACAAAACATCGTCGCTAGCCAAAGCCGTCAAGAACCAGACGGACCGCGTCACCCTCACGGCAGCGGCTGCCATCGCACTCTCACAGCGCTTCAGCGAAGAAGCTCCCTCGTACGCGAAGGCCGCAGCGGAGCGAGCGACGAACGCACAATGGACACAGCAGGCGTATATACCCAGAACAGACACAGTTAAGAGGAATACACCAGTGGAGAGTGTTAGGGAGGGCGTAGAGCAGGATCATCACTACGATCGATCTGGTCAAAATGGCGCTCAGGCACCTCCGCCCACAGAAGAATTGGAGGTCGAGCAGAAGAAGGCCCCCAGATCCCCGCTACCAGACGGCACCATACCAAGCCAAGGGTTGACACTCGAACAAGAGGAAAAGGGAAAGGATGTGTTCTCAGAGAGGCCAGTACATGAGGCGCCGAAGGAACCTCTGGCTGAGGACCAGGGTGAACAGGTTCGTCATAAAGACGAAGGCATCAAACCAGTAGAGTCTACTGAGACCACCATACCGCTTCCCGCCAACCCCAGAGGCGCCTCTACACAAACAGCTGAAACGATCCCCGCACACGCGAACGACCCTCAACAGACGCCAATATCACCACAAGCAGAGAAGCTGCAGAAGGGTCATGACAGAGACGTCTTCTACACCAGATCGGTCGAATCGCAACCAACAACCTCATCACAACCTCAATCACAGATACCTCGTACTTCAGAAACAAAACAACAAAGCGATGAACACGTAGCGGACAAGCAAATGAATCAGGATGTGTTCTACAATGTACCCAAGCCGGGCAAGGGGCAAATGGAAGAAGACCTACCAGAGGGTATCAACACGGACATTTTCCACTCGAGAAAAGTTGCTAGGATGCTAGGAAGCGATCCTTTCTCGAGAAAAGAATATGCAGAACGGAAAAGTAGTGGTAGACATCCCCTCGATGACAGGCCTGTATCGAAAAGCAGTGGCAGGCACCCACTCGACGATAGACCCATTCCTTCGGTACAGCAACAAAGTCAACCGTCGACGCAGTCAAAGCCGGTTCAGGAAGCTCAATCTGCGACTTCGTCAAAGGAGATGGAAGACCTGGCTTCTCAACTTGCTCAGGACGTGCAGTCAAACGCAGCTGCGTCTGAGGTATGCCAAACCCATATACTAGCCTGAAGCCTGCTGATTTGCTGACAGTTGTACAATAGTCACCAAATGAGGTAGCCACTCAGCCAGAGAAGTCTCCATACGCGCTGCGAGAGTCGAGAGTCCCTTCGTCACGGTTCGGCCGCATATGGCAGTATGCTGGCTTAGGCACAAGCATGGCACTCGGAGCTGTCGGTGAAGGTCTTCGACGAGCGACCGGCAGTGCTGCGTCAACTGGTGGCTCATTGATGCTGAGCCCTGGGAATATGGAAATACTGGTCGCAAAGCTCTCCCGCATGCGAGGTGCCGCTCTCAAGCTTGGTCAAATGATCAGTTTCCAAGACATCAAGATGTTGCCACCTGCGATTCACGATGTTTTGCAACGGGTGCAGGATAGCGCAGACTACATGCCGGCCTCACAACGGAACAAAGTTTTGAGCAGCAACCTTGGGGACGACTGGCGCGATCTTTTCGAATCGTTCGAAGATGTACCTATCGCCGCGGCATCGATCGGACAGGTACACAAAGCAGTACTCAAGTCTAATGGCCAGGCAGTAGCTGTAAAGGTGCAATACCCTGGCGTTGCCAACTCCATCGACTCCGACCTTAGCAACCTTTCCATCCTCCTAACAGCATCGCGTCTCCTGCCAAAGGGTCTTTACCTAGACAAGACCATCGCCAACGCTCGAACCGAATTGGGCTGGGAATGCGACTATACGCGCGAAGCTGAATGCCAGACTCGGTTCCGCAACCTCCTTCAAGACGACACTGATGCTTTCACCGTTCCTAAAGTCTTCCCCGAAGCCTGCGGTCCCACCGTCCTGACCGCAGAGCTCATGCACGGTGTCGGCGTCACCAAACTCAAGACCTTGACCCAAGATCAACGCGACTGGATTGGCACGCAAATCCTCCGTCTCTGTCTCCGCGAGATCGTAGAGTTCAAGTTCATGCAAACCGACCCCAACTGGACAAATTTTCTCTACAACGCCTCCGCGCAGAAGATCGAGCTGCTAGATTTCGGCGCTTCCCGAGACTACCCCGACAAATTCGTCGAACCCTACATCAAAATTCTGATCGCAGCCTCCAAAGGTGACCGCTCCTCACTCCGCGACCTCTCCGTCGAACTCGGCTATCTTACCGGCAACGAGAGCCCCGCCATGCTCGACGCGCATATCCAGAGTGTGCTCACGCTTGCCGAGCCCTTTAGCGGTAGCGGGCCTGAGATATACGATTTTAGAGACCAAACTATTACGGATAGAGTGCGTGGCTTGATCCCCGTTATGGTCAAAGAAAGGCTTGCGCCGCCGCCGGAAGAGACTTATTCGCTTCATCGGAAACTTTCGGGCGCGTTCTTGCTGTGTGCGAGGTTGGGTTCGAGGGTTCCGTGTAAGGAGCTGTTTAGTAAGGCGGTGGGGACGTGGGAGGGGAGGGCGTCGTTGAAGTAGACATGTGGGTTGTGGGATGATGTGGGATGCAGTCTATGTATTTTAGGTTGTCATTGGCAACGCCTATATGTAAACATATATTTACGAAGTATTTTAGCACATGACGTAGAAGACCTGGAAGATACCTTTACTTACTTGTTTGTCCTATAAAGCTGCTCTATTATGCTGCTCTATTGGGTAAGACCTTTTCTGCTCTATCCCATGTTTCTACGTTGTACGGCAGGTTTTTTATTTTGCTCAATGACATTGCGAGACTGAGAAGTACCCGAAAGACAGATTCATGAACATCACCTCAGTAAATGATAACATACATAGCCAGATTAGGAATTCAATATATCGCGATGGCTGAAAATTGGAGCAACTGGCTTGTACGAAACAAAGAGCGACACGGGACGAAGGGATGAAGACGCTGCATGTGGTTAAGGATTCCCGAGTAGAGGAATGTGCGAGTGGATTCACACCGTTTTATTTTCGCATCATTGTATCTGCTATCGAATACCTCATGGATACTATCTCTTATGATACAACAATGACGTACTAACAACGCTCATGCACTTTTGGTACCCAGCTTTTTGTTTGCCTCCTTCTTCAAGTCCTCCTCAGCCTGACCGTTGAACCACAAATACGCTGCAAGCGCAATGAAAGAACCAAAGCCGCCCGCCATGATCATCCTGCCGCGGAAACCCTGTTTCCTCTTCAAGGCTTCATCGCCGCCCAATATGACGACTGCTTTCTTGGACCAGGTGTACTCGAGGCCGCTGTACATCGTCGTGCTGGCCACGATGGCTGACATGCCCTGGATCATTGTTTTGACGCCTTCTTCGCCTCCTAGTATGTCTTGGATCGACAAAAGTAAGCCACCAGCTGCGGACGTTGTCGCTGAAGGATCGTGCAGCAAGTTTGTGCAGAGTAGCGTTCCCAACAGACTCAATTGCAGAAAGGTGTTGAACTTTGAGATGGTAGTGGGATGCACCTCCGCGCTTGGCAAACTGAAGTCCCAGTATCTTGCCATGGTCTTGGGTGCCGGTAGACTGGCGTACCGGTAGTAAAACGCACTCACCGCCAGACTGACATCTCTTCCGAGGATCAGTGCAGCAAGCGGCATTGGAAGGCTCCCGTTGACTGCCAGACAAGTTACCAATGTTGTCATTAGGAGTTTGTCGGCCATTGGGTCAACAACGCTGCCAACAACTGTTTGGAGGTTCCAGCGGCGGGCGATCCAACCATCGAGAAGGTCGGAGAAGGCGGCATAGGCGAAGAGAGAGAAGGCATAGAGGTGTTGATCGTGGATGATTAGATATCCGACTACAGGAGTAGCTATGAGTCGCGAAAAGGTGAGGATGTTGGGGAGGTTGTAGATTTGTTCGTGACGCGGTTTGTCGAGTTTGAGGGTTGACTTCAAGGTTGTAGCTAGTTTGGCGGAAGCAGTGGCGGGTTGAGGCTGCTAGAGCATGGTTAGCTACAAGATGTCTTTTGTGTGAGTTGACACATTCGGTGTGAAATTAAAGTGATTCTTTGCAACAATTGTAATAGTAAGAAATGTAGAAAGAACGCAAAGGTCAAGAACCTCGGAATGGATGAATCACGTCTGACTCTGATAATCAGACGGAAGGAACATGTGCGATAAGTATGAGGCAGGCTTGAGACATGAGGCCGTATATGGAGATATGATCGGAACTATCCTGGTGGTGTGGAAAAAAAATTGCGCCTACCTCCGTACCGCTTCTTGAAGCTGGAGAACCTGTTGCTTCATCTTCAAGCTTCAGTCTTCGTGTAGTCGAAGTACTGAATAGACTAGCAGGACGGATCCCATAATGCTTCCAGGGTGTGTGTACTACGGGACGTCGGCTTATGTTGACGTCATCGCGACTCCAGGTACAAGAAGCACGTGAGGAGGCCGAGCACAAAGCTTGTGGATGCTGTGCACGCCGCGAAAGCGTTCTTAGGCTGAGAGAAGCTTCCGAGAGAGCTGCGATAGTGCGACAAGGTGTATTGGCCCTCGCCGTGAATAAAGAAAGCATCGACGCTGATGCATTCGCGTGTTTGCGGTCGCGCTGAGGGTGGTGAGCTTAAAGCTCGCAGCTGTCGTCGGAATTTGCCAAGCGCCACTAGCGACAAAAGCAGAAGCCGCCTTACAAACGCTGTCTTCACTTCCTCTCTTCACTTCTTCTACCCGATGGGACGACTACATTGCAATTTGGTGAGAGGAAGACGACGCGATGATTTCCATCTCATAAGATCGCTCACGAACTATCACCGCAGATCTGGTTTTGCCACGAACGTTTTCGTTGCTAATAGACATTGTAGCTCGGATGAAGGTACAGTTCGTTCATGTAGACGCTAGGGAAACTCACTTGCATGCAGTACGTTCATATACTTGAGACTCGCCACCCCAACATGTCGATCCAAAGCGACGGGCTGTACAGCGTATTCGTAGGCTCGTCAGAGGAAACGCCTAGTCACTTCGCGGCGATACTGCGGGCAATATCCTAGTGATATCGATAGACGCATCTCCAGGGTCTCAAACTTTTCACATCGAACGACCTGACGCATCCTAGACGACGCCACCAGCAGCGACTACGGGAACTGACACTTGTGGTGCGAACAGCTGCTCAACATTGAGTTGACACCTTGGCCGCGTTCTAGAAGAACTGGAATATCGTTAGCAGCAGTTGAAACAGCTTAGAAAGTATGAGCAGTAGACGGCCCAGCTCGGCTGAGCTTCCACGTCTCAAGGTTGCTCAAGCGTGTTTTCGACCGCTCATCCACTTCAGTGGCTGAACACGCTTGCGCTCTTGCCACTATCATTCGACATCGCCGAGGACATCCCGCGCCCACCAGGAGCATCATGCGTTCAAACACCGCGGATGCTTGGTTCAGCTGTTCAGCCGCTTCTCCACGCATCGTCAGTCTCAGACTGATCCGCGGGACTTCTTCCAAGTTCCGCACTCAGACTTCCCTGCTGCATGGCTAGGGGCGCAAATCACTCTTCTTCGCCTCCTCACTCGGACTCTTCCTTCGGCTGGCTTCTACATTCGCCATGTAACCTAACCACTGTCAGCAATTTAGTCTAGATGTCGCGATAGCCGCAGTTGTCGCAAGAACGGGATCTACTGATCGCCCGGGTCTTACCGAGCAAATGAGTGAGCCATCGACTCAGGCACCACGTGAGCGGTTGAGGATTCGCTGCTGCGAAGTTGCATAGTCCATAAATGGAAGCAACAACTATCGATTCCAGCGGGGTTGCAGACCCTCTGCTAATCTCCGGGGTTACGACCTCTTGGCTACATCTATAGTCTGCCTATGAGACAGGAATCTTCCTAGAGCCAGCGCCCCTAAGCTCCGATGAACAGGCATCTCCATTTTCGAGCACTTGTGAGGTCCGGCAATCCTTGGTGAAAACGCACACCACTTCTCTCGATGCTACGGGCTGCCTTTCTGAATGGCTGCAGTAGCTTGTCTCCGGGATTGACTTTGGGTCTGCCATGTGTCATGCGTTGTGCATTAGGACAGCCAGTGGCTTCGCTTGGTTAGTAGCCCACATTATCCGCTGAGAAACTCTAATCGTCCTGCCTCCACGCCATGAACTCAGCTCACACTATTGCGCAATGACGATGACCGGAGTGGGGCTCAGTAGTCAAGCACGTAGAAGCGTTCCAGAAGAGCGCAATGCAAAGGCAGAATCCAGCTCTTCACAGCTTGCGGGAAATCTTCGGGTTACACAACCAAGGTACACTTTCCGTGTATGTCTAGCGTTAAGATCTCCAAGCATTTACTGATCTTCAGATCAGCTCAGGCTCGAGCCTGCGAGAACTACTCACGGGTAGTTTGATCACCCCGCCACGCGCTGGCAATGTCGTCCTCGTGGACTTTTCTGCAAGTGACAAATGGACCTGAAACTGCCGACAGTCTGATACCCAGCCTCCGAGTATCTGATACACGGTTATGGCAGATCAACGCCCTAAACACGGAAACGACCCTGCTTCGGCTGTTCTGCCAACGCTGCCATATGCTTAGAGGAGCACTGGCTTGACTCGTCATTCCTGCCAGAAGTGAGCAACCTCAAGCTTGCGACAATGGCACGGGAGGTCTGCTTGAATGCTGGATCAATTTAAGTTTTTGAGGTAAGAGTTATGCGTTGGTTTTCGGTGCTGCATAGCAAAAAGGGGTTCATCGGTTATCCGATGCGATCGCAACGGCTAAACTTGCCAGACTCGTCCATTGCCGTCAGTTCCTGAACCAAGTCGCCAAAGCACGATTACTCAAGACATCTTATCGACGGACGCGGATGGCTATACCTTTTCTGCTGGACAAGTTTTGTTTGTCGCTGCAAGTCATGACTTCCCAATAACACTAACGGGCATTCAATATTTGATGTGGTGGTTCGCACTCCACGCTCCTAACCTAATGCTCCTATATCACTGCATGATAAGGACAAGCGCAGATTTCGCACGCAGTTCCTAATCACACGCGACGTTGAAGCGAAGCCATTCCACTTTTGACCGGCATCTCGTGTCCGCTTGCGGCAGTTGGACTGAGGGCCACGAGTTTCAGGAGCGCGACTCCAGGCTCCGCTAACGCAGGTACCTTTGCATACCAACCCGAAATGTTGTTTACTCCGCCAGGCGTATCATCACTAGTACACCTGCACCCCCGCGAACATTTGTTTTCGGCAACGGCACTGCAGGTCGACGGTCACGCACAAGTCCCGCAGAAACGGCGCCGATGTTTGCGTCGTGGATTCAGATATGGGTTCGCCCGCGATGTGGGCTCAACAGCGAGTGTCGGATATGAGTAGACCGAAAGTATCGCACAGTCCGCCATCGGTCAAGAAACGTTGAATAGTGTGGAGATGCGATTCGTTGAGTGCATATGGTGGGGTGCTATGAGTCCAGCATTCATGTGCTCAGGCGTGCGCAGCTCCACTAACAGGAATCCCCACCTCATGAATTGCAAAGCAAGAGCTTGGAGCGTACGCGGTGTCTGTGACATGAGGTCTTCATAACGCATGAATGTCTAGGTAATGCTGCCCTATTGCAGCAGCGCTTGTACGCGAGAGGGAATGACGCCGAAGGTTTTGATTCGTTCCCCGACCAATGAGCGGCGGTGACCGGTGGATAACGGCTAGCCAAAAGTAAGTTCTGAAACGAGGTCCGCTATCTCACTGGCTTGCGAGCGAAGCGTCACGCCGGCCAGAGAGGCTTCAGTCCTGGCAGAGGATGCCATCCTAATGTGTGGATGACAACCGCAGACATGAGGAGGTGACAAGCAGATGGCGACAGATTGGATCAGATGCTGCTTCACGATGACCTGGGAGATTTGCAAGAGGCGATGGCCGCTCCCGCAGGCTGGCTAAAAAGCGCGTTTCAGATGAAGATCAAACCATGCCCAGCGTGCTACTTGTGCTGGTTCCTGCATCTAGATGCACCATACTGGGACGATGGACCAGCCACGAGTGATGACTTCAGCGACGAGGCTGGGTGGTGGTCACTGACGACATGTACCCGTGACGCACTGGCCGAATTTGCACGAAGCTGCAGAATGCAGCCCTCCAGGGTGTGATGTTCCTGCATTGATAGCGCGACCTGGCTGATCGATCCTCTGCGCGACAGGATTGCCGGCCATCGTAAGCAGTAGGCAAACATGGTTCACATCCGCATCAGGGAATGGCTGGCAGCAGCGCAGCGTGTACTTGACAGCGGACGGATGCGGCAAAAAGGAAATGTCATAGGTGCGCCGGACGACGGTTGTCCAGAATCCGAGATGTCGTTCTGGCGACCATGGGACGACGGCGGCCGGCGGCCTTCTAGGTGGTGGTTAGAGTTGCGCCTCTGCAGGGCGGGCAGCTGTGGTGGTGGCACGACGGGCACATGACGATGGCCGCTGGAGGTGGGCTCGGGTTCCCTGCCAGGCCAGCAAGCTAAACTGACGCAAGAAGCGTGTTTTCCACAGCATGAAGCAGCGCGGCAGGCATCGGACCGCGGTGATCGATACTCTAGATGGGCAAACTGGACGTCTGTGTCGCGAGGGCCTCGTGGTGGGCTGCAAGCGAGGGTTAAGGTTTTCGAGTGTCTGCGGCTGGCGGGGCTAGGCCGGATGTGGCCTCTGCGCCGAGGAGCGCGCAGGGCAGGCGCGGGCGGCGAGCAGCAGCAGGGAAGCGTGGGCAGGAAGGCAGGAGCGAACAAGGCGAAGGAAAGGGCAGCCCAGGCACACACCTGCCCCGGGCACGCGTCCCAGCAACATGCGCCCGGGGAGATGAGCAGTCGCGCAGGCGGGATCCCAGAGCAGAAAAAGCCGCTCTCCACCTTGACCACCTGCACCAGCACCAGCACCAGCAAGCGCATGGGCGGCCAGGCCAGCACATTAGCACATTAGCCAACCTTTCGCGCTGCCCTCATCACGGCATGCACGGCCGCAGCACGAGTCGCCCGCACCCCTGCCGACCAACTGGCCTCTGCGCTCGCCTCGGCGCCCCAATTGGCCGCGCTACCTGCACTGGCCAGGCCGCTGACTGGTGTGCGGAAATAGATCAATGTGAGACCACTAGCCTCCTGTTTCACACGCCCTCCGACACCTAAAGCTGCCGCTGCCCCCTCAGATTTGCGTTTCGTATCCCCCTCCCAGAGCTGTACCTTCTTGGTGAATTCTTGAGACTGCTATCTGAGGCAGGTTCCTCACGTTTTTATTATCCGCACCACAGTCGCGTTTTATTATCTATCCTTTTAAACATAGCCTGACACTCTTTCGTTTTCGATCCTGGCAGGTCCTCGTCGAGCCCTACCCTCGTGTTCCATCCCCAACCCTAAGAAGGGCCACCGCGTCTGACGTTCCCACTTCAAACACCTGTACAGAGGAACGTGTTGCAGCGCACCATGTATCCATCCGCCCACCACCAGCAGATGCCGCCACCTCAGGCACGCTCTGTCGCGCCAGAGACTTTTCTATTAGACCAGGACGCCCAGCAAAGCCTCCCGCCGGACAGTGTCGTTGCCCTGCAGCAGGTCGACAACCGTACGTGCCCGCGCATTGACCTTGGTCCTGCATACTAACACGCCTGCAGTCAAGTACTTCCTCATATCAGCACCCGTTGACTGGCAACCCGACCAGTACATTCGCCGGTTCTTGCTCCCAACAGGCGAATACGTCTCATGTGTTCTATGGTAAGCGCATTGTTTGTCTCGGTTTCGTTCAAAATCTCACAATCCGCAGGAACAACCTTTTTCACATCTCCGGCACAGACATTGTACGATGCCTGTCATTCAGATTCCAGGCCTTTGGCCGCCCAGTTAAGAACTCCAAGAAGTTCGAAGAGGGCATCTTCTCAGATCTGCGCAACCTGAAATCGGGCACAGATGCTTCCCTGGAAGAGCCCAAGAGCGCATTCCTTGACTTCCTGTACAAGAACAACTGCATCCGAACACAGAAGAAGCAGAAGGTTTTCTACTGGTACAGCGTACCCCACGACAGGCTTTTCCTTGATGCCCTTGAGCGTGATCTCAAGCGCGAGAAGATGGGCCAAGAAGCAACCACTATGGCTGTCAGCGAACCCGCGCTTTCCTTCGAATTTGATTCCTCCCAGTCGCTCTTTGAGCAGCTCACCAAGGCGCAACAAACCAACTCATCGTCGTTCAACAACAACGTTCAACCATCGTACCAGAGCACATCGCCCGACATGCAAAGAATGGACTCCATGCCCCCACCAACCATGGTCCCAGTACAGCAATCCATGCCTCAGATGCAGCAGCCAATGCAGCAACCAATGCACCACGAGGACCCCATGGCCCAGTACCACCAACAAATGTCAATGCCACCTTCTATGCAGAACCCCGTTGTCAAGAGCCGGGAGCAGCGCGAGATGAGCCAGTCTTTCCAGTACGACCGCAACGGTATTCCTTTGTCCCAAGTTCACCAGCGCCACAGCTCCATGCCTGCATACATGGAGTACTCTCCCGCGCCGTCTTTCGTCTCTTCTCACTACGAAGACTACAGCACTCGCGGCATGTCTTTCGAGCCATTGACCCCACCTCAACACCAGATTGGTCTCGGTGCTGAGCCCGCTTACATTGCGAACGAGGACACTGGTCTCTACAGTGCTATCCCAGACCTTCCAGTTCCCAACACGTTCAACCCTCTGATGAACATGCCCCCATCAAACTTGATGGGCTCTGGTTACCCCGGCGTTTCCCGGCCATTTGCTCCTGGCAATGTCTACTCCGTCATTGAAGGCTCGCCCACCTACAAGCAACGTAGGAGGCGTTCGTCCCTTTCCGCTGGCATCGCCGCTGCTGTCACTGCCTCCGGTGCAGGTGCTCACCAGGTTCACCGTCCAAGTGACCTGAGGCGATCAATGTCTAGCTCAGTCGTTCCCCTTGCTGAGGTCGATGAGTCAAACCACAACTCGCCCAACAGCACCAACGGTGCGAGCTACCCCCAGATGCCTGAGCAGAAGCCTCACATGGACATGTCCCGACAGGGTACCCCGCTCAACACTGTTGAGGAGAGCCCTGAGCCACAGTCTGCTTCGCTCCATCACGACGATCTCAACACTCTGGTCAACGGTGAGCTGTTTGAGAGCCCTCTCCAGCACAGCGCGGTTGCTCGTACCGCTGGTGCAGGAGGACCCGTTTTCCGACGCGCCCGCAGTGCCACCATGATGGAAATCGGCCCGTACCCCCAGAAGTCGCACTCCTGCCCGATCCCCACCTGTGGTCGTCTCTTCAAGAGATTAGAACACCTCAAGAGGTAAGCGCTCGCAATTTCCCCATCTTGCTATTTTTGTACCACATGATCACTCGAACCTCCACTTTATTTGTTGTTTTGCATAGACGCTGACCCTGGCGCTTAGACACGTACGCACCCACACACAAGAACGACCATACGTTTGCCCGTTGTGCAACAAGGCCTTCTCGCGCTCAGACAACCTTGCCCAGTATGTACCCTGTTTACTGCCCAACCAAAAACCACATGCTGATTAATTCATTAGACATCGTCGCACACACGAGCCCCGCGCTGACGGCGAGCCACTGAGTGACTACCAAGAAGAGGACGACCTTGAGGGTGAGGAAGACCACCTCCACTCGCTCGCGGATGAGCTTTCGCCTGAGTCCGGCAACGAGTACCTCGGTCTGTCGCACTCCATCAACGACATTCCTGGCCCAGGACTCGGTATGACCATGGCGCCGCCACAACACAGCCTCATGGCCGGCAGCCACTACTGAGCATACACTGTCACGACGTCACACATGTGAAATGAGCATTTCGGCGCAATCAATGGCGCAGCCATCTAGCAGGATACCAGTCTGCTGTTTTTCTTGTTCATCTTCTCGTCTTCGCGTTTAATCTCTTAGACCGGTGTCTGTTTTCCTCTGCTCGGCATACATTTACGATGTCCGCACTGCATTTGTTCTTGCTTTTTCTTTTCCAGCCTTCGGAGCTAGGGGATGGTGATACCACCGGATTTTGGCTTTTTGAGGGGTTGGCTGACGACACAACACTACGAACATGAGTACCCCTTCTTTTTTCTCGTCTCATCGTTTCACGTTTTTCCCTTTTCTTCTTTCTTTTCCCTTGCGCTCCGATCTGTTTGCTCGTTGTCGTCGTCGTTCAGCGCTCTGTTGGATATATCTTTGGCGGCATGGCTTGCTTTATTGCAAAAGTTGTTTGATGGCGGACTGGGACACCATTTGAAGCGCACGCATACGCATATCCTCGATACATCTCTCTCGGATATGCAGGTAGCTTGGTGGTTTGCGTCGTCCTCTTTGTGAGGCGATGTGTGTATAATATTGGAACTCAATTCAAAACGCATAACTGCACTTCTATGTCTTCACATGTTATTGCTACCGTGACCTTTCGTATGCTTACTACGATGACTAACACATACTTCGCATACAGTTTGCACACGCGTCAAATCAATATACTCTTAGAAATCAGCATTCAGTGTGAAACACTACACCATCTCATCACGCATCCACATCCCAACAGACACGATCAACACGTCAAGAACATCTTGTCACAGCATAACATCATCATACCAACACTCACCTCACACACATCATGCACCCGAGTAACCCGTCATACCAACAACCCACCCTGAATCCTTCCGTCTCACGTGCCTCACCCCCCTGCTCAAAGGGCCATCTCACCTCACCTTGCTGCAATCCTTACGTCACACAAGGTCAACGCGCTTGTTTCAGAAGCGACTACGCCGTACAATTACACATCACCTCTCTCGCGAGCACGGTCTAGATGGGGCGTGACTGGGGGTGCGGAAGTCGGTGCTGCGGGCCCGACTGTGCCTCACTTCCCTTGACTGTGGCACGGTCGCGTGCGGGTTTGCGGGACAAAGACCGCATCGGAGTCGGAGTCGGAGTCGGAGGGAGAGAGGAAGTGGAGGTGGAGGTGGAGGTAAGGGCGGACGCCACATTGACGGCGCAGTGTGTACTTGCTGGTTCGAGGGAACCGTGTCTGTGCGTGCGGTGAGTGGGATGGATGGATGGGTGGGGATAGGAATGTAGGTGGTAGACTTTTGGACGATAGACACGTGGAGTGTGGGGCTGTGCGTATGGTCTTTTTGTAAATGCAGTGCGAGGCAAGCGTTGTAATGTGTTAGCTTTTTTGAGGATCAGTGGAAGGCGAGCGTTGTAGATCATGAGGCTGTGGGTGGTGGGGGACTTGGGAGTCATGGTGGTGTGAGCGGTTGGCTTGTCGATGCCGTTTTGAAGGCTTCGGGGGCTGCGGTAGCGAGATCAATTGCCATTCAGCCACTTCGGAATCCTTTTGCTATGTGCTCTGATTACTATCACTAATGCATACTTGCTACTTGGGGGTGGTAATCAAGTATTTGAAATGGGGGAAATGTGAAGTTCAGATGGCACGGAGTGTTCAGCGGCCGTTGCCTTGGTGGGTTGGAGGGGTGGGAAATGGTACTCTTCGCTAATCGGCGATCTGAAGTTGTTATATCTCACAGTTGAGCAGGTACCTTACGCCAAAAAGCCGTCATGGGAGCACCCGTTCGGAGGGCTGCCGATTGGTACCCCTCGCTTATGGCTTGAACTATGTGCCAGCATGTCGTACGATTATGTGGTATGTGGTGGGAAGAAAAAAATCAGGGTGCATGTGTAGCTTCGCGCTAGAAAGCTCGAAGTAGTATATCCCTGAGCCTGCTCGAGTGGGTGCTTTTTACGGGTGCGTCTCGCCATGTGTAGGCATACTGTGCGGTACGCTTACGGGAGCGGCGTGTCCACGCCGCATATTTTCTCTTTCCGGGACTTTGTGTCGCCGGCTGTAGGGGTGCGATGTGTGTGCGTTCAGGAGAATTACGCGCGGTCTGTGAGTGGTTGTGTGGGAGATGATGTTGTGGCTGTAGCTTACCGTCGCCGAAGGTAGGGTAATTTGCTTGTAGTTGTTCTTTTTAACGTAGCGATGTTACCTCGAGTCAGAGAATACACATGCGGCTGTTTCCTGAGTAGCTCCTCTACTTTCGGGGCGTCAAGTGGCCGACGCATTGTCCATGTTCAAGGGTGGCGGAAAGTCAGTAGGTCGCCACAGGAGGGAGCATCTAACTAGTGATGATACAGGCGGACCGGAAACATCAAGTTAACGGCATGGCTCTTGAAAGTTGTCTGAAGGGAGGATAGTGTCGTGGTGGCGGTTGCTTCGTGCCCAGGTGATTGCGCATAGTAGAAAATGCGCTAACGGGAAGATGGTTAGCGCATACTGCGCCCGGCGTGTCCCACCGCCTTCTTCATTCCATCGCGTCTGTACGCTCCGCAAACCACCGACAGAGAACGCCCTCTGTCGTCATCGCAGTCTGAAGTTCAAAGTATCTTGTGACATACATACCTGCAGCGTCTGAATGACGTGGTATGGAAACTCGACTCATCCTCGGCCGCACCGTCGAAGAGGAAAAAGCCAGTATTTCTGTACGTCTCTACTTCGGGCGAAGAGATCTCTCATTACTATGTGCCTACACGAAATTCTCTCAACGCTGTCAGCTCTTGCGATTGATCTTGGACTAAATATGATGACAAGATCCCTGGACCGGACCTTCGTTAAAATCAACATTGATGATCATGAAAATGAGGGGAAGCAGACATACATGCTATACAGGGGCTTCCTACGCTCTCAGTCTCCTTACTTTGCTGCAGCATTCAAGAATAATTTTCGCGAGGCTGTAGACAGATTCATTCATCTTCCGGATGTATACCATGAGGCTATCTCAGTTCTGATTATATGGACGGTCCACTGGCTGGCCAGCAGACTACTACATCGAGAACATAGACGCACCAAGCAGTGACTCAGCGAAAGACGGGAAAGGTAAATCAGCTTGGTATTCGAACTTTGCCGATCTGATCAGGTGAAATTGACAGCTACATAGCCGACGCGGAACCTACAGCGCCCGTGTCTGCGCCGCCAAAAGATTGCTCTAAAGCTGCCGACTGGGTGGCAACAGACGGTGAGATATTTCGTTCAACAGATTCGACAGAAGCTAAACTTGGCAAGAGTTTCGGTTTCAAGAGCAACCCAGGTATCTGAGAACACTCATGGGGCTGTATATTTTTGCCGACTTCTATGACACGCCACAACTGCGAGATGATGTGATGACATTGATGGCCGAGCTTATAACCCACAATACTTGCAATCACGGTTGCAAAGAAACATGGTCATGGGACGTCATCACCAACTTATACCTTCACCTACCATCTATTTCCCTCTTGCGCAAGTATGCTGTCGCATTCTACGCGGTACTCGCCCTAAGGATAATCAAAGATGAGTGGGAAGATTATCCCAAGTCTTTTATGATCGATCTACTCACGGTCACTGTGCCTCTCCGGGGGACTTCAACCAAACAAAGGCGCAAGGAAGACCTTTGTGATCCTTGTAACTTCCATGAGCACAAAAGTAACAAGAAAAAGATTGCTGCCTGCAAAACATCACAGCAGAAATCAGGACCCTGACTCGCTGGATTTCTGCGCGCATGCATGAGCGAAGTCTACGATTACGGCGATGTAAGATTACTGGCAAAGTCGCGTGCGAAGACAGGTGACGAACCCGAGCTTGAGGCTGACGTACCAGAGGAGAAGGATCATACGAGTATGCCGTGTTCGGCTGGCGTTGAGATGGCGAATGAGAAAGTTGAAGTTGATGACATTTCACGAGGAGTGGATGATAGTTCTGATACGGGCTTGCTCCATGGTGGTCAAAATGAGGCTATCTCGGTTCCAACCGTCAACCCGTCTCCATGGGTCTGCCATTGTAGCAAGTCGAGACCCCGAAAAGTCCATGTCCGGGTGTTGACACCAGTCTGCCCGACTAACGAGCTACAATCTGTTGGCCTTTTGTCCATGATTGATACCAGGACAGATATCGCATGGAGATACATATGTAGCAATAGGGCCGAAGACGCGTCAAAGTCGTGCTAGTCGACAATAGTGGCGCGCGTCAAGCTTCCCAAAGTCGACTCTTCCCCCGCAATTTCTATTCAGCTCGAAACATCAGCACCTGTACCTAAACTAGCGCTTTGTTCCCAGCTCAGTTCCTAAAACTTCCACCAAAACTGCGAGCAAGCACTGAGCAGTGTGAACTCGACTTAATCAGTTTGCTACCCCTTTTCAAAGTGACCATAATAACCATGGAAAATGCTGCTAAGAGACCAGCCGAAGCACAACTGACAAGCCACAAGTTCAAACGTCCGACAATCTCGTGAGTCTCATCATATTCAGCAAGTGTCAACCAGACTAATTTGTAACAATAGCAAGATAATCCAAGCGCACGTCACTGTTCGCCTTGAGCTTGAAGACGTAGAGGATAGTTGCGCATTCCATGAGCATCAGAACGATTGGGAGAAGATTCCGTGCCGGCGACATCAAGCCTTTTACATCTAGTTTTACACCGACTTTTTGCGCTATATATTCAATCTTGTATCTGATCTCGACAAAGAATACGGAAGCCCGAAGGCAAAGAAAGCGAACGAGAAGGCGAACGCCGAGGAACAGACCAGGGTCAAGCAGGAAGAGGAAACACAGCCTTCGGGTTTTGAAAGCGCCGAAGAGACTTTGGAAGTATGAGAGTGAACCCTGGATGTTGCTCTACCAAGCACGGACTATGCTTCATTGGTAGCCCACCATCGGCTCACGCGATCCGCTCTACCAATCTACGACCCCACTTCCTCAAAAACTTCCAGATATTACCTGCCGGACAAATTGTAGCCTACCTCGATGCCCATCACTTCAAATTACATGGCGACATTCGCTCCTCCAGCCCGCCGGGGTGATTTCCTTTACTCGTCTGTCCTCTACGCAGACCCTGGAAACGGAAACTACCACGGGCGCGCGAGTGTCGCCGAACTAGCGGCTCTCCTCCGCCCGGAAGCCCCTAATCTCTACAGCAAGGGCCGAAAGCCTGAGGTCGCGACACGAGCAAAGGATCAGGTGTGGCATTTCTACTCCGCCCAACTCATTCACTATAGACTACCGGTTACCAAGGACAAGAACGCGGCGAAAGTGCGACTTCTGAATGCTATGAACCAGTTCAGCCTTGAGGTACCAGCCTGGGTTCTGAGGATTGAGAGCGAACTCAAGGCGGAATGGGAGGCGGAGAACCGCAAGCTGAAGAAGGGTGGTGGTATGGTTAGCAAGAAGGCGCCCAACCCGAGTGTTGCTCGCGAGTCAGGTCTTGGAAGCTCTCAGGGTGCAGCTGGCGGTGTTAATGTTACTGGTAAGCTTACGGACCCCTGATACCAGACGCTGCTAACGCTGCACCGTAGTCAACGTGGCCCTGGGTTCAGGAGAAGTATCAATTAGCCAGTACATGGACGCGCAACAGGCGAGCAACAACACCCCTAGGAAGCCACCACCTACCAAACGCAAGCGTGCTGGCAGCGATGTCTTCAGCCCGGTAGCGACACCGCAGAAAGCAGCAAAGGTCAAGAAAGAGCCAACGCCAAAGAAAGCACTCATCAAGAAGGAACCGACCGCCAAGCGATCTGTTCCCAACATCAAGCAAGAGAACCGCGTCTCTGCGCCGCCATCGACTCCCTCACGGTCCCGCATCAAGCAAGAGCACTACCAGTACAGCCCCAAACCAATATACTCATCGCCCTACCTTAAACCTGACCCCTACCCAAACTATTGCCAACCCTCTCCCTCCCTCTCCCTCAGTGGTACATACTCCATCTCCTGCGAAACCGCCAGCTCTACCTTCAATGACTACGACCTTAATCTCACACTCGCCCGCGACCCCTCTCGCGGTATGTGGTGGGCGACATTCCGCTGGGGCGCCTGGGACGGTATTATCCAGGTGAACCCCGGCCCCGGCGACTCCGATAGTTTGGGTCAGCCCTGTTCGCTTAACTGGCGTCTTCGCGATCTCGAGACTGGACGGTTGACGTTTGGTCGGAAGTGTACGGGTTATATGACGTTCTCTGGTGATGAGTCGGTGGAGGGGTGTTTGTATGAGGTGCCAGGCGTGGGCTCATTGGTGTTTGAGGGTATGAGGGTTTCTGGTGGGAGCTTAGAGGATGACCTTAAGGGGGAGTGGGATGGGTTCGTTGCGGAGGCGTATCGGCGTTGAGGTCTACGTGAGCTTGAACGAGGATCTCGCACACCAAGTATTGCTCGGTACAACTGTCTTTGCAGGAAGCTCGGCTACCGATACCTACAACACTACTTTCATGATATACACAGATACACAAGACATTTTCTTTATTTTAATCAGTGATAGAGAACGTTGTATCCCCTCATCCTCCCCCTCCATGTGCACTTACTATGCTATACCAACTCCCCTAGTTTGCGCTACGAATTACAGTACACACAAATCTACCATAAAGCCGACTTGACGTCAAAGATCTATGTAAAACTAACTACATGTCAGCACATCGCCTTGACCGCACTGATGATTGCAGAGTAGATCCACTGAAGAAGACCACGCATGTACCTAGGTACCGACGTGGCAGTCTAAGGCCAAGCGATATGGCGGATGTCAGTATCGGCGTGGGCCCTCCATTGGTTACTGCCTTGACATGCCAATATGAGACAACTTGTCTGCTGGCCCGCGATATAAACTCCAGTGCATTCGCATTTGCAGATGTTCCTTCGCGCATGCTTGGGACGCTTTACTTCACCAGTATCGAAACCCATAAAAACAATCAAGTTCATTTAGAACACTTCGCAATTAGCTTGACAGCTACGTATAATACACTACAAATTTCTACAAGAAAGGTCCAAAAGCCATCTCTTTCTGCTCTTCCAAACCACTCGCTCAGGTATAACAAAAAATGAACAGGCAGGACGAGCATCACCCAACGCCAAAGGCAAGACTACCGCGCAGCATGACTGTCGTCCTTTCTCTCAAACGTGAACAAGTAAGGCGTCAAGAAACATGACGGCGGGAACGCTGAAGCTATCTACTGAGATACAAAAGAAATCATATGCGTATAGCATGTAATATCCGAAACGTCGTTCGAACCGACCCCTTATCGTTGCCATGGTCCACGGTCCTGCGAATGCCGTACTCCGCTCGTCCAGTCTATAGGTCCTGAAGGTGGCCGAGGGTCATGGATTGACCCTGGCCCTGAGCTGGGTTGTGGTGGTGGACCCCTCATGTCTTGTCTTCCTCGCATGATGCTGTCCCTGTAGTGCGCATCTCGTGCATCTCGTTCGCGCATCTCGCGTTCCCTTGAGTTTTGTTCAGCTTCTCTTCGCATATGCTCTTCTCGGTTCATCGCCGCTTGGTGTTGAGCTTGGGCTTGCTCCTCGCGAATACGGTCTGTCATGCTGCGATCACGAGGATTGCGCATAAAGTGATGTTGTGGTTCCTCGGGAGGGCGTTGACCATAGAGGGAGTGGTTTGCCACTCCAAGAGACGAGTGCGGAGGATGCTGCAAAGGTGGAGGCTGCCCGTGCTCCGGCCTAGAAAGGGGAGTCTGTGAGCGTTGCGAGAGATATCCCCGATCTTGAGGTTGGTATCGCAAATCTTCGTGCACTGGAGGACCTGTCGCACGTAGCGTGGGGTTGGAAAGCTGTTCACGTAGGTAATCGGCTCTTTGAGACAGTTCACGGCTGGTGTCGCGATCCGGGTGACGGGGATCAAAGTCGTGGGCCTCACGAGGATCGCGAGGACGATAAGGCTCCGTCAGTCTACTCAACCCTTGGAAAGGGTGGGCTGTGTGCTCGTTGGGCGTTTGTGGGTTCGAGTACGATAGGTTTGCGTTTGAGGCCTGCGAGTGGTCGTTGCGTCCGGATGAGTCCCTCTGCTGCTGTGCTATGTGGCTTGTCGACAGGTGCGGACTGGGCCGCATCCCCATAGGCCCAGGTGGCGGGACACCACTCCCCGGAGGATCTACTTGGGCGTATGGGTTCGGCTGCAGAATCTGCGATGATGCACTCAGTGCTTGCGCATGCTGTGCTGCAGTGGTGCTCGGGATACCATGTCGAGGCAACGACCCAGGCGGCCCACTCACGCTCGAAGTGCGCGAATGCGGATGTGGAGAGTTGTTGAAGCCGGCAAGAGGTGGCGGTGTCGGATTTTGACGTGGAGTGTTATGTTGGGAGAAGACAGAACGATGATTGCTAAACATCCTATCATTGACATTGGGCGGCTGAGGCAGGCCGGTCGGTGTTGAGGAAAGCGACGTGATTTGTGGAGTCTGAGACAATCCTCGGTGGAACGGCTGCTGGGCTTGCCAACTATCGCGCAGACTTGGCCTACTTACTGATGGCTTGTCCTCAGTCAAGTCGATTGGCCTGTTTGATGTTGCGTTTGTAAGTGAAGACTGCTGAGCATACGAGGCTGGACGGGTATACGGAGATTGAGCAGCCATAGAATCTTCGTAAAGCGGACGTCTGGACGATGACGAGTAGCTTTGCGTCGTGGGAGGAGGAGGCGCGATTGGTGCTGATTGCAGAGGTGTAGAGGTATGCGATGGCGGACCTTGTTCGCTTGGCTTCTTACGTCTGGGCTCCTCGGGATCGGTGTCATTCAGTAAGGACATCAAGTTGGACTTGCGTGGTTCGACAACCGGCTTTGTTACTGCAGGTGGGGGAGTGTTTTGCATAGGTGGTGGGCCGCGCTGAGGATGCTGTAATTGAGTGTGAAGCATCGCTTGGGGTTGAGCTGGGGGAAGGCTAACTGGAGGAGGATTCCTAGGCTCTTCTTTGACAGGCGGTGTAAGAATGGTCGACCGTGGCGGCAGCTGTTGCGCACCATGGCTAGTGCTATGACTCGGAGAATACACATCGGCCACCGTTTGGCTGAGCGATTGCGCTTGCGATGAGTGTCGTGAGTGCGAAAACGGCAACGGACGATGTTCTGGCGATCTCAGCCCAGAGTTCGAACGTACTGGCGGCATGATTGGTGGTGCAGCACCGGGAGCAAAAGGTCTATGCTGTGACATCTCCTGTGAGATGCGACGTGTATGTTCATGAAACCGGCGCTGAGCCTCCTGTTCCTGCTGAACTTCAGGTCTACCTGCACCGTCTCGCTCTTGAAAGTGAAGTCCACGATAGAGAGGCGAGTGGTGTTGCTCTTGAACGCGAGGCTGTGGAGGCGCATGTTGTTGCAATGGCCGGTGCGCCTGTTGGTTACCTGCAGGTTGTGAAGGTGGCCGGGACTCGAAACGTGGAGGTAAGTCTTCGGAAAAGTATCCAGCTCGTGGCCCTTGCGGCTGCGACTTATGCTGCGACATGGAGTGTTGGTGATGATGCTGCGGTGGTGCACGCTGGGGGGGAGCGGGCGGCGACTGCTGTGGTGGTATCGAGGGTACGGACGCCAGGCTAGTCTCCGGTAGGGCAGGATATCCGGGCGGAGGCACCATGGGCTTGCTCTGCACAGGTGCTTGGGCGATAGTGGAGAATCTCGAAGAAGGAGTCGAATGCGGAGGAGATAATTTGGGGTGCACAAGCGGGTTCGGAGGCGGAGACCCATGTTCAGGCGTAGGTGCGATGGGGCGGATAGGTCCCGCCTGTGTGCTCTCGTATCGTCTCTTAGGTGCTGGAGTCGGTGTTGGCGGTGGACCCAGATCATCACCTCGTTCCCTTCGAGAATCTGCCTCTTTTGCTGTCTGCTCCAAGTCTAGTTTGCCACTTTCGACAAGACGCAGGTACTGGTTCTTGATCATAGTGTGCGTCTTGGTGCCCATATGGTTTGCGATTGCAATCCAGTCCGTGCCAAAGTGTGCAACATTCTTGTCGAAGTCTTGTAACTCGGAGACGGACCAGTAGCTAGATGGGCCAGGTCTCGCACCAGCCTGTGTCTTCGGTCGGTCTATAAGACTGCCAGGCAGACCAGAAAGCTGCTGCAAATCACCGGCCAGCATCATCTGATCCTCCATAGGAATAAGTGGCATGGGTATTGGCATATCATTCATGGGTCGCTTGCCAAGGTCGTCCTCCATCTTGACTCCCATGTTCTTGTCCTTGCGATCGACCTTGACAGGTGAGCCGATAGGAACGGCAGCGAGTGGCGTATTCTTCGCCTTCCGGCCGACCTTGTCCTTCGCCGATTTTCCACGCCGCATAGCCTTTTCTTGTGTGTCGTCGGCGTCGGTTTGCCTGCGTGCTCGGCCTGGTATGGGTAATCCCGTGATCGGGTCGAACTCAGTTTCGGTTGGACCAAATTTGGGTGCCGCATGGCGTCGAGGTCGTCCAGTCTCAGTGACTGGTAAGGGCAAACCGTCCTCTCCTGGTCCTTCGGGTCGGTCCATGTTAGCGATAGCTCCACGACCACGGCCAACGGCTCCACCACGCTTCCTAGGAGCCCGTGCTTTGCGGAGTTTACCCTTGTATTCTCTGCCCCATTTGGTAGCATAGTAATGATTGATACAATCCTTGTAGGTACGTTCAGTTCCAACCTCTTTGTAAAGGACTTCGGCCAGCTTGCCCCACTTCTTAGCGTATTGATCCTTGTAGTTATGTACCATGACTCTGTGTTCCTCAGGAGTGAAGTCGTCCTCTGGCGGCTCATAGTGGAACACGAAGATTCCTTGACCGGGTTCGCGCTGGAAGTTGGTGTCGATGAATCTTCTCCGCTGAGCCTCCGCCTCGGTAAGCTCTAAGGGTAGATCGGCCTCCTTCTCCGGATCAGCCATGGCCTTCCGTGGCTCTTTGTCTTTCTTCCCCAGCTTTTCCTCTTCGGCAGTCTTCAAAGACTCTTTGATAACAGCTTCCAGATCAAGCTCAGTAGCCCATCGACTTGCGTGGCTCCTCCGGCCTGTAGGTGCGAGCGACCCATCCAGAATCCCTGTCATCGCAGCGTTTTGTACATCGGGAGTGACAGCCTTCAGTGTTGGTTCGGCTGACGGCTGTCTATCCTGATCGTCTTGATCGCGCTCTTCGTCCAAAGGACGGATGGACACACGCCAGGCTCTATACGTAGCTGCGTATCGTTCAAGAATTTGATCAGTGTTCAGCTCGGGCTCGATGCTCTTGCGTAATTTGCTTCGAATGGCGTTCATGATATCGTCAGATAGGTTTGGCCGGTCTTGCCCAATGTCCGATAGAGGCGTTGGAGGACCTGAGCCTAGATATGGCAACGAACTGAGATCGGGTAAGGTTTCCTGGTCGGCAGAGTTCTCACGTCGTAGGCGAAGTGCCATTGTTGCGGGCGCGGCCGACCTCTCTTTAGTCTCCTCTTTGTCTTCCATCTCGACATCCTCGGATTCTTCCGCCTTAGGTGTCGGTAGATCTGCCGCAATACTCTCTGGGGCGGCTTGAGTAACGGCTGGCTCCATAGGACGTAGTTGCACAGGTGAGAAATGTGACTCTTCCTGTTCTTGGGGCAAGGGTGTGCTTGTCTCTTCTACGGACACCACATCTGGCTGTGTCTGAGGAAGATGCTCGACATTCAGACATGACAGCAGCACAATCTCCTGCAAGGGAGTTGTAGCGCGCAAATGCGGAGCACTCAAATCGACCCGTTTGGCTTCCAGGCGCGCTCGCTCTCGGTTGTATTTTGCCTCAGACTCAGCGAAGTCATCCTCGTCAAGATCAAGATCATCGTCAGAGTCTTGCAGAGCTTCCGGGGCGGATGACGCAGCCGACATGGGTGGCTTGGCCATCCGCGGTGACGCCTCTGCCATGACGACATCAGAGTATCGCCTAGTCTCGATCGGAGTAGGTTTAGGCGAGGGCACCACAGGACGCTCTGCGGATACAGCACGTTCTCTCGGCCTCTCGGTTTCGGTTTGAATGCGTGAAAATGACGGCGATACTGATTTTGCTTGCGAGTTACGCTGGATCTGTGCAGCAGAGATACTATGCTCGAGTCTCGGGGCTTTGGGGACAGTACCGAACGGTCGTTCGCGATCCTCAGCCGGAAATTCGCGCTTGGTTGGCACCGACGGTCGGCTCGAATTGAATCCAGGTCGTACCCATTGCATGCTCTTAGGACCGCCGCTCAATGGGCCTCTAGTGGGAGGAAAACCAGGCCTGTCTGATTGCGGATAGGATGAAAGCGGCCTAGGAGCCATTGGAGTGCGGTCAGCTTTGGGGCCCGTGGGAATATTTGCTGGTAAGCTTTGCGGCGATGTGTTGATCGCAGAGCCTCCTCCGCCACCACTACGCGGACCAAAGCCTGAAGGATTCGCACTGGGAGATGCATCTCGAGGAGTGTACTGTGGTAGATTTGCCCTTGAGAACGATGGGGATACGTTGACTCGTGCCGCTTGAGGAGCTGTAGGTGGTGGACGCGGTCGTGCAGCAGGACCTTGTGGGGGCGATTTTGCAGCACCTGATGGCGCAGTAGGAGCTGTTGAAGGAGCTGATGGTGCCATAGAGGGAACCTTGGGGGGCGCGGCCATTTGGGGCGAGCTCGGGACCTTGGCAGCTACATTGTCTGAGCCCGGTGCATCAGTGGCCTGAGATGGAACCACAGTAGGAGGGATAGAAGGTGGTTCCATACGTGTTGGAGCCGGATGGACCGCTCTGCTCTCTTGCTTGGGTACATCACCAAGCAGCGGACGATCCGGCGCCCGATCAGCTTTTGGCCCAGTGGGTGGTAATGTCGAGAGGCCTTGGAGAATTGTTGCCTTTGGTGCAGTTGGGATGACTGCCGCCTTCACAGGAGTAACAGGAGCAGCAGGTGTGACAGGGCCGACAGAGGTGTTAGTAGTAGGAGCAGGAGTAGGCTGAGCAGACTTCGTTGGCGCCACTGTCACAGCGCTTGGCTTGTTGTCCGAGATAGGCGCCCTCCAAACGTTGGAACCACCGAAGGCTGGAATGGAAGCAGGAGGCGATGAAGCACGCGGAGCGTACCTCTCTCTGGACGCTTCAGCGCGGCTGGCAAGGAGAGCCTCGTCTTTCCCTGGCTCCCGCCGAGGATCCTTGGCTGAGAGAGGATCGATGGCAACAGAAGATCGTCTTGAGTAAGTATCTCCCTGAGGCCCGAGCCTGTCGGACGGAGAGGCATGATGAGATGAGTGCGGTGTTGGCCCCGTAGGCGTGCCAGGTAGATGCCTCAGATCAGAAGGGCCCGGGCCCCGATGTGTGTCCAATGCCCGTAGTCCTGGTTTCGCAGCACCTGCTGGACCGATATAGGAGTCGTACTCTCTGGGAAATCTCCGATCATCACGTTCTCTCCTGTCAAAATCGCGATCTTCCCGAATGTCTCGTTCCTGGCGCCTTGGAGGTGTCCGACTCCGCGGCCGATATGTGCGTTCCGGAATGCGATCACGTGAGTCGTGGTGTCTGTCCCGGTCATCGTTGTGGAAGTTCCGGCCGCGCCCAGCAGCAAATCCGCCTCGTCCTCGGCCAATGCCTCCGCCACGATACGATGAAGCTGTACCAGGAGGTGGGGGGTCAGAGTAGGTGGAACCAGCTGAAGGGGGGCCGTCTCGTGAGTTTCGTCGTGCGCGACTGACATCCAACTCTCGCGGTCCGAAGTCCCTCTGATCGCGCGGATCTCTTGAGTCCCGGATAGGTGACCGCCTTGGTGGAGTTGGCCGTCGCTCGCGCCGATCAAAGTCGCGGTCTCGGTCGCGATCTGCCCTCCAGGAGTTTTGGGAGTTGTGCGGAAACCCAGGACCGCTGCTTAATGGTGGCGCAGTACGTAGTGGTGTAGCTTCACCTCGGCCAGCAAATCCTCGGCCTCTATCATCGCGTGGCGCTGCAGATGCACTTGATGGTGGACCCACTGGCGGGCCACGTGGCGCATCGGAAAGAGATTTTGGGCCTTTCGGAACTTCTCTTGAGAAGCCGCCAGGCTCTGCATTTGGTCTAAAGGTTTCGTTACCCCTTGGGGGGTATCCGCTACTAAAGTTGGATGGTCTTCGGTCTCGATCCCGATAGGGCGGCGACCTGTCGCGGGGGTATCTGCCGTTCTCCGGATACCGTGAAGCAGACATGATGGTGGTTTCTTACTGTACAAGGAACTTGCAACTGCGGCATGAGCACGGGTAAAGGTCGTACGTCAAAGCAGATTGGAAATCTCAGTCGTAAGAGCAGGCCTGGATCGCGTGCAGTGGTGTCGTAGCAAACAGGTGGTGCAGAAAAGAAAAAAGGTTCCCTGGTGTAGCGTCGTGCGTAATCTCAAGAGTTATCGCGCGATTGGCCGGGGAATTGTTGTGTCCCAGGTTGACGTCGACCACAGGGTGCCAGTCGAGGTTCGCGTTTGCAAGCTGTGGTAGACGAGGCGCTAGCGACAAGGCCCGTGCTTCGAAACCAGGGAATTAGGGAAAGCGCCAAACCCCGATCCGTGGTGGGACAGGTGCAGCTGCTCGGCGCCGGGAGCTGAGATTCGATCTGCTATTGTCGCCTTTACGCCCAAACGCCCGTTTCGTGCCGTAAACGCGTCAAACTGGCCCGGGAGGTCAGGCAAAGTCGTCTGGAGATACTGGAGAGTGGCGAGAAGCGCGTAGCGGTCAACAAAGGCAGTCTGGCGCCGTGTTGAAGATGCTCTGCAGCCCGTTGACGTGGCGCTGGGTCTCTTTGTGAGAGAGGCCTGGGCACGTGAGGCAGCACCTTGTCGATGCTGTGAACGAAGAATGGAGTGGCTCTTTAGCCAGGCTGTGCGCCGCTGGGCCGTTGCAGCATAGTGTCGTGGAGAAGGTCGTTGTCGCAAGGTAGGTGTGATGATGAGAAAGGGAACGTCGAGGAGACCAGAACACGAACGAAGCACTGACACACCCAGCCATGACGGATGCCTGCAAGTCAAAATGGACGCCCCGGCTGGCCTGCAACGGCCTAGCGAGGGGAATCCATCAAGACATGACAGCCGGCCTCTGATTGGTCCGCAGTTGGACATTTCGATTATCTGCAGGGGTGGGCAGCCGCTGGTTTTGCTTCAGATTCCAGCCCTGGCTCCACTAGGGGATTTGGTGACGATCCCAGCCCGGGCCCTTCACCAACACGGACAGACACCGCTGCACGGCAGACGCTGGATACGATGCACGCCTGGAGGACCGGATGGAACATTGTGCGATGATGCGACACCGTGGCCCTCCCACACGTTGATGACAAAAGGGCTGGCAGTCTCCTTAGCTGGATCGACCCGAGAACTAGCCTCACACGAGCAGGGATTAGACTGCCATGCCTTAGTCCCAATCCACGGGTGCCCAGGTGTGGGGGCTTCTTTTTCCTCAAAATCTGCCGCCGCACCGACTCACAAATAGCACAGTACGAGAGCTGCAACCGTCCAGAGTACGCCGAGCAGCCCGACGACGCGCGAAAACATCGCGAAAGTGCCGCTGCAGCGACTACCCACCCGAGATTGCTCATTGCCATGGCGAGCAACCCTTCGGCCCCTACCGGCGCCACTGATGCAGTCTTGAAGCCATCCGAGCCCGTGCCTGAGGGTGCGCAAGAGGTGCAGGGCATCGACTTCAACCAGTATGCGTCGCGCAGCATCACCGTCGAGGAGCTGGTGGGCGGCTACGCGAACATGGGCTTTCAGGCGACTTCTGTGGGAGAGGCTGTACGCATCATCAACGATATGGTGAGTTGCTTCTGCCCGGAATATCCGAATGCGCGTGCTGCGCCGCTGCGGCGTGTCAGCGTCAAGTGCGGAGACAGCACTTGCGTATGCCGGGAATCTCCCGTCCGTGCGCTGTCCCGAAAGGCGAAACATTTAGCCTGATTTGGCGACGCGACACCACCGCATCGAGAAGCTTGGGTTCGCTGCTAACAGATGACAGCGTGCATGGAGAGACCCTGAGACCAAGGAGCCCACGACGATATTCCTTGGATACACGTCAAATCTGATATCCTCGGGACTGCGCGAGACGCTGCGGTACCTGGTCCAGCACAAACACGTTTCTGCCATCGTGACGACTGCAGGCGGCGTCGAAGAGGACTTCATCAAATGCCTCGCGCCGACATACCTCGGCGCTTTCTCCACTCCCGGCGCCGGACTGCGCCGAAAGGGAATGAACCGCATCGGCAATCTTGTCGTGCCTAACAGCAACTACTGTGCTTTCGAGGATTGGGTAGTGCCGATCCTAGACAAGATGCTGGAGGAGCAAGAAGCGAGCAAGAAAACGGACGAGCCATTATACTGGACACCTAGCAAGGTCATCCACCGTCTGGGCAAGGAAATCAACGACGAACGCTCAGTCTACTACTGGGCGTGGAAAAATGACATCCCAGTCTTCTGCCCAGCGCTGACAGACGGAAGCCTGGGCGACATGCTGTACTTCCACACATTCAAGTCATCACCAGAGCAGCTGCGCGTCGATATTGTAGAGGACATTAGAAGGATAAACACAATCGCCGTGAGAGCGAAGAGGACAGGCATGATTATTCTTGGCGGAGGACTGGTGAAGCATCACATCGCCAATGCGAACCTGATGCGCAACGGAGCTGACAGCGCGGTGTACATCAACACTGCGCAGGAATTTGACGGGAGCGATGCAGGCGCACGGCCAGACGAAGCTGTCAGCTGGGGAAAGATCAAGCTAGATGGAGATAGCGTGAAGGTGTACGCAGAGGCAACGGTGGTGTTTCCGCTCATTGTTGCGGCCACATTCGCACGGGTCCAAAGGTCGCAAGGGCAATAACAACATGCGCCATACGCCATGCAGCACTCCAATAGCTCGTGCAATATAGACCATGTTGTTGATTGACCGGAATAAGTGGGCTGGTATGTAAGGACGACTGCTGTATGGAGCAACGTTGTTGGTGCGGAGAGCGGACGCAGGGAAGGCGCGGACGGGCCCACCTTCCCCACTAGTCTCAAAGCTCTAGCGTGACTGCCTAGCCGGTCACTGTGGAGGTTAATCGATAAGGGAGCTGAGAGCTCTGTGATGACGACGATTGCGCCTTGCCCGCGCAGCCTTGTGCGATGAGTCAACCTCTAAAGCGCGTCGTGGGAGAGACTGTAAAGGGCGCAGAGCCTCCAGGTTGAAGGCGCTGACGCCAAAGCTCAGTCGATTCGGAATAGCGCAGCGCGTGGGCCAGCCGATTCCCAGCCCTGGAGGTAGCTTTACCGCCTCACTCTGTACCTCTGTTGGCAATCGTGCCGCATGCTGGTAGGCTGCAGCCTTGGTCAAGCTCCAGCCACGCCCAGATTATCTTCCCTTCTTCTCCAAACCCCAATTTCTATATCTTGAGCCATATCTCCAGGAGCACACGCCTGTTCCTCATTGTAACCATACACCTTCGTCGACGCGATAACGCTGCTAGCTTGCTGCACTCACCGATAAAAGCAACACACCACTGTCGTGCAGCCTCGTGCATATCTGCTCTCACTCATCTCTCCATTTGTACTTTTACCCAGCTTTACCTGCACTCCCACCCGTCAAACGCCCGCTCTCCACTTTCACATGCGCCTCTACCCACGCAGCAAACATGAGCGTCAGCGTAGAGCCACCAATGCACTTTAGCCAGCAGCTCTCCAGCCCGCCACATTCACCAAACCACGTACTCCATGCGCAGACGCCAGCTTCTCCTCCACCACCGCCGCCGCCACCACCTGCAGCCGAATCGAACATGAGCACCTCCACTTCCGCGAACACTATGCCTTCTACTGGCCAAAACCACGATCGGGGCGATGCAGATATGCAAGATGGAGATGAGCCTACTCATCGCGATGCTTCCACAAATACCATCGCTGTCGATATCTCGGCTATAGATGAGGACGCTATGGACGTTACACCAGATGCTGAGACAGAGCTGTTACCACAAAACAGCCCGGCTGAAGCACAAGAAGCTACCATTACTTCACCCACATCGCCTGCGCCAGAGCAAACGGTATGTTCACGTCTTCTAATTGCCTGTATTTGTACCAGTGCTAACCTACCTTAGGCAGCGACCATCGTTCCCATAGAGCCCCCTCCGCCCATAGACCTCGACGCACTGCCTCCCCCTGTTGATCCAAGCACACAACCCCCGCCTCCGCCACCGCCAGTCGACCCCCCTCGCTCTGATTCGGGATCCGACGACGACGACGACGATGGCCTCCCGCCGTGGCACGCGCTTCCAGAAGACTTGTCATCGCCTGACGAGGAGGAAGTGAAGATGATCGAGGAGAAGGGTAAACACAGTGCTCTAGACCACGAACACTGGGAGAGCGAGGCGTTCAAACCTTTGGACCACCCGGAGTATACCGCCGGTGAAGCAGGACGTATTCACTGGGCAATCGATTCGTATAATGGAACCCAGGAAAAGCCGAACCATGAAGTGCTCATGAAGTCTGATGTCGTCACAATTGGGGGCCACCAATGGCAGATCAAGTTTTATCCTAAGGGGAATGATTCGGATTATCTAAGCGTCTATCTCGAATGCCTGAGTGTTCAGGACTCGAAGGACGACAATAACGAGGACGTGCGCAAAGACATGCCCAGCGAAGAGGCATCTGGTCCAAGCGGAGAGAAGAAGGCAGACGAAGTTATGGTAATGGCCGAACATGCGCCAGCCGACGGTTCGACAGGCGTGTCGCTTCAGAACGAGTCATCCACGCAAGAGCGTGGTGAAAGCACGAAGTCAAAAGACGTCGAGGCACCAACCGCACCGGTCGTCTCTCAACACACGCCTCTTCCACTTCTTGGATCGAAACAGATGCCTAAGCGGAATAGCGTTGCCGCACAAATATCGGTCGTGCTTTACAACCCAACAGAACCTCGCGTGAACTACTCACGTAATGCTTTACATCGCTTCTGCAATGGATCTCCTGATTGGGGCTGGACTCGCTTCCACGGACCGCACTACGATATTTCTCGTCGTCAGCATGGTCAGCGCATGGCGCTTCTTCGTGACGACAAACTTGCCTTCACTGCCTATATTCGGGTCGTGGAAGACCAGACGGATTGTTTGTGGGAGCATCCCATTCGTGAGAATCCGTGGGACAGTTTCGCAATGACGGGCTTACAAGCTCTGATGCTTTCACCCGGCGGGAACATGATGTCTGCAGTTGCCTCATGGATGCTGTTCAAGCCCTTTCGAAGTTTGTTGTACAGTATCGTCGTTGCGGACCCTAGCAATGAGCCTTTCACTCGGCCGAAGCCACTCGTCAGCGCTTTACAGCAAGTTCTATACTCGCTTCGCACCCAAGTCGAGCCTGGAGCTGGTCCAGTCGCGCTTGATGGCATCCTGGACGCTTTGGAGTGGTACCGAATACACGACGAGCTTCACAAATTGGATGTGATAGAGACATGGGAGGTCTTGCGCCTAAAGCTAGAAGAGGAACTCCAAGGGACACCTCAGGCCCAACAGCTGAGTGCTATATGTGGACCAAAACGCGACTATTCAATCGGTAGACCCAGCTACCGCGTACCTGTGGAAGGCGTGGAGAGTATACAGCGTGCTGTCAACGAATCCGCTGATTTCACTATACCTGGTCAGCTTCTGCCAGAATTGTTGACAATCGAGCTGGACCGGCATAAATTCGACAGCGCGAAGACGCGTTCGCACGTCAAGGTGCTGAACAAAGTGAGCCTTAACGACCGTATATCAGTTGGTGATACTCCCTACACACTGTATGGGTTTGTGGTGCATAAGCAAACACTTCAGTCCTACGTATACCAGCCGATACTTCGACCCGAAGGCCCTGGTTCACGCTGGTATATCTACAGTGATAGCAAAGATGAGAGCCAAGTCAAATGCCTTCCCAAGCGCGAAGCAGTCGATGCGCATGAAGGCAAGCCTGGTAGTACTCAGATTACTGGCAACGACGCCGTGGCATACATTGCCATGTATGTGCGAGACGATGTAGCTCAGTCAGTATTCGTATCAGACGCCAGATCGGAACAGTGGAATGTCCCGGAGTGGCTCAAGCTGGAAGTAGAGGCTAAGAAGAACCAATCTTCTATTCCTCCGATGCCATCATTACCGACGCACGAGCCGAACTCTGCGACAGATCAGGGGAAGGAAGAGAAGGTCACATCGCAGCCACCAAGGACGCTCGATTTTCGCGTCGTTGATTCACGGGTATACCTAGGGCACGAAGGTCCAGGTACATTTGACTTCTTTGATGCGAAGTGGGAAGGTTCAGAGCTCATACACACATTGACGCTATCAAGCAATGACGGATGCAAAGAAATTCGCCAAAAATTGTCCAGCCTTTTGAAGAATATCAAGGACCCACGACAGATAAAATTTTGGTTTCTAGGGTAATGTAGCCGTCACGGATACACTGTACGACATTCAGCTAACTTGTCGACAGTACGTTCCTTATTGACTATTGCATGAATGCGGAGAGTGTCTTTCACAAGACAACGCAGTTTTTCTGTCTTGCTCTGGAGTATAGTTCGTGCTAACGATACATGACAGATCCCACGAAAGGATCGCTGGACCGACCGAACCTCCTCGGTACCGGACTCATCGAGTTTTCAGCTGGTAGCTACAGCCCACACATAGTTGCCAAGGAATGGACTCTGGAGTCGCCAGATTACCGGAGCATCTGGGTGCACGTGACCGACTTCAAGAAGCTGCCTGAGCTCCCGAAAGAGGAGAAAGAGGAGAGAGAGGCTCCATCGCTCCAGGCAGGTGAAGTTGCGGCAGATATCATCCAAGTCGTCGAGACCGTAATCGAGCCTTCCAGTACCCCGCCGCCACCACCACAGCAAATAACTCCACATTCTGAGGATACGCCTATGAGCGACCCTGATGAGCCCGCTGTCGCACCTTCAGAACAACGCAACGATACTGCTTTGCTGGAAGTGGAGTCGACTCCAGCCGTTGATCCACCAGCTGTTGATGTAGTAATCCCAGGTGCCGGCCCTAGCGACACCGAGATGGGTGGCACACAAGAGGATATGCTGCTGCCACCACCTCCACCTCCCCCGGTTGATACACCTGCAGAACCTCTACAACCACCCCCACCAGTGCGCAACCCCACTCCTGAGCCACCTCCAGATGAAATTTACTTCTTCCTCAAATTCTGGAACGCGGAAAATCAAGCCCTAGAAGCTCGTGGATCGCATACTACACTCAAGTCTGCTAGATTGGACGATACAATCGTGGCATTGCTTGAACTTCCAACGGAAGACAAGAAGAAGATGGAGATGTGGGAGGAGGATGAGCTGACCAACACGCGATCACTGAAGCATCGTCGTACCTTTGCGCAAGTGGATCTACATAACGCGAGTATCATCATCGTTTCGTTACCGCTCTCGACTGAGAAGCGCAACGAACTCGCCGCTCGCGCTGCCCTTGCAGACCCACAATCCTACCTCCAGTTCCGCGCTTTCGCTCGCAATTTTCCACACAAGTTACAAGGCCACTTCACCTACGACTATTTCTCGAGCGAGTACTACAAAGGCGAAGTTGTGAATGGCTACCCCCATGGTCATGGTACTAAAATCTACCACTCCGGCGCCACATACAGTGGCTCCTTCCGCCTAGGCCAACGCTACGGTCATGGTCTATACACGTTTCAGAACGGCGACACCTACGATGGTGACTGGGTCGACAACCAGCAACACGGTACCGGGACCTATGTTGAGGCCGCTAGTGGCAACACATATGTAGGCGGGTGGCAGAACGACAAGAAGTTCGGCGAAGGTGTTACGCACTGGAAGAACGCACAAGAGTCGGAGAAACTCTGCAGGATCTGCTGGGACGGAGACGCCGAAGCTGCCTTCTATGACTGCGGTCATGTGGTTGCCTGCCTGCCGTGCGCAAGGGAAGTGCAGACTTGCCCCGTGTGCAGGAAGCGGGTATTGAGCTCTATAAAGCTGTACTATGCGGCCTAGTTTCGTTAAGGCATCACTTTCGTTCAGCGATGTACACACAATATGTATGGTATGGAGATGGGGGTCAAGGAGTTTTTATGCTTTGGTTACACATCACAAGAATGAGACATGGGTGGGGCAGGCCCGGATGGGCTACACATGGATAGGCGTTAAAATGGGTATGGTTTAGGCACTCATTTCTTCTTCTTCTTATATCATATTACCCCAATCCGAAGAGAAATTCTGAACGCGAACCATTATGATAGATAACAGTGGTAAACAATTCTGCAGTCTACATTTCCTTGAGATCTTCTACCTCCTTGACTTTGTGGTAACGTGGACTGCAGCGTTCCAGTTCAGTGTCTTCCTAGGGTGCTAGGGTGTGGTAGTTGTCTAGGTGCGAGATGGCTTTATGGTTATCAACATATATGGTCCGCTTCATGACTTTGTTCTTTATTAATCGGTGATTTTGGAAAGCACGTTAGTACCAATAACTACTCTTTCTGTTCTGTTTCGTCTGGTCTGGCAATACTTGATACACGTTGCACAAGGCTGGTATCTGCACATGCGTTCTAGTGCGATATGCACGATTCAGCTGTGAGTTTCTGTGCACTGCTATCTCTAGCGTGGACGAGCTGACCTGTCCACTTTAGCCCTGACAGCGAAGCGCCCCGATGAATGGCAACACCAATCGACTTTAGATGCACTGCACTCTCTAGCGCAGACAAGCTGTGCCTTCATCCCATGTCAGCAGCGAGCCTGAAACTTCGGGCTTACCATCTCAGCGCGTGGTGCACTGCAATTCTTAGCGTGGATGAGATGTGTGAACTGTGGCTGTGGAGTTGTGGCTGTGCTGCTGTCTAGGATGAGGACTAGACTGATCTCAAACCTTGTCGACTACTTCTTTCCCGGTATGTTGCGCTGCAAATTTTGGGTATACAAGATTTAGCTCGTGGGCGCGTGGAGCATGCACTCTTCTCCGTGCCGGGATATTTAGCGTGAAGGAAGAGGCGTTGTATAAGTACTTAGGTACCCCATGTATGAGCATTTGGCAAAGATCGGCATTTGACATAGCTAGAAGGGTGGTGAAAGCTCTGCGACAGAATCGTTCTCAAGTTTGACTGCTCGTGATCTCAGTCCAAGAAATTCCCGTACGCGCCATTCTCATATGCTTGTAAATCTTCAGATGTACTACCTGGTGCAGTGCCACAGTAGACATAAACAACGACGCCACGATTCTCGAGCCCTATATTATTGTTAACTGCCGGAATGGCCCACGATAGTGCTTTTATACATACTCCTATTCGCATACGCAGGGAAGCACCACTGGCCGTTATTCCGTAATGTTGGCAAGACTGCTTCGAGTTCGTTCGGTCTGACCGAAAGAGCTAAAAGTGCAAGGAAGATAGACAGACTACCCCTTAGGCCGCCATATCGTTGAGACGTGTCAATAGGCCCATGATGTCCGCTTGGTAATAGAAAACGCGGCCAGCTGGAGCCGCTCCGTTGGCACCTCAATGTCGGGTTTGTTCCACGTATATGGAGACTGGACGAGAAATCCTTATCGTTGTGAAAGAAGCCGAGGTCATGCCACTCTCCATCAAATTCTCCAGTCGCGCCTGTACGATCTGAATTGGACAACGTCAGCATGGTCACCATAACACTGATAGCAGATCTATCGTGAGAATAAGAGATCCAAGCATTGCAGATTGCACTACGACATAGAGACACATTCTATGACTTCAAGAGATTGCCTTACCGCCATGCGCTACAGCAAACTTTTCCGAGCGGTAGTAAACAGTAGTCGTGTCAAAGTGCCTAAACCAACCAGGCAGCTCTGGTATCCGATGTATGAGTGATCCACACATCCACCACGCTCCTGAGATGCCCGGTTCGCCACGCGTGAAATATGGTTTCCCCCATACCGGGTCGGGTAGAAATAAGATCTCGTCAATTCTGAACGTGAACTGCAAGTCAGGAGTCGTATGCGTTGTCGGGGCTCCAAGAAAGGGGTTCGTGGCACCGGGACCCACGATGGAAGATGGGTTGAACATTTCGGAAAACGGCTCTTCTCTCGAAGCTCTGACAATCTCTCTCCGCAGTCTCTTCAGCGCATTCCTCCGTCCCTCTCCATATATGAGGGGCATATGAATACCGAAAAGCCCAAGTAAGGAGTACGCTGCATCCTCTTCCCGCTTAGTGGCGCGTGTGCGTGCCCACGAAATTCGTTCTTCAACTGTGAAATTTGAGAGCGGACTTCCACGTAAAGCGGCCTCAGCAATACCAGTGCTCAATTGAATCTGTTGGACGAGTGTGGTCCGATCTCCGAGTCGATAACCGTGCTTGGAGTAGAATTCGACGGACACAGGCGCAAGGAGTTCCTGAAGTGTCCATCCTCGAGTAAACCACCTGCTGCTTTGAAAAGCTAAGTACCATTCTGACACAGACGCTATCTCCTCATGTGTGACGATTCCAACAGTAACATCGGCAAGATACACGTAACAAGTGACCGCATCGTGGTACCATCGATACATGGAGTTGATCGCCTCACCGACCTCCTGGCTACTCTCCTGTTTGATGCAGCATGTATCGACCCAGAAGAAATGGATACCGTCTCTTAGAGCTTGCTCTCCACAAAAGCGTATTTTGCGATAACCGGAGGCTTTACTTCTTGCGCGGCCCTTCTTGATATCCTTGAACGAGATCTCATCGTCATCAGTACCCCACGTGTGCGATAGAATGGCGTAGGGAGGAATGTCGTTTCCGAAATATTCGACGAGGCTGAGGTCGCCATTGCTGTTGATCTGAAGAAGACGCATATAGACAGGGTAGTTGCCAACCTTGTTCTTACGCGCCAGACCAGGTATGGTGTCGCAAAGCGCTGCCTATCAGCTTGTGTCTCTGTAGTGAGTGAGGTGCAGTTAGCTATTGCGTATATCGATGTCAGCATTGATAGTGGGGGACAGCACAGTGGCGCTGCGCCGCCAAGGTCCGGTGACCGTGAACAGCCACCCAATGTTGGCGGACTATTTCATTGGACGAGGAGCAAATACCCTCCGCCAATCGCGTTATACTATGCATCCCCAAATATCCAGCTTGATCGAGCGCATGCTGCGAGTGGTTTGTTGTTCGGTGCAGCCACTGCTATATTTCGGGATGCTCAGTAGACCCACGGACGACATGGGCCGCGCCTGCTCATGTGCCGTGGTTGACATTGCCGCCTGCGTTCTGGCGAGCGAACGGAGCGAGAGATTTGTTTTAGAACCGAAACCTGAGTGGAACGTGGGACAGCGTCGATAACCATGGCTGCAAAACTTCCTCAGCTGGAACCTCGACAAGAGATATGGCTTTACGTTCACGACAGTCCCATCTTCTATGCGGCACCAGTTTGCGACACGAAGCCTTCGCCACTTCTGTGCTGTTGCAAAGCGCTCCGGGAAGAGATCATTCACACTATCACCAGGCATAGCGAAGTGAGATTCAAATCGCCAAAAAGTCTACACTTACTCGCTTCTCGCATGTCTGCGCTTCGCTCTACAATATCTGAAGAAAGCAGCATGCAAAGCTTCTCGACTCCACGCCACACCTATGTCGATCTGTTCGCCGCGTTACCAACAATTCCGGGCTTACTTGAGCCACGAACACCATACTAACGAAGGCAACGCGAAAGAAAGATAACCGATCTAAGAGGCTATGATCATCGGATACTAGAGTACTTGATTGAGCGTTCCGTACTATCCCATCTTGAAGCTTGGCACCAGGGTTCCATGGCCCTAACCATATCCCGAACCACGAAGTCGGTCATCTTAGGTTTCGAAGATATCGGAAGAATGGAATGGAGTTCTTGTATATACACCTATGACATATGCGGAAACGCGCGCCGAATGATCGCCGCAGTAGGTTTGAAGAACGAAAGATATTGTCGAATCGAGGTGGACGGATCCACAGGGTGGGCGACGGCGGTTAGGGAGCGTCACGGTCTGCGAAGCAGTATAAGATGTTGAACTCATACGAACAGGTGGAGATATGAAAGGATAACACCGAGTCAATGCGATGTATAGAGTCGTTAGGCCAAATGCAAGCGTGCGAGTGCTTGCGGAAGATGGGCAGGAGAATGCTACTGGAATGAATTTACCTGCTAAGGTTGAAACTGTCAGTGTGAATGCGAATTCATTGACCATACAGCTTAATGAAGATGTTAGAACCAGTGAATGATGACTTTTCAGTAAGCTTAGCCTGCATGGCCGTGCAATGTGTACGATGTGAAGCAGACGCTTTCACATATGTATAACAGATGGAGCGACTCTTATAATGACAAATTGGCTGTCCAAGCGGTTGTTCGTCTTATCCACATGTATATAGCCGATATAGGAGCATCGTGTTGTTTTCGTCAACGCGTTCGCAAGGCTCAGCGATTGTGGTATGGCGCGGTCGAGATTCGGGGATCAAGCGATTCGTATGATTCCAGCGCTGGGCATCTGCGATGAATTGACGCGTGCGAGGTTCGAGTGGCTCTCGAGAGCGCGAATGGTGTTGTGGAATCAGAATCGCGCGACACGCGATGTGCTGCCGGTCGGGATGTTCCGAACACGCTAATATCGTTACGTCATGTGCTTCCCCGACCTCCTTTCACCTCCATCAGACGCAGCGTGAAGTTGCGCGTTCACACAAATTATTCAACGACACGCTGGCAATACGCGTAGAGAGTTCTAGCTACCGAACAACACCTCTCAACCAGCTTGCACCCCGGAGAGACTGTCCATATAGCCAAATGGTAGACCTTTAGCTTCTTTCTCGGGGGACGACAATTGACGACGCACCTTGGACTATGGCGGTATACGAATCGCTACGAGATGCTCCTTCACAATGGTTTTTGCATCGACCGTAATTGTTTGAGTAGCCGGACAGAGATGGACCTTTACCAGTGTTCTATCGGCCTTCCATCCCATATCTTTCCTTCTCAACCACCCAACGTTGCGACTTCTCTCACTATTGGAACACCGGTTACGATTTCGTTTTACCAACCGAGGTAAATGTGTGCTTTGCGCACTCGCTGAAACCGACATTCCTTCACTGCCCGTTTGTTGTTGACCTATATATGCTCTACCGTTACAGTAGCCTAGGAAGGTTCTTGACTTTGCTGCGGGGCTCGGGAACACGCCATTGGGTGTATAAGAGAACCTTCCAACCGTATATTTGGCACTGCATCGTAAACTAACCACCGCTAGCATTACCGAACAGCTAAAATGGCCCCTTCAACCCGACTACGAGCTAGGCCGGACCGCCGTGTCGACTATGCTGAGCCCTCTGGCCCGATAGGTACCCGCAATAACCCTGTTCGTATCGAAGAGACCCCAGAGCCCGAAGCCGGCTCCCGAACGTCGCCTGCCCCTACCGCAGCCGATAGAAAGCGCGATCGTAAGCATCCTGTTCGCAAGAAAACTAGAGCTTTCTCACCTGAGCCACAAGAGGCATCTCTCAAGAAGGATTCCAAAGCTGTCGCTCGTGTCAAGGCTGGTGCCGTCGTCAAATTAAAAGCAGAACCGAAGACCCGCAAGAAGCTTCCGACACCGAAGGAAAAGGAGCGGCCGAAGAAGCAAGAGTGCTCGATCTGCGCAACAACAAAGGACACGGCTAGATCTTTCAAGGTTCCCAATGATGCTTGCGAACATCTTCAGACTATCTGCAACTTATGTGTCGCAAAGATGCTCAAGACAAAGGTCACCGATCGTCAACTCAAGGACGCAGAATTGAGCTGCTCGGTCCACAGATGCGACCATTCGCTAGACTATGCAGCTCTTCAGGCCATAGTTAGTAAGGCGGCTTTCGAAGAGTAAGTTATTCACTAACCACACCATTGATCAATATGCTAACCCGTTCCAGTCACGATAGAGCCGTCACGAAGCACGCTCTATCTAGTGGCGAATCATACATCGCCTGTCTTTCTGCCAAGTGCGGTCGATACTTCTCCATCGAAGACTGCAAGAACACCAAGCGTAGCAAACAGCGGGTCGCCTGCCCCTACTGCGACAATGAAATTTGCTTGAAGTGTAATCGCCCAGGGACGTCGCACGGGAAAGGTGGGTGTGACCAGGCGAAGAAGGCGGAGGACGAGTTGTCTAAGAGGGCTGTCAAGACTATGGGAGCCAAGCCATGCCCAAAGTGCGGTATGAACATCCAGAAGCACGGTGGATGCGATCATATGACGTGTAAGCTCAAATAAGCTCAAACATCAGCCGTGGTATCTGATACTAACGTACATTTCTAGGTGAGCAGTGCGGCCACAACTTCTGCTGGGTGTGTCTCGTTGAGTACACCAAGGACATCCGGCACCTCGACGACTGCCCGCATGCGCGGGTTCACGTTGCTGTCGATCCTGGCAATTGGCTTCCCGAAGACTTGACTCTCGCGCAGATCAACCGCCTCATCGCTGAAGCAGACGCTCGTCTCGATGCGCCAGTGGAAGCTCCCGCACGCGCTCCTCTGCACGCTCCTCATGTAGCATCGGCACCACCACCACCGGCTGTTGCTTTCGGCGGCATACTCAACCCTTTCAATTGGATGAATGGAGATGGTGGAGGCGGAGGCGGCGCGAATGTAGGCGCGGCAAGTGCCAATCGTCACACACCTGCTCGGGGCCATGAACGCAGACGGCGGGACGATGAGTTTTGATCAGCTAACAAAGCGGAGCAAAGAAGGTCAGAGTCGAATCTACGTGCGGTTGAGCAGTACTAACTCATTACGAAGCCATGACGATACGGTTTTTGGTACTCAAAGCGCGCCCATTCCGAATATCAATGTACGTGTAGCTAGCCATAAGATTTGAATGTATAATTTTGCAAGATCTTCGTCATACTCGTACGTGTCCGAGCTGCCCTGTTCCTTGTGAGTACTCTACACATCTTTGCTTGAGTGATAGTCGTACTACTGTCCCCCGTCATAGATTTTGAGATGTCATCATTACGAATTATTGATGTCATCATTATATTGTTGGTAGGATGTTACACATCGAGAAGCCCTCGAGATGACTTCCGAAGAGCTTCATAACGAGTCGGTCATGGTGCGTAGTCCAACATGTGGGCATGCTAATTCCCCGAATGACGGAAATCAGTGCAAAGGCATGTCCAAGAACCAGCTTTGCACAACGATCTTGGGGAGTGTTAATTTATGCTGTGATTTAGAAGCCACCCTGAAGCATACATTGTCGCCATTTCGTTACAATTGTAACGCGGAGTGCGACGTATACCTTCAGAATACACTTTCAGCATTGCTTCCCGTTAGCTTTATCGCACCTTCTCACCCAGCAGCAGCGGTAACATCAACAACAACCGTGCGACATGTTCGCTGGCAGTCGCAAGCCATACCACCCAACATGACTCACTCGCGATTACGCTCTCATGGTTCTCCTTTCTACAACTCGCTCCGCAAAGCACACTATCATGAGCGCAACAAACTCCGACGATTGGGTCGACTCACCAGGGGGCTCGGACGACGACATAGACGCCGAGGCGAGGTAAGTGATCTTAAAATCCCTCTCGTAGTCTGCAAGAACCAATATTGGATTTTCTACCTATTTATATGTAGCTAATGTATCTGTCTCGCAGCGATGGAAAATACGAGCCCGATATCAACAAGGTCAATGAGCAACAGTTCCCACGCAGGAGCGTGGATGAGATGGAGAGCGCTGCGTAAGTACCTGGCCATCTCTAGCAGTCTTCCGCCCATCTCACTCACCTATTGGCTCAGCACAGCAGCTAATCTATATCTACAGCGCCAGGACACGCCGCCGTACGTCATCTATCTCGTCTGGGCTCGCCGCCATGACTCCTGCCGAAGTCGCATCCACCCAACCACGTCAGCCTACTTCCCCACCCCGGAGACGCAGCTCGACACTCCCAAACCAAATCAAGCACGACCCCAGCCATGATAGAGCGCGATCTCCAAGATCCTTACTGCCAGATTACCACGACCCAGACTCACCCACCCAGAAACGCGGACATGGTATACGTCGCAACCCCGTGGCGGATACATGGCGCGAGGACGCTTACCTGAAGAAGGAGCCCAGTGAACGGAAGCTCTCTAGCGCAGAAGCGGGGAAACTACAAGACAGGTGGCGATGCGAGTACTGCGGCGAACTGAATGAGAGAGGGGCTGAAACAACGCCTGATCCCGACGATCCTCGCGTGGGTGCAGCTGGGTCATCTACCGCGTACGTATACTCACCCCTACACAACAGCTACCCAAAAAAATGGTTTAGAGACTACAATGTTAACACGAGTGTCAGACCAACCGGTCCAGTACGTATTCCCTGCTACAAACCCTCAAGTGTATCGTACTCGAGATGCCAATACTGTGGCGAGAAGCTTCCGTCGGACTTATCGCAGTACGACCCACGCGAGCTGTCGGAGTCTGGAGTCAACTTCAACCTAATGAAATTCGAATCTTGGGAGGATAAGGCAGTCATAATGAGGAAGGCCTGGGTCGAAGCCCGTCACAGGGTTGGTGTTAGGTGGAACGAAGATGAGAGGAGACATAGGTCGGAATCGAGGAAAGCAAGAGAAAAGCGGAAGGAGGAGGTGGAAAAGCAGAGTCCGCTTGGATGGACAGTGAGGCCAGGAAGTGAGGAGCGTGGAGAAGACGAGGCTGAGGATAACGATGTGGAGGATGACGAAAACGACTGGGAAGACGACAATGAGCCAGAAAGCCATGGAGAGTAGACTGTTGCGTTGATGTAGTTGCCTAACCGTATGGATAACTGAACAATTCTACTACCAGCTTCCCAACCACCAAACCAAGCTCCCAAGCCCCAACGTGACACCACCATGCCACGCTATCCCCCAAGCCATCGCGAAAAGGAACTTGGGACTAAATACCGTCCAAATGAAAAGATGCTGTCTCAACACCGTACAAGCCAGCATGACAGCGCCCAACATACCCCCCGTCCAGAAGGTCAACAAAGCAACATGACCCACCCACTCCTTCCGCTCCTTCCTCGTCTCCCTCCCCTTCTCCTCCTTCCTCGCCAGCTCATTCAACCACTCTCTCTCCTTAGCCACCCAGTCCGCAACATGCAGCTCACTAGTATCAATATAACGTTGCGTGCGACCGTGAGAACCCAGTAGAAGTATACCAGCCAAAGACCAATACACAGGTCCAGCCCAGTTCGATAGGAACACCAGCAGACCGACGGCAAGAACGTTGTAACCGGAGACGCCGTTGTACGAGTTTGAGAGGTCGATTGACGAGATGGAGTTGCTGTTTCCGAGGGCGAAGAAGGAGGTTTGGGTTAGGAGGAGGGTTGTTAGGGTCACGGCTGTGGGGGTGAGGTCGAGGAGGGCTGTGGGAGGTTAGGGGTTAGCTTGTGGTGTACAGAGAGAGTGGGGTACTGGGCGATGTGGAGGTAAGATGGGTTGGCTTACTGAGGAAGAAGTATTGGAGCCGGAAGAGGAAGTAGAGGGGTATGTTCTGTGCTTTTGTCTGCGTGAGCAGGAAGAGCGTCATTAGGTCGAAGAAGGCGACGGCGAGTTCTTTGATGCTGTTAGTAAGTTCGTCAACTCGACATGGGAGGAGTGGGACGTACCACCGTTGCCTTGCTTTCCTCGTCTTTTTCTCCGCTGTGATCGTGTCCACTCGGCGAAGGTGATCCAGACGCCGCTCAGAAGTAAACCTCCGAATACCATGCGTGCTAGGCCCACGAGCTCCAACATCTCAACTTTCTCTACCAAGCCTGCGCTGAGGCCGTAGGTCATCTCGGGTGCGTCTTTGACGGTAAAGGCGAGTTTGAAGATCAACGCCGTACCGCAAAGCGGCAATACAGCAATAGTCCCAAACATGCGATTCTGATCCGTAGACTCAATCTCCACACTGTGCATCTTCTGTTCACCATCGAAAGTCGCAATAGAACGCGCAACATGTCTGGCTATACGGATCGTAACATCCATGTACGTAGCGCCGATGAGAATCCAGAGAATGACCGAGGAGTTACCGTGGAAAAGCCCACTGTTGACGATGTCGTCGGCACCAGCGTACTTCTGCCCAGTCTGGTTCCATCGTCTGACAACCCTGTGTATGGCCAGTGCCATGATGGCAGGATGGAAGATCCAGTTGTTGTACCATTCCTTGCGCATGTTGTTGAAGAAGAGGCACAAGAACCAGCCGGACGTGGCCCAGTACCAGAAATTGTGCTCTTCTTCTACGTATGAGGATGCGAACATGAGTACGGCGTACAGTGCGAGAGCGAAGCCGTAGTAGATACCAGCCGGTGTGGCAGGTCTGAAAGTAGGGAGTGTGGAATAACTCAGCGCGCAGATGAGGAAAGCTAGACCGGTTCCGAGGAAGAGGCGAGCGACGTTGTAGTTTGAAGCTGTGCTGGACATCATCTCTTGGGCTTCATGCATGAATTCGTAGATGTTTCCTTCAAAGTCGACACCACTGCTGAGCGCACTGACAGCTGCTTGCCAGAGGCATGCTAGCAACTGGCCGTCAGAGAGATGCGAGCGGCTTTCCCCGGATTTGAAGCATGCGAACCCCAGATCGTCCTTTGTCAATGCCTGTTCGTCAAATCGTAGATTGGTGTACTTGGCTTCGACGATCTTCTTCATCTGCTTAGCATTGCGGTAGAGAAGTTGCATGCGGTCCGACGGCTTATCCCAGAATCCTAGAAATTCCTGCAGGAAGACACCAAGGTTGTTCTGTGGAACAGGAAATCCAAGCAAGCCTGCAAGTGTCGGGGCAATGTCGCTCTGTTCAACCAAGCGGTAGTACTCGAACTCTCCTTCATTCTTCGGTTTGATGGGACTCCGCTTGTCAGCCGCTTCAGTTACTTTGCTGAGCTTCGGGCTCATGAAGACGAGTGCGGGAGAGGTCTCGCCTGGCGATGAGCCACCGTGATTGCCGCCATCGTTCATGCCGTGATCGCCGCAGAGTACGAGGAGAGTGTTGGAGAGGTGGTCTTCGTTCTCCATGGCCGCGTAGATATCGCGGACAATGCCATCCATCTCGACTTGCTTAGGAACCATATTAGGACTGTAGATAGATTAGCATTCTGCCGCTACACAAGTGAGGGACCAGCGCAATGCACCTTTTAGGACCAGCCTTATGCCCGATGTGATCCAAGCCCAGATAATGCATAATCATAGCATTCCAGTCACTGTTCAGCAACTCATTAGGAACATGCCTCGTCACATTATTGTCAACCTCTGTGAAATCCTGCACTTGAGAATCAACAATCTATTATTCCTACATACAGCGGGAAGCTTATGACTGACCGAAACAAAGAAGCTGCTCGTTCCATCGGCGCGCGCAAACACATCCGGGAAGAGCTTCAGCCAGGTGTCATCGCCGTACATGATCAGCTTTCCTTTTCCGTTATCATAGTCCTTCGCCTTGATTTGCGCGAGCCATGTATCTTGCGTCGCGAGTGTGGACGTCGTGTCTGATTCGGCGAAGTTTAGGATTACGTCTACGAAGGAGGGTATAGAGCCTGTCGTTATGGCTTTGACGCGGGGCATGGTGATCGTGGGAGAGGTAGCATGGGCTGTGAAAGGAAGCGCGGTTCCGTCTCGTATAAGACTAGGTAAATTGTCAGTTCAAATGTGTGTGCGAAAGAGTTCACGGCATTCCATACCTCTGCACGAAAGTCATGCCGCTTTCCTCTCCGTACGCAAAGTCGCTCCTCAGCGCATCAACAACCATGAAGATGAGCTTGTCAAACGGTGCTTCGGGTGGCTTCTGCCAATCCTCACCCATCTTCTCAGACCAAGCAAGCTCTTCATACTCGGCCAGTCCGGGCATAAAAGGTTTGTAGGGGAAGAAGCCTGTCGCAAAGACCAGTATCGCGACCGGGATGAGGAGGTTGGCAACCGTGAGAAGAACCGTTCGAAGCGCCATGATGACCTGTCAATGTGCGTATTAGTTGATTAAAAGTTCAGGACGCGCTCATAGCATGACGAGCAAGTCCAATGCCAGATGGGAAATTTCACGCGTCCAACATGGTGTCGCAAGACGCGACGTTACGTTTGAGGCTCTGGAGAACCCAGGGTCCAAGCTCTAACCCCCAAAGGACTTAGTGGGGAACGCCATGGAGCCAATGACATCACTACCTCGGATGTGAGCTTCCTTATTGTCAGCATTTGCTCCGAGCAAGCCTTCATGTCTCCAACGCCATTGGGACTTACTGGATTAGCGAGGACGAGCCTACCCGTGTGTATCCCGATTCGACATACCTTCCTCCTGATCCGTTGCATCCGCTCAGCCACGCGTTTCCCGAGATCCGACCGAAGTTTCGAAAAGCAGCTCTCCGCATACCTCCAGCAGCAACACTTTCCGCACACTCCGAGGTCATCGTCTCCGGCAACCAACATGTCCTTCTTACTTCCTGGCCTTCGTAGGGGCTTGATGCTCAGCACGCCACTCATCTTGTCGACGCCTTTACTGGCGTATCAATTCCGAAATGCACAGCGCATACGATGCGATGGTCCGGATCCAATCACCAAGATCAAAAATGGCCTTACAAACAACTACACAAATGAAGCGAGAACACCAGTCATCACTCATTCGGGTGCCATGAACCCACAGGCAGTTCGTCAAATCAGCATGGGAAGCATTCTTGGTGTAATTGGAGGACTAGGAGTCAGCGTGTTCAGCAAACCATTGGCTGTACTAATTGGACTGGGGATCTTTGCTTTGCAGGTAAGTCGACCGTTTTGCTTGTGAAGTTTCGATTGAAATCTAGGATACATGATTGGGTACGCCGCATGCATCTGGGGATATCTATGTGGTATATGCAAGACACGCTACCGATCATCATGCTTGTGATCTCGAAGAAAGTGAAAACTGACAGAAGATAGTTCATCGAGTCGCGAGGTATCCACGTCATTCCGTACTCATTCCTGGAGCGCCGAGTAAAGTCGATGAATGTCCGGTCACTAGTACGCGATAACGTTGCCTTCAAGTTATCTTTCGGCCTAACGTTCGCGATGGCCGCATTTGCCGAGTTTTAAGATGCTGGACGATGTGTATTCTCTCAGTACGCATTGGGCTGTGGGAATCCATGGGCGAATCGATGTGCTGGGTTCATTGCTTGAGGCTGTAGTTGCATTTGCAGTTGCTTGCACGTCTGCCAGAAAGCTTTTACGCTATCTTTGAAGGCCGCGCCATTTCTTGCGTTTCTGTGTGTGTGTATGTCAGTATCAACATACAGAAATCCAAATCACGAGCCAAATTTACCTGGTCATGCTCTCGATGAGCTTGCGCACCATGTCCTGAACGCCCTGGTCCTGTTGAAACCGCTGCAAGAGCGGCTGCTCTGCTAGTGCATTTGTGATGTATGCTCTGGAGTTCTTGTCGGCTCGAATTAGAGCTCGCAGAGGTGCGACAATGTGCTCTAAACTCGTAAAGTCCACCTCTCCGCATACGTTGGCCATAAGTGCAAGCGTCACTGTCGGACCGAAGTGCGCCACGATCTCCTGCGTTGTAGCCTGGTGAGGGCTATGTGTATTGCCTGCCAGCTCGAAAATGTCTTTCCACAGCTTAGCAGCCGCGCGTTTTGGCAGGACCTCAGGCGACTTGATGGACTCGACCGTGAAGCCGAACATGCCGGATAGATTCTCAGGTGATTCTTGAGTCATGATACGCGGATCAGTGTTGATAAAATTCTGGACCAGTTCTATACAGCCGACAGCAATTTCCGGGTCGTTGCGTGGATGCTGCAGTGCTCGCATGATGCTCAGATCGTGTTGAAGTAATCGCTGGGCCTGGGCTTGGAAGCCTTCCGGTTGATGATGCTTATGCGATGAGATCCAGCAGCAAGCTGTCTCCAAGACAAATGGCAGTCTCGGTGTCTGCACAGTGGTCTTGGTGATGAAGTCGATCGCAGCGGAATGAGGTAGTACGAATGGACCTGATACGGTTTCCTTAAAACCTGTGCGGAGAACACAGCATGCCGCTTCGATGATCTCGTCGTTTCCAGGAAATACCTGGGTCATATAATTGACGAGATTTATGACCTGGTTTTGGATCTCTTTGCCTGGACCTTGCAACCAGAACACTGAAGGCTCTTTGTCGGATTCCAAGTCCACTATTTCTTCGTCCGATGCCTGCATTGCCTTTCCAACGCTTGCAAGACACTTTAATGTAGTCAAAGCTAGCACTTGGCCTTCTTCTGCATCTCCTCCTTCTTTGGTGATGTTGATTGACTGCATGGCATCGCGTGTAATGTATTGGAAGAGCTGCCGTACACCCTCGAACTGCTTCTCTTCTGTATCTTGAGCTTGTACTATAGCGGCGATTCCCTTTAGAACCATACTTTTGGTGAACTCCTCAGCAGTAGGATACGTGAGGAACTGTTCGTACATTTGGAAGAATGAAGGCAGCTCCCCTATCAAGGACTTCCGGCACTCTGAGCAAAGCGAGGCAAAAGACTTTGCAGCGCCGTGAGCGATAGCTGGCTGAGCAAGAGCTGTGAGCAGAAACGGAAGAACTTGAGGGAGGAACTGCGGGTTTCGAAGGAAGAAATGGTTCAGGGCGGCGACAAGTTCCACAGCGGTCCTTCGAGTGATCGCCGGTACACCGGGAGTACTGGATATGGTTGCGAACAATGGTTGCTCGAACAGTCGGACCAGACGATTGTCGGAATTCTGAGTTAGAGCGTCGGCGATGGCGATCAGACCAAATAGTCCAGTTTCGAGCTCTAACCAATCACCAGCACCTAGTCCGCGTAAGGCGAAATCGACAAACTGGTCTGTGAGCACGTCACGTAACGGGTCATATGCCTCCATGATGACATCTCGGACGTCAATGCGGAAGACCTTGAACGTCTTCCTTGCGTCCGAATCCCATGATTCGGTGACGTCAGCAGATGGATAGATGATCTTCTGTACGAGCTCTGAGACTGCTTGGAGAACATTGGTCTTTGCAGTATTCATCCAGTCTGGCACTTGCTCTCCGGTGGCATACAAGAAAGTTTCTTCGGCGATAGCGCTGACATAATTGCTCCAGAAGTCGAGCACCACAGGTGCAATCTCGTCTTCAGCGCCTACGGGGTCTGGATATTTGAGAAGATTATGTAAGAAGGACATGACCTGCTGATGATGTGTGCTTTCTGGCTGCTTGTAGATAACCTTGGTTTCAAGCAGGATCTGTCCGTAGGCGACAATGATCCGGGCGAGGGACACAGTTTCGGCGTCAGAGTTGTTGAGTATCTCCATGCCCCATGGACCTGAGATTGCCGACCATAGCATTTCTTGGTGTTTTGCTTCGAAGAAAGTAGGGTAGTTCTCAAGGATCTCAGCTACTAGTTCCATGGCATCCTCAACATGGTATTCCAAACATGTCAGGGCGAGCTCATTCACTGATCGCAGGTGTTGGAGCTTCTCGAGGTCGTCTTTGAACTCGGATTGGGCGTAGAAGATCCACCCGGTAAAACATTTAAGAGCGGCAACACAAATCTTCTCTCCTTGCTGCACTGATTGTGCGTAGTCGGGATCGTCGATGGATATTGACAGCCATTTGATGCCACGACCGAATGACACGTGGAGAAGGATTTCAACGCTCTCTACATTTGCTACCATGCGCTCTTGGGACTTTCGATCTGGGGTGTTGGATGGCTTCTTGGCTTCATCTGCTAAGCTCATAGCAAAGTCAAGCATGACTAGAAGCTGCTCATCGGAGAATTGCGGTAGGAGATCCCATGTCGAAGGATGTTCCTTCAGAGCCTCGTCAAGGACTGGACGCTGGGCGGCAAATGATGCGGCTAGACTCCTGATGCAGTGGGTCCATACGGAAATGGGTTTTGAGAAGTACTGTGCCAAGGTCGAGCTGACTTTCCGGGTCGCGATGGATGAGCTAGGTCGTGAGACAAGATGATGGATAAGTGTTGAAAGCAGTTGCTCGGACTCTTCTTCGCTTAGTTCAGCCGAGTCGGCGTTGAGCTTAACGGTGAGAGTCAGGGCACCGAAGAAGCGGACCTGCTCGTTGTCGCTCTTCAAGAGGGCGTCTGCAATCTCCCAGCCTTGGGGAGAGCGTTGAAGAACACGAAGGGTGGCCTCGGTTTCGGCGATCTTCTTTGCTTGGCCGGGTTCGTAGATGGATTTTACCAGGCGCTCAATCTCCTCATACGGCAGAGGAAAGGCCCCGTTGCTCGCCATACTGAGCTGGCTCAAGAGGCTTTGCACTACGGACTGCTGTCAGTTATGCTGCCAGATGTCAGGGTTCCAGGAACCAGGTCGGACGTTACCGAAAGCAGGAAAGTGCGACGTGAGATGCGGAAGGCGCGAAAAGAGGGTACACAAAGTCGAGTACGATGGTGACTGCGATTGGCCCCCGACACAATAGAAATAGCCCGCGGTATTTCGAAATAGTTAGTGATGGCGGTTCTCGGCTGTGCCGAAATATAAAGGTGCAGGGCCGGGGGTTGGGTGAGGCTGCGCGAGGTTGCCTCTACCTGCGCGTATGGTGGGGCAAAATCGGAAGCAGACTACGGTGACGGAAGCTCATGTTAGTGACTGTCAAACGTCGGGGACCTGGTGTTGCAATAAATGCAGATGCGCCTCCCTATAGTGTCTGGGAGTGAGGGCTCTTGCGCTTGGCAAGGCTTGATTGGAGCCCTGGCGATTGCGCTTAGTGCGGGACTGGGTGCGGCGTTGTTGACGTGCTGTGGGCGGGCACGGCGGGGTGTTATGCATGTCCCGATCGTAGGCGCGAAACCGTGGCATACCCTATATGCTCCTCCCGCGTTTTCTAGGGCGCTCCCACGCGACAGCTGCTGCATATGTAGCCGCAAGGACGCCATCTTTCCGAGTCAGACCCTTCCACGCTTCTGCTGCCCTGCGTGCCATCGACATGTCCAAGGTAGACACGACCCAGCGGCTGGCGGACCTCCGCAAGCTCATGAAGGAGCGCAATGTCGATATCTACAGTAGGCGTGCCCGCGCAGACATATGATGAGGCGTGACTGACCCATAGCAGTGGTCCCGTCTGAAGACAGCCACCAGAGCGAATACATTGCCCCATGTGACGCGCGACGAGGTCAGTCCCCCGCTACCTATCGCACCGCACCCATTGACACCGCTCAGAATACATCAGTGGCTTTACTGGCTCCGCTGGCTATGCAGTCATCACCCACGACAAGGCCGCCCTGTCCACCGACGGACGCTACTTCAACCAGGCCGAGAAGCAGCTGGACAGCAATTGGGAGCTGCTGAAGCAAGGCATACAGGATGTACCTACCATCCAGGAGTGGACCGCAGACCAGGCCGAGGGAGGCAAGGTCGTCAGCGTAGACCCCAGCGTCGTCACTGCAGCAGACGCCCGCAAACTTGCCGACAAGATCAAGAAGAAAGGCGGCGAGTACAAGGCCATTGACGAGAACTTGATCGACCTAGTATGGGGAGACAAAAGGCCCTCCCGACCGAGCGAGAAAGTCATTGTGCAGCCTGAGAAGTACTCTGGAAAGAGCTTCGAAGACAAGATTGAGGACCTGCGTAAGGAACTTGAGAAGCGGAAGAGCCTAGGCTTCGTCGTATCTATGCTCGACGAGGTCGCATGGCTTTTCAACCTCCGCGGCAGCGAGTATGAGCATTCTCTCCCGATCAGAGTACGTCACTGACAACATGCAGCATTCCTTACAACCCCGTATTCTTCTCCTACGCCGTCGTCACGTCCACCACAGCCACCCTATATGTCGACGAAAGCAAGCTCCCCGAGGATGTTAAGAAGCACCTGGGCGACAAGGTTACGATCCGACCATACGAGGCTATATTTGGAGATGTCACATCGCTGAGCAAGGAGCTGTTCGAGGCGATGGATAAGACAGAGGCACAGAAGAAGTTCCTGACTTCCAACCGAGCATCGTGGGCCCTGAACAAGGCCCTTGGCGGGGACGACAAGGTCGAAGAAACCCGTAGTCCGGTCGGAGATGCAAAGGCAGTCAAGAACGAAGTCGAACTAGAGGGTATGCGTCAATGCCACATCCGTGATGGGGCTGCGCTGAGCGAATACTTCGCCTGGCTGGAGGACCAACTCATCAACAAGAAGGCCACGCTCGATGAAGTTGACGGTGCCGACAAGCTCGAGGAGATTCGTAAGAAGCACGACATGTTCATGGGTCTTTCTTTCGACACCATCTCATCGACGGGGCCGAACGCAGCTGTTATTCATTACAAGCCGGAGAAGGGTGAGTGCTCGGTCATCGACCCTAAAGCTATATACCTTTGCGATTCTGGAGCGCAATATCGAGACGGTACCACAGACACAACGAGGACCATGCATTTTACGGAACCGACCGAGATGGAACGTACCGCGTATACGCTTGTGCTCAAGGGCAACATGGCTCTCGAGCGCGTCAAGTTCCCCAAAGGTACAACAGGCTTCGCATTAGATAGTCTGGCTCGCCAGTTCCTATGGCAGGAAGGTCTCGACTACCGTCACGGCACTGGACACGGCGTGGGTTCGTTCCTCAACGTACACGAGGGTCCCATCGGAATTGGCACTAGGGTTCAATATTCTGAAGTCTCCTTGGCTGTAGGAAATGTGGTATCTGACGAACCCGGATACTACGAGGATGGCAAGTTCGGTATTCGTATCGAGAACATGGTTATGGTCCGAGAAGTCGAGACGAAGCACAAGTTCGGCGACAAGCCATTCTTGGGCTTCGAACACGTAACGATGACTCCACACTGCAGGAACCTTGTCGACATGAGCTTGCTTACAGAAGACGAGAAAAGCTTCATCAACGAATACCACAAGGAGGTCTATGAGAAGACGAGCAAATTCTTCGAGAATGACTCTTTGACATTGGAGTGGTTGAAGCGGGAGACAGCACCCTACTAGAGGTTTCGGGTGCCAACATTCTGAACAGCGCTTTTATGCATCGCAAGGTAGTCTTCGGTATTGGCACGGCATTGGCATACTTACAGCGTTAGTAGTGTATACGGCGACATGCATGGAGCCTGGCGTTTCCACCGTCTATCAGGGTCCAGGGCCGGCTACTGCCCCACTCGGCCCGAAATCACATCAGATGACGGGACAGCTTGTACCATTCTCAGCGACAGCACTACATAACCAAATGAAACCATTCAAATCCTCTGACTAAGCCGACGGCAATTCACGGCCATGGATCGCACTTTCCCGACGGCTGATTGGCGCATATGCATCGCGTGTGTCAAAGGGCGCATAGCGGGGTCTAGATGTCCTTACGCCGCCGCGGAACATGGCGGGGCAACCTCCGAGTTGCGAAGGCGGGATGGAGGGACCTTACAAAGGCAAAAAAATATTGCGATGCCGCGGGTACATGTACAGGTAATACATCGCGGACGACTTTGACTCACGATCCCACCTTATTTTCCTTCCCTTAGACTTTAATACCTCATCGTCTGTGAAAGTATCTTGCTCTATTACACTACTAATTGACCCGATCTTACTTTACTCTTACCTTACCTCCGACATTTGTTCGATTTACTCCGGTCATAACCCACGATACTTCGCAATGGCAACTGAACTCCCCACCACAAACGGCCACGGCGCACAGGATGGCGAGAACAACTTTGCCGTCAAGGCCGGTCTGGCACGCATGTTGAAGGGCGGAGTCATTATGGACGTTGTCAACGCCGAGCAAGTAAGTCTCGCCTTCTCCAGATCACTGCGCGGTGGTTTGGGTAACGCGACCATTTGCTAACCAATACCACCCTCAGGCACGGATAGCAGAGGAAGCCGGTGCATCAGCCGTCATGGCTCTGGAGCGTGTCCCCGCCGACATTCGATCCCAGGGTGGTGTAGCCCGCATGAGCGACCCCAAGATGATCAAGGAAATCATGGACACAGTAACCATTCCCGTCATGGCCAAGGCACGAATTGGCCACTTCGTCGAATGCCAGGTACATCCAGAGTCCCTTCAAATCAGGAAGACCGTATGCTAACACCGACACTCCAGATCCTGGAAGCCCTAGGCGTAGACTACATTGACGAATCCGAAGTCCTCACCCCCGCCGACGCCATCCACCACGTCTCCAAGCACCCCTTCCGCATCCCCTTCGTCTGCGGCTGCCGCGGCCTCGGCGAAGCCCTACGCCGCATCTCCGAAGGCGCAGCCATGATCCGAACAAAAGGTGAAGCCGGCACCGGCGACGTCATCGAAGCCGTGCGCCACATGCGCACTGTAAACAGCGAGATTGCGCGCGCAAAGAGCATGTCTGACGAGGAACTGTACTCGTACGCAAAGGAGTTGCAAGTCGACTACGCGCTGCTCAAGGAGACGGCCAAGCTGGGTCGTCTGCCCGTTGTCAACTTTGCGGCGGGCGGTGTTGCGACGCCGGCTGATGCGGCGTTGATGATGCAGTTGGGCTGTGATGGCGTGTTTGTCGGCTCTGGTATCTTCAAGTCTGGGGATGCGGCGAAGCGGGCCAAGGCTATTGTTCAGGCGGTTACGCATTACAAGGACCCGAAGGTGCTTATGGAGGTTAGCATGGATCTGGGTGAGGCTATGGTCGGTATCAACTGTGGTAGCATGGGTGAGGATGAGAAGCTCGCTAAGAGGGGGTGGTAAATATGCGACGTTGTAGGGAGAGACGCCTACTGAAGGCGTCTGTGGTTGGTATTGGCGTTTTGGATATTTAGCTCGAGCGTGGGTTATGAAAATGTATAGAAGAACAAGCTCAACTCGGAATGACAACCAGTTCAACATGAATCTCCTTCAACTTCAGATTATATTGTACCACGATGTATCGCAGTGACATAGAGGAGCCGAGCGAGTACTGATTGGTGATCGCGACACCCAATTTCGCAACTTGGAGATCGCGTCATACGGAAAGCCGAGGTAAATTGCGGAGTCACAAAAGGTAAGAGACGGGAAACCATGATTTAACGTTTTGATTGAGCTACCTGCAACACGTCACAAACGGGCGTATCGAATGCAACGTACAGTAAGCCACCGTAATGTCCATAACCTGCTGGTGCCCAAAACAAGGACAGTCTCAGCATTATGCGCTTTGAAAAATATCACACCCATGAACTCCGCTGCGCCGGAGACAAAAACCCTTCAACATATGCACCGGCCGGTCCGTATTTGTCCGCGGTCCGTTGACCAATGCGACACGGAGGTAAAGAGGTCAAGCGTACCCAGGCGCGCGCACTTAGCGGTCCTCGGCCCACTCGTTCTCGCGGCGGATCTGCTCCTCCTCCTCGGGGGTGAAGTCGTTCTGGATGTTGAACGTCTTGCGGATCTCGTCGGGGGACTTGCCCTTGATCATGTTGGCGACGGTCTTGCAGCCGACGTCCAAGAGAGCCTTGATGTCGAGGTAGTTGGCGGCGAGGATGATCTCGAAGAGCATCTCCTGGTCGACCTGCATGAACTTTTGGTCCCACTCGTCGATGTCGGTGGACTTCTTGCGCGAGTCGGAGTCGTCGTCTTGGGTGGCGGGCGGGTCGTTCTTGTGGTGGCCGCACCACTCGATGACCTTCTTCATGACTGCCTCGTTGACCTGCGACATGTTAGTGGCTGTTCTTGGTGGAGGTGGGAAGGTGAGTACGTACGTTAGGGATGGGGATGGACTCTGAGGATTCACCACCAAGATCCTCGAGTAAGTTCTTGATGAGGATGGAGCGCTCGGCGACGGGGCGCTCGACGTCCATTTGGATACCGTCGGAGGTGGTGATGTTGATCATCTTGACGCCCTCGGAGTTGGTGGCAGCCATTGCGACAGCTTTGTTGTGAGGTGTTGGAGGTGGGTGTAGAAGTGGGGTAAGCTGTGGATGGAGTTGAGCGGCTGGGGTTAACCGACAGTTGTTGGGGATAGGCGGAGAGTGTGTGTTGAGAAGAGCGTCTGGGGCTCGGGAGGGCAGTGATTATATAGGCGAAGGCGTTTTGCTTTCACGTTTGCGCGCTGTGAGGGTGAGAGAGGCAACCAAGGTCCAACTCCGCCTCGCTGTTTAAGCTCAGGCGCCAAGCTCGCTCGATGGGGCAAGGCGCAAGGCTGCAATCATCAAAGAGGACCTGTAGTGACGCGAGAACACGGCTTGTATGTGCTTTGAACCAGCTTTGTTAGACGGCTTCACTTTGCTGCTTGCTGATTCAAGAAAGACATTGTGAATTGCTGCCCTCTCGTTTGCGGGCCAGCAGCTTGTACCGTGTTTGCGCTCACTTGAACTTTGGGCGGACCCCCGCGAATAGCACGGAGGATGACTCCATGCCGCACACAGCCGGCAGAAGTTACCAGAACGCGACGTGAACTTGACTCACGGAGCATGATGCCTGGGGCTAATACGATCCGTTCCAGATATCTGTCCTTAGTTGAGATGTGCGTTGATTCCACGGCGACATCCACCCAGGTACGCAAAGACAAGCCACCTGGAGTCGGCAGTGGGCCAAATGCGCTGTGACTCAAGAGACTACTTGATACATTTCAGTAGTGCTCATACCAGAACCGCAGCATCAGATCTGCCGCATAAACTCCAGGCCCATCTACACGTATCCTTGAAGGGGTACCTGGGTACCTGATCCACTGATGTTGCGCCACGTGACCGTTCAACGGATCCGCAGCTGCAGCCTAGACAGCCGTGGACAAGTCCGATGTATCATCGATTGCTGCCACATCGCATCTGATCAGGCCGCATGATAGTCGGCCGATATATCTGCCATGCTTCTCCTCGCCATGTAGTTTGCAGATCATCACAGTGCACGAGTCGCAAAGCATAACTCACCATTCGCTCTTGCAACCGGCCCCCCTATCCGCGTGCAACTGGTGATTGACGTAGGCCACTAAAACATTTGTTGGCCTCACTTTGTGAAAACAAACATCCCAACGGACAGATATGCGCCTGCTCAACCCCGCCAAACCCTCAAACGGCATATCTCGACTCTCGACACCATGTGGCGGCGTGTCTATTTCCTCCTGATCCTGGTGCGCATCTACTTTGCACTATCGCCGAGCTATCTGCACCCGGACGAGAACTTCCAGGGCCCCGAGGTCATTGCCGGTATGTCGCGACGCTGTCTGCGTATGCGCCCACAGCCACGACTGACTTGTCTCTAGGGCGCGTCTTCTCCTACCCCGTCCACGAAACCTGGGAGTTCACCTCCGAGAACCCCATCCGCAGCACGTTCCCGCTATGGCTCGCATACGGCTGGCCCATGTACATCCTGCGCTGGCTATGGGAGGGCTTCGGGTATGACGTCTCGCCATCGGTCGTATACTGGACACTGCGCGTACTCATGTTGACGCTGAGTGTCGTCATGGAGGACTGGGCCATCCACGAGCTGGTCGCTTCGCCGCGCGCGCGTCGTGTTGCTGTAATGCTTGTCGCATCGTCGTATGTGACCTGGACGTTCCAGACACATACCTTCTCGAACAGCATCGAGACGCTGCTGGTGCTCTGGAGCCTGGTCTTGATCCAGAGGATAACGGACGACAAGGTGAGTTGTTTCGGTCCGCTTGCCGATCTAGGATATGCGGCTAACGCAAGGTGCAGAAGCGCTCTGGCATCCTGGCTTCGTCCATCCTCGGCTTCATGGTCGTCGTAGGCATCTTTAATCGCATCACCTTTCCAGCATTCTTGCTTCTTCCTGCGACGACTTTGCTACCCCACTTCCCACTTCCAGCGCAAGTAAGTTAAGGCTGTTGTCGCCGTCTTCTGGACCTTCACTGACACCCACAGACCGTTCTCTTTGGTCTTCCTTGCAACGTTCGCTCTCTTCACAGCTTTCCTTGCTATCTGCGTAGACACGGCGTTTTATACCCCTGGCGAATTCACCTTTTCCAAACTCCTCAGCGGCGCCGTCATCACACCTTTCAATAATTTCCGTTACAACTCGGATTCCGCGAACCTTGCCCAGCATGGCATACACCCACGATACCAACATTTCCTCGTTAATCTTCCTCAACTCCTCGGTCCGGCGGCACCACTTCTGTTCTTTCTGCGCAGGGCGCATATCTCTATGATTCTCATTTCAGCTATATCTGGCGTCGCACTTCTTAGCATCTTCCCACACCAAGAAGCTCGGTTCTTACTTCCCGCCGTACCATTAATACTCTCCTCGATACGCCTACCGACTCCGCGCATTCGAAAGAGCTGGATCATCACTTGGGTAGTTTTTAACGTTGCCCTCGGTATCCTGATGGGCGTATACCACCAAGGCGGCATCGTCCCAGTTCAGATGAACATTGCCAAGACGAACGAGACAGTTTCCAATGCGTTCTGGTGGAAGACGTACAGTCCGCCAACGTGGCTACTGAACGGCAAAAACGAGGAGCTCAAGACCGTCGATCTCATGGGCTGCCCAGCCGAACAAATGATCGAGAAGGTCAAGGAAGCACTACCGCCTTGTCGGACAAGGAAACCACCAAAGGTCGACCGAGGCTCCGTGTACGTCGTAGCACCACGATCAGCACATGCTTTGATACCATATCAAAGCCCCAACACCTCAAAAGAGGTCTCATTGGAGGAAGTCTGGAGCTATCGACAGCACCTGAACCTCGATGACATGGACTTCGCCGACGACGGCATCTGGAATACCATTAGCCGCGTTGTTGGTGATCGGGGACTCGTAGTCTGGCGAGCAACTCGGAATTGCTGGTCTACCCCTGAATGAGCTAGAGAGGTCACATGTAAGAAGAGATCTTGTTGGTCTGATATTTCGGAGTCGTGGCACAAGATGCAAAGAATTTGGCAGCGCAAGCTGAATGTCGATTTGTTTTCTTCTTGGCTTCTGCGCATATACCCATCACACCTCTTAAATAGCTCCTAATGGTAACAAAGTAAAAGCTACAATCACTCAAGTGCTGCGTTGTCTCACCGTGCTACACAAACATAACATCGCATGCTTCTGATACATATTGATATACATGGGTTCCCTAAACTTGCTCACAAAGCACCACCCAACACCCTCACAGCCCACATCGCCATCCTAACATCCATCCCAACTTTCCTCTCCGGCCTCTCAAACTCCTTCTCACTTACTTCCTTAGCATGTTCTCCCAACCACCTAACCTCCTCGCCCAACCTCTTCCTTAACCCCGGATCCTCCGTCGCGATGACCACATTAGCCTCAAGATCCAACTCATAAGCCCTCTTTGTATAATTGCTACTACCAATAACCGTTAAGCTGGGATCTTCCTTCTCCCCTCCGTTGGCCGAAGGAAACGTAACCCACAGCCCCTTGGCATGATACGTCCACCCGCCTTCCTGACCCACCATACCCTTCTTCCACTCTTTGAGCACGATACTGTCGCTGAGCCCTTCGTGTTTTACTTTCCGCAGGAAGGATTTCGCAAGGTGCGTGTATGCGGCTGGTAGCATGCCGCTTACGCCTTTGGAGCCGTAGAAGCCGTTGGCGTGGGGGTGTGCGGTTAGCACTGTGCCTGAGGCAGGGCGCGTGGAGAGGAGGAGGCGCCGGAAGGAGGGCGTCATGTTGAAGTAGCCTGCTGTGAAGGTCCAGGAGGAGTTTTGAAGGGGAGGGCTGGCGAGGTGGGTTAGGATTTTTGTTAGGGCGGGGAGTTCGGTTGAGGAAGGGAGGAGCGGGACGAGGGAGAGGATGGGGTAGATTGTTGTTTTTGAGGTGGAGGGTGAAGGAGATGTGGTGGTTGGGGAGTTGGGTGGTAAGAGGAGGTGGGCGAGGTGCTTTTCTGCACCGGCTTTGTAGTTCGAGGGCGAGTCTAGTGGTGAGGGCGCGGCGTTGGTTGTTGGCCAGGTCATGGTGTAGCCTCCGCTTCCTTCTTGCGTGCTTGGCTGTATGTCGAAGCTTAACTTCGCGACGCCGTCGTGTATTCTCTTGAAATAGTCTGTCAAGTCTTTTGACTTGAACAAGTGGTACCGATCTTGACGATTCGTAAAGTAATCTTCACTTAGGTTTGCTCCGGACATGATGATCTCGTCATCAACACCGTACAGTTTCATGTGCTGTAGACCCCAGCCTTCGTTGATGCGTTTTGGGATATACTTCTTTCGCAGACCGGTTAGGTTGGGTGTGTGGTACATGCGTACTTCTACGCGGTCTGGTCCAAATTCCGAGATGAGAGGTGTCATGAGGGAGGCGGTTGAAGGGTTTGGTGTTTCTCTGGTTCCGCGCAGAGCGTCCGTAAGAAAAGAGACCTTGAGATTGGGATTGCGTTGGAGTGCATCCCGGATAGTAGAGATGAGTTCATGTTCGGTTTTGCCAATGTAGAGGGTTGATAGATAGATGCGGCGCTGAGCTTTTGATATTTTGTCCTGGTGATATTAGTACAGATTGGATATTAATGTGAGTAAGCTTGCTCACTGCATCTCTGTCTTGGCTTTTTCATCGAAGATGGATAGATGGCATGAAGTTCCCATACAGTACAGGGCAGAAGGAAGTGGACCTTAGAGAAAAGCGTTGTCCTTGACAGATGACGGCAGAATGATACAAAACCACTTTAACTGAGAAATCGAAACGACTGCTGTCTTGCATGTGTTGAAATATTCGAGAGATAGAACGGAAGGGGGGAAAGTGTGATATGCTATGAGCGGGAACCATGACAGCAACGATAACTGACCTACCTTCAATGTTTGATAGAACTCAGCAGGCGTCTGGAGAATTTCAATCTGATCTGGCTGAATCTCAAATCGCGGCGCAATCTTATCCAAATCCGTCGTTATCGTCGCAAGCATAGACGCTTGGCTCTGAGGCACAGGTGAAGCCATCTCAGCACTCGAGGTCGAATATCTTCGCGTTGTCCTGAATGTCCGAGTGGGGATGCGGAAACTTCTCCTCCCCGCGATCTTCGGTGCTTGGGCGCGTAATAAGCTTCTTATTATCATGTTGACCACTCGCTATGACGCCGGATGCTGGTATGTGCTTCGACTCCTGAAGTTTTGATGCACTTTGGGGTTGGGCGACAAGGATCACTCTGACGCTAACATGTCTTGGGAAAGGCGTGAGAGCGGTGCTTGGCATCGTCAATCGCGAAGCAGCAACATCCGACAAGCATCACGAACGCTGAATTCACCAAACGCCGCCATGTCGACGCTCATGAGAACGCTGCGCAACCTGCGCCGAATCGGAATCAAGGTAAGCTTCAGTCACCGCAGGAATTGATACCGCAATGCTAACACGTCCGCAGGAATATGGCCACCAAATGGCGGTACGCTTGCATCCCCGCGCCCTCACCTTACATCGCAGATAGACTGATCGAGTCGCCCGCACGTTTAGAACATCGGTACGCTCGAGTACGAAAGAATTGGCAGGGAATGCGAAGGGCTAATCTGCCATAGGTGACACCAAAGCCGGAACCTTGATCGGCCAGGACAAGTACGGCAACAAGTTCTTTGAGAACTTGGAGGAGGAGCTTCCTCGTAAGACTCGGGAATCTCAGAGAAGAAAGCATGTATCTGACCGCCATAGTCCGGACCCGCTGGGTAGACTACAAAGACAAGGAGTTCGATCCGTATGTTGCATTGGACGTAAAGACATGGAGCAAAGCTGACGCTGTGACAGTTCTCAGATCGAGCCCGGATGGTACGCTACGTCACCAAACACCGCGAAATATAGCCCTGCGAAGAACATACATCTGACTATCCACATAGGCACGCCTGGATGTCATACATGGTCGACAAGTCACCAGCCGCAGACCCGCTTCTGCAGCGCCAGGTCCGCGTCTGGGAGCCAAAGGAGCACAGGCCGACCCTTACATGGACCCGTTCAGGATACAAGCCCTACAACACGTACGTCTCAGATGTTACGAAGTTCGGACGGTTGTGTGCTAATAACCAATAGTGTCAAGCCCAAGTACTCTCCCTGGACACCCGTCGCCAAGGCTCGACAGTAGACGCGTCTTCCATACCAAGCATTGTATATATCCAGAGAAGAAATCGATGTTTCATATGCTATCACTTCTATCTATTTTCAATATTCAGAGCCCCTCCATCAACATAGGAAGCACAATCTCCTTATTGAACTTCCAGAGCGCGCTGCTATCAGGCGCCCGAAACGTCGCACCGCTCCAATACGTGCTTCTCAATCCCTGCAGCGCGTTCATCTTGTCATAAATGCCAGCCTGTATGTCTTGAGGTCTAGCTTGCATGTAGAACGGCGCATGTGATGTGTAGACCACGAACTCTGGTTCAGTAGGTTCAAAGTTGCCAGGATTTGCCGTTTGCAGTCGTTTGATACCCGCGATTATCTCCTCTTTGACAAAGTTATCAGAAAGAGGATATGTTGCATTCGACCGTTGGGAACCGTAGTAAATCGCTTTGACCCCAGGGATAGCGGTTGCCTGCATGAGATAGACGCCCGGCAGGGCAGGGAGGTTGTACGGGGTGTCCGACGCGCGGTTGTAAATGACCAAATCGTCAGGTGTACCCGTATTCTTGACCAAAGCAGCATAATACCCAGCATCGATAAGTTTCCCAAAGACCTCACGTTCCCGCTTCCGTAGATCGAAACGCGCAAGGAGATCCGGACGCAGCGGAATCGTGATAAGGAGTTTCTTGGCGCGTATCATCTTGACGCCATCGGGTGTCTTGACAACGAGTTCCACGCCACTCTCCCTCCTTGCGGCATGCACAACTTCAGAAGACAGCAACAAGCTATCCGCATCGAGGAGCTCAGCCTGCGCCTTCCCATACAACTCGCTGTTATTACGGCGAGCCGTCGAAACAAGATTATTCGCAGCGAGTTGCTGGATCAAGCCTAACCCGTTGACACGCGCATTCTCCACCACGGGCACACTGAGGATATCCCCGATACCCTGATTCGTACTGAACGTCGTCTGCACCACGGCTTCGAGACCGAGGTTGGTAACGAGGTCGCCGAACGGTATGGTTAGGTCTTGTGGGACGGGGCTGGGGAGGAACATGCCGCTTTCCAGCTCGGGGTACTGAGCAAGGAACGCAGCGTATTTATGTAGTCCAGCGCCGAGGTCCTCTACACTTGGTGCGCTGACGTTGACTGCGAGACCAGTGCTGAAATCGTAGTTTGCGTCGTTGCCCGCGAATTGTGGGGGTCCGAGGGGAATGTCGAAGCGGGCGAAGTAGTCAAGGACAGTACTCTCATTATGGTAGACTAGCACGCCGTAGTCTTGAGCGAGACCGGTTGCTGGGTCTGTGTAGGTTTCTGTGTGGCCGCCTAGCCGGTTCTTGATCTCGACGACGATGACGCTTTTGTTGGCGTCTTTGAGGGAGATTGCGGCGTGGGTACCGGAGGAGCCGCCGCCTATGATGGCTACGTCTCGGGTTATGATGGTGCTGGGATGGAAAGATGAGGAGTGGTGTTTGGTGGTGGTTGAGAAGGCGGGAGATGTGAGGAGAGATGCTAGAAGCACGGCTGCTGAGAGTGTAGGATGCATCTTCGAAGAGGAGGGTGTTTCCTTTCTAAACAACAGTATCATTGAAAACTATGTGAGATTATATACTACAGTGTCCAGCCCGTGTTGTTGCTCAGGGCGGATCTGTCGGCTTCCCGGTGAACGTGTTGATGCGTAGCCGTGCCGTTTGTAGACCACGTAAACTCCCGTCGCGGTGGAACGAATGCTGCATCCCGCGTCAAAGTACACAAGAGCCTTCATGAACGAATCAATTCCCAACACGCAAAGCCCGGTGTCAGCGCAGCAAAGCCTCCAAACCACATAATCCAATGCGCTTTGCAGGAAAGAGAGGCCATGAGCCGTGTCAGCGTCGACATTCAAGTACGCGTATGCGCGCCCTTTTATGTATGACTTGCATTTCAGCAGCCAACTCGCATTTGAGATGGAGTTATAAAGTTGTAAGCTTTCTGACAGGTTGGCAAAGGCTTGAGGCGTAACATGTGGCGTCCAGTGATAGCAGGCTGGCGAGTCGAGATGGTCACACGTTGACTATCTCCGGCGATTCCATGTGTTTCTCGCTAGAAGGCGTACAGTGGGCTTCGATCGAACGGTGTCTGGAAGCTTGAAGGCGTCCAGGCGGTTGAAGCGTGTAGTTGGCTATTGTAATGTCAACATGAGCAAAGATGCAGAATATGTTAATTTCCAGCCTCGATTAATGGCATTATCCAGGCAGGCTAATGAGAATTAGGGAGGGTAACTATCGTTCGTGTAGGTAAGGAGAATGTGAAGAGGTAGTGTTGTCTGGCTGCTTTCCAGCTGGCCGTCAAAACTAGGCTGCATCGAAGTAAACATTGACTACATAGAAGGGCACGAGATCGTCAATTGCTGTTCTCGATAGAAGTTGATTACCCAGGTCACGCCGCGACATTACCACGTGCCTCATCGTACCTTCCTGTTCGACATTGGAGGATTACCATCTCTTGGGTAGGAACTTGTCCATGTCGCCATCAGCATGACTTCTGAACTATGTCGCTCAGCGCGGTTTGTCGTTCTAGCCCAGCACGATTTCTCCCGCATGCGGACTTGGTACATTGTGCGATTGTAGACAGACGCCTGTACCACAGTGGCGGCGCCAAACCTTCGCGCTCCGACTGCAGATGCTTTAAGGATGTCCCTGGTATGACGAGAGCGAAGACTGCGGAATCAGGCCGTTTTCACATGTCGCAGGACTCGAGCGTTGCGCGGCGTTCAACGCTGTGTTCTCTGGCCAAGGCGTTGGGCGCGCCAGGGGAACCGGCACCTGCGCAGATGGCGCCAGCAAGTAACTTGGGGCGGCATGTGTGCGACTCTCTCACCGACATTGAGGATGCGCCTAACAAAGGGCCTATTGGCAATGTCAGCAGCGTTACAGGATGGTGTGCACGGCAGCGACGGATTGGTAAGCTGTGGGGAAGCTAACGCCTGGTCCCACTAGGTACCCTTAGCCGCGGAGGTGCTTGCAGCCATCACAGTACCCCGGACATCTGGACTTTGCCATGTCCGGCAGCCCGCGATAGAGCTGTCGTCGGTATAGGAAGGTCCATCGTGACTCTTTACGACTCGTTATGACTCTTCTCGACTCTTTTATGAGTTCGGTGTAATTCCTTGGTGCTTATCGGCCTCTACGATTAGGGCGAACATGAGGCTCTTTGACATGGGCCCTCCGTAGCATGCGCCAGTTGCTACGGCCTGCCTGGTAGTGAAGAGAAGCATCAGGCAAGACATGGCGCGAAGACCGACGCAGTTAGTAACGTGCACAAGACTGAGTTGCACCGACGACACGACCGATACCTCCAATCTAGAAGCGGGAGGCGTACGGCACGTATCAGCGCGCCCTCGTCCAGCCCTTTCGCCCTTGAAGCCATTGTCACGAACTCATCGGAATATGACTCTTGGAAACTTAATGGAGGCGGTCAATATGTGACCGTACGGTAGTGTGAAGCTGCAGAGTGGCAGAGCGCGACAAAAGCCGTGAGACGGATGCATGGCTTGCTCTGTGACACATGCGCATTGGTGCGTCTGCTGCACAACCATGTCACCTTGAGTCAAGCGGAGACGAACCCTGTCAAACGATATGTCGTGACGATCTAGCTCTCTCTGTAAGACTGCTTGCTATATCCACACGGGCAGCCACGGTGACGGTTTGATAGAGTAGTTTGCGACCGCTCAGGCTGTGGCTCGTTGCACCCGTTATTACATTGGGCCGGTTATCTGATCTGCAACTATCTTATCTGATCCCAGCATCTCGGTTGCACATCGGCAGCAATATCTAATTACATCATTTGTCGGTTCGGGCACGCGTGCGTGAACGTCAGTGCGGATCTGGAAAAGCTCTTGCGGCAAGTGGAAGCGCAAACCGAAGAAGCAGTTCTTGTCCTCAAACCACCCTACCCTGTCCACAGTCGCCTGGAGGCCCCCTGCCGCCGTTTGTTTACTTCGGCGCAATCGAGCAGAAGGCGCGAATACACCCTCCGGTCCTTCCTTTAGTCCCAATGCGCCTCAACAGCCGTCAATAGCGAGTGCGAGTGCTGGAGGTTTGAACACCACCACAGGTCACAACAGGTCTCGTACAACTGCGGCAGACACCATGTTCGCCCACTGTAGAGGCCCGTTCTGGGGCAGAGACGACTTCTCGAGGTGTTTCGAGCAAGAGTAGGTACTTTCTTTTACTTTGCGCCACGACGCGATGTCTCAGATGCCACTGCAGCCATCCGATAGGCGATGCACCAGCACGAATGCTCACAAAGCTAACACGTCGCAGCTATCTTCAAACACTATTCCCTCTCATAGTATGCGGAATATCCGTCGTTTATCTACTGGTCCAACTCTATGTCGCCGCCACCGCGTCCCGATACTACCACGCCTACAGCGTCCTCGAAGACCCCTCCAATGTCTGGTCTTTCCGGAGTCCTCGCTACGATGGCGACGAAGCCTACGAAGATGCCGAAGACGACCTTGATCGAAACGAAGATCTCGCGCTTCATGCCGTCAACACAGTCTCCACCATGGCCGTAGACAAACCCCGCGGAGAGCTCACGGTCGTCATACTCGAGGAAGTGGCGGTACTGGCTCAGCTGGCACTTCACGTCGCTGTGATGGTCACCAATGTTTGGGGCAGGCACGGCAAGCTTGCGGCCATTGCCAATGTTGCTGTCTGGGCCTACATCGCCACCCTGGCTTCGCTGCGATTGCTGTTCTCCAGCACCAGCAGATTCTCGTTTCCTAAGCTGTGGTACCACACTGCCTTCATTTACGGGTTCCAATGGGTTTTCAGCGTCCTCCTGTTCCGGTCGGCCATCATCCACCCGCGATCGCCTCTACACCGGAAGCTCATGATTGGCGATTTTGTCCTCGTCTCGCTACTATTCCTCATCTCTTTGTGCTCTAGGAAAGGCAACAAGGCGGTGGAGCTAGAGTATGAAGGCGACATCGCGCCAGCCCGGGAACCTATCGCCAGTGTTTTCTCGCTTGCCACTTTCAGCTGGGTCGATCCGATCGTATGGACAGGATACAAGAAGACATACGAGCTTACCGATGTCTGGAACTTGCCTTCCAAGGACAAGGCTGCAGCTGTCATCGCGAACTACCGTCAGGTCAAGAAGACATCCGGCTTGGCCTACCATCTTTTGAAGCATTTCAAACGTGGTCTACTCATACAAGCAGGTTGGGCTGCCATTTCTGGTTTCCTCACTTTCGCCCCGACATTGCTTCTCAAGGTCATTCTCGAATACGTTGAGAAGCCCGAACAGACCCCTGCCAATGCCGCCTGGTTCTACGTCATTCTACTGTTCGTTTCAGGCAGTCTATCTGCACTTGCTGACGGCCAAGCGCTGTGGCTCGGTCGAAAAATCTGCATCCGCCTACGCGCTGTCATCATTGGAGAAATCTACGCAAAAGCACTCAAGCGTCGAGCAGCTGCTACTACTGAAAAGGCCCTGGGCGAGGAAAAGAAGAAGCACGAACAAGATGAGGAACCCAAGGGATTGAAGCGCATCTTCACCTTCGGCAAGAACAAGAAAAAGGCGACTGGAGCCTCGAAAGAAGAAGAAGCATCGAAACCAGAATCCGACGCTCAGGTCACCACCGGTGCCATCATCAACCTTATGGCTGTCGACGCTTTCAAAGTCAGCGAGATCTGCGCTTATCTACACTTCCTCTGGGCTAATACCCCAGTCCAAGTTGTCGTGGCTATCTTCTTGCTCTACCGTATCTTGGGTTACAGTTCGATTGCTGGTATTGGTATGATGGTTTTCTTGCTCCCGATCAACATGTATGTTGCGCGACAATTCTCCAAGATTCAGAAACTTATTCTCGCGGCCACCGATGCCCGTATTCACACGACCAACGAGGTCCTCACCAACATCCGGATCATCAAGTTCTTCGCTTGGGAACAACGCTTCATTGGTCTGGTCAACGAAAAGCGGTACGTTGAGCTCAAGCATCTGCGACGAAGATACATTCTGTGGGCGGTAGCAGCTACGATATGGTCGGGCTCGCCAGTCTTAATCACATTCTTGTCCTTCCTCGTGTACACGAACGTTGAACATAAGGCGCTCATTCCATCTGTCGCATTCACCGCCCTCTCGCTTTTCCAAATTCTGAGGATCCCGCTGGACCAACTCGCAGATATGGTAGCGCACGTTCAAGAATCCAAGGTCTCGGTCGATCGTATTGAGGAGTATCTGTCTGAACCCGAGACGGACAAATACTCGCAGCTTGTAACTCAGAAGAAGGATGAAGATGGTCAAGCCATTATTGGGTTCGAGAACGGCACATTTAGCTGGGGCGGAACTGACATGGCAGATCAGGCGTCAGCAGATGCTTTCAAACTGATGGATCTTAATCTGAATTTCCGTGTCGGCAAGCTCAACGTTGTTGTTGGACCCACTGGCTCTGGAAAGACCTCGTTACTCATGGGTCTACTTGGTGAAATGACAAAGCTCAAGGGCAATGTCTACTTGCCAGGTGGACTTAGCCGAGAGGACCTGACTCCCGACCCTGACACTGGACTCACTGACAGTATAGCTTACTGCGCTCAGCAAGCTTGGCTTGTTAACGGTACGGTCAAGGATAACATCGTATTCGCGAGTCCATGGGATCAGAAGCGCTACGATGAGGTTCTCGAAGCCTGCTCTCTGAAGCGAGATCTTGAGATCCTTGATGCTGGCGACGAGACGATAGTGGGAGAAAAGGGTGTTACGCTCTCTGGAGGCCAGAAACAACGAATCTCATTGGCCCGTGCGTTGTACAGCAAGGCTCGTCACGTCCTTCTTGACGATGTTCTGAGCGCTGTCGACGCCCACACTGCGAAATGGATCTTCCATTACGCACTTCACGGACGACTCATGGCGAACCGAACTTGTATCCTCGTTACACACAACGTCAGCCTCTGTTTGCCACACGCAGAGTTTGCTGTTGCACTTGAGAACGGCCGAGTGGTCGCACAAGGCACAGCAGACGAGGTCATCAACTCAGGAAAGCTTACCGAGGATCTTACTAAATCACGGCCCGCATCAAGAGGAGCGTCCAAACCTCCTTCCGAAGAGCTCTCAGATGCTGGTGAGGAGGCGAACGGCGATGCCAATCACGCTAACGGATCTGCTAACGGCACCGCAAATGACAAGCCGGACGTTAAGAAGAAGCCAGCCAGCAACAGTCAGGATGAGAAGAAGGCAGAGGGAGGCGTTAAGCTGAGCATCATCACCATGTATCTTCGAGCTATGGGCCCCTGGTACTACTGGCTTGGTGCTACCATTGCTTTTGTAGCTGCGCAAATCTCTTCGGTATCTACTAATCTCTGGATCCGCACATGGGCAAACGCGTACGCAGAAAAGGGCTATGCTGTGACGAGCAACCATCACCAATCTCCGGTAACGCATGCTCCGACAATAAGTGGTATGGGAACATGCATGAACAGTGGCACCTGCAGCTGGAACATTCCTTTCTTTACGCAACCGGAGCAGCAGTCATACGCCTACAACACTATGCAGACTACCTTCAGTGCGCCGAACCCAGACGTCAACTCTGCCTACTTCCTGGGTGTCTACGCCGTTCTTGGACTCATCTTCATGTTTATCACCTTCTTACGAGAAGGTTTCCTGTTTGGAGGGTCTCTCGCTGCATCCAAACGCATACACGAACGACTCATTCAAAAGGTTACGCATGCCAAGTTCCGCTTCTTCGATCAGACACCACTCGGTCAGCTCATGAACAGGTTCTCCAAGGACATTGAATCTGTCGATCAAGAGGTAGCGCCAGTCGCCATTGGTGTTGTCCATTGCTTCGCTTCCATCATCACGATCGTCATTCTTATCTCGATCATTACTCCTGGTTTTCTAATAGCAGCCTTCTTCATCTCCATCCTCTACTTCCTCATCGGTCGCTTCTACATCAACTCGTCCCGCGACCTGAAGCGACTAGAATCCGTACATCGAAGTCCGCTGTATCAACAGTTTGGCGAGACACTATCCGGCATGACGACTATCAGAGCCTACGGTGACGAACGCCGCTTCATCCGCGAGAATCTGACGAAGATTAACACTCAACATCGTCCGTTCATCTATCTCTGGGCAGCTAACAGGTGGCTTGCGTTCCGAGTAGACGTCGTCGGTGCCATGGTCGCCTTCTTCTCCGGAGCTTTTGTTGTGCTCAGCGTTGGACGCATTGATGCAGGTGCCGCAGGTCTCGCACTTACCTATGCTGTTACCTTCACTGAGAACGTCTTGTGGTTCGTCCGTCTCTACTCCGCCAATGAACAGAACATGAACTCGGTCGAGCGTGTCAAGGAGTACCTCGATGTCGACCAGGAAGCTCCATCTGTCATTTCGGAGAACCGTCCACCATCCAACTGGCCAAGCAAGGGATCCGTAGAGTTTATCAATTACAGCACGCGATACAGGACTGACTTTGACCTTGTCTTAAAAGACTTGACTTTCAAGATCCTTCCAGGCGAGAAGGTCGGTGTCGTAGGCCGAACGGGTGCCGGCAAGAGTTCGATGGCACTTGCCTTGTTCCGGGCATTGGAGGCTGAGAAGGGCAAGATCTTGATCGATGACATTGATGTTGGTACGATCGGCTTGCATGATCTGCGGGAGAACGTCGTCATGGTACCGCAAGGTAAGCGCATCCTTATAAAACACCATGATCGAGGAAATGCTAACACAACACAGATCCGACACTATTCACAGGCACGATCCGAAGCAATCTCGATCCTTTCTCTATCTTCACTGATGAAGAAATCTACACCGCACTGCGCGAAGTCAATCTGATTTCTACTCTATCACGCCCTACATCCGGCTCTGTCACTCCTACTGGAGTAACCACCCCACCTCGCGCTGTCGAAATTCCTGTCCCCACAACAAATGCCGTAACAGCGGATGTCAACGGCAGCTACTCAGCCGCTACCACAAACCCCGGGTCCATTCTGGCAAACCGCGACTGGGATCGTGGTGAAACGCAGGAAGATACTGTTGTGGTCATGCCTGATGGGCGTGCTGTGGACCGTAACGATGCAGCGGCACAAGCTGCGATGGAGGCCGACAACAAAAACCCATTCAAGAACCTCAACTCGCTGGTGTCAGAATCTGGTTCCAACCTGTCACAAGGTCAACGACAACTTTTGTGCCTAGCGCGAGCGCTATTGAAGGCACCCAAGGTTCTGCTGATGGATGAAGCCACAGCATCCATCGACTACGCCACCGATGCGAAGATCCAAGAAACCATTCGTCAGATCAAGAACACAACCATCACGATAGCGCATCGTCTGCAAACCATCATCGACTATGACAAGGTCCTTGTTCTGGACAAGGGTGAAGTCATAGAATACGGCCACCCCTACGATCTTGTCCGAAAAGACGGCGGTTCATTCCGATCCATGTGCGAAACAAGTGGCGAGCTAGAAAACTTGACCACTACAGCAAAAACAGCGTACGAATCGAAACCTACTGCAGCTGCCGAATAGAGATCACAGCTCCGGTTGTATGATCGTTCATGACCGTCCAGCATTCTAATACGTGCCCCGTAGAGAAGGGTCTGGGGATGAGAAGGGAGTTTCAAATTTAGACGGTGTTGGAGAAGAACAAAAAGCATATGATCAAGACAGGTTTTGCATGAGCGAGTCAGCATTATTTTCTTTCTGTTTCATTGTCGTGGCGTATACCAGACAGAGCCTATGGGTGGTTACCTGCTCTTAGTGTACATATAACTATGTCTAATCGGCTCCGTATGGATCGCATAATCGACACGTTGACATACCAGTGATCAGCGAACATCTGTGAATTGGCTGCAATCGTCGAGCGGAGATTCGTTTAGCTCCATCCAGAAAAGCAACACTTGGGTAAGCGGTGCTCGTCAGCAAGTACATGTCAGCCATAGAAGATCAAGTATCGGATCTTGGCGGATCTGACAAAATGCACCACGTCGACGACCACCGATCAGTAAACATAGCAAAAGGCTGAACAATTACTATCAGCTCGTCCAGCTACTACGTTCTAGCAACAAATCTTGATCGGTCAGCAAAAAGAGCAAAATACGCCGTTGGGCTTGTGGCTTCCCTGAAGTACCAATCACGTGGCTGACAATCCGCCGCTTTCGGATCTTACTTGCCATGTCCGGCGTCTTATCAGCCTCTGGTCATGCAACTTTCTCTGGGGATCTAGTTACTCGTTCGTTGATATCTAATGGCTTTTGCTGACTGTAGCGCTGATTTGTCGTTGTTGAAGGAGATTGTCGGAGTTGGCATTCCTGTGCATTCGCTGGATAGAAGGGAGGGGCAGAGCCGCTTGTGGTGTTGTCTTGATGATTAGAATAGACAGGAAATTCTGTAGGTATAAAGACGTTGTTACACAGGAAAGGTCCGAGTAACCTTCCTAATAATATCGAATTTCGCGACATCCCGTACGCGTACCCAGAGGCCATGGAAACAATCAGGGAGATCGTCCGCGATGCGCCCTTTGGCCAACTCGTCCGTTACGCAACACGTAACCGCTTCTTCAAGTATCCGGAAGAGTTACCTGGGTTCGAAATCCCATCTGCATATACTGAGAAGGAGACCAGTGCCACAGCTTCGCAAGATCAAGTTCACTCGAACCATTCTGCAACTACCAACAGACAGCCCGGCCCGGCCCCAGCTACCACTACCCCTCTCCAAGCCGACCTCGAAAAGCTTCCCTCCAGAACCGCAGAGGTAGAGAACGCATCCGATCGCAACTCAACCTCAACCACCCCGCTCCCGTTGCACGCCCTCCCCTTTAGCCCCTCACGCCTCGAAGCCGAGCTAGCCCTCCATACCACACACTCACCCAACCACGCCATCGCCCCCGTCAAAACAGCGGATGGCCTTATACTAGCCGAATGGTACACCACAACCGACCCTGCTAACCCACAGAACTGGCCGCAGGGCAAGAAGACTTGGACGGCGTTTCTGATCTGCCTGTATACGTTCATTGTGTATGCGGGTAGCTCGATTTATGTTAGTAGTACGCTGTTGGTTATGAGCCGGTTCGGGGTGGGGGCGTTTAGAGCGAGTTTGGGATTGGCGCTTTATGTGCTAGGTAAGACTTTCTTTCCATGGTTTATTTGATGGTAGTATGGATAACTGACAACTCGTGCAGGGTATGGCATTGGACCGTTGTTGTTCGCGCCGTTGAGTGAAGGTATGTGGTATCTTGTCTCCTTCTTGTTCTTCGCTGACGGTTCATGACAGTACCGCAACTTGGTAGAAACATACCGTACATCACCACTTTCGCTCTCTTCACCATCCTCACTTTACCTACCGCACTGGTAGACAATCTCGGCGGCCTTCTCTTCCTCCGCTTCCTGCTCGGCTTCTTTGGAAGCCCCTGTCTGGCGAACGGTGGAGCTACAATGCAAGACTTGTACTCTCTGCTCCACATACCATATGGCCTGGCTTTCTGGACAGCAGCCGCGTTTGCTGGACCAGCTCTCGGGCCTCTTCTATCTGGATTTTCCGTCTATGCGGAGAACTGGCGATGGTACGTTTTCTTGCTTCATCAATACAGCCTTCTTCTTCCCTCGATGCTGAATAGTCATGTGTGTCCAGGTCTCAATGGGAACTCCTCTGGATGGCCGCTCCAGTCTTTCTACTATTCTTCTTCTTCCTCCCAGAAACACAGCCTACGACCATCCTTCTCCACCGATCTGCCCGCCTGCGTGCGCTGACCGGCAATGCAAATATTCGTACGCAAACCGAGATCGATCGCAAAGGCACCAAGTTTTCCGCCACACTCCTCGATGCCGTTATCAAACCTTTGGAAATCTGCGTGAAAGACCCCGCTCTCTTCTTCATCAACGTCTACTCCGCGCTGACATACGGCATATACTACTCTTTCTTCGAGGTCTTCCCTTTGGTGTATTTGGAGATATACGGGTTTAGTGTCGGCGAGATGACGATCGTGTTCCTATCGATCATCGTGGGGTGCGTTGCTGCTATGACCATTTACTTTTCGTATCTGAGGTTCTACCTCATACCGGACATCCTGAAGAGGGGGCTGAGACCTCAAGAGCATAGACTCGTGCCGGCGATCTTCGCGAGTTTTGGAGTACCAATCGGACTGTTCATCTTTGGTAAGTCAGATCGCGCAACTAGAACTGAGATACTGAGTACTAATGGCGAGATGTGTAGGCTGGACGGCTCGTCAATCTGTACATTGGATCGCTTCAGCTATCGGTATCGTCATATATTCGACTAGCGTGTACATCATCTTCCAGGCTGTCTTCTGTAGGTCATTGCCTATACCTCTACGATGCTTACTGTTCACTTTGCTAATGCTTCTTCAGCGTATGTCCCCATGTCTTACCCGCAGTACGCTGCATCCCTATTCGCAGGCAATGACTTCTGTCGCTCTGCTTTCGCTTTCGGATCCGTACTTTTCTCCCGCCCCATGTATCTCAAATTGGGGATAGGGAAGGGAATCAGTCTTTTGGGTGGATTGAGTGTCATGGGTATCGTGAGTCTCACTGGATGAAGAGATTTTGGAATTGTGGGCTAACTCAAAGTAGATTGGGATGTATTTGATCTGGGTCTATGGTGCCAGGTTGAGAGCGAGGTCGAAGTTCGCCGTGTAGAAGCCGTCGTATTGCGAAGAGAACACGCTCAGGTTGCAGGACACGTTGGTGGGACCGTGCGCATGGATCGAATTTCGCTATCCATTAGACCTGAGATAACACACTCGCGAAGACTCTAACAGGAAGAATCAGTTAACTTTTATTACAACACCGAATCCCTGATATGTACGTATCGTCACTTCGACCAAAATACAATGAGATCATCAATGTCGTCATCGTCAAGCTCACTCGGCTTCTCCTTGAATTTTGGCCCATAGCCTTCACGCTTACTCCGAAGCCTGGAGTAAACCTGATAACAGTTCGCCAGCTCATTTTCTGCCTCTTCTTTCTTTCCCACTCCATTCAACGCTTTATGCCGCATCCAGCACGCTCGGGTTTTCTCGGGCATATATGTGTGAGAATTGGAGAATGCCTCAAGAGCATGGTTGAGGAGAGCAAGTGCCATGTCATAATTCCCAAGATTTATGTGATGCTCTGCGACTTTGACAAAGACGTCGGCCGTACGGTGATGGCGGTTACCAAGAGTTGACTTGTAGTGCATGAGTGCGCGGCGGTGGTAGTCCAGACTGGATTCCACGTTCCCCAAGGCGTGGAGAAAGCGGCCGGTGATGAAAGATACCCGGTCTTCTTTGCCAAATTCGGTTTCGCGGTCTCGCAGACCCTTCTTGAGTGTTCTTGACGCTAGCTCATTGTTTCCTTGAAGCCAGTATGCCAGACCCAGGTTAGCAAGCTACAATAGTGATTAGCGTTCATGACTATACAACAGCGAATTTGACTCACAGGTAGCGAAATCATGGTTTCAGTAAACTTGCGATACTTGCGCATTTCCGCGATGGACTCTAGGAAGCAGTTTTCCCCTCTCTTCCAGTCACGGTTGAGCATATACGCATTTCCTAATTCGTTCCAAGAGATGGCGAGACGCATGTCCTCAGTATTGCTCTTCAAGCTTTCTTTCACCATTTCTTCGTTGAACATCGTATGATACTGCAACGCATCAGTTGGCTCGTTGATCTCAAGAGCTATGCATCCTCTGTTGTGTGCAATCTCGGTAAGCGAATAGTTCAGCATCGAGAGAGTCACAGTGTTGCCATGCGCGAGTTCGGGACGCTCCAGCAAGCGGAGCTTGAGGGACTCGCATATTGACTGGGCCATGTTGTTGGAGTAGATCGCATCTGGAGACTGGCCACGTTCGTGTTGGTACCAACCACTATCTATGAGGAGCTTTGCAAACTCGTAATCGTCAAATGAGTCCGGAGATGGCGTGATCAAAGGAAAGAGAGTCTTCAGGCGTTGTATGTGGGGGAATAACTCTTCGCAGTTCTCCCAGCGAGCGATGCCATGTCTCCAGGTGAGCTCTTGGAAAGTCCACCTGTCGTTGATTAATTCCACACATGCAAGGAAGTATCTCCTCATCTCAGGCTGACGCAATCTAGCTCGTGCTACATCTTGCACTAGTCTGTGTACTGATAACTTTCTTTTCTCTTTGTTACTGATGAGGAGAGATCGCGCCAGCAGTTCGGTGCGGGCGGCAACGTAATTATTTTTGATAGAACGCACCACCTCAGAGTCATCATCCTTTACTGGGGAAGTGAAGATGGATTCTGGGATTGCGTCAGGGTCCAGCATAGAAACAATGTTGATGAGTGCTGCGCCTTTCCCGAGGCGGTCGAAGGCCCATACAGATGCCACGTTTGACTGATAGTTGCTGGTCGAGCGCGATTTGTCTGGAGTTTGCCAGTCAAAGAAAGCCTGTGACCCTTCATGATCCTCGAAAGAGTAGAGGAAGTCCGCAAATGAGATGTTCTTGGAAGCGACGATAGAGCCCATTTGGCTGAGAGCGAGAGGCAGACCGCCCAAACGATTGGCGATGGTAGTTGCAGCTGCCATCTCAGGCCCAGGAGTGGATTGTTTGCCGGTTACGTGGAACAAATACTGTGTGGCTTCGGATATGCTGAAAGGTTTTAACTCTAGAGAGGCCGACCATGAGTACGGGTTGCGACTGGTGATGAGTACAGAACCTGGTCCGTTATATGGCCAAAAGCCATTCAACACCTCGCCGTCCTCCACACCATCAAACACTAGAAGCCAAGAAGCCTTTCCTTGAGTCTTTCCGCTTTCGCGTGATCTATCTTTCTCCGGATTGACCAGCCACCCTTTCAATACATCCCTTGTGTAGTTCAAGTCCATCGCATCTCGAGATTCAGCTGCTACCAAACCTAAGCCAATGGCCAAGTCTTTGTAGTCCCGGGCTATCTTTCCTGCATCTTCTGCATGAACCCATAGGATTGCATCGAACTTGGTTTTGTGCTTGGCCACAAATTCTGCTGCAATTTGAGTTTTCCCCATACCACCAGGACCGTAGATTGCATAACATCTTGGCCAGCTCACAGGCTTGTTGTCCACAGCTTCGTCTTCAGCAACGCCACATATGGCTTTTTGCATCGCATTGAGCGCATAGTCCCGGCCGTAGAAGTTCCTATCGGGGGATACAGGCACCTGGTAGGTAGGGAGCGTTGGTCCAGAGAATGCGTTCGAGGTGAAGTCTTCAAGGAAAAGCCGCTGTAAAAGAGGCTGCAGGGTCTCATCGCGATCATGCCCGAAGTATGGTTGTCGTTCAATGAAGCTCCAATCTTCTTCGTACGAAGAGTCAAGAAGTGGTGTTGTCTCTCCGCTCCTGGTCGGCATCTCAGGTGTGATGGTACTGTCAATGTCCTCAGGAAACGCCAGACTTGACGCTCCATTAGATTCCAGGATTCTGGAGCCGTTCTCGCTCTGTGCAGTGACGTTTTCGGCTCTTCCCGTTTGTGATGGGCCATCTGAATGTTCTTCGGCCTCGTCTTGCCATGGCAAAGCTTTGACGGCGAGGGACTCTAGATGAGCTGCAAGGTGTTTGATGATACGATCCGATAACGTTCGGTCTCTCTGCGCTTGACTCAAACCAGCCGAATGACTAATTCCGTTTTCGCTTGGTACGTACGAACACAGAGGGCACTGCGGGAAGAGGATAGGCGTTGAAACTTTGCTCTTTTTCGCTAGCAGAGGTAATTGTGACTCAGTGAATGATTTGGAGTGTTGACTCCGCATGTGTTTGAAGTATGCATCTTCACTTTCAAACCGCAATGCCGAATGGGTCTTGGATGTGCACCTCCAGCGGGTATTATGCTCTTGCAGATGGGCTATCCAAGTAGCTTTGTTTTCGAAGAGCTTTTTGCCATCTGGACATCCTTCGAAGAGACAGGTGTAGGGCTCAAGGTCTTCCAGGACATGTCGTCTGTAGTTGAGTCAGCTATCAAGACTTTGCCAGTCGCGATCAATGCAAAGCACATGATATACGATTCGCCAAGGTTGACTAATTGAGCCTGCTTTCACATACCTCCAGTGAGAAGCCTTCGATTCCTTGATTGGTAATATGAGGCAACAGTATGGACACTCAAACTCCTTGCTGCCAGCAGCTGGCTTAGGTGGGCGTGGCAGCTCTATTGGTGCACTCGATGAAGGTGTGGCAGTAAAAGCGGTAGACTGATTTGATTTTGCGTCCTCCAGTGCCCGATCAAGTGGCAGATTATGCTTTCGGAGTGCGGATGCAGAAGTTTGTGATAGATCGGAGGTTTTTGACCGGTGAAGCTCTAGGATCAGAGTAGGCGATAGTGACGGCTCATCTGCTAATCTAGAGGCGCGTACCGTTGTGTCCGTCTCTCGATTTTTGGCGTCATATACCAAGTCCTCCCGCGTGCCTTCCTTCGTTGGATGCACCACAGACAATTTCCTCTGGTGGTGTCGACGGTATAGAAATCGTTGGCGACGAGTGACAATGCCATGCGATAACTTGTTGCGCAGGAATTCAGGCGCATGCGGGAAGTAGTGATTCACTATCTGGAGAGTAAAAGCTGCGAACGTATCGTTGAGTACGTTGTTTTCCTCATCTCTCATGATGAACTGTTCGGCCTTTTCGTTCTGAGATGATCTCGACGGCTGGCGAATCAGAAGGGAAAGCCGGTATAGCCGATCGATCGCTTTCTCTATGCCTGGTAACCTCTTCTCTGGTAATGAATTCTCTGCTGAAGTCGCAATGATCAGCTCATCTTGAACTGAATCCGTCTCCGTTCCTTGGAATGATGATGATATTGCAGAAGAAGTCGAATCATCGAAGCTTGTATCTCCAATTGATCCATCGTCACCAGTAAGGCTATCGATACGATAGAGCGTATCAGATGATCCTTCTGGTCTCAAGCTCGCGATAGCTAAACGGATACAGTTAGCCATGTGTTATGACTCAACTTTCTAACCGCGTTGCATGTCGCTCAGGTTTTCTTTCGTTTCTGCCTACGCTATCTGATCTCGCGAGAAGGTAAGGGTATTGATACTTGCCTCGTTTTGTGAAGTCTGCCAGAGTGATAAGGAATTCCAGCATAAACCTCTGCGTTTGCTCGTTGTCACGAAGTCGGTAATCGAGCGATGCGTGACCTTGAGCAAAAGCTCCGATGTTTGCCGCCCATATCTTGAACCTGGCGTATTGCTCTTCAATCCAATTGACATTGTAAGTATCATCGGACTTGTCGCATGCGAGACCTAACTCTTCACTGATCTCAATGAGCAACTCAAACTGGCCTTTGCATCCTTGAGCAGCTGCGCGAAGCTCATAAGACATGCTAAAGGGTAGGCTGGTCCCATCAAATGACTGAACGCGGCAGGAGAAAAATTAAGAACAAAGGCTACAGCAGAGCCTCGTCCGGTGAAAAACCTAGATTGATGGCCTGAGATAAAGGTTAATAATATTACTGACGCTATTAATCGGTCAGTAATGGTGTAGGGTATGGAACAAGTATTGGTAGTCAAGAAACATACATCGGCGGGGTAGAACGCCCGTCAGCCCAATGACGCCCTCTTTCGTTCCAGCTCACCGGATCTGTCGTAGGCTGTGATGCGTCTGCCTTGACCTTCCTTAGATAATAGCCTGCCCACCACCTGGAAAAGACATGCGCCTATCTTGCCAACAAGATGTCTGGTGCTGAGCTTGCCCTGGCTATTGTGCCGCTTGTTATAGTGTTGATTGAACATCACCAGACCGTCTTTCGCAGAGGCAAGGCACTGACCTTCTCCAAAATCAGTAATAACCAACAACTGGACTTCTACCAAGAACTGCATGCTGAGATACTTCTACTTAATTTGACTCTAGAAAAAGTACAGACCACCTGTACGAAAGTGTTGTCCAGCGAAGCATTACCGGACAAGTCTCAAGCTGAAGCAATCGAAATTGCGCTTGGCAAAAATGCAGACCACTTCAATCAAATTCTGGACCGGGTGTTGAAGAGCATAAACGACGTAGTGCGAGAGAAATCAAGCGTGCTGACGGACGATGATACAGTAAATACTCCATCACAGGGACCTCGAAAATGGCACTACCTAGGCTGACTTTTCCAGGACAGCCAATATGCTATGCTGCACCGGCTTCGTCACTTCGCGGAAACGATTGAAAAGAAAGAAGCGAAGAAATCGGCTCGCGAAAAGTTTCGGTTCGCGCGCAATGAGCAGACTCGGAATGTGGCGATAAAACGCATACGCGACGGAGTACGGAATTTGGAGCGTGTATTGGGCTCTTCGACCGAAATATTCGAGCACCAGTGTCGCGTGTCTCGGAAAAGAACACCAGCCGATAGAATGAAGAAACTCCCCGAAGAACTGTTTAGGAAGTTAGCGAGCAAATGGTCCTGCTCTTGCCGCACACGACATTTAGCAAAACTGTGCTTGTGGAATTGCTGTTGTACGTACGATAAGCGCGGTGATTCGAACGACAGTCTCGATATCATCGTATCTGTGCCCATCGAAGATCAAAGGTCGTCTCAATGGCAAAAAAGCAGTATTCGCGTTACTCAGAGGTTAGTCGCAGAATCATTCCCAGTGTGTTGCTGAGCTTTGCTGAAACTCCGTGATTAGCCAAGAAGATCGAGCGAAAAAGAGGAACCATAACGACCCTCAGGTTCGGTTTGCAGGCAGCCAAGCACCGTCCACTTCCTCTTCAACAAGCACTCCCTCATCGGTACCGCCAGGTCGCAATATTGAATCCGAGTCGCTATGTGATTTGCTACAGAGAGCAAGGACTTCGAATACAAGCCTTCAAATCTTGTTTGAGAACGACATGCTATGGCAACAGAGAGCCAAGCGATCAGACTCACAAATCCGCCACCAGTTGGATGCATCTTTGGTGAGTCTGTTGGGAGATGCAAAATGCTGGAAAGAACGCAGCAAGTCTCGCGAGAGATCGATTTTGGCTGTAGTTCTGGCGCACGCGGTCATGCATTGCTGTGAAGGTCCGTGGCTTCGCGCAGACTTCAACAAGAAACAGATCTTCTTCTTCCGAAAGCACGGTGCTCAACATCCAGACATTTGCCAGCCGCTCCTTGCCCTAGACTTTACACATCATCAGACCACTATTGACGACGACGATCTATTCTCGGTTCACTCAAACCCCACTCTTCTGTCTCTGGGCATCCTGCTCCTCGAGATAAACGACGGAATTAAGATAGAGGACCACTGGGCTCCAGAAGACCTCATGGGTGGCTCGGTACCGAACGAGAGCACGAATTTGACGACAGCGCTCCGACTACTGGAGAAGCTCGACGGTGAGCTGTTTATCGGATCACAAAGCGCAGTACGGGCATGTCTCGAGTGGGATGAATTGAATGACGGAAGGGAGGATGAGGACTTCGTGAAGCGAGTATATGAGCTCATCGTTGAACCACTAGAGGAGGTGTTGCAGCAAGCCTGGGGTGTCACACCAGAGCAGCTAGGATTCGATAGGATACACAAGAGTCAGGAGGCTGGTTCGGGGGGCACATAATGTAACGGGAACGCGTGCAGTAAGTTTGCGATGTGGCCCACTTTTGATGCGCAGGTGACGTGATGCACGCGTTTTAATTGGATTGAAGCCGGCGCCCCCTGAACCACCTCAACAGCCCGTGCTGCTCAGCCTTCTAAAACGCACAGGGCAACTAAACTGTGAGGTTGGATTTTGCAGTCCAACAGACACTCAGCTTTGCTCTTATCGACTTTCACAGCCATTGTAGTTACACAGGGAATTGTTACGTATGCCATGTCCTGCATTGTAGGGCAAGAATACACTTTGCGCCTCTTGGAAATATTTTGTCACAACCCACTGACCCACCGTAGTCCTCCGCTAGCAGGTCCCACCGCCGGAGACTCCCACGATGACGGCTTCGACTACTAGCCCTACCGCCGATTCTCAAGCGGCCGTTCTGTCTCCGGACGCGATCGTTCCCACGGGATCCAAAAGACAACCGTGGCGCGAGGTCTGGCCTGCGCCTCGAGAGCCTCAACAACAAGCCCAAATTTATGGGTTTGCGAAAGGCGAGGTAATGGTGTTCGATGGCAATGCGGGCAATTTCTTCGCTAGAGATGGCTGGACCGTCGAACAAGAGAGCGATACACGAAGCAAGGTCACTGCAAGGGGCGCATAACAGAGCGTAGGGCTGTCGCCTACCCGCTGCGGCACAGTTCCATAATACATTATGTACGCTCTGGCGAGGGGGCTTGAAACGCAGCGCTGCAATGCATATAGACTATTCAACTGGCTCGTCGAAGCCTCCGTAATACACAAGTGCCCTTACCTCGATACTCTCCCGCGGCTCTCCCTTCTCATCCTCAAGCTCGAAAGCAGTATGCGGCACTAGAGCATTGCGCAATTAGCATTTGCACATGCTGCACACTGGCTTCCCATACTGCATCCCCATCAAAGTCACGTACCAGGTTTCGTTCCCGCGTTCGCATCAGTGTCACTTTGCAAAAATATCCACGCCTCATCCGCGCATTGACGACTGCACCACCACCACTCCAGTCCTTCGCTCCAATACAGCTGTCGATTCTCAACCACATAATCCGGGTAAACGAGGTCGCACGGTTCCAGATCAGTCTTCGTGTCAATGCAATGCGGATTGCAAAGAGCAAGTGGCCAGTCTTTCACAGGGCCACGCAATGGTTTCCAGAAACTATGACGCTCGGATCAGCAAATGATAAACGAGGATGTCTCAAGAGCAGGAGACTTTACTTAACACACTGTATTCTCTCATTTCCGATGTCCATGTTACTGGGGTTGAGCTGCTTGGCCATATCCACCGCCCAGCTCATCGTAGTATCTACATGCGCAATACTCGTCGGCTGATTCCAGCGATAGCTTTCTCCAGTACTTATTGGAAATTCCGCATGTCTCTTACGAACAGTATGTTCGAAAATTTGTACTTTCTGTGCGCCAAGAAAGCCTTTGATGAGGTTTGCAACCTCGCGCAAGTAGATGCGCTTCACCGCGTCATCGTCGTCGAATTGTGCGTATGGCAGTTCGGATTGGAACGGCAAGAGCTGCAAGCCATGTTTGAAGAAGCTTAGCGGTTCAGAACGTGCGCGGACATCTTTGATGATGATATCGTGGTTCGTGAGCTTTATGTTCGAGGGCGGAAAGGCTGACGGTGGGGTGAAGCGGAGAGAGTATGGCTTTTCGACCTCGTATAAAGCATCGCGTTGGAGGAAGTTGGTTGTGGAGATTGTATCCATCGCCTGAGAGATTTCAATTGCTGTAATTGTGACGGGAAACTACTCACGCTCAAAAGGTTCGACCGCGTATGCTTTTCGAGGAGCCAGCCTCGTGGCAGTGCCCCTCACCAATCACACAGCTGAGCATCCGAGTCATAGCCAGCTCCTGTGTACAGCGACTGTGTTTGGCTTTCAGCGATCCAGGTAAAAGCAGCTGGATGACCGCTGATACGACTGTTTCTTAGGTCCTCCCTCATTACAAAAAGGCTTGTTTACAAGATTGCTTTTCAAGGAACGCGTTCTGGAGGCATTTAATGCTATTCTACCAAACGACTCCAAAGTACAAGCTATCACATATGTTACAGGTAGCTGTTCATCAGCTCTCCAGGTCATACAGCAGACACCCTCCAGTCCTAAAATTATACACGAAAGCCTTTCCTACAGCCCCCTCTCTATCTGTTCCACCTTCGCCCTTGTTCTCTACCCACCTCGCCCTATAACCCAGTAGTAAGTCATGCAGCTCCTGCAGATATTTCCTCTCAGCGAGCGGCATCTTCTGGATGAAATAGCGCCAAGAATCTGGGTCGCTGAGACGCGTCTCCTTGAGCAGGTTCATGACCTCTTCTTTCGACTCGATAGCCGCAATGGGTGCGGATTGGAATGCAGAAAGCAGATCTGTGGATCGTGATTGTGCGGCTTCGACGATAGACCATTTGTTGCTCTTCTTCGATCGGTGCTGGGCGATAAGGACGTCGACATTCGCTTTTGACGCATTGGAAGCGTCGCTCGAAGTTGGTGGTGGAGCTTTGATTAGGCGGGCTGCGCTTCCTTCGCGTTCTTCGCGGTCTCGGAGTTCGTTACGGAGGTAGTTTATGAGATCCGTGCTGCGCAGATCTGTGTCTTCTTTCTTTGCGATAGATTTGACCTTCAGTTCAGGCTTGTCAGGGGCTATGCCGTGTTTGATCACAATCACCCAGCTATGTCTGTCGTCGCGATAGTGACGTAGGATGTCTTCGATGGAGTGCGCATCGACGGCGAGTTCAGCAGTATAGCCATGGGCGATGAGATCGGCTACCATCTTGATGCCAGTGGAGCGGAGAACGTTCGGATCGAAGCTAGCGACCAGACAGTCGCAGCGTCGTGGCATCCAAGAGATTGATGGCGTGTCTTCTTCAGCGTGCTTTCGCAAGAACGTCGATTTCTCAGGTTTCTTGATGTATCGGCTCATGGAGTTGACGAGTCTGTCCCACCCCAAGTTCACACCAACAGCGTGGTATGCAGCCGCTGGATGTGCGTGGTTCGAGCCTCTCGGACGGTATTCTTCGATCAGCTTATCGTACCGTCCACCTGCAGCAAGCACCTCCCTCTGCTTCGTGTCGAACAGACATTGGAAGAGGATGCCACCAGAATAGAACTTCTCATTGAAGCTACTCAATACACTGATGTAGACCTTGCGCTTCACGCCCCATAACTTCATGTAATTGATAACAGAGGTTAGGTGTGCAAAGACAACGTGAGTCCGATCAAGGTACTTGGTGCCTTCAAATAGTCGCCGCAGCTTCGCAAAGGCCTTCTCTGGGGTATCGCGCCAATCGAAGCGTGCCAGATCATCTAACGATGTCGATGGAATACCAATGTCGGAAGACCGTAATTCGTTGCGAATCAACTGCCAGTTGTTCTTTCCGATATTTAGCTTACTTAGGACTGCTTTGACTGCCGCGCGTTTTGGAAAACTGATTCTGCAGAATTCCATGATCATGTCTAACAGGTCGGCGTGATTCAAGTGGAAACACATCTGCGTTGATCGAAATGAAGGGAACTCATCGATGATCTCATCAACGACCTTGAGAACCTCTGCCTCTTTCAAAGTAAGGTCAAGCGTATCGTATGACAACACATCGAAGTCTGCCTCGCCGTTACTACGTGGAGCACTTCCGGTGTAGTCGTCACGGTAGACATGACCGATTGTGAAAGTCTTCTCTAGGAACGCTCCACCTCGACCGATGCTACGTGCGTACGGCAATGTTAGATCGTAAGGTAGTTGAACCAGGGTTCCAGAGGGGTCGAAAAGTTTGACGACCTTCGTGTCCGCATAATGGTCGGACCAGGGTAGTAGAACTTGACGTTGTATCTCGACAGCGCCGTGGCTCCGAAAGACCATGGCCAATCTGTCCCTCACTAGATTCTGTAGAAGCACATCATTAGCCTTGATCTTCTGGGTAGTCGCGCTCAGATCCCATGCATGGTCTTTTGCTTGCGTATCGGGTTTTTGTGAGAAAAGAGCAGCCATCATCTTTGCGTAGTGTGGCGAGTTTCGATCTGAGAGGGCCTTGAGCGCTTCTTTGACGGCCTCGTCTTCCATCTGAGCAGGCACCTTGCCGCTCCTCAAGAGCTCCGTACACCCGGGCCTCTCTGAAGGGCGATGGCTGATGAGAGACTTGATAATGGTACCCTGCAACGACTTTTCCGGCGTCTCGAATTCTTGTGGAAGATCATGTTTCCTCTCCCGCAACGATCGAATAACTTTGTCGCGCTCCATGGCAGTCCTCAAGGGAAAGCACATCTCGAAGAAGATGATGCCCATGGAGTACATGTCCACCTTGTTGTTATAGTCGCCAATAACGCTAGAACTGAGCTCAGGAGCAACGTAAAGCGCAGTACCGACACTCCGCGTCATGTCGCCGCCATCCTGTGTACCATTAGAGGACTTTGTATCAGGTCTCTGATATTGGCCACTGGTAGCTAGTCCAAAATCACCAATCTTAGGCACCTTAGCCATATCGATGAAGACGTTGTCAGGCTTGAGGTCACGATGTATGATACCGTGGCCATGGATGTGAGCGAGCCCTTCGAGAATTTGCCGGAACAATCTCCAGTATTCGTCTGGATCATCATAAAGTCCGGTACGTATCAAATCCCGGAGTGTCTGCTTCTCGCAAAACTCCATTTGAATGTACAAGATTGACCTCGAGGACTTTGCAGGTGTTGAGTCGGACATGGCGCGTTTCTTGACTGCCGGTGAGAGTGGTCCTAGACTAGCCTCATCTTCTGTTTCCAGTCAGCTTGCTGTATACATAAGGCTCCGTGCCATTCGGTACTTACCTGAGTCGGACCCAAAGATTACTGCACCAACGTCATCTTCCGACTCTGCGTCAGACCCAAATTCGATCTTCGGATATCCACTGGAGCTAATGAAGTCTAGTCCACCGGTGCTCTTTCCATAACCGCCGCCATCGGTCGTGGTGGTCCCTGGAGAAACATCCGACTCCCAGTCAGACTCATCGCCATCTGATGTTGCCGAGTCATAGTAATCATCTGCTTCAGCCTCTGGCCAGGCAGTATAGTAGCGTACCACACAGCTGTGGTTGAGCCGCGAAAGCAGCATGACTTCCGAAAGAACTTCGCTTAATGCTGCTGCCGACTTCTGCTTGATCTTCTTGATAGCATAAAGACGACCGTCGACTTTGTTGCGGGCTTTCACGACTTCGCCGTACCCGCCCTTGCCCAAGCGACCTTGTTCGACCCAATCATTTGCGTATCGTGAGTACGACGGAACGAGACCAGAGGAAGACTCTCGTCGTAGCCTGTACCGGCCTAATGAGGTTGAAGAGTTTCTTGAACGTACAGGTGTGGAAGGTCGCTCGTATACATCTACGTCGTCGCGTAAGAATTCGCACGGGATGAGGTCGAAAGCTGAAGGTCGTTTCTTGGGGTCGGGCTTGAAGAATTTGCGCAGAACTTCTTGTAACGGTTCAGAGCAGCCAAGAATATCGGACAGTTCTTTGGGTGAATTGTAACTTCCAGGCACATCGAGTCCGAAGAGCATCTGGAGGAACGTGACCCCTAGATCCCATACGTCCGTCTTGCGGGTGTGACGCGCATCCTGAGACAGCTCGGGCGCTATCCAGTAGAACGATCTTAGGGTTTTCGTTGGCTGTTCATCCCAACATAAGCTTCGCAGGTGGTACAGAGAGCCTTGGAAGCTGGCATCGGCTAGCAATACTGTGATACCACCACCGGGCGATCTCTTGAATAAGATATTGTGAGGATGAACGCGCTTATGGACTATACCGTTACGGTGGTAGAAGTCCAGTGCTTCTAATAGCTCGATGGTCCAAGACCGCACTCTCGCAACCGGTAGGGGTCCATCATCCGCAAGTCGCTCGCCTAGAGAACCTTTGTCGGCGTGATCCATAAGGATACTAATCTCCCATCCGGAATCGGGTAAATGCTCCACTTTGAAGTCCAACACCGCCATGATGGCTCCTTGTCGCAATCGCTTGATCTCCTCCATCTCGTCTTCAAACTCCATAACTGCCTTTTTCAGCTGTGGGCCAGCAGCAGCGTTCCCGCCACCCACCCGAGCACGTTTTAGCACCAGTGTAAGCGTTGCTGTACTTCCGGCCGGTTTAACTAGAAGTTGTTCGGTCAAAGGGCCAGAACGTAAAGGAAGTGGATTCTCAACGCCATTGCACTGGATAACGGTATCTTCGTGCTGGATAACGATGGTCCTATCGAAGGAGATGTAGTTGTTACTCTCCGCGCTGGGAAAGTACGAAGGCGGAGTGTTCGCGGATACACGGTGCTTCTTGCGCTTTGCCATCAGGTCTTTTCGGCGCATTTCGTCACCCACCATCTGCTGCAAAAGACGCTCCTCCTCAGCCTTCTCTTCGTCACGCTTCTTCTGCAACTCTTCTTCCTGCTGCTTTAGATGTTCGACAGCAGCGGCTTCTTGTACTGCTCGCTCAGCATCCAGATTCTCGTAGGTACCGTCCGTCTCGCGGACAGCGATCTCGTCCTCTAGTATCTCTTGAATGGCCGTCGCAATATCGTAGATCATCACCTCACCTAGCAACTCGCGAGGTCGAGTCTTCAGCAGGCCATAGAGCCTATCCCACGTGCTTTTCCTGAGGCTGCCACAATCCTCCAGGGAAAGTTCGGGCAGGGTCTTGGGGTAAGTAGCCGTAAGCTTCGCACAAAGCGTGATGGAGATCTTTTCATTAGAAAAAGACGTCAGCTTGACGCGTAATACGCGATCTGTGGTTCTCTGCCCTCTGGTCAGCGGAGGCCCAGCGACAAAGACCCGGTTCTGCACAATTTGAATGCGAAACTTGTACACACCCTAAAGTGTACATTGTCGCAGGTCTCAAGGTCGTGTGGTCGTAGAACCTGAACTGCGAGTCCAACAGCGAGGTTTCTGTACTTACGCTCCATGCTCCTTTGGCTTCTGATTCTTCATAGTCGTCCATAAACACAGCCTTCAAGACTTCGCGTTCATCTTCTTGTGCTTTCTCGTAGGTTTCGGAGGTTTGCGAGACCAGCGAAGGTCGCGGTTCCCCGAGCGGACTTGTTGGCCCCATGCCATCGTCTCCTGGCGTGGATGCATTGTGCGCTGGTTTCTTGTTCTTTGGTGTTCTTAGCGGTGCCATAGTGGGCTACTGGTGGTTGATTGAATAGGCCGTCATATAGTATGGGTATTGACGGAGAGACTAGCAGCCGAAGCTGCTGCCCTTCACACTGCAGACATCTCGATCTTAAAAATCTGTAGTGAATGAAAAGTGATGAGAATGGCGATACGTAGAGACTTCGTGGCCAGCGCACGTCGAGTAGCGGTCGGTGGGGGCGATATGTTGGCGACGCCCCGCTACCCTTCCTTTCCGCGCCATCCCTGCAGGCGCCAGCAGAGCCGCCGGACGCGACTTCCTCATGTCTGAAGATCGACCAGCAGGCACAACAAACAGCACCGTAACTTCCTTTACCCTGACGATGCCCTAGCAGCTTGTCGCATGCTATTCTGGAGGTGTTTGCGACTCATCTGCGACTGTACGAAGTGCTCGAAAGCGTCCAATCCACCTTCAGCCCTCGTTTTCTGCGAGTAAACAATCCGCCAAACAAACACACGGAAATATCCACACGGCGCATAGCGATCTCCATTCTCCCACAACCCTCTCGGTTCCCTCCTCCCGCTCCACGACGAGGACACATGCTTCGCCATGTTTTCGTGGATTACTGGCCCGCGCATCACGAACGTGATAGAAGATCTCCAGCCCGGTTTGTCGCACTGAGGTACGCGTCCAAAGACGTACTAATAGTCTTAGAAAACAACTACGAGTCCACCTTCATCGAGCCTCCCGAGACGCCCGCTCATCAGTTCGCCGTCAAAGCTTTCAAGCACGCCATATTTGGAACGCCTGCACCCGAAGAAGCGAAAGATGCCTCGAAGAAGAGCGAGAGGAAGGCGAGGATAGATGCAGCAAATGCAAAAGCATTTAATCTCCCCGCGGCGAAAGAGAGTGGGCCGCCCATCTCTCCATCGAAACAGCCAGGCGGCATCCTCATGACGCCAGGTACCGCAAGCAAGGGAAGGAAGCAGGTGTCGTTCGGGTCGCACGTGGTAGACAATGAAGGCAAGCGCGGCAATATTGGCAAGACCGGCATACCCAGTGACTGCCCCGGAAAGTTCCCGAGTCCTTGGACACCTGGCACACAACTGAAGCTTGACCCGGAAAGTGACAAACGACCGCGCACCCGCCTCACCGAAGCCCTCCTCGACGCGCGGACAACCACACAGCCGAAGTCGGGACAGAAACCGAAGGCGAGAGACGACAGCGACACCACAATAGACTTGGGTGCCCCGCGTTCCGAGTCTGGTAAATACTGGAAGGAGCAATATGAGAGCTACGCGGAAAAGAGCGAGAAGGAGATGAAGAAGGTCATTGCCAAGCAGCAGCTGGCGAAGAAGTTCGCTATGAAGAAGGACGGCGAAGCCACAGAACTATCCACCAAGCTCGAGCAGGAACGCAAGCGATACAGGCAACGGGAGCGAGACCTGGAACAACAGAACAAAGATCTCCAGGAAAGGCTACGTCAAGCGATGGCTGAGAGCATGTCTTCGAATATCGAGATCGCAGCGCTGAAAGCCCGAATCACAGTCCTGGAAGCGTCAGGCTCGATACCTTCCTCTGAACTTCAACAGAACAAAGCTCCATTCGAGATATACGAAGATGCGAATAAGGATAACCCACGATCGCCAACGCGTGGCTTAGATATGGACCCTGAAGTGTCATTCGCTCCTAATAACAGCATGGCTTCGTCTACCAAGGAGAACTCGTCGCCCAAGCCCCGCCTTCACCGCCGTGGTACGATTCCTGACACTTTGAACCGACCAGTGCTCCCGTCTAGACTTGGAACAGCAGAAGGTGAAGCATCTATCATCCTAGGCCGATCGCCTCATGCACCGGCACGCCCCTTTGAGATCACTCTGGAGAAGGCGCTTGCACAGCCTCAGCACGAGCAACCGCAGCGATCGCCACTGAAGATCCGCAGGCCAGTCGCAGCTGACGAGAATTATGCGCCAAAGTCACCCGCCGCGATCCCACCGTCTAGTCCGTTACCTGTACCATCTCCGGGTCTTGATCCCTGGATGGAGATTAACAACAGTTCGATAGCGCAAATGGACAAAATGGCTCTACCGGTCTCTACCGGTCAGCCATACTCACGGCCTGAGTGGAACCCACCACCAAAGCAACATCGAGTATCGAAATCCATATCGCACGTAAAGTCGACAGAGACAACCAAGTCAAACGAGAAGGTTACAATTCCCGAGCATAAGGTTGAACCTACACGACGCAGGGAACGTGCTACCGAGAAGGCGACACACGTCTCAGAGCTCGAGGCAACCTCTGTCCCATCGAAGAAAGACGAAAGGCAAAAGGTAGACGAATCCAAAGCCAACGCATCATCCCATCATGCTCCTACCGACAACAAGTTTGACCTCTCGAAAATCACAGCACACCATGCAGAAGGTTCTGCGCAAGTGAAGCATGACCGGAGCCAGATGTTACCTGTTGACCGCAAAGAGCAAGCAAGAAGAAGACTTGAAGAAAGAAAGAGGTTGAGGAAGAACGGTACTACTATTGTTGGTTCTTAATCGTTCACTGGCGTTTTGGATAGGGGTGTGTTGTGTTTTCGTCTGGGTGATCAACACGTTCAAGGCATATGTTATCGGAGTATGGTGTTGTCCTGAGCATTGGATTCTGGTTTATCGCACGATACCTTCACATGCTTCATCCTTTAGAGCATTCAGTTGAATATTCAAACATTGTATTATTCCTTCTCATGCAGAGCGCTCTACTGTGTCTCATAGGGTATCGTCCCAAACGCCTTAGAAATGCTTCATCGCCCTACGCAAAGCCCTCACTTGTTCGCCGCAGCAATATCCTCCAACGCCTTATACACCGGTATAGTAGTCTTCTCCAACTGCGCCCGCTGATACGACGTCATCTTCCCCAACACATACTTGCTCACCACATTCGGGTCCCTACTCTCCGGTCTACCTATTCCAACGCCTACTCTCCACCACTTTACGCCTCCAAGACTTCCCTGACAGCTCTTAATACCATTATGCCCCTTCGCGCTCGCAGCACCATCTCGAATTGTAACCTTCCCCAATGCAGACTCAAGCTCATCATGCACAACCACCAACCTCCCTTCCAACGTCGCACTTCCTGCAGCCTGCCGTATGCCGCGCAACCACTCACTGTATGCCTTTTTCACTGACCCCCCGCTTATGTTCATTAACGATGTGGATTGCCAGAATGTCCAGTCGTCCATTGCGTCTTTGTCTGTCGCTACTCGCCGGTATCCCGTTAGGCCGAATGCCATGTGTGTGGCTGGAGGTTTTGAAATTAGGCCTGACATGCCTTTCTGGAAAGGGCCATAGCGTTTCGCTTCTGCGAGGGCGGAGGTGACGATGTGGCCGGCGGAGTGGAGCGTGTTGGCGTAGGTAGCGCCCGGGTTGCCGATGGAGGCTATGAGGAGGGGGTATGCGGTTTGCGCGGCGGGCTTCGCCATTGAGGGTGATTGCGGTATGTACAGGGACGAATCGTCGGTTTTGGCAGCAGACTTTCGGTTCTGCCTTGGTGGTTTGTTCGGCGGGTTGCGGGGTTGGTTTGTTGGTGTCTCGGTGTCGGAGTGTGTGGGTGTCGGGAGGGCGGAGTCGTGTCTTTGCTTCTCTTGCTTGCGCTCCTCTTTGCGAAGCTGCTTGCGCTTCCTTCGTCTTGCGGCTGCGGTCGTGGGCTCGTCGCTGCTGTACTCGCTGTCTTCTGGTGCTGAGGCTTGGACATTTTCTTGGGGATCGGCGGTAGGGATTAGCGAGGCCGCCGAAAGGCTCGCCACGTGCGCACGTGTGCTCGCGTCTGACATGATTCTAGAGGAAATGGTGTTTCGAGAGATGATAGCAAGAGCATTGTGCGGGATATTCGGTCCTTAAGCTTAGCAACACTGTATGCTGGGCCCGCTTTGTGAAGTGTGCCATGGCTCGTCATTGCAGTCGCTGTGAATTGTGCCGCTCACAGCCACACGTAAGAGTCATAGGGGATTGGTAAGGGCGCAGCATGGCAAACCGCCCTTTTCCGGATGTGACCAATATGTCATCATGGAAGATTAGAAACGATTTTGCAGACTTCATTAGCATGTGGATAGTGATTTGAGACGCGAATCGGAAGGTACAGATCGTGGGATCTCTTGGCGTACATCATTGCTCAGGAACAAGGGTCCCGGTTCCGCATCGCTCTAACCCCGATGACACTTGCCACTTGCGCGGCTCAGTAGTCCTCCACTTGGGTACCTCTTTACACATCCACTCCAGTACGACTGAGCATACCACAACTCTATCCGAGTCCTCTCGTCGTCTCAACATGTCTGCACGACCAGCAACGCCACCAAGAGCGACTCGCTCAGCGGGCAAGCTGCCGCCGAATCCGCCCACTCCAGAGCAGATCAGGCGCATGGAAGAGGCTCGGCTTAGGGCAAAGGCGGCTGCGCAACAGGCGCAAGCATCAAAACCTTCACCAGCGCCGGTCGCAGGCACGAAGCGCACATACTCGTCCATAACCGCCGCGCAAACTCCAGCGACCCTTCGCAATGCGGCTGCAGCATCTCCTCAGAAGCGCGACCAAAATGGCTTCATACAGCCACCCTCGAACGATTACATCCAGCCGGCGAAGAAGTACGCGAGGTCAGACTTCATCGACTACGACTTCAGTAAAATGACAGACACAAAGGGTGGCTTCTTGAGTACCGTAGACGACCCGCACAATAAGGCTATGCGGAAAGGGCAACAGAATGAGGAACAGAAGCCAGAGGGTGTATCAATGGCAGAGTGGGAAAGAGAGCGCATAAGACGGAAGCTCCGTGCCAACCGGGCCGGACCTTATGAGCCAGGTATCTCTATCTTGGACACAGTCAATGGCAAAGAAGAAGAGGACGAGGAAGCCGCGCTGCTCGAAGCTGCTGAGAACGCCGAAATCGAAAGCGGTACATTCAAAGGCAAATACGGCGACGGCAAGCGTGACGTCAAGGGCAAATGTCGAGAATGCACTAGCCTGGAGATCGACTGGAAATGGCAGGACATATTCGGCATCGGCATATGCAGTATCTGTAGGGAGAAACTCCCAGACAAATACTCACTCCTCACGAAAACCGAAGCGCGAGACGACTACCTCCTGACCGACCCCGAACTTAAAGACGAAGAACTCCTCCCCCATCTCGAACGACCAAACCCGCACAAACAATTCTTCCATCCCATGCAACTGTTCTTACGACTGCAGGTCGAAGCCTATGCCTTCAGCCCACAGAAATGGGGTTCAGCAGAAGCGTTAGATGAAGAGTATGCGAAGAGGCAGGTCGTGAGTAAGGAGCGCAAGCAAAAGAAGTTCAAGAACAAGCTCGAAGACCTGAAGAAAAGGACGAGAGTGGAAGCCTATAAGCGGGCGCAATTAGCAGGCGATAGCGGTGATGCGCAATTCGGACAGAAGATAAAGGGCAGGTATGATAGACACGAGCATGAATGGGGCAGGAGCGTGCTTGACCCTGAGACAGGGATGACGAAGAAGAGGTGTGAGGAGTGCGGGATGGAAGTGGAGGAGTTGGAGTTTTAGATAGTCTGATGATACCCATATATGTTCGCTTTCTTCACTAGATAACGCGTTTGATCTTCCTCTTGAACTGGGTGCTCAACCTTTCTGGGTACAGTAACCACGCTTAAGCTGGATTGTGTCTAGCGCGCATTTCGGGCTTCGCAGCCTATCACTGTCCCTCAGCGCTAGCCCCATTGCCCCTCCTTCTGCTCTTAACGCACCATGTCTCCGTCTCCACCGCATCCCTGTTCCCCATTTCGACCACCGCCGCTTATTCTCCATGTCGCTATGATTATATTATTTTATTTTGTCCCATTACTCATCGAAACAACTCACGGGCCGGTAACTCAGTGGTAGAGTGTAGGACTGCAGTTGACCAAAAACCGTCTTCCCGAAGTCACCGGTTCGACTCCGGTTCGGCCCTGAACGTTTCTTTTTGTTTTTTGGACAAGTTGACAGCGTCTTCCTTTTTGTCCGCAGCGAGGGTGTCAAGAGCTGGCGCGTCGTGATGTGTGGTTGAGGGCTGTGGCAACCTTTTTGCGCCGCCTATGAGCATGGTGGGACAAAATTGACGTACATTTGCATACTGCGTTGTAGGTTGCAGGTACAAACGAACACAAAATAGATTGTTTCGTGATCCTGTTACAACAAATAAGCAGCGCTGTTGCCAGAGCGCTTCCTTCGGAGCGAACGCCTCTCAAACAACGTTCACTTATCGCGCGGTTGTTCAGCACAGGTAGATGTCTTCCACCTGCGACTCCTCCAGTCCTTCCATCGCTTCACCGTTCATCAAACCTAGAACGTAACATTCGCCAATCAGCTGGTAATGCCCAGTTTCAGCATCTGGTCGAACAACAAATAGCATCTCCAGTCCAAAAAATAGTCCGTACAGCCCGTAAACGGAGCTGAAGAGGGTGCAGCTTCAGCGCATAAGTTGTACTTCTCCTGCAATGCTTATTTGTTAGAGAGCTCTATACTAAATAGCATAGTAAGAGAATAGAGGCAGGTGGTGCCTGTGAAGGAAGCTTTCCTCTAGCTTAGTGTTTGTCACGTGTTTCGGAGCTAGGCTTAAAAAAGGAAGAGCTAGGCCTAATAGAGGCGTAATGACATCTTGGCGGCTTTTCGTCCAATGAGAGACGAGCTTAATGGGCCAATGAGAAGCCGTTTCTTCCAACAATCAAAGCCCTAGGAGGACCAACCGTAATATGCAGCTAAAGCTGCAACAAGAGGACAATCTCGTCTCCTGGCTGCGCGTTAGGAATGGCGAGGCCCATGAAGCCAATCGTGCTCACGAAACACTTGAAATTCGAACTTCCCTTTCCGTCTTTGGCGAGACACCCGACCTGTTCTAGCTTTTGGTCGAGAGATTCGGAAACATCGAGTTCCATTCTGCCATGCATCCTATGAGGAATTGGTTCGCCTGTCATACTGTGTCCTATTGCAGACTCGATTCCAGCATTGACTTTCCCCAAATCACAGTCCGGAGAAGTTAGATCATCTTTGATATATAACCAAATGCTAGTGACTTGAGGCAATGCTTGATCATCTCGCCGGGGATGTATATGCGGGCTCGCGACATACGAATACGCGTGTTGGGTAGACAACGATGTGTTGCAGTACAAGGAATGAACCTTGCCCAGAAGGTCATAGTAGTCGCTGAACGAGCCGTTGCCACGACGGGGGATAAAGCCTTGGCCTGTCAAAACGCGTATTCCCTGAACCCGTAGGCAAGGACCTTTTTCCACCCGCCCAATTGTGCTCATGTTGTGCGAAAATAGTCGCATTTGATGCTCTTCCTTTCGAGACTGAAGAACCGTCGGCTTGTAGGCATCCCATCAGTAGACCCGATGATGTTGGTAACGCTTCCGTCCAGTCTGGGATCCAAGACGGCCAATACTCTCCTTCTGTGGTGACCCGAGCATGTGGCCTCTCCTGGTTGGTTATCGCCATTGAGCCAGCGTCTTGCAGAAATGTGATGTTTGCATGAGCTCCTTGAACTTCCATGCATGCAACGCAGGCTGAGAGGTACACATCTAGAACAGGAAGGCTGTAACCCACTACGAGACCTGGGCTGGCTATATCATGTCGGCTCATTAAACCCATTATCCCATAGACCTTATCGCGCGGGTTCGTGGCTTTGCGGGCGCGAGTAATGCGCAGGATGTTAGCACTGCGAGGAGTCAGCACGTTCGCATTATTTTTAAAGCAGATTTCTTACATGAATGGCACGGAAGAGGACTTACAGCCTTTTATGATGTGTGAGTTCCCTCCCACATGTTGTCTTACTGACCGAGCCAGACTCCTTGTAAAGGTTTCGCAAGACGTCGAGTTCTGCAAGTCTTCTGCATTCCAATAGGAAATCGCAGGTATGCGCTTGGAGACAAGCACTAATGAGTTCCTGCCATTTAAGCGTGTTGGGGCCAAAATATATCACTGCCTCTCGAGCCAAAATCAACTCTTGTAGAGTCCAGACGCGCTCAAACCAGGGCAAGCGCATTACACAGTCGAGGGCATCTGTACATGCCTTTGAGATGTGGAACTCATGTGTATGCGGTAATTTCCATGGTAGCCAATCCCGTCCATGCTCGGAGGCTGCACCGCCGAATGATCCGTTGTTGAGAGCTTCGAGAATCTTGGCCTCATGACCCTTCCAGCTGTTGAGCTTGTCGATTGCCGTCTCAAGATCTTTGGCTAGGTGAATTCTACATGGTGGGCACCAGATTATGACCCTCTCCGCCTTCGAATAGATTCGATCCATCATCGGGATTTGGAGAGACTTCTCTGCGTTGTCGCTTTGGTTGATGCATACGGCGTCAATCCAGAGTAAGCGCCAACCTGTTGCAGGCCGGAGAAAATGAAGAATATGACTAACTGTGACGCTGATATCTAAAGTTGACTTATCGGGGTTGGAAGGAGGATGAACAGTGCTATCCGTGGCAGTGCCGACGTTCTTGTTCAATTCGAGTGGCCATCCGGTTCCACGGCCCCAAGCGTAAGACACCGTTTCGTATGCAGGGAGGTCTTTGATTGAGGCTTGGAGCAAGTAGGCTACATCTTTAGGGTCTGCAGGCCATGCGAGGAGCCTGATGGTATCTTGTGGCCTGCGCAAGGCGCTGTAGTGGTAAGTTTCATGAATTGGAGGCTTCTCCTCTTTCGATAGCACATGGCATCCTTCGCACAAACCATCATCCTCTTCCCCCTCAAGGACGTATCGTTAGCCTAGAATGGGGAGACTCTTTTCGGATCGCTGTTCCGTACCCATTATATTGCTGTTCCTTTAAGACCTGTCAAGCTACGTGATTGAGGATGAAGTGAAGCGCGATCATGCCCGTACAGAAACTTTTAAGAATGTGTATTTACGGGCAGGCATTATTCGTTCGATGAGGTCGCATGTTCCCCACATGTGCTGGCAGATCCAGTCGCATGTGAAATCACGCGCGGGGTGGTTTGCGGCACAGTCGTGGCGACCAGGATGATCTCGGAATCTAGGATTCTGCCGACTTAGCACTCAAATACTCACTGCATTGCAACATCTTCGAGACCGAATTGTATGTCTGTCCGGATTCGACGCATGGCAAAGTTCACGATGCTTTTGGGCCCCGCTGGTGACAACATCGGAGAGAACATGCATGTGCCCTTGTATGCACACAGCCTTTGCTCAAATCGTCAACACTTTTAGTCTATGTTTTTCCACGTTGGGCACGTATTGAGGAAAATGTAGCGGTGCGCATGTTCGTGTGCGTGGTGTCAAAAGAAGAGCGAGTGTGTACAGCATCACCTGCGCAATACGCTGGAGACGATCTCGTCCTAGCGTCGGATTTAGACACAATAGCCCCGGAGTATTACAATACGAAGCCACGCCCACGTCAGCACATATCTAGACGACGTTTCCTCATAATCCGGACAGTACCATTTTCATGATTGCCAGACCACCAATCCGATCCATACCTCGATCAGTCTTCTTCGGCACCGCACAAAGCTCGTCACTCCATCGACTGCGTCCGAGATTCTACACTTCCGCAATGTCACCAATCCCGATCGTAGTCTGTGGCAGGCACCCAGGCATTGCAAAAGCCGTTCGCGAGGGCGTCGAGCCAGAATACGATGGTATGTCGCGATACTTTGCGCAACGCTTCACGCCTGCGTATCCAACTGACATAGCTATCTAGTAATCCACATCAACCTCTCCGTGGAAGAAGCAATCAGCTCCATTCCTCATATTTTGTTATCCAGGACACCCGCCAATAGCACCCCCAACATCGGCTCCATGAACTACGGCCAGCGCCCTGCTGCCGTAGCTCTTGGAGGTGGTTTCAATGATGAGATGTTTGCGCAGATTAGAGGTTCTTGTGGAGATGAGAAGATGGTTTGGGTGCGCACCGACATTACCAGGAAGGAAGAGATGCCGGATTTCAATGATCATGAGGCCTATGGGAAGGCGACTGCACAACGGCTGAAGAAGTGCTTGGATGATTTAAAGGTTGGGAAGGAGGGTGGGAAGACGGAGGGAATGTATTGGTTTTGAGTATGAACCGGTCATGATGCATATGGATGCATATTGATAGAGCAGCAGGTAATATCGTTATGATTCACGAAACTCTAAGGACATTATTTGTTGCAAGAGCTCTTTTTATTGGAGGTCATGGCACCGTTGCGAATCGTCTTTGGAGAAAGTGTGATTTGAATGAGGCCTAGTGCTTTTGTTCGAACAACAGCTCAGCAAAGTCAACAGAACAAATCCATGAGAGGGAGGTCTAGTACTTTTGGTATTTGAGAATTGGGAGTAGGTCTTGATGCAATCTTCTTTGCGATCGAAAGAAGATTTTATACCAAAATCTCCGCAGACGTTCGGCTGCCGCAAGCATGTATCGTTTGGTCCTCTTTTTGGAGCCCTCGGGACAGGACTTTTGTCGCGAGACTTGCTAACGTTCATCAAACCGAAAGGTTCCAGACCTTCCCAGGTCATGGGGAAACAGAATCCAAGTTTGAAGTCGTGAGGCCAGTATGCACCATCACACATTGTTTTGCGCAATGACAACGGGAGGATCTCATGATTCACTTCAGTATTTCTTTTCGAGGAGAGAAAGGGTCAGTGGTGTTAAAGAGGGACGAGCTTCATCGCGGAAATGGAAAGGCTTTGTAGTTGCACAGAGTCATAGGACAGATGCCGAGTTCTTTTGACAGCCATGGAAACCATAGATCTGGAGATTCTGATTTGGGCAAGATGATCTTCTCAGCGTTCCGCCGGCACATTCATTCAACGCATCAAAGTTCCGTTCGACAGAACCAAGTCATGTATGTGACTTGTGCGATTTTAGTGTGTAACCGAAGAGGAGACGAGTAAGACATGAAGTCGAACGTTCTATGTTTTGGCAGAAAAACTTGGTCTCATATGAGGGCATCGTTTGTGTTTTGAGAAGCAGACGAGCAGTCCTCGAACCAAAGTACTACGTGTTAGAAGTAATCCGCAGGAAGATATCGTAGAGAAGAAGAGGAGGGGCAGATCGCAGTAAGGGTTTAAATATCTACTTCCAATCGGCGATGACAATAGCACGTGGCTACACCTAGTCGGAACTCGATCATCTCGCTCGGCCGAAACGTGAGCGCTTGGCTGTCGTCTTTTGGATCGCTCCATCATGCGATCGTCGTCGGTACAATTCTGACAAGAACAGTGTAAGGAGAGGGCGAGCTAGTTCAAGGTCGGAAGAGCGAGGCAAAGACATGACTCTAGTTGATTCAAGATCTTGGAAAGAATGGCAGAGATGCGCAGACCTTCGGTTCTTCTCGCATGATTTTGGTGAATGCATAGCACACAAGTGTGCGACGATAAAGACAAGATAGCGTGGAGAAACAGACAGGTATCTATACCCACTACCTAGGTAGTGTGAGAGGCCTTCTAGAAAGATTGCGAAAACTACATAATGCAAAGATGCGGTTGATTTATCGGCTTCTTCCCACCAGTATTTTGCTCCGCATGCGACGACTCAGCCCCCGTTTTCGATGTAATCGAAATCCTAGTAGACAGTGCATCTTGTTCAGAGAAGGCCGCAACAGCACACACCCATAGTCCTGACCACTTCTTTCTTTGAGTCCGTCTTTCATCCAGATGTTTGTCCCATACTTCTGGCGAAAAGAGCGAGCAGAAGACATCGGAAGTTTCCCAAAACCTCTTTGGACAGCAAACATGACCGAGAGTTGTCCGCTTTTTGGTTCTTCCTTATTGCAAAGTAATCGGTGGGAAGAGCGTCACAAGAGTCATGCGATGTGGTTTTGACTAAACTTGGCTACCGGAAAACGCAGTTCATTTGCCGGTGATTGAGACCTTTTAGAGAAGCGCAAAGGGACATGATGATTTCGGATCTTGGATCTGGAAACATGTGTATGATCGCAGTAATTGTTTCGGAAGACAGACAGACATACATGAATTCGGTCATGATTTTGGCGTACATCTTTGTACGAATGTTATAAAGGAAGAAGACAAGAGAGCCACTCCGCGAGATTTTATAGTCGCTCTCAATACCCCTTCCATGGAATTGGGCGTTTTGAATTTTGGTTTTCGGCAAACAACACTTCGCAAGTCCGTCGAAGTTTATGCATCGAATTTTGATATTTTGGAATCTGGGCGACCGCCAACTCATTGTCAGCGTCTCCGAGAATCTTCGATCCAGCACGACATGTGTAGTAAGCCAGTCAGTCTCTAATCTGCTTCGACATAGTTTCGACGAAGCAAGACATCGCCGCCGCACTCGTTCCACGCAAGGCCGCCCATGACCCATGCTTTCGTGGTTTTTATTTTGGCGTTGCAAAGAAGCGATCTCATGTAGAGGCTTCAAGTATCTTTGAGTGGAGATATCTACATCAGGTAGCATTCATCATATCGAATGTTTTGGAGAAAGAAGACGTAGACCCATAATGGCAAGCCTTGGAGTTTGGAAGAAGAAAAGCGGAAGACGACATAGGATCCATTGCGTTATCTTTTTGGTAACATGGCATAGGACGGAGCTAGTAAGCAAAGAAGAGGAGAGAGAGAAATAACGGCAGGTTCTATATGCTTCCCAACATCAAGCTTGGCTCCTGTGCCCGGCATGCGTCATGATGTCAGTTTCGAAACATTCCGCAAAGCTCTTGCACGTTGATCATGATCATTCATACATGGGAAATGTGTAGTTCATGTTTGAAAATTTCATTGATTTCGATTACCATTTTACGCTTTTACCGCGCAAGGCATCCATCACACCAGGGTGCACTCTAGTGCTTACCCCAGTACTTACCCTGACCCCTCTTCCTACCCTTGACATCAGCCTGCTTAACAACAAAGACACCACGGTCAATAGTGTTGATAACAACGTAACCAGACTCAAAGGTGTAGGCAGACCAGGTACCAGCGTCCCAGAGAGCGTCACCGCCGCCGGGCTTGACATCATCCGGAGGGTAGACGTCAAAGTAGGCAATCTCCTTGACCTTGGAGCCGTCGGGGAACTTGGGGATGCTGGAGACGTCGAGGATGCGGAGACCGGCTTGGTAGTTGGATTGGTAGTCAAGGCCGTCGTAGACGTATTGGTTGTGGTCGACGGAGCGGGTGGTGGTCTTGTAGTAGCCGGTGACGACTGGCTTCTCGAGGTTCTGGATATCCCAGATGTAGGTCACGGCGAAGCCGTCCTTGGCAGGAGAGTCAACGGCAGTGCGGTTGGGGTCGATCTGACCCTCATCAAGCTCATCGTCCATGACGATGTGGGTCTGCCACATGGCATCAAGGACCCAACCCTGGTGGGTGTAAGAAGCACCGACGTAAGGGGTGCGAGAGATGATGGCACCGGCGTTACCGAAGCCAACCTTGTTGGTGACATCGTAGATGGTCAGGGTGTCCTCGTTGTAACCGTAGCAAATGTCACGGCCGTAGTACTTCTTGTGAGGTCCACGGTAGACAATGCACTGAGCGTCGTGAGTGTAGCCATCCTGACCGTTGCAACCAGAGACGTAAGGCTTAGTGGGATCGTCCATGTTGATGAACATGGGTCCACCAGCACAGGTGTCGTTACGGCCGGGGCGACCGCCAGCACCGCAGGCGACGGCGTAGTTCTTCTCGTTGTTGGCAACAACGGTGTGGGTGCGGCCCTTAATGCCCTGGTTGATGTCGACGAGAGCAGTGTCGGTCTTGATGTCGAAAGTGTAGGGCTTCTTGGGGGAAAGCTTGAGCAGCTTCTTCAGGTCGAAGACTTGGACATGGTGGCCGACACCTTCGGAGCCGACGATGAGGCTGTCACGAACAACCTTGATCTCACGCCAGATGACGGAGTCGTTGTTGGCGGGAAGGCGACCAAGGTACTCGAGTTGACCGTCCTTGGTGACCTCGGAGAAGGAGGCACCGTAAGTCTGACCAATGGCAATAAAGTCTCGGCCCTTGTGCGACCAACCCCAGGAACCACTTCCCTCACCAATAGCATCACCGAGCTCCTCGTGCGTCTTGAAATCGTACATGTCGATGTTCTTGCACTGTGATGTTGTTAGTTGAGCGCATTTTCATTGATCTAAATCTTGCTTACCTTGTAGGTCTGGTCGGCATCTCCCTTGACAGCCTCAACACGGCCGTGCTTGCACTCAATCTTGTTCTTGTTGGCCCTCTTCTTAGAGAACCCGTTCCAGCGCTTGCTGTCGTAGGCGCCAGCAGCGCGCTGCTTAGCCCAAGCAGCCTCTTTTCCGGACATCATGAGGTCCATAACCTCTCCAGAGGCATATTGCTGGTGGGTAAAGCCATGAGCGGCGACCAAAGGCAACAAAGCCGTGGTGATAGTAGCCCACTTCATCGTATCGAACAAGACTGCGGATTGACAATTGGCAGTTGATGATGAACCAAGAACCTGGGAGCAGGAAGCAGCACTTTATACATCTTTGCCTCTCTGCACCACACTCGCGGAACCACCGAGTTCCCAGAATGCAGACTCGTGCAGGACGCCGCACATGACTATCATGAGTATACCTTCCTATCGTAGGTACTCCGAAAAGTTAGCAGCCGCAACCAAGACCGTATGGAAGTAACGACAGCGGCCGTTAGATGCAGTAAAGTGCTGGGCGCGCCTTGGTAGACCTTGGGGGTGCTTTTCGCAGGCTACCGTTCATGTACGCCGAGAACTATGTGGTGCTTGGCAAGCATTCCGCCTTGGATTCGAGCATGGGAGCTGGAGCTACGGCTAGTGTACCCCAGTATTCTGCAGGGCTGCTGGCCGAGAACAAGGCAGGGCTACAGCAGATGCGGTGCAAGCTAAAGTGGGATCTTCTTGCGCGGAGACGGAGATTGGTAGATAGCGTAGCCGGAAAAGGAAGCTGCTTTGGTTGCCAAGCGCTGCTGGACCACCACAACCAAATGACTGCGGAGAGCTTTGAATCTGACTATCGATTCTAGAGAAGGTGGTGAGCGTGTAAGCCGATGGTAGACTTTAACCGGAGTGATGCTGTACGTCGGTGTACGAGAGCCTTGCAGGCAGACTTCCCAGAAGAGGAGAATGGGTGTCAGATGTCGCCATTCTGGTCATCAAAAATGTGCTTGAAGCTGGCGGCACACCGTACTGTGCTCATCCGGCCCAAGCGCAGGGTAATAGAAGCCGACAAGAAATGAACCGACTGTGCTGAACCGACTGTGCGTATCGGTAGATGTTAATGGAGGCACCGAGGCCCTTATCTCGACGGTACGTAACTGGGAAAGCGGAAGGTCGATCTCCATGGTCGGCCTTGGCATAGGACTCGTTGAGTTGAACAGCATAGGTGGCGGAGATGAGGTAGAGAGCAAGGTGGCGGCTGAGGGAAACACGGAATGAACATGGCTGAGAGCGCGGGGGCGACAGCCTCTTGTAGTGTTCCCCACGAATACTTGGTGAGCTCAATTGAGGTCCCTCCTGAGCACAATTGAGGGCATTCCAGAAAGCGCATGAAGCTGCATGCATCGCGCACTTCCAAGTCGCTAGTAACTTGACAGGACCACGGTCATGGTACTGCCATGCCTTTGACCCTGGATGATGGTCAGGTACAGCCAAGGCCAGTCAAGATGCTCGTCTGGATAACGCTGGGGTAGTTGCAAGACGCGACACGTGATGCAAAATGTGATAGAGTCAGGCAAAGGTAGGTGAAGGCCGCAGCGCTGGCGGAATGAGAGCCAGCGCGGAACGGAAGCGCGCCCCTCGGCTGGACTTGCCATGGCGTCGCGACGTCCCTTCTCACCACCCAAGTGCGCGACCTAGGCCAACTCTCCCCTCCCCAGCTCCGGCCAATCACCCCGACGATGCAGCTCACCGAAGACGACCTCTATCGCAGCTCCACGCAGTTCCGCAATTGGTCCTTTACCGCCTCACAACTCGCTGCGCAGCGCCTGAAGATCAACGTACAAGCCACCGAGCGCGTCAAAGCGAATGTTGCGCGTCTGCGAGCCCAGCGCGGCAACGATGCCGTAGACAATGGCATGGACACGGTTATGGATAAGGAGAATGGGAGTGGCACCAGCGGCGCGAATACACCTGATGCGCGTATGCAGACTGTGACAGAGATCAATTGCCTCACCGCAGAGGAAGAGTTGAAGATAGTAAACGAATTCTGCGAGCGCGCAATCGCCCTGGGGAATCATTACAGCTTTCCTTTGAACGTCGTCGTACGTCTACTTCCAGTTCCCCATCTTCCAATCTAAAACAGCAAGATACATGGTAATTAACAACACCCCCAGGCAACATGCATCCAATTCCTGCGTCGCTTCTACCTCTACAACTCCCCCATGACCTACCACGTCAACAACATCCTACGCACAATAATGTTCCTCGCCACAAAAGTCGAACTCTTCCCCATCCACGTCTCGCAATACGCCGAAGGCGCCGGCCGCAACGTAACCTCCGAAGACGTGCTCGCCCCAGAATACATCATCGTGCAGTCCCTGCGCTACAACCTCGACGTGCGCCACCCCTTCCGCGCCATAAAAGCCGGACACATGGAGATGCTCGAGATGGCGCGGGGAAAGTACCAAGGGCCTGCGGGAGAGCTGGGGGGTCCTAAAGAGGTGCAGGCGAAGATATGTGGGTTGCCGGTTAAGGTGGGAGCGCAGGCTATGAAGATGCCGGAGAAGAAGGTCGAGGAAAGGATCCATGCTGCGTATGGTGTTGCGACGAACACGCTGCGCACTGTTGCTGTGTTGACGGATGCGTATTTCCTATACACGCCCTCGCAGATCTGGCTGGCGGCTCATCTGCTCGCTGATGAACCGCTTACCTTATTCTACCTCTCGCTCAAGGTCCCCACGTCCAGTCCGATACATTCGAAACTCCTCACTACGCTGCGGAACTGCGCGTCGCTTATTTCGAGCCATCGGCTTTATGTCAATGCGTCGTTACCGGCAGCAGAGCGCGACGCGAAGGAAGCGAAGCATAAAGCGGAGATTAAGACATTGGTGCAGAAGTTGAAGAATTGTAGGGATCCGGATAAGGTTGACTTGGTCAAGTTGAATCAGGCGCAGAAGAGGGACGCGGTCCAGGGGGATGCGTTGGAGGAGAGTAAGGCGAAGAGGCGGAAGTTGGCGAGAGAGGGGTATGAGAAGGAGTCTGATGCTTTTTGGGGGCCGGAATTGGGTAAGAAGGCGGAGTAGTGGGTATATTAAGACGACTGAGGGGTTTGCATACGGATATGGCGTTCATTCATATCAGACAGCATGGCATGGCGTTCTAGAGGTTTCAAAAAGATACCATTGAGCTTATAGGTTGACCGGCACAAGGCGTTCCATGGGGGTAATGTACAGTTGATTGCTCCTTCTCGCTGATCTCGCTGTACCAAAAAGCTTTATTGAAGATTTTCATACCACCGTTCCCCGCGCCGTGTACGAAATTTGACGCTCAACCAATGCCTCGCCTCTCATAGACCTCACCACACTGCCACCCATTCACCCGCCTTGTCCGAGAGCCGAAGTGTAACCAAAGCTTTTGCAATTGCATCCATGTTCGATTAAGCCGACGCGGCCAAACGCTTGCACTCTTATGCGAGAATTCAATCCCGTGTTGAATCCCCCCCGGAATCTCCACGTGTCAATTGGACATGCGGTTGCCATACTTCGTCAGATACTTGAATGGCACTCTCTCCTTGCGAGGTGCTTCTGTATGATTTAGTATTTAAGATTTTTTAACGACCGCGGCCGTACGGAGGAGTACTGCCATGCGGACCTTTTGCAAGACTATCTCTCGGATCCTTCCTGGTGCCGTTGGGGAACATCTGAGCCACCGGCACGACGCCTATCAGTTTTTGGGGGCCCAGCATAGACTTGCCGAGGAACTTGGTGTTGTAGCTGCCGAACATACCACCGGTAGTGGTACCTGGGCGCGCAGTCTGTCCCGGTTTACTGTTGCTTTTGTCAACTTGCATCTCTGCCTCATACTCCTTGCGCTGCTCGATCAGGGCTTCCATCTCTCGGAGGTTCTTGCGGGCCTTCTCTGGCACCTTGTCCATGTCGTTCTGGAAAGAGAAGAGGACATGGGCCTTGCGTTCCTGGTACTTCTTTTCTAGTTGGGCGAGATTGTACTCGGCTTCGCGTTCCTTCTTTCTCTTCTTGGGCGGAGGTGGAGAACCTGAAGTCAGGATTGCTGGGGGACTATCGTCGAGCTGTGGTACAGGCTGGTCGTTCTCGGAGTGGGAGTCGGTCTTGTCTACAAGCGGTTGCTTGGGAATAGCTGCATTCCGGGGGCTAGATGCCGCACGGGGTTGAGTATTGGGGGCTTCGTTCTGGGACTTCTTTTGAACCGAGGACACGTACTCCTCACGACGACGCGCCAGTTCTGAACTTGCTGTCTGAGATATGACAAGAGCACCATCCTCAGCATCCGCCTCGTCGGCGAACTGCTCTTGAGGCTCTCCGCTGCCTTCGCTAGTAACATGAATGTACTGCGGGCCTGGTGATGACTTTGCCGACGTAGTAACGCTTCCTCTATCATGGGTTTCTGGCGTGCGCTTTGTGTGGGACTGGCGAACCACGCTCTGGTTTGCAAGTCGACGAGTCGAGCGGGAATCCACAGGAGGGACTTCGTCGTCGTCGTCATCATCATCATCATCTTCGTCTGAATCTCCGTGGGGTTGAGACGACTGGAGCGCACGTGATAATGACATCTCAGGTTCTGCCACAGCGTCAATATTTTCGACGTCGTCCACAGAGACTTCCATGCCATCTTCGAAGTGGGCCGAATCATTGGCAGTGGCATCGCCGAGCTGGTCAGCGTTCCATGCCCCGTTTCGTACAAAGGAGGGAACAGGAGTCCTGAAGTTGTTTCCATCGCGATGACCGTGTTTGTCTTGGTGATCCGGACGACGGCTTCGATCGTGGGTAGAATCGCGGTCTTGGTCACCATTTCCATCTTCACGATCCCTCGAATGCCCTCCAAAGTCGTGCCTGTAACTAGGCGTAGTGCGATCGACGCGTTGACCAAAAGTCTCATCGAAATCCTGGAGGACACTCTTCAGATCAACAATGGCTGTGTGCAATTCTGGGAAGTCGCTACCACAAGAAGAGTAGATAGTGACCACGTTCCAAGACGCAATCATGAGGTTGTTGAAGTTGGGAAACGCAGTCTTGACGACGGCATTGAAGAGGTCGACCTTGATGTTGCTTGGAATGGTGTTGAAGATGTTACTTTTCACATCCTCCGGGATTATGTCGAGACCTGCGCGCTTGCGCTTGTTGGAGACATGGGGAATGATCTCGTCGTTCGGATGTCGCTTTCGTGACTTCCTCGCTGTTTTATTATCAGCGTCGAAATTTCGATATGTCTTTCGCCCTTACCATGAATAAGAGCGCGGTCGTTCTCAGCCTTCATCGGATTAAGCCTAGTAAGACTCTATTTGATGTCAGTGAACAGTCCTCAAATGCATCAATTCATATAAAAGCGGTGTCTTGCAATAACTGTCGTAAAGCCAACGGTGAATGGGCAGACATACCTCTCCGTCATCGAACAGTACCGGCGCCTGATACGGCATGTTGTGAGCAGCCCGCCTCGCCTCGTTGATCTTGTTCACCCTCATATAGAGAACCTGATACTTCTCTTTGAACAAAGGTACCATACCACGAGCAATGAAACCATGGATGGGATGAGAATCGAGTTCATTCTCATTCAGGGGTAATGGATCTTCAACGTGCATCTGTATTTGGCTATCCTCAACCACCAGGTAGACACGGTGTATGGAGTTCTTTTCTTCCGGTAGGATGACATTTCCGAGATCGAAACGAGTGGCCTCTTCTTTGAGGGTAACAAAGACGAGATCAGGCTTGACCACAACATTCACTCTGGTGTATGTGGGTGGCTCGTCGTTGCTGAGGCCCTCGATGAATTCGTTCAGATGCGTCGGTTCGACATAGCGAAGTTGGTCGCGAAGAATGAGCGCGCGTTTCTGGGGCTTGTTGAGCGCGTTGAAGGTGGGCGCCACCGTTTCAACAGCAAGTGACATTTGGAGTTGGTGTCTGAGTTGGGAGCAATGGTAGTCTTCTGTGAACACTGAGCGTAGTTGCCCCAAAGGCGCAGTCGATATGAGATGGCTATACTGCAATGCAACTCAAGCTGGGTAGAGTGTAGTGGGGGAGATGGAACATCAGGTTTGGGTCGTGAATTGCCATATATATACCCCAAGGGGAGCAAGCTAGTGCACGTCTCTTACCCTCGTGGACCGCATTGCGGAGTCTTCTACCTGGGTAAAGGCGGGGTCTCTACGAACAGTTGAGGTGACAACGTATTGTCTCCCCGCTATATTCCGCCCATGTAGTGTGTCATTGCTGCCGTGGTGCTCTTGCTCGACCTTGCAAGCCCCGAGCTCGACTGAAACTGTGTAACGAGGGACGAAGAAAGACTGGCAGGGTCGATTGGCATTTCTTATGATTTCATGTCCACAGAACCATTTGCAGGGGGCAGAAGGAAAAGAAGGCGACTTTCTAGGGGAGATTAGGAGGGAGGGGATTTCCTCTTGACTTTGATCGGATGACACCAGCCGCGCACGGTCTCTTACAGACTCCGAAGGCAGCCGCGACTTGGACAGAACATCTAGAAGGAAACCGCTACTCACTAAGTAGTCAACAGTTCCAACCATGAATGAGACGCTGACTTCCGCTTGCGTGTGGGAAGCAGCCCTCTTTCATGCATCGCTGCTATTGTCAGCCGGCGACATCTCAACCAAAAGAACTCACTCTGGATCCGCGCACAAGTACATCACGTAAAACTAGAAGGATTTACATGTTGTAAGGGTTTCAAGCCTGTCGTGACGAGATGCTTCCTACGTGCAACTTGTACTAATACACTTGCACATTGCTCTTGAGTGTTGAAGATGATACCGAGTCCCCGATGCTTTCTACGCTTACAAGTACAAGCCCTCTGGCTCACCCTCTGTCTTCGTCTTAAGGACACGTTCCCTTGCGGTGCGGAAGTCCTCCATGTTAACTCGCATACGACGCTCACGGAGTGCCATGAGACCAGCTTCGGAGCAGATGGCCTTGATGTCGGCACCAGAGAGGTCGTCCTTCTGGTTGATAAACTCGTCGAGATCGACATCCTCGTTGAGCGACATCTTGGAGGTGTGGAGAGTGAAGATCTTCTTCTTGGTGGTTTCTGTATGACGATTAGCATGTATATTGTGGGCAGTGCGGGATAAACTCACGATCGGGGTTCTCAAAGAGAATTTTTCGGTCAATACGACCAGGACGGATAAGGGCAGGGTCGAGCGTTTCGATCTTGTTGGTGGCCATGATGACCTTGACGTCACCACGGTCGTCGAATCCGTCCAGTTGGTTGAGCAACTCCAACATGGTTCGCTGGATCTCGCGTTCACCGCCGGATGTGGACTCGTAACGCTTGGTACCGATGGCATCGATTTCATCAATGAAGACAATGGAAGGCGCGTTCTCGGCGGCGGTCTGGAAGAGCTGTCGCACGAGCCTGGGACCGTCTCCGAGGTACTTCTGGATCAGCTCACTGCCCACGATACGTAGGAAAGTTGCGCTGGTCTGGTTGGCCACGGCCTTGGCCAGGAGTGTCTTTCCAGTACCTGGTGCACCGTAAAGAATGACACCTTTCGGGGGCTTGATACCCATCTCCTCGTAAAGTTCCGGATGTAACAGGGGCAGCTCGACTGCCTCTCGCACTTCCTGAATCTGTTGCTCCAGACCACCAATATCCGCATACGACTCTGTAGGCGCCTTGTCTAGCTTCATGACCGACACTAGCGGATCGGCATCGTCTGTGAGCACACCGACTACTGAGACCGACTTGTGATGCAGTAGGATGCTCGCTCCGGGCTCTAGCAGATCCTTATCGACGAAGGACATGATGGAGACGTAGTATTCGGGCCCGGTGGCGCTGGAAACAATGGCGTGGTCGTCGTCGATGAGCTCCTCGAGGTTGCCGACACCCATGGGACTACCGCGCATGTCGTCGACGCGTGAGCGCTCATCGGCGTTCCGGTCTTCGGCATCCCCTGCATTGGCTGCAGGCGCGTTTCCTTCCTTCACCGCCTTGGCCTTGCGCAGGCGCTCCTGGTTCTCGACGTACTCCTCCTCGAGCAGGAGATGGTCGTGGATGCGCTGCATTCGGAGGTACCGTAGCTTGCATCGTGCGGTCGGGTAGACGGTCGGGAGCTTAGCGGCGGCGCTGGGTCCGGCCGCCTTCTTCTTCTTCCTGCCGATGCGGGTTGTGGGTTGTGGCGGCGGCTCGTACTTTGGCTTCTCCTTCTGCAGAGGGCGTTGTTAGTGCGTGCCATGTGCGGTGAGGCAACAGATAGCGGACTCCCGAGAGCCATCATTCCGTGTCGTGGGGGCGGCACATACCTTGTCCTTCTTGTTCTTGTCATCTCCTGGAGGCCCGCCGCCTCCAGCACTCGATTGCTGGTTGCCCTGCACGTCGTTAGCATGTGGCCATGGTGGTTTCCGAGGGAGGCGATCTTACCATGACACGCGATCACACGATGAAAGGCGAATCAGGCGCCTGGTAGTATGCAGCGACTAGAAGAGAAGAGACCACAGCGAGCGTGGTGGTAACGGGCGATGGCGGTGGTGAGGCGGTGGTTGTTTGTAAGAGGTGTTGATGCGCTGATTCCGAAGCTCGTGGATGTCGGAGGATCGGGGTTAGCGCCTCGTGGCGTCACTGCCTCGAGCCGCTGGAAGCCTCACCATTCCACCTCCATAGAGCAACAGACACGTCAGGCCCTGTCCGATAGCTATACATTTCCCACAGTGCATTCCATTTCACTAACACTTTCTCTTCTCCCACCAGTTTCCCGAAACCCCCGTTGTAATATTCCCTCTGAGCTTCGACCCCGCCGGCGAGCCAGCTCAAAGCTCCCCACGCGGGTCAAGAGGTACTCTCTATCGCTACCAGACAAGGTCTTACCGTAGGTCCAGTACGTTCGAGTTGTTTGTCAAGTGAATTACCACGCCACCACCCCCTCTCAGACACCCCAAGACCTGTATGACACACTCCCCGCACTGCAACTTGGTGGAGCCGGGACCACTTCGCGGAGCCTGAGGCTGACCTCTCTACCTAGAAATACCTTGGTCGCGCCTACCTGCTGCCTACTCGTAACACTCCCTCTTCATCGCTCTTTTCACCCCGAACCTTCCACCACACCCCACCACAATGACTTCCAACCGCAACAGGCGCATTGCCAAGGAAATTGCCGACATCCACAACGACCAACACTCCAAGATCGTCGTCGAACCGGCAGGCAATGGGGAAGACCTAACACATCTACGGGGGCAGTTCTACGGTCCTCCTGACACACCGTACGAAGGAGCTACCTACAAAGTCGACATCCGGATCCCGAGCGAATACCCCTTCCGCCCACCGCTCATGAAGTTCGAGACCAAGATCTGGCACCCCAATGTCAGCTCACAAACGGTAAGTGACAAACGATGTCTTGGAGTGTGCTTCAGGAAAGCTAACAGTAGTAGGGCGCTATCTGTCTCGACACTCTCTCCTCGCAATGGTCGCCAGTTCTGACCATTAAGTCCGCTCTGATCTCGCTACAATCGCTCCTCAGCACACCCGAGCCAAAGGACCCACAAGATGCAGAAGTCGCCGGCATGCTGCTACGGAACCCCGCTGAATTCGAACACAAGGCACGCGAGTGGGCAGTCACATTCGCTGGTGCGCCCCGCAAGGAGATTGCCGAAGGTAGCGGGGGAGCCACTGCGGCGTCCATCAAGAAGAAGGCCCAACAGGCGAAGCAAAACGAAGAACAGTCTAAGCTGGCTGCGTATAAGGGCTACAATAAGGACCTAGTAGATCGCTTTGTCGCTATGGGCTTCGATGTCGACGCCGTGGTCGCCTCGTTTGAGTATGTTGGTATCGATCGCATGGGCGGCGAAGACTACGAGCTAGAAGAGGCCTATATGGGGGACATTACCGCTCGACTCTTCGGCGAAGCATAGCTGGCTGCCATGTCTTGTTTCGATTCAGCATTTCTTGTTCGACTTCCAGGGCGCATAGGCGTTTTCATTACTCAGACCATCACATCTTTTACATTCTTCATGGGAGATGGCGTAATTTCATGGGCTATTAGGAGTGTTGGGTGTACATGATCAATGGAATAGCGTAGGCGCGCTCTTAGCGAGCCGCAATGTAGTGTCAATTAAACTTTGTCACATTATCCTTCTCATTTCGTTATGTCGTATATACAGGCGTCTTCCCCTCTTCTTGTCTAAGGTCCATAGTGTGTGTCAATGATCGAGTTCCTTACGCGATGGCGCGGTCAGCGTCGATGAAGACGCCACCTGAGTAGGCACCGTCAACGCTGCCATCATTCTCGAGAGTAAGAGGAGCATCACCAAAGACAGTCATCTTGTTGGGCTTCTCAATATTCTGCTGAACCTTGACAGCTATACACATGTTAGCATTTCGGCCTACACATGTAACACCCTGAGACTAGGATGTCATGACCGGAAGCAAAAACTTACTCTCACCATCGTACTCGTACGCGAAAGTAGGAGGATCGCAGCTCTTCGTCTCCTTAGGGTTCTTCCTAGGGTCGTACTCGTAGTTGCAAACGGTGTGAATGACGTTGTTGCCAGAGTACTCGTCAGACACGAAATCCGCGAGGACGGTCTGTGACTCATAGCCGAAGTCGAGCGCGTATTGCGAGATGGTGACGTTCCATTTGCCGTAGACTTTGGCGTTTGCGGCAGTGGCTGCGGTCGCGAGGGCGAAGAGGGCGATGTTGAAGTGCATTTTGAGGGTTGGTGGTTGTTTGGTTGGGGATGGAATTGTTGTGTTGGGAGTGATGGTGATGATGATGATGGTGATGCCCAGAACGCAATGGTAAGACCGTCTTATATGGACATCTTTCTTCGTAAGACGACGTCAAGAGCGGCCTGTTGGTCGGCGCGTTTACCCACCGCCTCGTTTTCGTGGCCCTAACATGGACCTAGCATCTCGATGCTGCGCTCATACAAATACCGCTACTGCTGACGCTGGGTGAGCCCTTCAAAGTTCCTCTCTGTCTGTGCTTAGATGCAACGGCCGTAATTCTTGAATACGGCGATAAAGGCCGACCCATCGGCGCGAATCTAGGTCGAGACGTGGAGAAGGAAGACGGTGTGGCTTCCTGGCCTAAGACTTGTAGTTGTGAACTTTGTATAGGCGGTCAGATTGGGTAGCTGGGTTACTGTGCTCCTAGCTTCTATCTCCTCCCTTCCTCTCGAGATTTAGATGCTGTGTTTCCATCTTTACCATCTGTGAATGCGACGATCGATTAGAGCCTTTCATTAACACTGCCTCGGTGAGGTAAGTGGAGCTGTAAATCTCCGAGCTAGCCTACGCGCGGAAGTGGCGCCGCATTTTCTAATGCTAAATGGGGAAACGGTGGATCCTGGACATGGGCTTTCGTGCATGCAGGAACACGAGCATCGCGGGTAGGTATTATGCAGGAAACTTCAGTATAATCCCACAAGTGCTCATGTGCAAAAGTTTAGTTGCAAATGCGCACACAGTCGCAATGCGGTGTAACGGTGTTTCAATGCTGATTGATCTATGTATATTTACTGGTACCCCATTACCTTCCTACAAGCACTCGCTCACTCTTCCGCGTCTCAGTCGCGTAGTTTCGCTTCTCTCCTGTGACGTGTAGCTGGATATGGCCCTTCGCCTTCGGCGCATACTTCACGCTCGCACCTTGTTCTACGCTGAAAGCTTCGCATGCGGGCTTGCTGTTCAAGATCCACTGCGCAGTAAGCTTAACACCCGGGTCCCAACGTCCAACACTCGCAGTAACCTCCTGGCCCACCTTGGCCTTCTTGTCCTCGATCTTGGGATCTGCTTGACGCTTAATGGCGGCTTTGCGACCACCGTACTTGATGATGTCCTCCCATACATTTCCACGGGTGGAGGGTGCGGTGGCCGAAGGGGAAAGTGGAGTAGGACCATTGGGGGCGTGGTCTTGGACCCATCGCTCGACCAACTCGAGGTAGTCCCAGATCTCGCGAGCTTGATAGTTACCGCCATGGGGCTTCTCGGGCAGGATCGTAACATTGGCCCATCCGGCTCCGCCAACAGCATCGGTGCGCTTCTGGAACTCCATGACACCCTCGTTGAGGAAATAGTTGTCCCAAGTACCTACGTAGACAAAGATACGTCCAGCGAGGGCAGCGCCAAGTTTGCGTGAAGAGTTAAAGTTGGTGACGACGTAGTCGCTGAGATCGAACGGCTTCCAGTATTCAACTGCCTCGGGGTAAATTTCACCAGTGACTTTGTCCCAGGGCTCGAGAGGGTAGTTGTTGTAGCCCTGGACACCGAAGACGGCGTTCCAGATATCCCACTGGTTGAATGAGCGCGATGATGTGCCGAAGGTCAATTCCCAATGGTTTTCTTGCGCGGCGGTAGCGAGGATCACCTCCTTGCCGTCGGTATGAGTGCGGATACTGGGGACAGAGCTACCATCTGCACGTTGGTATGCATTAGCAGCGCTGTACAGTTCGATGTCTTGGTGGCGGTGGAAGTCCAGAGAGTCGGGATAGGAAGAGAAGCACACGCCGAAGAGGTCTGGGCGGTAAATGACGTTGGCGATCGACTCCCAACCTCCAGTCGAGCCCCCGTCCTGGACACGAGCATACGGTGCGCGGATGGTGTTGAAAGTGTCTTCGATATGAGGGATCAGCTCTTCGTTGATAGCGTCACCGTAAGGACCAAGGTTGGCAGTGTTGACGGCATACGAGTCATCGTAATATGGAGCTTCATGGCGGAAAGTCACCATAATGAACTTGGGTGCCGGTCGCTCCGCAGTCGTGTTGGTGCCAGGTATAACACCCGCATCCCAAGCTGCTGTGAACTTCTCGTCGGTGCCATACTTGTAAGCGCCTTCACCAGCTGGCCAGTGACCTTGGTTGTAAATGACAGGGTATCGCGTCTCCTTGTCGTCTGCATCATAGCCAGCAGGCAATACAACGTTGGCACCAACGTACATATCGCGGCCCCAAAACTTGCTCAGCTTCTTGCTGTGGATCTTGATGTGTTTGAATGAGTCCGTGTCTTCGTAGTTGCCCTGGTTGCATCCGCCGATCTCCTTACCGGCGAAGTTCTCAACAGCCGTAATGTTGTTGAAAGTCAATTCGATAGTCTGGCCGCCTTCGGAGATCTCAACGTCTTGAAGCGGTGTAATCAAGCTTCCATAGCCGTTGACGTTTGGTGCGCCATCGCCGCATGGGAATCTGACGCTGACCTTCGAGCCATCGCTTCTGGTGACGGTCTCATAGCGGGTGAGGAATGCCTGCACACTGTAGGTGCCCGGGTCGATGTCGCTCAGACTGACGTTTGGCCAGCCATACACACCGGTAGCGGTACTGTCGTTGCTTCCGCCAGAGAAGAAGACCGCTTGCTTTGGACCAAAGTTGTATACATTCTTTCCGAAAATCTTGTTGGGTGAAGAAGTGACGTCTGTGTCGTCGAGGGGATCTTCGCCTTCGGGAGCAAACATCAACACAATGCGGCCATCGGTGGGAACATCCAGAAGACCATTCTCAATAGAGAGCTTGACGTTGAGACCGGTGTTGTAGTCGCGATCGACATAATGCCTAGTTGTGGGAACAGCCGACACGCTCAAGGCAAGTGCGGCCAGAAAGATGTTCTTCAGCATCTTGCTTTGTGGAGTATCATCCAGTCCGGTCAAATGCAGAACAACCGTTGATTGTGCTTGACCAGGCTCTCAGTGGGACGACAAGCTTTTTGATATGCGCTCAAGCTTTGACTTCCAAGGTTGGTAATGGCAGAAGCGAGCGAGACCACTAACCGAAAGAAGAAGGCGCAAAAGATAGTACAGCCTCATACAGCATGAAAGATAAGAACCCGCAGGTAAGGCCGTTTGCAAGTCATGAAAAGAGGGTCGTAATTAAATATTCTTTATGACCGTGAACCGGGCTCTGGTAAAAGAAGAACCATGGGAACGGTAGCGTGGTCCCGCCACACTGGTTTCTGGTATCGCTTGCGCAGGAACAAGTACCAGTTACTTACTATCCGCTTCGACTCGACCTCAGTTACGCGGTATTCGTGGATTGTCCATATACATATCATATCGTTTGGGTATAGGGTGGCCGTCATGCGCGTATCTTTGAACTCCGCCCAGCACCGAGGCCGAGTGGCTAACCGCATTGAGTGAGTAGCGAACAGGTTGCGTGAAACGTCCATCTTCGTATCAAGCCGCTTTCGCGGTGAGTATGAAATGGGTCCGTCCTGGTATGTTGACATGTCTCGGAGAGAAAGGGTTTACTACGTCGTACTTGCATGGTAGGCCAAGTGAAACCATTTCTTGACGTCACCACTCTTGAATGCCATGTGCGTAACGTACTCTGGACGCATCTCCTCCACGGGATATCCACAACAGCACGAACACAATGACCACTGTCGTCCTCAACCATGCGAAGCTCGGTGCGATAAGATGTCTCCGAGAACCAAGCGGCTCGATTGTAAAGATATTAGGTTTGCCGTACGGGAAAGTTGCCCAAAGATTCGCGCGCGCAGAGCTCTCGCAAAAGCTTTCTGATGGACAAAGCAAAAGGTACCACGATGGGGTCTTCGATGCGACAGAGCCAGGAGCATCCAGTATCCAGCCGTGGGGGAGCGTCAAGTCTGATGCAGCCAACATCCCACTGCCAACCGATAATCTGCCGGATGACGAAGAACAGTCGGAGGATTGCTTGAACCTTTCCATACATCTGCCAGATTTATGCGTCGATGAAGGTGGAAAGATTCGTTCGGATATGAAGTTGCCGGTCCTTGTCTTCATCCATGGTGGTGCGTACTTCCTTGGTTCTGCGAACCGACCATACTACAACCCAGAGAATCTTGTGCGCCATGCTATACAGAGTGAATCACCCATCATCTTCGTAGGGATCAATTACCGGCTCGGTGCGCTAGGCTTTTGGCATTCGGATCGTGCTGGAGATATGGTACCGGAGAACAATGGTCTCTTCGACCAAAACACGGCATTCGAATGGCTGCGCGAGCATATTGAGGGTTTCGGTGGTGACGTGGACAATGTTACCGTTGTCGGACAAAGCGCAGGTAGCGAGAGTGTCTCGGTGCAGACGATGCGTAAACCGTTGTTCAAGCGCGCGATCATGTTCTCGGGGACGCCAGTTACCATGCCTGCAATGACCCATGACGAGCATCATGACAACTTCCTCAAGCAGGCTGAAAAGTTGGGAATTCGTGTCAGAGAAGGCGATGGCAGTGAAAGGGACACGCAAGCAATAGCTAGAGACGTGATTGGCGTTGACGCGTCGAAGATTCGAGACCAGGCATGGGTTGGTTTGCCATGCACGAACAGCGAGTTCTTTCCCTTTGAGCGACCGACCATGGATCTGGCTAGGAAGGGCAAAATCGCTCCTCCCGATTGGAAAGACTGGGCAAGACCTGTCGAAGCTCAAATCGTTGGCTCCACCACCTACGACGGCGGCATCTCGTACAATATGATGAGGAATGATGACAGTCGCAAGAACCACGCTGAAGCCTTCGAGAGGATTGTCAAAGATGTTCTGTCTCCCGGACATGATATCGAGTTGCTGAACATATATGGTATCGAGGGCAGTGTTGATGATGCGGATGCACTCCAACGTATCTGCCTTTTTGAAAGCGACATAGGTTTCTTTGCAGCCGCGTTGAGCATTGCGGAAAGTGATCTGGTCAAAGAAACCTATTTTCATGTGTTCGATCTTCCAAACCCCTTCCCGGGACCAATCCGCGAGCAAGGTGCTTTCGCTACGCATACTTTCGACATTGCGACGCTGCTTGGCGGCGTGCATGAAGATCGTTTGCCCTCGCATTATGGACCTGTAGTTGCCAGATGGCGCGATTCCATTCTCGATTTCGTGACCAGGGGAACACCCCCTTGTGCAGAGTTTGTTGGTGTTGATGGGGGAAGGAGGGGATTGATGGTGGATGATGGAGGCGTTCGCGAGGTTGGCAGTGAGGCGTGGTTGGAGAACGATGAGGGGAGAAGGAGGAGATTGTTCGATTTGGCTCGGAAGGTTGATGCTGATACCGGGCTGGACGTTCTTTGGGTCGACGTTTGCAGGCGCTTCTTGATGCGCGGGGAGTAAGTGGACGGGACTATGACGCTGAATGCGTGGCGGTGTCACTTCGTCCCGGATTGTCGAACATGTATCTTGTCGCCTGTCAAGGTGAATTAGCGTAATTCGAAGAGTTGAGTCTGATTGCAAGAACATACTTGGAGACCTTTCCACCTATACCAGACGCAAGGTGCTGGCACCCTTTGACCTGCACTTCGACAGTGGTATAATTGGCCTTCGTCCAGTCAAGGCCTCACTGCCAGCACTTGGGATAGGCGGTTCTGGTGCCTCGTACTCATCGTCTGTCTCGCCTTCAGCATCCTGATCAGTGGTGTTACCATCACTGACATCCTTGGATGCCTCTTCGTCCAGACCCCAACCACCCAACTCAGCGAGTTCATCTTCCAGCGCCGGTTCAAGTTGAGAGCTGGATACCTCAGGCGCCTGATCCGGTGATGATGAGACTCGCGGCTCGGACTTGTCGTCCTCTGCGCCGTAGATGCTGTCGTCATCTGAGTTTTTTTGGTGGTCGCTGGGGACCCTTGAGCTATGCTCGGACGGCGGAGACGGGGTCCACTGTGTGGCCGGGAGGGCGTCGGAAGTGGTGGGGGAGGGAGGGACAGAGAGGAAGAAGGAGAGCGAGGGGGAGAAAGATGGGAGGGGAGAGGAGGAGGGTTTGGGACTGTTGATTGAGGCACGAAGGGCGTCCATCTCCCTCGCACCTTTGTCAACCTTGTCTTCCACCGCCGCAATGCGGGCTTCGTGCTGGTGGACTATGTCGAGGGCCTCTTCCAGCTGGCTCTCACGCGCCGCCACGACTTTCGAGCATCCTACGTGGGTGTTGAGTTTGTCGAAGAACTTATCGATACCTGGTTTAGAGAGATTCCATTCATGTCCTGGCTGAGAGGCTGTTTGCTCGACGAGGTTGATCGGCGCAAAATTGAACAGTCACCGCTGATATACGCAACCGAGACATGAACTTACAAGCCGCCTCTTGCCATGCGGTGTCTGATTGCATCTCAGCTTTCATTATCCCGCATTTCAAGAGCATACGGTTTCCATGGTCCAGTTTCTTGACGCGTCCGGACTAGCGTGGTCGACTTCACCGTGAAACGTTATCACCGTGTCCTCTCATCCTCGTCACCTTCACTACTCTTTGACTCTGACCATCAGCAACTCTTCAAGGCCTACTCCAATTGGCATTGGCTTCTTTGACATGCCTGTTCTTTTGAGGATGCTGGAAAAGGAGGTCGAACACCCCGATCGCATCGGGGGATGGCTTGACAAGCTAGATATCAAGGGCGCCGAGATTGATGAAAATGAGTGCGCTACTGATACCGATGAAGAGGCAGATTGTGGACCAACTACACCACCTCGGCTATCGGACTACCGCTCAGTACCGCAAGATGAGATCTCGCCAACCGACACGTCCTTCTCTGGGAAGAGCATCTTCGACAAACCGCTCTGCAAGAATCTGTTCGGCAGTCCGACCCCAAAGTTCGAGATACGAGACGATGATTCCGACACGACCAGTATCGATAGCGGTGACTGGGCGCCACAACAGGGCAAAGAGCGCCCGCTTGAGCGACTTGTGCCACCTGCCTTTGCTCTTCGACCTAGTACACTGTCAAACACCCTAGGTTCCCATGAATCAGCTTTAGCAACGAGCACAAGCGACCTCACAGCTATATCAGAACGTAAATCTCAACATACTCTTTCTCCGCACGATCCGAACGAGCCGCGACCAGTCTGGATAACCTCTTGCTTACAATGCACATTCGCTGACCTCCCCTGCTCGCGAACCTACCCCTCATGCTCGCGCTGTAAGCGACACAACCGCGCCGAGGAATGTCTCCTACAGCGCCGACGCTTCACATCAGAAGTTCTGGGTTCCTCGCTCATGGACAAGAGCTCAACGCCTGCTCTACTCAAAGTGAAAGGTGAAGACGAAGGAGTTTGGAAACTGAAGGTTGAGCTGGCGGAGGCGTTATGCGAGAAGTGGGTTGCAGAACAAGATCAGAAGAACTGGGTGTTGCCGGATGTCGGTAGTGCGAGAGGTGGATGGGGTAGACGTGGGGCAAGGATTGGGAGGGAGAAGGTGGGGCATCCGGGAGAGGGGATTGGACGTCTGGCTTTTCGGGAGCTGTTCGTTGATGTGGATGCTTGAGGATGCTTCGGCGGGGCTGGGTTGGTTTTTGGGGCCTTCTCCCTCGAGCGCATGTTGGACGCACGCTTGGTCATGTGGATTGACTGATCGGGAGCTCTGTTACCTTCCGGATCTAGGATATGTCATATGCCGGGGTTGCGGAATGCCGTTTAGCGCGACATTGAAGCGTACTTTGCAAGACTCGGATGGAGCTCTTGCGTCTGATACGGAAAGGTGCTGTGTGACGAACAGCTTCTCTAGCAACCTCATAGTATTGCAAGTAGAAGAGGGATTACGAGTGTCTACAACACGCGATTTGATGCTCAAAATAGTTGGCATTAGCTTCTATTCTATGCATATCTCGTGAATATTGTCTTTCATCAAACTTCCTCCCACGTCCTTCTCCTTCGTTGCTCGAAATTCAAAGCTTCGCTCCACCTTTACCCTGCCCTACCAACTCCTCCACCGCAATCTCACTCGTCATGAGAATACAAGTATCCCTCAAACTCGGCACACGATGCCTGTGGTTAACCTCCTGATAGTCCTCACTCGCCAGCATATCCCTAAAGTGCAGGATACTAGGGTAATGCGCCAGCGCAATCTCATCCCAGTCGTCGTTCCCACCGCCCACCTCACCATTCGTACCCACACTGCTGTCAGATGCCTTGGTAATCGCCGAGCCGTTAACGTGCGTTGCGTTTCCGACGATCTTTGCGTTGCCGCCGTGCTTGGACCCGATTGATTTGGCGAATGCTGCGCCGTACTTTAGGTATTCTTCCTTCATTCCGGGATTGAAGGCGAGGAGGTTGAACATGGATACTGCGCCTTTGCCCTCTTTAGCGCCGCTGTTGACGAAAGTCTGGATCCATTTGTTCAGTTCATCGCTTAGTTCGAGGCTTTGGCTTGATTCGGTAGTTTTATTGTTCTTCTGCTCTTGCACTTTGGGCACGGAGCTGGGGTCTGGGTGTAGTAGCTTCTGGTTCTTCGATGGGAAATCTTGGATCAGACGGGAGGGGACTCCGGCTGTTACGCTCCAGTGATGTTGGACCAGCTTCGAGAGCTCTGATGGGAGGGCATCGGTGCTGGGCAGGATGAGAAGAAGATCCCAGTGGATGTTTCGGGCGAGGAGGTGTTCGGTTGAGAGCTTCGAGGGGAGAATTATCCAGCGTATGACGCGTGAGATGACAAGGGGTGAGACGTTGGCGGACTTCAAGGTGGACAGGAAGGTCAAGATGGGGTTGGATGTGGTGCTGTGGAGGGCGACGAGATGGAGCGTGCAGAGCGGCATTTTGGAAAGGAATCGACAAAATCAAATATCTACTTGTTTGCCAAATGCAATGCTTAGACGAACGGACAAGACATAGTATAGATGTTCGTAGTGTTAAATGGATGACGTAAGTTGATTCTACTTTACCGAGGCTCAACTGTGAGGAGCTGTGGTATGAGCTCCTCGGAGGTGCATCCATTAACTAAGCACACGCATTGTCGTGCACTTCTGGTATGTACAGTCTGTCTGCACCATTTCATCGGAAATAAAGATCCGAGTGCTTGTAGCTGATAAGCTCTTGGGGAGGTGCGCTACTGCGGGGCGTCTCACCAGACCTGTGGATCAAGACCATAGGACTGACCATGTCCACCGTCGCAATCAATATGATTAGGAAGCATGAAATAGGATGTGTAATGTTGTAAACGCAGTGAGATGCGGTTGCAGGCTCATAGAAATTACCCAGGTAGGTAAGCAGTGCAGCTTCGTGGTTACCGATTGGACGTTCGCGCGCTACCGGTACACATCTGTGACGTACGTTCTTGCTAGTCGTGCCCAGGTGGAGCTATAGGCAAACACGATTTCAAAGCGACAGCAGCCTGGCAACTTTTGCATATATCTACACCGGCACCGACTGCGTTCTTGCCTTCTGTAAATTCCTCTCAACACCAGCTCATTGACACTGTAACTATGCCGAAGCTCTTCATGTAAGTTCAGCAGCGTGCTCATACAGGACGACTGGAACATGGACGACATGCAGTTGTATTCATTTCAAGATATTTGAGTGCTGACTAGATCCAGCACCGGCGCCACTGGCTATATTGGAGGCGATGCCCTCTACGCAGTTGCAAACACCTATCCGGATCTAGAGATCACGGCACTTGTTCGAAACAGCGACAAAGGGGCCAAGGTCGCAGTACAGTACCCAAAGACCCGTCTTGTGTATGGTACCCTTGACGACACCGAGTTGCTCACTACCGAGGCGTCCAATGCAGACATCGTCCTCCATTGCGCCGACTGCGACCACGTGGCTTCTGCCAATGCGTTGGTTGCTGGCCTCACACGCAGCGGAAAGAAGACCTATCTCATTCACACTTCCGGTACTGGAGTCTTATCTTTCGAGGACTTTGAGACCAACACCTACGGCATGAGGCGAGAGAAGGTCTATGACGACTGGGACAACATTGGTGAGGTCACTTCGCTGCCTGATTCAGCGCTCCATCGAAATGTCGACAAGATCATCCTTGGATCGAACGATGTTTCAGCAGGCAACATCCAGTCTGCCATTGTCTGCCCACCGTGTATCTACGGCCCTGGACGGGGTCCTGACAACCAGAAGAGTGTACAGGTGTATGACATGAGCAAGGCCGCACTGAAACGCATGAAGGCTTTCGTCGTTGGTGAAGGCGCGAATATGTGGACCCAAGTTCATGTTCAAGATCTCAGCGAGATGTTTCTAGCCCTTGTGACAGCCGCTCTGTCGCCTGATGGTGGCAAAGCGACTTGGAACAAGGAAGGATACTATTTCGCAGAGAGCGGAGAGTTCTGCTGGGGTGACATCGGCACCAAGATCGGGGAGATTGCGTTCAAGAACAAGCTCATCAACCATGAAGGGGTTGACAACGTAAGCAAAGAGGAGGCGGACGAGATGAGGCCCATGGGCAGCTACCTTTGGGGTGAGTCATCCTGTGTTCCCGGATGTGACGTTTTCTGACATCTTAGGCACCAACTCTCGCTGCAAGGCTATTCGAGCCAACAAACTGTTTGGCTGGACTCCTAAGCAGAAGAGCGTGTTCGATCTGCTGCCGGAGATCATCGATGGTGAGGCAAAGGAGATGGGTCGAATTAGACAGCACGCTGAAGAAGCTGCTGAGGGGCGTATCATGAAGTAGTCGTATGCCAGACCAGTCCACAAGGCAAGGGAGAGGCGTGTCGGATTTTAGTTACTACCTAGGTATAGGGGCGGGAGTGCTACAGTGATGAAGCATCGATCATGTGGTAGCATAGCCTCCTATGAATTACATATTGCGCGCATGTCCTGGTACTGTGGTTCCATGCGCGTGCTAGCGATGAAATAGGAGTGAACGATGTCCAGGTACTGCCCGCATCTGCCCCGCGGTGGGACTCCACACGTCTGCCCACTGTGGGTGATCACACGACCAACAACACTGAGGAATAGTAAGTCGCAGTGGCAGATTATCAAAGAGTATCTGATTCATTGGAACTGAAACATCAATGTGTAAGCTCCGAAATGTCCTGTATGAATCGGCCTTGGCGCTGTCATGTTCCTGAGGTCGCGCGCTTGAGCCACGTTCCTAGCTTGCCCTGACCAACGAACAACCGCGTCGACATGGAAGAGCGAACAGGACGACGACTCTTCTAATTCACTACCTTAAGCCCAAAGTAGATTGCGACTAATTCCCCCGCGACTATGGATATCATACAAGCCGTCTCCGGCTACATCACCAAAATGGTGTCGGTCGGGGACAGCGCTGCGACGGGCACCTCCGCGGCCAAGATGAAGATCCTCCTCCTCGACAACGAGACTGTGGGTTTGTCTGCTCTCCCAGGTGGCAGCATACTCGTTACTGATACTGCCTAGGTTCCGATAGTATCGACCGCGACGACGCAATCCGCCCTCCTCAACCATGAAGTCTACCTTACTGAGTACCGCACCCTCGCGATCCATGGTGCAATCCACAACTAACACGTTGGCAGCCGCCTCGACAACCCAAAGCGGGAGAAGATGCGCCATCTTCGCTGCCTATGCTTTGTGCGACCGTCGCCCGAGTCTATCCAGAACCTCATCGAAGAGCTGCGCGAGCCCAAGTATGGGGAATACAACATCTGTACGCGCCTGGAAGAACACGGGGCTACGTACGCGTGCTGATGCAGACAGACTTCAGCAACATAATCAAAAAATCCTCATTGGAGCGCCTCGCCGAAGCAGACGACCACGAAGTCGTACGTGCGATTCAAGAATACTTCGCCGATTTCCTCGTCATAAACCCCGACCTCATGTCGCTCAACCTCGGATTTCCCGATCATCGGATATGGAGCACAAGCTCGGATGCGTGGAATCAAGATGCGCTACAAAGGTCAACCGAGGCAGTCATGGCATTACTTTTGTCGCTAAAGAAGAAGCCGTTGATACGATACCAGAAGAACAGTCTGCTCGTCAAGAAGCTGGCGACCGAGGTTCGATACCACATGACACAGGAAGAGCAATTGTTCGACTTCCGCAAGACAGATACCCCGCCTATACTTTTGATTGTCGACCGAAGAGACGATCCGGTAACACCGCTGTTGACGCAATGGACGTACCAGGCCATGGTTCACGAGCTTCTCGGAATACACAACGGACGAGTGGACCTACGGGATGTGCCGGAAATACGCCCTGAACTCAAGGAGATTGTGTTATCGCAAGAGCAGGACCCCTTCTTCAAGAAGAATATGTATCTCAACTTCGGCGATTTAGGGCAAAACGCAAAAGAGTACGTCGAGCAGTTTGCGTCAAAACAGCAGGGGTCCCAAAAGCTCGACTCTATTGCCGACATGAAGCGCTTCATCGAGGACTTCCCGGAGTTCCGCAAGCTTTCCGGCAACGTCACCAAGCACGTCACACTTGTCGGTGAGCTGAGCAGACGAGTTGGCGAGGAGAGTCTACTGGACATCAGTGAGCTCGAGCAGAGTCTGGCATGTACAGACAACCATTCCAACGATGTCAAATCGCTGCAAAGGATCATCCAGGATCCGAAAGTCCCGGCGAACAACAAGCTCCGGTTGGTTGCCATCTACGCGTTGCGCTACTCGAAGACCTCATCGAACTCTACAGCTATGCTGCTTGACTTGCTCGCTGTTGCGGGTGGACTGTCACGGCATCGCATTAACCTCATCACAAAACTGCTGACCTACCATGACTCGCTACAGGCGACTACGGCGGCAGGTGGAGTGCCGGACCTTTTCCAACCTGGGTCTTTCTTCGGAGGTGCCCGAGATCGACTCAAGGGCTTGAAGGGTGTTGAGAACGTCTACACACAGCACTCGCCTCGCTTAGAAGCTACGCTGCAAGATATGATCAAGGGTCGCTTGAGCCAGCAGCTGTACCCCTTCGTTGAGGGTGGCGGATCGACAAAGGACAAGCCGCAGGACATCATTGTATTCATGGTCGGCGGCGCGACATATGAGGAAGCTAAGATGGTTGCGCAAGTAAATGCTAGTTCGCCAGGTATCCGCGTTGTGCTCGGCGGTACCACTGTGCACAATAGCACTTCCTTCTTGGAGGAGGTAGAAGATGCCGTTGACTCGTGGCCCGAGCCTCCCGCTACATCAGCTGCGGCTCGCCTGAAGAGAGAAGTAGGTAGATAGTCGATCTTGTCTTTCTAGAGTGAAGCAGTAATCTGGGAGTTGGGCGTCGAAGCGAGTGGCGTCAAATGCAGGTTCATATATTACATGGGTTGATAGAGTTGCTACATGAATACCACAGCATCCCAATAGTGTTCGTCAGCCCAGTACATAATGAGAGCAGCACAGTGCATGCCCCGCGCTAAGGGTCGAGATGCATCCCACCAAGACCCACATCATTCGTTTCAAGCCGGTCCTGGATAGCAGCGCGGCCTATAGGTCGCAGTCAGCAATCAATTGTTGAGCGGTACCTGCATGACTCCGAAGGCGGCGAAAAGTCTGCTAACCTGCTCAGAGCCAAGACGATGCGACAAGGCTGAACACGTGCATCATCACCAACAGGTGTTAAAGTCATCGGGGTTCCCTTACGGGCCGACATCCGATCGCTCACTCCACCACCTCAGCCACCTTCAAACCTCACCCACACATGGCGCGAAAATGAGGATTGCGAGACATGCCAGAACAAGGACAGGTCTTGCAGTCTCGAGTGGTCCGCCGGAGAAATCCACGCCCCATCAACAGCTGCGTTGAATGCCGAACCCGGAAGTCGCGATGCTCCAAGACGCACCCTTGCCAGAACTGCACAGCCTTCGGACGCGAGTGCGTCTTCATCACCGTCCCTGAGAGCGCTGCGCGCAAGAAAGAGAGGGAGCAGAGAGAGCGCGCACAGAGTAAGAGTGGCGCTGGTATCACCATCCCGGACTGGACCAAGAACCTCCCCGTGCGCACGCAGAGCAGCGCCAGTCTGCCTGATGGGTATGAGAATGCGAATTCCGTCGACACCACCACACCTGGCACGCCTCCGCGAGATTATGAGTGGGAAGCCTACCAGCAAGATGTCGAGCCCGAAACGGATGCCTGGGAGAGACTGCCCGCAGAGCCTGAAGAGACGCAGGACGATGTCTACGAAGACGAGAACGATGATGAAGATCAGATTGCGACTGATCTCACGATTCGAATCGGGAGGATGATCATCTGTGAGAATGTCACCGGATTTTTCCGCCCCCAATACGCCGAAGAGGTACTTTCCGCCCTGTCCACATCTTTTGTCCCGCGTTTCCGTTGCCTTTCCTTGACCGCAGACTGAAATGTTGTGTAGCTCGGCAAGCTTCTGTCTGAGAGCTTCACCCCGTCATCATCAGTCACGGGCCAGAGAGCGACACAGTCGTCTGCTCTGTTGTCCGCAGAACAGATGCCGTCGCTTGCACCGTCGTTGAACCTGCTGCTAGGTGGCTCGCTGCCTCTTCATCAAAACAACGATGTGGAAGCACCGCAGCTACCGACTAAAATGGAGGCAGAGGGACTACTACAGCGATACACAGAAGCTGTCAGCCCTCTTGCGCACGTGTTGCATCTCCCGTCGTTCAAGCGCATGTTCGACCGCTTCTGGATGAATCTCGAGATTGGGAATCCCAACCAGAATTCATGTACTGCCTTGATATTGGCCGTTTGCATGGCTGCTGCGGCGTCTGTATCGCCTCTGCAAGCCAAGTCGCAGTTTGGCATCACGAAAGAGGACCTGTTCTTGCGCTTACAGAAAGCCACGGAGCGAGCATTGCTTCGTGCCAATTGGGCGAAGACGTCCAACATACGCACTTTGCAAGCTTTGACTATCTACCTGGTACTTTCCCTGACAGTCTTGATAGAACTTACGCACACTAACACACATAGATACCCCTCTGTCGAGCGCAAATATCGCGAGCGACGTCTGTCGTAGTTGGTGCTCTGGTTCGCCTAGCACAATGTATAGGCATACATCGTATGAGCCACAGCTCAGCCAACAGTCTAACACCTCTACAACGACACGTTCGATCGCTCTTGTGGTACCAAATCTGCTTCTTAGACTTCAAAACAGCCGAAGCGCAAGGACCCCACCCATCCATTCGATCGGACGATTTCGACATTGCCCTCCCGTTAAATGTAGACGACGACGTCTTCGAGTTTGGCAGTCCAAAATGGCAGCAACATCCAGCCTCTACCACTGGCTGGTCAGATGTCACATTGTCGCTGATACGCTACGAGTGCAATGAAATCCACCGTCTCATCTTCCGCGGCAGAATCGAAATGGACCGCAAACACATCACGCTCCACGACCTGCGCGCCCGCGTAGAAGCCAAAAAGCGACAAATCCAAAGCAAATACCTCCAGTACCTAGACGCCAACGTGCCGATCCAACGATACGCAGGCCTCGTAGCAACGCTCCTAATGTCTCGCTGCGATTCCATGCTTCTCTACCGGCATCTCCCGCAAACCTCTCTCCAACCGCGCTCAGAATCCGAAAACCGCCTGCGCGACGTCCTGCTCACCGCGGCCCTCACGACGCTCGAAATTGGCGCAACGCTAGACACACTCCCCTCGCTCTCCGCATGGGCCTGGTACTCAACCACCTACCAACAATACCACGCGGTCCTACTCCTCCTCACAGAACTCTACCGTACGCCCGACCTCCCGCGGAAAGAGCGCATGGCCACCATCATCGACCACATCTTCGGGCACTGCTACGGCGTCGGAGTACGAGAACGCTGCTCAGACCTCCTCTTCACGGTCAAAGAGAACTTAGAAGCCTTCTACGTAATGAAAGGCTTCAACAAGAAACGCCAACAGATCGCTCCCCAGCAGCATCCTACACTGCAACCGCTTCCCTCATTCGGCGGCTCCGTGACGAGTCCCGCGTTTGGTGCGCAGCAGACGCCGAATAATATGCATGGCCATTTACAGAGGACGCCTACGTCCGGCACGCTGGATGGCCTGAACGTGGATTTCGATAGTATACTCGGTAGCTTGAATGGTGGGGGCGGCGGCGGGGCAGGTGCTGGTTCGGCAGAGGATTACGATGTCTGGGGTGGCATGAGCGCTGGTGCGGGTCAGGATACGGGTGCTATTTTTGTGCCGGTGGACACGGGGCATCATGCTGAGTTTGGGACTACGAGTCCGAATGGGGGGATGCAGCAGTGGGTAAGTCATTCTTTGGTTTGGTGATGGTTGGTCGCGTTTTTTGAAGGGGAGTTGTACTAATGCTTATCTAGGAGAACTGGAACTTCCCGCCTCAACAGCAGAAGTACGAGCATTAATTGGTTGGTGTACTGTGGTGTTTATGGAGAATGCTCGTGTTGAAATAACACTAGTAATACATATCTGGTTAGTCTGTTGATTGAAATAGACACGAGTTCATCTCAAGTTCACGAATGTTTCTGGTCGTATCCATATTTCACTCATCCTGGGGATCTTCATCGACTGTACACATGCACATTCACTTGGCTTGTTTGATTGCTTAAGAGATGTATTGAGGTTGAGCCCTAGCACCGTTGCTACAATTGAACTTGCGTCTCAAGCTCGACACGTAGACGCTGTGATATGTTTCACCCAGCTCCGAAACGCCACGACACTAGTGCTTGATGTCCCCTCCAATGTAACGCCATATACGCCTGACCGCACTGCAGTCGAGAATGCAAAACTGATTTTCCGCCAAGCGAGTCGTGAACAGCATGTCGAGACGTCAAATGTTGGTATCACCAGCTGGTGTTCCTGACAGTGGAAGACATGAGCTCTACGACAAACTTGTTAGCCAAAGAGAAAGACAAGAGGAAGATGGCAAAGGCTAGTAGCGTGCTACTTGAGATTCACTCAACGCACTTCGCTTCATTGGCGGCGGAGGTGGCGGTGGCTTCTTCGCCCTTGATGGAGGTGGTGGCGGAGGTGCCTTCTTGCCGTTAGTCGCCTGCTCACCCGCCTGGGACCAACTCGCTGCCCGCGACATGACGCCGCCGCGCCCACTGCCAACAGATGATGAGGTATCAGGGCTAGGTGGCGATCGATCACGGTCACGTCTATATCCGTTTCCGTTGGATGGCGCATAATCGTCTTCGTAGTCATCGGCAAACGTGTTCTGTTGGCTGGCGCTAGCTTGGCGGACTGGACGGAGATTTGTTCGGCCGGAGGATATGACGGAGGAATCAGTGGGGACGCGGGACAGTCGGCGGGCAGGGGAGTCGTCTCGGTAGCCATTGTTGTTCTCGTAAGTCGAAGTGCGGCTAAGAGAGGGGCGTAGGGAGTAGCCACCGGGCGACTGCTCGGGGCCAGGGGAGCGGCTGCGCTGGGACGAAAGCTTAGGAATGGTCATGCGAGCGGGCTCAGGCTCGGGTTCTTCTTCGACTGGGTTGAAGCGCTCTGCGTAGCCATGTGCGGTATTGGATCGGGAGCGCGCGGGGCGGCTAGGCACAGCCCTGGTGTCCCTGTGTCATCTGTCAGAAATGTGCTAGGTCTTATGCTGATCGGAATGTCCTCACCTAACCGGCCATTCCCGCTTGACGTTGAGCAGAATCTCACGACAGCGGTCGTAGTAGCTCAATTCTGCCTCGAGGAAAGCAGTCAGGTCCTGAACCATGTCGACTTCGGACTCCTTGATGTCCTGCATCCTCCGAAAGACCTCTTCGCTAGTCTCCTCGTATTTGGCCTTTTGAGCACGTAGTTCCTCCTCCATGCGGAAGTCTTCCTTCTTCGTCTTCTGCATCTTGGCGAGGGACGTGTCATAGGCCAGACGGCGTGTCTCGAGCTTCTTGCGGGTAGACTGAGACGAATTAGCTTGCATGCCCGCAATTGTTTTGGCGCTGCCGTACCTGGTACTCCTTCATCTGAATCAAGGAGCGCTCAAGTCCCTCGAGCCACGATGACGTAGCACCTGCGACATACGTCTCCTGTACTCGCGCCAGACGTTCGTTTGCTCGACCCAGTGCTGTTGATAGTTAGTACGCAGACAGGTGCGATTGGTGTGGAAACGCACTCGACAGGCAATTGCCAAACTCCGAGTCGGGCTCAAAGTCCTCGCCGTGGGTAACCATGGAGGAACCCAAATGGCCACCTGGTAGCTGCTTCTCCTTGTCGGCGCCCTCTGCGCGCTTGGAGAGCGACTTGACGTAGACAGCCATTGCGCTGTGCATCTTGTCCATGCCTGGACCAATGTCAGTATGCGAGGTTGGAGCTGCTGCAGGGCTTGGATTCGTGCATACCCTCATGACGCAGGTTCATTTCCACTTCGAGCGCCTTGAACTCGTCGGAGAGACCAGTGCGGGCCTCTGCGCCCATCTTCTCGTTGGTCCATTGCTTCAGGCGGTCGAATTTCTTGTTGATGTTCATGATTGCGGTGCGATGTGCGTGAGTGTCGTAGGGAAGCGTGCAACCAGCAGAATGACGAGGGGGCTGCGGCGTGCGTAACAAGATATGGG